TTGTACACGAATCTCCAAGCTTGACGCGAGCCAAAGGCTCGTTCTCACGATCTCGCGCTCAGGCTTTAGGTTGGTGCGCGCGATAGAGATCGATGGTATCGTCCATCGTATGAGCTCGCCGCCTCTCTATGAAACATAATGGAATACCCTGTTTAGATTGCGTGGTCGCCTCGCATTTCGAATATGCGTCTATAATGCATGCATCTAAATTATATACGTTAATTGTATCGTGCGCAGATGAAGGGGAAGAGAATTTTTTTTATAGGTCGAGTTGGGGTTGGATCTCCGATGAAAAAACGCTACACTCCAGGTAGCGTTAAAACATGTTAATAGAAGTCAGATAATGCTCCGTATGAATTTTAATTCTATCGATTGCTGCGTTAAAGATAAAAAAATAGCAGGTAGAGTAAATGGAAATGATCGCGTCTTGATAATTACGAATAATAACTAGGGAGGATGAAGCGTGAATTATAATCTTATTTTTTCATCGTATCCGTTTAGATAAATGTAATTATATTATATGAACTATGAAAGAGAAATAGTTGTTGTGTTCTTTTTTAATTGCCCGTAGGAATTTTTTCAGACATTACGAATGAGAAAAACAGGTATTATAATATTAATTAACTCAGAAATATAGGACAATGGGCGTTTTAAAATGAATGTTTTAAAAGTAATAGTAAGACAATCATTATTCATTCCATTGTTGATTTTTGTGCTTTTGAGGAAAAGAGATTCAATTTTTGTAATTACTTCGTGCGTTACGTTAAATCTCTATAAGCTTAATTATATTTACAGGATTGAATAAAAATTCCTTTGTAATCGCCGCTTCCCCAGGCGACTCGATAAATTAGAGAGACGTGTATTTATGTCACGACGACAAAGTGGCCGATCCTTAAGCTTTCAACAAAGAAGTCGAGTTTTTTTCAAGGATTATCGAACGATGGATTATGTACTTTCTCATAATTCTTTCACATCTATGCATGTCTATTGCTTCGTCCGTTTTTTACGGGGGAACAAAGAAGTCGACGTGTCGCGGAGCGAAATTCGACTTTCGAGACGTCTCTTGCGAACAAAGCTTTGTATTCCAGAATCGAGATGCTGTCGTCTATATTAAAGCAATCTTTCTCTCGCAGATAAAACTCGGAAATTGCTGTATTTATTATCATTATTATCGTGATATTATGTTATGCATTTTCATTGAGGTGTAAATTTAAATCCTGTTTAGTGTTTTTGATGCAAAAATTAAAAAATTGCTAATTTACTAAACAGACTTGTACATACATGTAAAATTATGATAAAAAAACAAATTTGAGATAAATGAACAATCTCTGAAACATTCTTTGGAATATTATATGAAACAAGATCCAAATAGCTCAATAACAATCAGAACTCGAAAGAATATTTAAAAAAAACACTTATATGAAAATATTCCTACGATGATTGTTTTTATATTTTGTCAAAAATTGCAATCACGTGACATTCTTTAAGATTTCTTACGATACAGTAAAAATAATTTGCCAAGGGTGTTTCATTTATCATACATTATTTTATCGATTTTAATGAAATTTTATTTTTACTCCAAAAACTTTAATACTTTGATATAATGAATTTAAATTATATATCTTAATAAGATTTTTATTGTATTATAATAATATATAGCAGCTTCTAAATGAAGTTTATTCTTAATGAGAATGTAATGTGTCATGTAATTCGTCTTGTGTCATGTAATTCAGACTTGAATATAGTATTATGGCGTAGTTAACAAAATATGTTCCTTACGGCATTATCGGGCTGCTGAGTATTTGGAGCAGGAGTAATGGGAAATAATAATATTGTATTTGTAGAGTTACATAACGATCGACACGCCATATCGTAGCTTTATGAATCTAGTAATTCATGTTCATAAGTGGAATATAAACAGCGTGTAGCAACGATATACGCGAAAATAAAAAAGATCAAATATAGTTAAAAATAAAAGAGGTAGTTGAAGAATCGGACATTTAGAAATTGAAAGTAGTGCAAAAGAAATAATGACTAATGGTAGGTATTATAAAAAAGAGAATTCTTAAATAGCAGGATAACAACTTAACGTAACAATTTTAACACAAAAGGTTACATTTTTTTAAGAAGAAAAGAGAGGAAGTACATGAGAGACGCATTCGAGCATTCTGTTCCACAAGATAAAGTTTCTAATATCTTGTGTGTTCTTCTACAATGCGAAAACGTCGCTATAAAAGGAATGAAAAGACTCACTGAAAGTTTTCTATTGTACGGAATGTTTAAATTGTTTCTCAAAAACGCACGCTTCGGAATTGAAATGCAATTCTTTCTCCTCAATAAAAATGATACATTGTAATTTCAACGAAAAGTAATATTTTGGTGTGAAAACTTTAAAATTAGCGCATATATTATATTATAGACAAAAATCTAATCTTTTATTATATTACTTCTATTCGTGGATTTTCTCCGGAATAAAAATATCAACAACAATGTTAAACGGAGATCGAGACATTTTACTCTTAAAATTGGGTGACAGAAAATTACTCGGACGCGACGGAATAAATGAAAGAGCGGAACAAGATCATGCGCAGGTAAGACAAGAAGTGGATAGAGAATAAATAAAATTGGCGAAAAACGAGGAAGACAGTGAGGAATTTCGGATAAAAGAACAACTTGAACCGAGAGACAAAGAGAGAGAAAAGAATCAGAGAGAGTGGAGAGAGCTCTGCGGGAAACGAGAGCGAGAGAGGGTGCGGATTTATAGGGACGACGGGCGGCGCGAGGGGGAGAGAAGCGAGGGTTGCAGACGCGCCACGACAAGGGTAAATGTACGTACGAATGCACCCCGGATTGGCTTCGGGATGGTTTCCATGGAGACCAATTCGCTCGGCCCGGGGAAGTCGTCGCCGCCGCCGCCACCATCGCCACCGCCACCATCGCCACCGCCACCACCGTCGCCGTTCCTGCCGTCACTGATGCAGCTTTCATCCCGGAAAATCGTGCCGCTTCTAAACGTCAAAAAGTTGAAAATGATCGGTCCGTTTATTATCTGCGCCAACTCACGCGTGAAATCTCCATCTACTGGAGACTCGGAAAGAAATATAATCGTCAGAGAGTGATCCTCTTTGACCTTGTCAAATTACCTCGTCACGCGATTGAATTTGAGGAAGATACTTGTTCCGGTAGGATTAATTTTGATCTCGAGTCGTGATTACATGATATGACATTTGATGAGCATTAAGCGACTCTTTTTTATGAAATTAAACAAATATTAGAATTTATATATAATATGTACATATATGTATATGTATGAAAATATTTATTATAAAAAATGCATAGAAAATTATTTGCGTAATTTTTTAAGTATTTCTAGAATATATAATACTATAAATTGTACGGTTTATATAGTAAAAAAATATGCCATACCTGTATAGAGAAACAAATGTATTTACGAATAGATCCACTTTTTATAAAATTGCTGTAAAAGATTGAAAAATACGTTAAAAAACTCTGATAGATGCACAGCGATGAAACAAATATGAAATACACCATGGAGATCTAATTCATTATTTTTTTTTCAGAACGCGTATCTGTTGTGTTTTTAAGTGCATAATCTTTTAAAATATTATAAAATTTTATAATTTTAAAATATTATACTTATATAAATATTAACAGATTTTTTCGATATCAGTATTCTCGTTTGGTAAACTGTCACGTGCATAAAAGTACGTTAATAAATTTATGTAAGAGCGTTGATGCTGACGTGGCTATGAATGGAAAATCAAAGATTCTCGTGATGCTGCGATGAGAAACTTGAGAAGGAATTTACGGCGACACCGATGTCGCGACGCCGATAATTTTGTACTTAGTAAAATGAGATGACATCGCCGCTATTCGGAATTCGACGTAAGCGAAAATTCATGATTTACATTGTCGAGATATAAATTTTCAAAGTTTAGAAAGCCGATATTTCTACAGCGATTATAGTATCACTGGGAATAAAAGTTTGGATTTGGAGATCGCAACTACATTTATCTACGCGAAATAAATTCGCGAAGCAAGTTTCTGTAAAAATATATTTTATCTTTTTAAAATGTTTTTAAACATAAGTTATATTAATATAAAAAGTTAATTTAAAAGTGCAACTTTTGAATAAAATTTGCGAAAATACATACATGAGAATATAACCGGTTGTATGTTATATTTTATATTTCAATAAAAATACAATTTCAAGTATAATGGAGTATATAAAAGTTAAAGAACTTTGTTTTGGAAAATTTACATCAGGTTTTCCCGACGGACTGGAAATTGTATATGAAAAGAACAGAAAGAACAGAAAATTGCGCTACTTACTACTCTATACACCTATACCTACAATATACATTACCTCAACACGACGAGATGTATATTTCTGCCAGACATAACACGTATAAACTCAGTTCATCCGTTAACGGAGCGTTAACTCTAAGTTTGCAAATTGAGCGGTCGCAAGGGACGATAAGATTACTGCAACTCTTGCGCACACAGACACAGCCTCTAATAAAACAGTCCCTTCAGGGTAAGTTGCTACGTGAAAGCATTCTGATTATATGCACCAAATAGCGTTAAGTAATCCCGGTATAATTTTGTCGGCGATCGCTGCCCTGCGATCTGTTCATCGGCCATCTGGCACGATCGTGCGATATCGCAGAGTGGGATATGTGTATACGGCAGTCGGGTACGAGTATAAAGGGGAGAGAACCACCCTTCGCTGTGTCGAGGCAACTTCCGCAATTTAGCGCGGAACGACATTCCAAACTTCTTTCAGGGGGATGAAAGCCCACGACGAGCCTTCAGCCTTATGAGAAAAATATTTTTCTCTCCGTTCAAGGAGCAACAGCGTAGTCTCGACGGTAAACTCGCACGCGCGTTTAACAAGGTTTGCGTAAATAATATCGCGATATTTCCGAGGAGGAAAATAACCAAGCGAGTAATTTTCTTCTCAGTTGATAATTGGCTTTTATTAAAAATAGAATAATCTTCGCAACTCTTACGTCAGCAACTTTTGCAGCGATACGTTAACGTCGGCGATATATCATTATACGTCAATACTGACGGTTATGTCCTCGTTACACCGCATGAAGCACGGAAACGTATGACGCCGATGATTTAATAATCTACGGCAAACAACATTGCTAGAGTGCATAAATTTCATTTTGCAGTTGCGCATTAAAGTTCACTTCCGACGTTCTCTACAATTCGAGACACGAAATTCAGGCCCGAATTTTTCTCTATTTACAATTCTTGAGTTTATTGTAAAAAACGCGAGAAACATTGAAAAACAAAATATACGCAAATACGAAATATATATCGGGATATGTATACGCTTTACATATACGGTAAAATTATAATTAGATTTCAATCTTGAATTTTTTTTATAGGGAATTTATAGATCGTTTAAAAAATAATTTAAGATAAAGTATTATATATATATATATATATATATATATATATATATGTGTGTGTGCTACATGTGTATATATATAAACGTAATGTGTAACGTGCAAAAATTTAATGTATCTCACATTAATACGATCAATGATAATGCTTACGTTTGCAAACTGTTGCAAAGAGAGATTCATGAATTTGCCGACCGTGATTGTTAATTGCTTTTGCGATCTCATTATCAGGAACAGTAGGATTCGATTCTCGTTTGGAGACAAGTTGTACCACAAAGATTCGTATGCCGCATCGCCGATCATCTTGCTCTAGAAATCGAAGTGAAAAAGCGGAATGCAGAAGAAGAGTGGAGAGGATTAAAATAATTAATAAAAAATAAAATTATAAATCGCGATTGCCCACCTTAATGCTTAAGTATTCACCGGCGAAGCAGAAGATGAATGCTTCTAAATTGATGACGACATAAAACAAAAGGGATCTCACGAGCATAGAGGAACCTTCATGCTCGCCAATCGACTATAATTTTGAAAATTGTACCAATGTACACGACCAGATTTATTTTATTGCATTAATTTGTGTCGAAAAGATATCATATTTATGAGTTGCTGAATGCTTAAAATTTACAACGCCGTTTATAAATTGTAAACTTAATACACATATATCCAATGACACATATGTGTATATTCGATATCCATGTCATCGAAGCGAACTCGATTATTGATCTGTGTTACTTTGTGCAGTGAAAGTTATTAAAGTTATTAAAGTTACTTACATTCACGATGATAAAACCCAAGCAGCAAATAACGAGGGTGTTCGATATGAACTGTGCCAGAGCGATGTACGAGTACAAGTCTTCGATTTGCTCGGTAAAAACAATAATGTTTTGATGCCTCCGGATCAATGAGCCTATTGTGACCATGGATATAGCCGCTTTCTCTTTCTGACTCTTCGGTAAAATTGCTAATAATCTTTCACGTAAAATGTCTATCTGACCGCCTGCATGTAACACCTAGGAATTTGATCTCGTTGTCTTCATATATGTGATAGTTTTGAAAATTAAAAGCATCTTAAAATTCTTGATAGAAAAAATAATTTTATTAACAAATTTTCAAAATTTATCGATATACTCAGAATTTTGTAAACCAGAACGAATACTTATTAATAGATATTACAATGAAGAATATAATAATTAACATGCGCGACATTAATATCGGTCGAATAAAAGATCTGATAAACTTTGCTTCAAATAATTCTTGAAAATCAGTAGTATAGAGAGCTTGGAATAAATCTTCCATATAACTTTTTTTCTCCGACGTTTTCTAAATAGATCAAAACTTGCCACGAACAATTCTAATCATCGCGAAAATGCGGATCGAGCCACCCCTCGGGGTGCGTTTCTCAAGGTAATCTCAGTCGGAAACTTGAAAATATCCCGGGGAGAGAAGGGAAGGGAAGAGAGAAAGAGAGAGAGAGAGAGATGGAGAAAGAGGGAGGGAATGAAAGCCCTCGGGGGTTCCGAGGCTTAACTTACCAGCGTAACGAGCAACGCGCTGAGCACGCCGATCACGGTGGCAGTCGTTATCTGATGAAGAAACTGCGTGGTCATGACGAGCTCGTAGACCGGCGATAGGTCGCTCTCGAAGGGTAACTCCATCTTGAGGAAAAGCTCACGATCGTTGACGTCGTTGTCGCTACGCAGGACGACGACGCCTATACCGTAGACCATCACGGCCACCGAGTGCAAGCCGATGATCAGATTGGAGAAGCGATGAGACAGACCGGCCACGTTGCTCATGTTGCACCAGGCGTTGCCGCAATCTTCCGCATTCCCGCACTCCTTCCAGTCTGTCGCAATCCTCGCTAACACGTTGTTGAATATTCTAGAGAGAATCAGTTTCGTGGAGCGTCGCGAGAGCAAAGTCATTCCCCTTCGAGGATTCTAACTAGGAAATTATTTTTTCGCTTGGAATGATGAAGAGGGGATGGGTCAGAGATGTGAGCATAGATATCGGAGTCACGTTGATTCTTCGGTATGATAATAATAATGTATGATATAAGAAAAATGGTAATATTGAAACACATTAATAAATCCTTGATATGTGAAATAAGAAAGAATTCTTGAATAAGAACAAAAATACACTTATCATTGTTGAAATGAATGATTGTACTCGCGTGAAGTGTTTTTATCAGGAGGAACAGGGAGAAATATTGCTAAATTTTTAATGCTTTGACGATGACGAGTGCGTGCGAGTTGCTTCGTGCTAACGTTCGTTCGATTTGCATGACATTTGTCATCAAGATACGTCGAATAGCAACGACGTACCGTTGTTTCGTCCAGAAAATAATCAACTTGACAAATAATAAACTGTACGACAGCGTCGCGCTCAGGCCGTCCATCAACTGTTCAAGATCTTCGGAGTTACAATGCAACACTACGTGACGGTATTGAAAGATCTGCGCGAGTAGCATCGTCGTGGTCCAGAAAAATCGACTCGCGATTACGTAAGTAGCACCCGGCCAGATACCGACGATACGAAGTCCGATCTCGATCGAGCGGGTAATTGTATTCGCAGACATCATCAAATTCTCGACTGGTGACGCGAACACCTTACGACATGATTGAACGATACGGAATTAAAGTAAAGATGAATTATATGTATCCGTTCGTTGAAGGAAAAGAGAGAACATTTGTATATTGTCACATTAATATCGTAAATCGACTCACTGAAAATGAATTAATCAGCGAAAATATAAAGCCATAAGAAGTGTATCACCAGCTAAAGGAAGTTAGGTCAATAAAATTAACACAATATTCGGAACTTGATCGAGGCACGAAAGAAACATAGGAGTCTTGGATACGGTCATAGAACAGATCTATACGGATATGAGACGCGCACCTGTAGACGCTGCAGATAAACTGACAGATACCGAGAGTCACTTGCTGAGGGCCGCCCTACCATCGTCGACACTGTCGGACAAGGCAGGGGGCAGCTCATTAAATATTTTCATTGTACGTTGAAGTTGTAACGCATGTTGTCAGGACGATTGCTGATTTTGTGGATGGAAAGGAAATCGAAAGGCCGTTCTTCCACCGTATCGCGCACAATTTCCATTAAAAATGTACGATCTCGCAGGACGGAGGTCGGCGATGGCTTATGTCCATCGGAAATCATGCGCAATGATCTGAAGAAAAATGAAGAAGTCTTTTCAAGGGTCGAGAAGGAAGGGAGAGTCGCCTAAAGATTCGTGGAAATCGAGAAAGCTTTATATCGTGGTAATCTTTTTCGAGAGAGAAGATATATACTATAGATATTATTTTATAAATTATATTATTATTGATTAAAATTTTTTTCCTTACACTTTCTTGGAGTGTATATGGTAGTATATTTGGAGCATGCGTTTATATCTCTCATATAATGAATATATATGAAAGTGTCAATGTTGACAATCGCCGAGATGAGTGTGGCATTTATTGCATTGCCAATAACACCGACAAATATGATCCTGCAGAATTCATGATCTATAACAATATATGTATCAAAGAATTGAATATACTTCTGAGCTTCATATATTATCGCTAATATATATATATATATATTAGTATACAAAGGAGATAACATATTTAAACATTTAAAATATTGTTGCGAGAATATGTTTTAAACAAACTATGTAATGAAGGATGAAACAAATAAGTAAATATAAATTTAGTATATAATATATATATATATATATATATATATATATATATATATATAATAAATGCCATGTAAAGGCAGGGACCTTAAACTTTTATCTCGTATAATATGTGGAAATCTTACACTTGCGAAGCATTGTAGCGAAAGATCCATCATCTTCCCAACAGTAAGCTTCAAATGTTTCTGCGCTCTCAATATTATGAATAACAAAATACGACTGTATTTAGGCTCTAATTCGTACCAGGCGATATTATATGCAGCTAATGCTACAGCTCTGCTCTGAAAAATATAATGTAAATATTTTATATATATACGTATATTTATTACAATTTTCTTAAATTTTATTATAATCATGACAATCATAGAACTATTGATCAAGATCGTCATAATTATTGCTAACCTTATTGATTAGATATTCTCCAGCATAACAGAATATGAACGCTTCAATATTCGTTACGCTATAATACGGAATCGTTCGTACTATCTTTTCTGTTGCGTTGGCAGTCCCTAGCGCCTGCAATATCGAAACGTTATACAGCAAATGATTCAGAGCATAAGTTGTTTCTATCAGCGCAATAAGACATAAGAAATTCAATAAGCAAACACATGATGTAAACAATATGTCAAGCGCAATTAGTCATGTGACAATTAATTCCACAGAATAAATAATTATTTCTACTTATAACTTATAGTCTTTATTATATCTGTTTTATTTTACTCACTGTTATGACTAAAAATCCTATTAGGCAAATCATCACGGTGTTTGATACGAATTGCATGAATGCAATAAACGTGTATAGACTCTCAACATTCTTCGCGAAATAAATGATTTTCTGATGTTTTTGAATAATTTTCTCCATTATAATAGCGATAGATTTATGTTTCTCTTTCAATATTAACTTTGTTAACCAATAATGCAGAATATTTAATTGGCCACCTGCGTGTAGAATCTAAAAAGAAAGAAGACTATCGTCCACAAAATAAAGACTATTCAAGAAGTAAGTCGACAAAACAATATATAACAATTAATGATAAATTTCTTTAAATGCGCAGAATCAATAGTTATAATATCTATATACTAGTCATGTCTATTGATTTTCTATTTATTAGAATTTTATTAGAATTATTACAGTGTAGAAATGTGTGTGTTATATATGTGTGTGCATTTATTAATTGCAAATACTTTTGTAACTCACCAAGATTAGCAGTAGAGCGTTTAGTATACCCAAAGCCCAACTACACATGACGAGATGTATCAATTCCACGATTAACACGATTTTATACGTGCATTGCGTGTTTATGATGAAAGGAACTTCCACTTTGTAAATGTGGGGTAGTTCGATCGTACGATCGGTGGCATCGACGTTGGCCAGAATAACGCCCACGCCGTATAAGAGCGGGACAACTGTATGAAGAGTCATGACCGCATTGGCGATACGATTCGATATCTTCGCTTTGATTACAGCCTCGTTCATCTCAATATCACTCTTGGCACAGTCGTTCCAATCTTCTGCCATCATCGTTAAAATTTCGTCGAATATTCTATGCGATCGCACATACGTGGCAAATTTAATGAGCACACATCGTACATTTAAAAATTGTATTTTACTATCTTGTCTCAAAATTGAGCACAACAATAAATGCGAACAAGAAAGAGAGCATGTGACGAATATGTCAATAGATGGAATACAATTTTTCTAAATTTAATGAACATTACGACTTTATGCATAATTCAAGCAGATAGTTTACACTTAAGTAAAATGCAAACAATTATATATATATGTATATATATGAAATAAAATAACGAAATTATTGTTAGACACAAAATAATATACTTATTATAATATATTTTTGCGTATTGTTATTATTTTATTAATTTATATCAAATTACTTACCGCTGATTTAACCAAAAGAAAATAAATTTAAGCATTAATTTAAAAAATCCTAGAAAACTACTGAAACAATCCATCAAGTCGAACACATCATCAGAATGGTAATGTGTCAAAAAATACAGATAATGGCAAAGTAGAACGATTGCTACTGTGACAGTCCAAAATATTCTGAAGAATATAACGTACGGTGTATCTGGCCAAATACCGAATAAGATAAGCGCAAATTTTGTCATATGATTAATAGTGCTTCTATGCGTCATAACTTCGTATTTTTCGTTGCTTTCGTCTGTGTACATCAAATATATACAAGCGAGTATACCAAATATATGAATATACTTAAAAAATAGCGGAAAAGATAGAAAAATATTTGAAAGATAATTTTGTCTAAATGTATTTCGAATGAAAGTCCGACGTATCACGAAATATCTGCGTGCACGAAAGACTGGGATTACGAAAGGCAATTGAATGCATCCCTGAACGAACGATCAATAGAAATTGCTCATTAAATATTTTTATCGTATGGTGAAGGTGCAGTGCGCATTGTAAACGCGATTGCCGATTTTGTGGGTGGAAGGGAAATTGAGAGGCTGTTCTTCCGCCGTACTGTGCACAATTTCTATTAAAGATGCATGATCTTACAGGACAGAGGTCGACATGGCTTATAGTCCGTTAAAAATCACGCACAATGATCTGAAGAAAAACGAAGTTTTTTTAAGAATTGGTCGAGAAAGAAGAGAGAGTCGCCTAAAGAATCGTAGAAATGGGGAAATTGGGGATGCGTTATATAGTGGTAATATTTTTTGAGAGGAGATATATAGATATATTATTTTTCAAAAATTATACTAATTAAAATTTTTCTTGCTTATACTTTCTTGGAGCATATGTGCGCATCTATATTTCTAACGATTTATTGGATATATATATACACACACATATAAGCATGTTAAAAATTTCTGAGATGAATATGGCATTTATTGCATTGCCAATAACACTGATAAATATGAGCCTGCAGAATTCATTATCTGTAACAATGTATGCATAAAAAAGTTTTGAGTTTTATATAGTATTAATAAGTAAATTTAGAAAATATATACACACACACACATACATATATATATATATATATATATATATATATATAAAATGAAAGAAAGATAATGTACGGATCTCAAACTTTTAACTTGTACTTATAATATATGGAAATCTTACGCCTGCGAAGCATTGTAACGAGAGATTTGTTATTTTTCCAACTGTAAGCGTCAAATGTTTCTGCGCTCTTAACATTACGAATAACAGACTACGACTATATTTTGGCTCCAATTCGTACCAGGCGATATTGTACGCAACTAATCCTATTGCTTTGCTCTGATAAAAATATAATGTAGAGATTTTACATATATATTTATTAAAATTTTCTTGAATATTGATCATGATCATGATAATTATAAAATTATTTATTAAGTCATAATTATTGTCATAATTATCGCTAACCTTGTTAATCAGATATTCCCCAGCATAGCAGAACATAAACGCTTCAAGATTCGTTACGCTATAATACGGAATCATTCTTACTATCTTTTCCGTAGCGTTAGAATTACCGAGTGCCTGCAATATTGAAACAAGTCATACGACAAATGATTCAAGTTGTTTCCATTGGCGCAACAAAGATAAGAAACTCAATAAGATAAATATACAGTGCAAACAATAAAATTAAATATGTGACAATTTTACAAAATAAGTAAAAATATCTCTAATTATACAATATTTAATATATATCTGTTTTATTTTACTTACTATTACGATTAAAAATCCTATTATGCAAATCATTATGATGTTTGATACAAATTGCATAAACGCAATAAATGTGTACAAATTCTCAACATTTTTTGCAAAGTAAATAATTTTCTGATGTTTCCGAATAATTTTTTTTATTATAATGGCGATAGATTTACGTTTATTCTCTTTCAATATTAACTTTGCTAACCAATAATGCAGAATATTTAATTGACCACCTGCGTGTAAAATCTAAAAAGAAAGAAGACTATTGTCCACAAAATAAAGACTATTCAAGAAGTAAGTCGAAAAAACAATATATAACAATTAATAATAAATTTCTTTAATTGCGCAGAATCGATAGTTATAATATCGATATACTAGTCTATTGATATTTATTGATTTTCTATTAGAATTTTATTAGAATTATTACAATGTTGAAATGTGTGCGTTATATGTGTGTGCAATTTATTAATTGTAAATATTTTTGTAACTCACCAAGATTAGCAGTAGAGCGTTTAATATACCCAAAGCCCAACTACACATGACGAGATGTATCAATTCCACGATTAACACTATTTTATACGTGGATTGCGTATTTATGTTGAAAGGAATTTCCATTTTGTAAATGTGGGGTAATTCAACCGTATGATCGGTGATGTCAACGCTAGCTACTCGTAGAATAATGCTCAAGCTATATATGATCGGGCCAACTGTATGAAGCGTTATGATTGCGTTGGTGATACGATTCGACATCTTCGCCTTGTTTACTGTCTCGTGCATTTCAATATCACCTTTAGTGCAATCATTCCAATCTTCTGCCATCATTGTTACAATTTCGTCGAATATTCTATGCATGATTGCACATACGTTACAATTTTAATGATTATCTTAAAAAAATCTAAGTTTACTAACTTTGTTTTAAATTTGAGAACAACAGTATTTGTAAGAAAAAAAAAGAGCACATGAAAAATGTTACAATAGATAGAGTAAGTCATTTTTAAATTTAATGAGCGTTACGAATTCACACATATGTGCAATTTAAGTAGATAATTTCACAAAATATAAATACATATACAATATACATGAAATAAAATAACCAAATTATTTTTAGATGCAAAATAATATAATGATTCTATTATACTTTTGCATGTTATTTATTTTATTAACTATATCGAACTTACCGTTGATTCACCCAAAAGAAGATGAAATAAATTATTATTTTCAAATATCCTAAAAAGCTACTGAAACAGTCCATTAAGTCGAACACGTCGTTAGAATGGTAATGTGTCAAGAAATATAGATAATGGTAAAATAGCAATGTTAACAGTGTAGCAGTCCAAAATATTCTATAGAACATAACGCAGGATATATCTGGCCAGATACCGAGGAAGGTGAGCACAAATTTTGCCGCACGATTAATAGTGCTTTTATTTGCCATAACTTCGTATTTTTCCTCCGTTCTCTTCCATATAAAGTATATAAAGTATATATGTGTGCAAACGAATACACTAAGGTATGAATACACTAGAAAAAATACGCGGAAAAAAAAGAAATATAATTTCGCCTAAATATATTTATCGAATTATAGTCCGACGTAGTATCACGAAATATCCGCATGAAGTCTGAGAGATTGAAGGGTCAGTAAATGAATACATCGTAGGACGAACGACCAATAGGAGTTTATCAATAGTGCTCATTAAATAATTATATCGTATGGTGAAGTTGCAGTGCGTATTGTAAGCGCGATTACCGATTTTGTGGATGGAAGGGAAATCGAGGGGCCATTCTTCCGTCATATCGTATGCAATTTGCATTAAAAATACACGATCTCACAGGACGGAGGTCGGCTTATAGTCCAAAAGTCATGTGCAATGATCTGAAGAAAAACGAAGTCTTTTCAAGAATCGAATCGAGAAGGAAGGGAGAATCGTCTAAGAATTCGAGGAAATCGGGAAATGCATTATATTGTGGTAATCTTTTCCGAAGATGTATAGATACAATATATTATTACATAAATTATTATTAATTAAACTTTTTTGTTTACACTTTTTTGGAGCATATATTTGAAATATATGCATTTGCATCTCTAATCATTTGTATTTTTAATGATTTACACATATTGGATATATATATGTATACTATATACTGATATTTTTATATATATATAAAGGTCAGTGTTAAAAACTGCTGAGATAAATGTGGCATTTATTGCATTGCCAATAATACGGATAGATATGAGCCTGCAGAGTTTATTATCTATAATAACATAGGTATCCAAGAATTATATTTCCGAGTTTGATAATATATACACTATCTCTAATATATATATATATATATATATATATATATATATATTATAATATATATAAAATAAGAGATAAATAAATATTATATAAGTGCAAGAATTTCAATCTTTTAATTTGTACTTATAATATGTAGAAATCTTACGCTTGCGAAGCATTGTAACGACAGATTCTTCATTTTCCCAACTGTAAGCGTCAAATGTTTCTGCGCTCTTAACATTATGAATAACAGACTACGACTATATTTTGGTTCCAATTCGTACCAGGCGATATTATACGCAACTAATCCTATTGTTTTGCTCTGATAAAAATGAATATAATGTAGAGATTTTTCATATATATTTATTAAAATGTTCTTGAATATTGTCACAATCATGATAATTATAAAATTATTCATTAAGTTGTAATTATTGTCATAATTATCGTCAAACTAACCTTGTTAATCAGGTATTCCCCAGCATAACAGAATATGAACGCTTCAAGATTCGTTATGCTATAATACGGAATCATTCTTACTATCTTTTCCGTAGCGTTAGAATTGCCGAGCGCCTGCAATATCGAAACACGTCGTACGACAAATGATTCAACATACAAATTATTTTCATTGACGCAACAAAGATAAGAAACTCAAGATAAACATACGATGCAAACAATAAAATTAAACATATGGCAATTAATTTTATAGAATAAATAAATATTTCTACTTATAATATTTAATACATATCTGTTTTATTTTACTCACTGTTACGATTAAAAATCCTATTATGCAAATCATTATGGTGTTTGATATAAATTGCATGAACGCAATAAATGTGTACAAATTCTCAACATTTTTTGCAAAATAAATAATTTTCTGATGTTTCCGAATAATTTTTTTCATTATAATGGCGATAGATTTATGTTTATTCTCTTTGAATATCATCTTCGCTAACCATCTATGGAGGATATTTAATTGTCCACCTATGTGTAGGGTCTAAAAAGAAAGACAGTTTATAAAATAAAGTTTCGCATTCAAGAATCGAGTCGAAAAAATAATGTAACAATTATTAATGATAAATTTTGTTTAAACGAGCTTTAAACGAACAGACACTCAGGTTTATGTATTAATTATCTGCTTATTAGAATTATCTATTTAAATGATTTTTTATTTATTAAATTTTTTAAATTATTGTAACGTAGAAATGCTATATGTGTGTGTGTATGCGTTTATTAATTGCACACATTTTTGTGTATAACTCACCAAAATTAACAGCAAAACATTTATTACGCCCAAGGACAAACTGCACATGACGAGATGTATTAATTCCACAATTAACACTACTTTATATGTGCATTGCGTGTTTATGTTGAAAGGAATTTCCATTTTGAAAATGTGGGGTAGTTCAACCGTATGATCGGTGATATCGACGTTGGCCAGAATAATGTTCATCCCATATAGGACTGGACTAATTACATGAAGAGTCATAATCACATTGGTGATATGATTTGACATCTTCGCTTTATTTACTGTTTCGTGCATCTCAATATCACTTTCAGTGCAATCATTCCAATCCTCTGCCATCATCGTTAAAATTTCGTCGAAAATTCTATGCATGATTGCACATACGTTACAATTTTAATGATTAGCATAAAAAAATCTAAGTTTACTAACTTTGTTTCAAATTTGTGTGCAACAGTAAATGCAAGAAAAAAAAGAGCACATGAAAAATGATACAAGGTAGAATACGTAACTTTTAAATTTAATGAACGTTACGAATTCACATATATGTATACAATTTAAGTAGATAACTTAACAAAATGTGTAAACTATAATAATATATATGAAAAAAATATATAATATATAATAATATATATGAAAAAAAAAACGAAATTATTGTTAGACGCAGAATAACATACTTATTCTAATACACTTTCCCATATTATATATTTATTTTATTAACTATATCGTACTCACCGTTGATTGAACCAAAAGAAGACGAAATACATTATTATTTTCGAATATCCTAAAAAACTACTGAAACAGTCCATCAAGTCGAACACATCGTTAGAATGATAATGTGCCAAGAAATATAGATAATGATAAAATAGAAATGTTAACATTGTAACAGTCCAAAACATTCTATAGAACATAACGTAGGATATATCTGGCCAAATACCGAGCAAGGTGAGCATAAATTTTGCCGCACGATTAATAGTGCTTTTATGCTTCATAACTTCCTTGCTCTCCGTGTACATAAAATATATATATATATATATATGTGCAAACGAGTATACTAAGGTATCAATGCACTAGATAAAATACGAGGGAAAAAAAGAAATATAATTTCGTTTAAATGTATTTATCGAATTGTAGTCCAACGTAGTATCACGAAATATTCGCGTGAAGACTGGGAGATTGTGAAGGGTCAGCAAATGAATGCATCGCTGGACGAACGACCAATAGGAGCTTATCAATAGTGCTCATTAAATATTTATATTGTATGGTGAAGTTGCAGTGCGTATTGTAAGCGCGATTGCCGATTTTGTGGATGGAAGGGAAATTGAGGGGCCGTTCTTCCATCATACTGTATATACATACAATTTGCATTAAAAATGCACGATCTCGCAGGACGGAGGTCGGCTTATAGTCCAAAAGTTATGCGCAATGATCTGAAGAAAAACGAAGAAGTCTTTTGAAGAATCGCATCGACAAAGAAGGAAGAATTGACCAAGAATTTATGGAAATCGAGAATGCATTATATCGTGATAATCTTTTCCGAAGATGTAAGTATAGATATAGATACAATATATTATTACATAAATTATCTTATTATTAATTAAATTCTTTTGCTTACACTTTAATGGAGCATGTATTTAGAATATGCATTTGCATCTCTATTCCTTTGCATTTCTAATGGTTTACATATTGGATATATATATATATATATGTATAATATATACTATATGTATAATATATACTGATATTTTTATATATATAAATGTCAGTGTTAAAAACTGCTGAGATGAAGGTGGCATTTATTGCATTGCCAATAATATGGATAAATACGAGCCTGCAGAGTTTATTATCTATAATAACATAGGTATCCAAGAATTATACTTTTGAGTTTTGTGTGTATGTGTTTTTTTGTATATATATATAATGAGATATAGAGATAAATATTATATAAATGCAGAGATTTCAAACTTTTAACTTGTATAATATATCGAAATCTTACGCTTGCGAAGCATTGTAACGAGAGATTCATCATTTTTCCAACTGTAAGCGTCAAATGTTTTTGCGCTCTCAACATTATGAATAACAAACTACGATTGTATTTAGGCTCCAATTCGTACCAGGCGACATTGTACGCAACTAATCCTATTGCTTTGCTCTGATAATATTTTTAAATATTATATAGAAATTTTATACATTTATTACACACACACACAATTATTTCTTCAATTTTATCGTAATCGTGACAATCGTAGAATCATTGATCAAGATCGTCATAATTATTGCTAACCTTATTGATCAGATATTCCCCAGCATAACAGAATATGAACGCTTCAAGATTCGTTATGCTATAATACGGAATCGTTCGTACTATCTTTTCTGTCGCATTGGGTTTGCCGAGTGCCTGCAATATCGAAATACGTCATACGACAAATTAAACATACAAGTTGTTTATATTGGTGCAACAAGACATAAGAAACTCAATTAGATAAACATATGGTGCAAATAATATCCCAATTAATCATGGGACAATTAATTTTATATAATAAATAATTATTATTCTACTTATAATATTTAATATATATCTATTTTATTTTACTCACTGTTACGATTAAAAATCCTACTATGCAAATCATCACCGTGTTTGATACGAATTGCATGCACGCAATAAATGTATACAGATTCTCAACATTTTTTGCAAAGTAAATGATTTTTTGATGTTTCTGAATAATTTTTTTCATTATAATAGCGATAGATTTACATTTATTCTCTTTAAATATCAAGTTTGCTAACCAACAATGCAGGATATTTAATTGGCCACCTATGTGTAGGATCTAAAAAGGAATATTATAATTCATAAAATAAAGCCTCGCATTTAAGAAGGGAATCGAAAAAAATAATGTAACAATTACTAATAATAAATTTTATTTAAACGAGCAGAATGGACACTTGTGTCCGTGTATTAGTTATCCAGTTATCTAGTTTTTGAATTATCTATTTATATGATTTTTTATTTATTAGAATTTTATTAAAATTATTACGACATAAAAATATTATAGGTGTGTGTTTATTAATTGCACAAATTTGTGTGTGTAACTCACCAAGATCAGTAGTAAAACATTTATTATACCCAAGGACAAACTACACATGACAAGATGCATTAATTCCACAATTAACACTATTTTATATGTGTACTGCGTGTTTATGTTGAAAGGAATTTCCATTTTGTAAATGTGGGGTAGTTCAACCGTATAATCGGTGATGTCAACGCTGGCCAGAATAATGTTCACGCCGTATAGGACTGGACTAAGTGTATGAAGAATCATGATCACATTGGTGATACGATTCGATATCCTCGCTTTATTTAATGCCTCATGCATTTCACTATCATTTTTAGCGCAATCGTTCCAATCTTCTGCCATCATTGTTAAAATTTCGTTGAATATTCTATACATGATGGCACATACGTTACAAATTTAATGTTCATACATTCTAAAATCTAAATTTACTAATTTTTACTAATTTTGTTTCAAATTTGAGCGCAACAATAAATGCAAAAAAGAAAGAGAGCATATGAAAAATATTACAACAGGAATGTGTGTGTAACATTTAAATTTAATGAACATTACGAACTCATAAATGTAATTTTATTTAACAATAATTTCGTTATTTTATTTCATATATACTTGTTTACATTTTGTCAAAATGTAAACTAGTATACATGAAATAAAATAACGAAATTATTGTTAAATACAGAATAATATATTTATTCTAATATACTTTCGCATATTATTTATTTTATTATGTATCGAACTTACCGCTGATTCAACCAAAAGAAGATGAAATAGATTATTATTTTCAAAAATCCTAAGAAACTACTGAAACAATCCATCAAATCGAACACGTCGTTAGAATGAAAATGTGCCAAGAAATATAGATAATGGCAAAATAAAAACATAAAAATTGTGACAATCCAAAATATTCTATAGAACATAACGCAAGATATATCTGGCCAGATACCGAGGAAGGTGAGCACAAATTTTGCCGCACGATTAATATTGCTTTTATGCGTCATACTTCGTATCTTTCGTCACCCTCATTCGTGTACACGAAGTATATGTGTACAGATGAGTACACTAAAGTATATATGAATACATTGGAAAAAAAATACGTGGAAAGAAAAGAAATACAATTTCACCTAAATGTGTTTATCGAATTGCAGTTCGATGTAGTATCACGAAATATACACGTGAGACCTGGGAGATTGTGAAGGGTCAAATAAATGCATCTTTGGATGTACGACCAATAGAAGTTGCTCATTAAATATTTTTATCGTACGATGAAGTTTCATCGTGCTTTGTAAGCATGATTGCCGATTTTGCGGATGGAAAGGAAATAGGGGGGTCGTTCTTCCGCTGTGCTGTCTGCAATTTCCATTAAAAATTTACAATCTCGCAGGATGGAAATTGACAACAGCTTATAGTCTATCGAAAATCATGCGCAATAATTTAAAGTAAAATGAAGAAATTTTTTTCAAGAGTCGAGAAAAAAAGGAGAAACACCCGAGGATTCGTGAAAATCGAGAATAAATTTTGTGTGGTAATCTTTTTCGAAGATATATACTATAGAGATATTTCATAAATTATTTATTATTAATTATATATTATTTCATAAATTATCTTATTATTAATTGAAAATTTTGTGCTAACATTTTCTTGGAGTATATATTTGGAGTTATTATATGCTGTGTTACTATATGCGCTTGCATTATTAATTCTTCTAATGGTTTACATGTTGAATATATGTACATAAAAAATTCAATGTTGAAAATTGGCGCGATGAACGTGGCATTTATTGCATTGCCAATAACACCGATAAATATGAGCCTGCAGAATTCATGATCTAAACAATGCGTGCATTAAATAATTTCATATACTTTTGAGTTTTATATACTATTATTAATATATAATATATGTAATATAATATATAATATATGTAAAAGACAATAACATTGAAACATTTGAGAAAGCCTTTTAGACAAATTAATAAAAGAGACAAAATAATAAATATACAGGCATATATAAATTTAGGAGAGATGTAAATATTATAACAAACATTTTTTATAAAGACACGGGGATAATTTTTTCAAATCTCATAATATATGGAAATCTTACTTTTGCGAAACATTGTAACGAGAGATCCGTCATTTTCCCAACCGTAAGTGTTAATTGTTTCTGCGCTCTCAATATTATGAATAATAAAATACGATTGTATTCAGGCTCCAATTCGTACCAAGCAAGATTATATGCAGCTAATCCTATTGCCTTGCTCTAATAAAAATAATGTTAAGATCTTTCATATATATATTTCAATTTTTTGAATTTTATCATATTCTTCTGTGACAATCACAGAATCATTCATCAAGATCATCATAATTCACTAACCTTATTGATCAAATATTCTCCAGCATAGCAGAATATGAACGCTTCGACATTTGTTACACTGTAGTATGAAATAGCTCTCATTATCTTTTCTGTCGCGTTAGAGCTGCCGAGTGCCTGCAATATCGAAACATGTCATATGACAAATGATTCAATGTACAAGTAATAGTATCTATCTGTGCAATGAGACGTAAGAGAATCAATAAGACAAACATACGGCAACAAACATAAGCGCGATTAATAATATGACAATTAATTTTACAGGGAATAAATAATTAAGTCTACCTATATTTGTTTTATTTTACTTACTGTTATGATTAAAAATCCTACTATGCAAATCGTCACTGTGTTTGATACGAATTGCATGCACGCAATAAATGTGTACAGATTCTCAACATTTTTTGCGAAGTAAATGATTTTTTGATGTTTCTGAATAATTTTTTTCATTATAATGGCGATAGATTTACAATTATTCTCTTTAAATATCAAGTTTGCTAACCAACAATGCAAGATATTTAATTGGCCACCTATGTGTAGGATCTAAAAAGGAATATTATAATTCATAAAATAAAGCCTCGCATTTAAGAAGGGAATCGAAAAAAATAATGTAACAATTAATAATAAATTTTATTTAAACTAGCAGAATGGACACTTGTGTCCGTGTATTAGTTATCCAGTTATCTAGTTATTAGAATTATCTATTTATACATTATGATTTTTTATTTATTAGAATTTTATTAAAATTATTACGACATAAAAATATTATATGTGTACATTTATTAATTGCACAAATTTGTATGTGTAACTCACCAAGATCAGCAGTAAAACATTTATTATACCCAAGGACAAACTACACATGACAAGATGCATTAATTCCACAATTAACATTATTTTATATGTGTACTGCGTGTTTATGTTGAATGGAATTTCTATTTTGTAAATGTGGGGTAGTTCAACCGTACGATCGGTGATGTCAACGCTGGCCAGCATGCTCACGCCGTATAGGATTGGGCTAAGTATATGAAGAATCATGATCACATTGGTGATACGGTTCGATATCCTCGCTTTATTTAATGCCTCATGCATTTCACTATCATTTTTAGCGCAATCGTTCCAATCTTCTGCCATCATTGTTAAAATTTCCTTGAATATTCTATACATGATGGCACATATGTTACAAATTTAATGTTCATACGTTCTAAAATCTACGTTTACTAATTTTTACTAATTTTGTTTCAAATTTGAGCGCAACAATAAATGCAGAAAAGAAAGAGAGCATATGAAAAATATTACAACAGGAAAGTGTAATTTTTAAATTTAATGAACATTACGAACTCATATATGTACAATTTTATTTAACAATAGTTTCGTTATTTTATTTCATATATACTTGTTTACATTTTGTCAAAATATAAACTAGTATATATGAAATAAAATAACGAAATTATTGTTAAATACAGAATAATATATTTATTCTAATATACTTTCGCATATTATTTATTTTATTATGTATCGAACTTACCGCTGATTCAACCAAAAGAAGATGAAATAGATTATTATTTTCAAAAATCCTAAGAAACTACTGAAACAATCCATCAAATCGAACACGTCGTTAGAATGAAAATGTGCCAAGAAATATAGATAATGGCAAAATAAGAACATAAAAATTGTAACAATCCAAAATATTCTATAGAACATAACGCAGGATATATCTGGCCAGATACCGAGGAAGGTGAGCACAAATTTTGCCGCACGATTAATATTGCTTTTATGCGTCATAACTTCGTATCTTTCGTCGCTCTCATTCGTGTACACGAAGTATATGTGTACAGACGAGTACACTAAAGTATATATGAATACATTGGAAAAAAATACGTGGAAAGAAAAGAAATACAATTTCGCCTAAATGTGTTTATCGAATTGCAGTTCGATGTAGTATCACGAAATACACGCTTGAGGCCTGGGAGATTGTGAAGAGTCAAATAAATGCATCTTTGGATGTGCGACCAATAGAAGTTGCTCATTAAATATTTTTATCGTACGATGATGTTTCATTGTGCTTTGTGAGCATAATTGCTGATTTTGCGGATGGAAAGGAAATGGGGGATCGTTCTTCCGCTGTGCTGTCTGCAATTTCCATTAAAAATTTACAACTTCGCAGGATGGAAATCGGCGATAGCTTATAGCCTATCGAAAATCATGCGCAATAATCTAAAGTAAAATAAAGAAATTTTTTCAAGAGTCGCATCGAGAAAAAGAAGAATTACTCAAGGATTCGTGAAAATCGAGAATACATTTTGTGTGGTAACTTTTTCGAAGATATATACTATAGAGATATATTATTTCATAAATTATTTTATTATTAATTGAAATTTTTTTGCTAACATTTTCTTGGAGTATATATTTGGAGTTATTATATGCTGTGTTACTATATGCGCTTGCATTTCTAATTCTTCTAATGGTTTTTATGTACATATTGAATATATGTACATAAAAACTTCAGTAGTGAAAATTGGCGCGATGAACGTGGCATTATTGCATTGCCAATAACACTGATAAATATGAGCCTGCAGAATTCATGATCTATAACAATGTGTGCATTAAATGATTTAATATACTTTTGAGTTTTATATACTATTATTAATATATAATATATGTAATATAATATATAATACATGTAAGAAACAATAACATTTGAATTGAAACATTTGAGAATGTCTTTTAGACAAATTATAATAAATATACAGGCAAATATAAATTTAGGAGAGATGTATAAATATTATAACAAACATTTTTTATAAAGATACGGGGACAATTTTTTCAAATCTCATATAATATATGGAAATCTTACGCTTGCGAAGCATTGTAACGAGAGAACCGTCATTTTCCCAACCGTAAGTGTTAATTGTTTCTGCGCTCTCAATATTATGAATAATATAATACGATTGTATTCAGGCTCCAATTCGTACCAGGCAAGATTATATGCAGCTAATCCTATTGCCTTGCTCTAATAAAAATAATGTTAAGATGTTTCATATATATATTTCAATTTTTTTAATTTTATCATATATATTTCAATTTTTTGAATTTTATTTATATTCTTCGTATGACAATCACAGAATCATTCATCAAGATCGTCATACTTCACTAACCTTATTGATCAAATATTCCCCAGCATAGCAGAATATGAACGCTTCGACATTTGTTACACTGTAGTATGAAATAGCTCTCATTATCTTTTCTGTCGCGTTAGGGTTGCCGAGTGCCTGCAATATCGAAACATGTCATATGACAAATGATTCAATGTATAAGTAGTAATATCTATCTATGCAATGAGACGTAAGAGAATCATTAAGACAAACATACGGCGACAAATATAAGCGCGATTAATAATATGGCAATTAATTTTACAGGAAATAAATAATTAATTCTACCTATATTTGTTTTACTTTACTTACTGTTATGATTAAAAATCCTATTATGCAGATCATCATTATGTTAGATATAAATTGCATGAGCGCAATGAATGTGTACAGACTCTCAACATTTTTTGCAAAGTAAATGATTTTCTGATGCTTCTGAATAATTTTCTTCATTATAATAGCGATAGATTTATGCTTATTCTCTTTAGATATCGATTCCGTTAACCAATAACACAGAATATTTATCTGGCCACCTACGTGTAGGATCTAAAAAGAAAAAGACACATAAAATGAAGGCTCGTATTTAAGTAACAAATAAAAAAAATAATAATCAATTGTTAATGGTAATATTTTTTTGAAAACGTGTAGAAGCGATATTTGTAATGTCTGTGTAGTTAAATTATCTATGATTTTCTGTTTATTTTTATTAAATTTATTATAATATCGTTAATGTAATGTCATAATATGAGTGTGTGTGTGTGCGCGCGCGCGCGCGCGCGCGGGTGTTTATTAATTACAAATATTTTAATAACTCACCAAAATTAACAATAAAGCGTTTAGTATACCTAAGCCCCAACTACACGTAATGAGATGTATTAATTCTACGATTAACACGATTTTATACGTGCGCTGCGTATTTATGCTGAAGGGAACTATCGCTTTGTAAATGTGGGGTAATTCGATCGTACGATTGGTGACGTCGACACTGCCCAGAATAACGCCGATGCCATAAAAGAGCACAACAACTGTATGAAGAGTTATGATCGCGTTGGCGAGATGACTCGACACCTTCGCTTTGTTTATTGCCTCGTGCATCTCAATATCACTCTTAGTGCAATCATTCCAATCTTCCGCTATCATTGTTAAGATTTCGTTGAATAATCTATAGACGATAGCACATACGCGTTGCAAATTTAATTTAACTATTTATCATATATTTAAAAATCTATGCTTACTAACTTTTTCTCGAAATTAAGCGTAACAATAAATAACAGAGAAAAAGCAATGTACTTTTTAAATTTAATGAATATTCTTGTATAATGTACTCACACATGTTTAATTCAAGCAGATAGTTTACATTTTAAAATGCCAACCAATATATATCAAATAAAATAACGGACTTATTTTATTATAATAATGTACTTATTATAATATACTTTTGCATATCATTTACTTTATTAACTATCGAATTACTCACCGCTGATTTAACCAAAAAAAAGCAAATTTGATCATTAATTTCAAAAATCCTAAGAAGCTAGTGAAACAGTCCATTAAGTCGAACACATCATCAGAATGATAATGCGTCAAGAAATACAGATAATGGCAAAATAGAACCATTAATATTGTAACAGTCCAAAATATTCTGCAGAACATAAGGCATGATATATTTGGCCAGATACCAAATAAGATAAGCGCAAATTTTGTCGTACGATTAATAGTGCTTTTATACGTAATTTTATACGTCATAATTTTATGTCTTTCGTTACTTTCGTCCGAGTATCAAGTATATGTAATAATGTAACAAATAAGTACACCAAGCTATATGAATACACTAATAGAAAAAAAAAAGAAATATAAGAAATTTCACGTAAATGTCGAATTGCAGTCCGACGTAGTATCACGAAATATTCACGTGAAGACTGGGAGATTGTGAAGGGTCAGCAAATGAATTCATCTCTGGACGTATGATCAATAGAAGCTACTCATTAAATATTTTTATCGTACGATAAAGTTTCAGCGTGCGTTGAAAACGCGATTGCCGATTTTGCGGATAAAAAGGAAATCGAGGAATCGTTCTTCCGTACTGTATACAATTTCCATTAAAAATTTACGATCTTGGAGGATGGAAATCAACGATAACTTATAGTCTATCGGAAATCATGCGTAATGTTCTGAATAAAAACGAAAAAGTTTTTTCAAGAATAGTATCTAAGGGAGTATCTAAGGGAGAGTCGCCCAAGAATTCGTGAAAATCGAGAATACATTATATCGTGGTAATCTTTTTCAAAAATGTATACTATATAAATACAATATATTATTACATAAATTGTCTTATTGCTAATTAAAATTTTTTCTTACATTATATATATATATATATATATATTCGTATATATATACATACATATATATACATATACATATGTATAAAACAATACATTTAAACAATTAAAATACGGTTGTGAAAATATATTTTAAATACACATACATACAAATTATGTAATGAACGAACAAATAAATAAATATAAATTTAGACAAAATATATATAGATATGATAATATAAATGTTATCATCTAAATAATATATACAAGGTGTTTCTAAAACTATGTCGGAGAATTTAAGGGCGTATTTTAGGGATTAAAATAAGAAAAAGAGCTCATATAAACATGAGTCCAAAAATGTTCCTCCGAGTTATAGCACCTAAAGTTGAGAGAAAAAATCGAAAAATGTATTGTAACTCTCGGAGACTTTTTCATAGAACGTTAAAGTTTTGCACAACGTAATAATTAATAATGAGCTTCATTTTAATGTGATTTTGACAATTTTTTCCCTCAATTTTAGAGGGCTATAACTCGGAAGAAAAGCATTTTTGGACCCATATTTATATGAACTTTTTCTTATTTTAACTCCTAGAATACGCCCTTAAAATCTCCGACATAGTTTTAGAAACATCCTGTATATAGATATTACATAAATGCAGAGATTACACATTTTGATTTCGTAAAATATATAAAAAATCTTACACTTGCAAAGCATCGTAACGAAAGATCCGTCATTTTTCCAACTGTAAGTATTAATTGTTTCTGCGCTCTCAATATTATGAATAACAGAATACGGTTGTATTCAGGTTCTAATTCGTACCAAACGATATTGTACACTGCTAATCCTATTGCCTTGCTCTGATGAAAATAATGTAAAGATCTTTCATATATATATTTCAATTTTTTAAATTTTATCATATTCTTCGTGTGACAATCACAGGAATCCTTCATCAAGATCGTCATAATTATCACTAATCTTATTATTCAGATATTCCCCAGCATAGCAGAATATGAATGCTTTGATATTTGTCACACTGTAGTAGGAAATTGCTTTCACTATCTTTTCTGTCGCGTTGGGACTGCTGAATGCCTGTAATATCGAAACACATCATACAACAAACGATTCAATGTACAGTAGTGCCTATCGTCGCACTGACACATATACATAGAAAAATCAATACAGCAAACATGCGATGCAAATATGATGCCAAACGCAATTAATCATATGACAATTAATTTTGCGGAAATGAATAATTTTATTTTAATTTATAATTTTTATCATATAACATCTGTTTTATTTTATTCACTGTTATAATTATAAATCCTATTAGACAAATCATCACCGTGTTCGTTACAAATTGTATAAACGCAATGAATGTATATAGACTTTCAATGTTTTTTGTGAAGTAAATAATTTTCTGGTGTTTTCTAATAATTTTCTTTATCATAATAACAATAGATTTGCATTTGTTCTCCTTGGGTATCAGTTTCGCCAACCAGCAGTGAAGAATATTTATCTGAGCACCTATGTGTAGGATCTAAAAAAAAAGAATTATTGCTCACAAAATGAAGATTCGTATTCAAATAACAAGTTGAAAAAAATAACATCTATTAGTAATAACTTTTTATACATGCAGAATCGACATTTATAATCTGTTTGTGAATTAGTTATAAGTTATCTCTACTGATTTCCATTTATTTTTATTAGAATTATTATAATCTGAGTATGTTTACATTTAAGCATTTATTAATTGCAAATATTTTTGTGTACATCTCATCAAGGTTAACAGAGTAAAGCATTTAGTATGCCCATTCCCCAACTACACATGAGAAGGTGGATTAATTCCACTGTTAACACAACTTTATACGTGCCTTGGGTATTTATGCTGAAAGGAAATTCTATTTTGTAAATATGGGACAGTTTGATCGTACGATCAGTAACATTGACTTTGGCCAGAATGAGATCGCCATATAGCAGTACAGCAATTGTGTGAATAGTAATGATTGCATTAGCAATGCGATTCGAAATTTTCGCTTTATTTATTACCTCTCAATATCATTCTTGGCGCAATCGTTTCAATCTTCCGCCATCATCGTTAAAATTTCGTGGAATATTTTATGCACATATGTTGCAACTTTAATGTATATTGTATAAAATAATTTGAATATACTATTTAAAAGTCTTAGTTTGTTAATTTTGTTTCAAAAATAGCGCAGCAATAAATGCGAAAAAAAAGGAGAGCATATGAAAAATATTATCAAGTGAAATATGTAATTTTTAAATTTAATGACACACAATGGAATAGCAACTTATAGTTCATCGAAAATCATGCGCAATGATTTGAAGAAAAACAAAGTAATCTTTTCAAGAGTCCATGTCTAGAAGAAAGGGAGAGAGCCCAGGATTAAAGCATATTATATCGTGATAATCTTTTTCGGAGGTGTGTATTATAGATGTAATATTACGAATGTTATCTTATTATTAATTAAAATTTTTTTTATTTACACTTTCTTGAAGTATATATTCGAGGTATGCTGTGGTACTATGTATATGCACTATTTCTAATTATTTCTAATAATTTATATATTGAATTTATATAAAGCATATAAATTCTTCAAAATTGGCAAGATGGATGTGGTATTTATTGCATCGCCAATAGCACCGACAAATATGATCCTGCAGAATTCATAATCTATAACAAAATGTATATCAAAGAATTTAATATATTTATGAATTTTATATACCACCATTAATATACACACACACATATATATATATATATATATATATATATATAAGACAATATATTTAAAGAACTAAGACATTGCTATGAGGAAGCATCTTAAATATATATACATACACATATTATATAATGAAAAAATAAAATAAATAAGTAAATGTAAATTTAAATATATATATATATATATATATATATATATATTGTAATAAATGTTATCATAAATGATATGTATATAATGCAACGATTACATGCAACGATTTTGATTTTGTTGGTAATATGTGAATCTTACGCTTGCGAAGCATTGTAACGAGAGATCTGTCATTTTCCCAACTGTAAGTGTCAATTGTTTTTGTGCTCTTAATATTATGAATAAAAGAATACGATTGTATTCAGGCTCCAATTCGTACCATGAAATATTATATGCAGCTAATCCTATCGCTTTGCTCTAATAAAAATATATTATAGAGATCTTACATATATATCTTACGTATATATATTACAGATTTCTCGAATTTTATCGTAATATTCATATGACAATCAAAATTATTCATTAAGATCATTATAATTATTGTCAACCTTATTAATTAAATATTCTCCAGCATAGCAAAATATGAATGCTTCCATATTTGTCACGCTGTAGTATGAAATGGCTTTCACTATCTTTTTTGTCGCGTTAGGGTCACCGAGTGCCTATAATATCGAAATATGTCATACGACAAAAGACTGTACAAGTAGATGTTTCTGTCGATGCAATAAAATATATGAAAGATAAGGTAAACAACGTTGCAAACACAATGCTCAACGCGATTCATGTGACAATTAATTTTGTAGAATAAATAATTATTTCTACTTATAATATTTAATCTTATAATATTCGTTTCATTTTACTCACTGTTATAATTAAAAATCCTATTAAGCAAATCATCATCGTGTTTGATACAAATTGTATGAACGCAATGAATGTATATAGACTTTCAATGTTTTTCGTGAAGTAAATGATTTTCTGATGTTTCCGAATAATTCTCTTCATCATGATGGCGATAGATTTATTCTCTTTAGATATCAATTCCGTTAACCAATAACGCAGAATATTTATTTGGCCACCTACGTGTAAGATCTACAAAGAAAAAGGATTATCGCACATAAAAAGAAAACTCGTATTCAAATAACGAGTTGAAAAAAATAATATAACAACTATTAGTAATAATTTTTTTTATACGCACAAAAGCGATACTTTCAATGTCTGTATGTTAATTATAAGATATCTCTACTGATTTTTTTTATTCTCTACATTTCCTTTTATTTTTATTGTAATCATTATAATGTGAATATGTGTATGCGTTTATTAATTGCATATTTTTTTGTGTAACTCACCAAGGTTAGCAATAAAGCATTTAATGTACCCATGCCCCAACTACACACAAGGAGATGTATTAATTCTACGATTAATACGACTTTATACGTGCGTTGCGTGTTTATGCTGAAAGGAACTTCTATTTTATAAATGTGGGGTAGATTGATCGTACGATCGGTAACATCGACTTTGGCCAGAATAAGGTCACCATATAACAGTACAGCAACTGTATGAATAATCATGATCACGTTGGTAATACGATTCGATGTCTTTGCTTTATTTATTGCCTCATGCATCTCGATATCATTTTTAGTGCAATCGTTCCAATCTTCCGCCATCATCGTCAAAATTTCGTGGAATATTCTATGTATGATTGCACATACATTGCAAATTTAATGATCATCGTACACTTAAAAATCTTTGTTATTTACTTTGTCTCAAAATTGAGCGCATCAATAAATGTAAGAAAGAAAGAGAGCATATGAAAAATGTTGCAATAAGTGGAATATATAACTCCTTTTTTTTAATTTAATGAACATTAATTTATTTATGCATAATTCAATGAGATAATTTACATTTCAATGAAATACAAACCAATTTTTAAAATAAAATAACGAAATTATTGTCAGATACAAAATAATATACTTATTATACTTTTTCATATCGTCTCTTTTATTAACTCTATATCGAAACTCACCGCTGATTCAACCAAAAGAAAATGATCTTGATCATTAATTTAAGAAATCCTAAGAAGTTACTGAAACAGTCCATCAAATCGAACACATCGTCAGAATGGAGATGTGCCAACAAATATGGATAATGGCAAAATAGAACGATTGCTATTGTGACGGTCCAAAATATTCTGGAGAATATAACGTACGATACATCTGGCCAGATACCGAACAAAATGAGCATAAATTTTGTCATACGATTAATTGTGCTTTTACGCGTCATAATTTATTATTATTATATTTTTTCGTCGCTCTCGCACGTATACATTAAGTATATATGTAGCGTTTGTGTATAGAGTATACACCAAGGTATATATAACTACACTAGACAAACACGTGGAAAGAAAAAGAGAAATATTATTTCGTCTAAATATTTGCCGAATGACAGTTCGGCGTAATATCACGTAATATTTGCGTGAAGACTGAGGTCAGCAAACGAATGCATCCCTGGACGGACGATCGTAGCAGCTGCTCATTAAATATTTTTATTGTACAGTGAATTTGCAGCGCGTATTGTAAGCGCGATTGCCTATTTTGCGGATGGAAAAGAAATCGAGGGGCCGTTTTTCCCCCGTACCGTACACAATTTCTATTAAAAATGTACAACCTCGCAATATAGAGATCGACAGCTTATAGTTCAATGAAAATCATGCGCAATGATCTGAAGAAAAACGAAGTCTTTTCAAGAGTCGCGTTGAGAAGGAAGGAAGTGCCGTCCGAGAATTCGTGAAAATCGAAAATTATGGATCATATTATAGTAATTTTTTCCAAAGATGTTTATTATAGGTAAATTATCTTATTACTAATTAAAATTTTTTTGGCTTGCACTTTTTTTGGAGTATACATTTGGGATATGCTGTATTACTATGTATATGCACTTGCATTTCTAATTATTTCTAATGATTTACATATTAGATTTATATATATATATATATATATATATATATATATATATATATAATCTATCAAAATTGGCGAGATGAATATTGTATTTATTGCATCGCTAATAACACTGACAAATATGATCCTGCAGAATTCATGATCTATAACAACATATGCATTAAGGAATTTAGTACACTTGTGAATTTTATATATCATTAATATATATATATATATATATATATATATATATGTGTGTATTATATAAATATATATACATATATGTATATATAAAACATTATTTAAAAATTGTTTTCGTGAGGACATATTTTAAACACATATACTATATATACATAAAATGTAGATTAAAGTAAATATAAGTTTAGGAAATATATATTGTGATAAATGTAATGTCATATAAATTATATATACAGATATATGTATATAATGCTGGGATTGCATGCAAGGATTTTGATTATAATATGTTGGAATCTTACGCTTGCGAAGCACTGCAATGAGAGATCTGTCATTTTTCCAACTGTAAGTGTCAATTGCTTCTGTGCTCTTATTATTACGAATAATAGAAGACGATTGTATTCAGGTTCCAATTCATACCAGGCGATATTATATGCAGCTAATCCTATTGCCTTGCTCTGATAAAAATATATCGAAATCTTATATATATGTATATTATATATATATTATATATTATATATATTAAAATTTTCTTGAATTTGATCGTAATGTTTATGCAATCATGTTTATGATAATCATAAAATCATCCACTAAGATAATTTTAATTATTGCTCACCTTGTTAATCAAATATTCTCCAGCATAGCAGAATATGAACGCTTCGATATTTGTCACGCTGTAGTATGAAATGGCTTTCAGTATCTTTTTTGTCGCGTTAGGATGACCGAGTGCCTATAATATTGAAATTGTGTTACGATAAAAGACTGAACGTATAAGTAGTTTCTATCGAACGCAATGAGACATACATAGGAGAATCAATAAGATAAGCATCTACCAAAAAGTGCACAACGTGATTAATGATATAACAATTAATTTTGTAGAAATAAATAATGTTATTTCTACTTATATATAATCTTTAATATATACCTCTATTCTATTTTACTCACTGTTATAATAACAAATCCTATTATGCATATCATTATCGTATTTGATACAAATTGCATAAACGCAATGAATGTATACAGACTGTCAATATTTTTTGCGAAGTAAATGATTTTCTGATGTTTCCGAATAATTTTCTTCATCATAATGGCGATAGATTTACGTTTATTCTCTTTGGATATCAACTTTGTTAACCAGCAATGGAGAATATTTATCTGACCACCTACGTGTAGGACCTAAAAAGAAAAGAAATTTTTATTTATAAAATGAAGACTTGTATGGAAGTAACGAATTGAAAAAATAATGTAACATTTATTAGTGGCAATGTTTCTTTAAACGCGCAGAATTGGTATTTGTAATGTCTGTGTATTAGTTAGAAATTATCTATTAATTTCCATTTACTTTTATTAGAATTATTATAATGTTAATTAAATTAGAATTATTATGAACATGTGTATGTGTGCGTTTATTAGTTGCAAATTTTTTTTTGTGTCACCTACCAATATTAGGAGTAAAGCGTTTAGAATACCCGTGCCACAACTACACATGACGACATGTATTAATTCCACGATTAACACAATTTTATACGTGCGTTGCGTGTTTATATTGAAAGGAACTTCTATTTTATAAATATGGGGTAATTTGATCGTACGATTGGTGACATCGATTTTGGCCAGTATAATATCGCCGTATAAGAGCACAGTAACTATATGAAGAATTATGACCGCATTAGCAATAAGATTGGATGTCTTCGCTTTATTTACCGCTTCGTGTATCTCGATATCACTCTTAGAGCAATCGTTCCAATCTTTCGTCATCATCATTAAAATTTCGTAGAATATTCTATGCACATATGATATATGTTGTAAATTTAATGACTATCATATAATTAGAAATCTTAATTTATTAACTTTTTCTCACAATTGAGCGCAACAATAAATGCGAAAAAAGGAGCATATAAAAAATATTTCTTATTGGAACATGTAACTTTCAAATTTTGATGAACGTTACGAATTCATTATACATAATTTAAGCAGATAGTTTACGTTTTAATAAAATATAAATCAAAATATATAGGAAGTAAAATAATGAAATTATTGTCACATATAGAATATTATACTTATTATAATATACTTTTGTATACTTTTTTGTTTATTTTATTGTATTTCAAATTACTCACCGCTGATTGAACCAAAAGAAAGTAATCTTGGTCATAAATTTAAAAAATCCTAAGAAGTTACTGAAACACTCCAACAAGTCGAACACGTCGTCAGAATGATAATATGTTAAGAAATATAGATAATGGCAAAATAGAACGATTAGTATTGTGACGCTCCAAAATATTCTGCAGAACATAACGTATGATATATTTATATTTGGCCAGATACCAAACAAAGTGAGCACAAATTTTGTCGTACGATTAATAGTGCTTTTACGCATTATAATTTTGTGTATCTCGTTGCTCTCGTCCATGTATATCAAGTATATGTCTACAAACGTACAAAGTATATGTCTACACTAAATATATATGAATACACTAGAAAAAATATACGGAAAAGAAAAAGAGAAATATTATGTCGGAAAAGAAAAAGATAAATATTATTTCGTCTAAATGTATTTGTCAAATGATAGCGCGATGTAGTATCACGAAATATTCGCGTAAGACTGGCAGAATATGAGTGGTCAGCAAAATAAATGCATCCATGAGCGACTAGTAGGAGTTGCTCATTAAATATTTTTATCGTATCGCGTGCGTACTACAAACGCATCTGTTGTTTTTCGATAATTGAAGGGAAAAAAAATGAAATATATTTTCCTTTCCTTTTCATTTGTCAGTGTCGTGATCACAAATTGCTCTTGTCTTAAATATGCAATGATTTATGCAAGATATAGGCAAGACTATGTATGTCCATTGGTGAATCACATCTCGGAAAAGTTTTCAAATCTAATGGATGAAGAGACTTCGAGGAGAGAATTTAAAATTAAATTACCAAACATATGTGTGCACGTAATATTCGTTTCTGCATGTAATATTCGAATTACATACTATTTTTTTGTAATATTCATTTCTATGTTATAGCAATATTTAGCAAAAAATCAATAACTGGATATTGGAGATTGATAAAAGCAAAGACAAGCTGTTTATTATAAAATGAAGCTAACGTATTGCGCAACATATTGTAGGACATGATTTAATAAAGTATCAATATTGGAGAGATATTTATTCGATAAATATTAATCTTTTTTCGACTTTATTTTTTTTATCTAATTTTACTAGGTGTACATTATATTTAAATTTGGGATCATATAATTTAGAATGTCCACTTGCTCTTAAATTACTTTCCGTTATTTAAATTATTTTTACTTTAGTGGATATATTGAGAAAAATAGCTTGTGTATGTTATGTTACATATTTTTCTACTTAACGTTTTACATTTTTTTCGTGCTTTATTACAAGTACGATGAATTGGATATGATCTTTTTATTGCATTGCCAACATTACCGATAAATATGATCCCGAAGCATTCATGATCTATAACAATATTATATTTTTTATTATAAAAGAATATAAACATACTTTTTCTAGTTATAAATGTTTATAAAAAAATGAATATAAAAATTTATAATCATATATACATATATATATAATTATAAAGAATATATAATTATTAAGAAAGCAGTATTTAAAGTGTGCACTTATTGATATTACATATAATTAACTATATAAAATAAAAAAATATATATTATAAAAAAATAAAGTTTTGTAAATACATTCTAGAAAAATATTTCATGCACATTATATGCAATTCTTGTGCAAAATTATCTCATGCCATATGCATTCTTACACTTGCAAAATATTCTAAAGAGAGATTCGTCAACTTTCCAACAGTAAGCGTTAGTTGCTTTTGCGATCTTAATATTATAAATAATAAAATACGAGTCTGTTGAGGCTTTAAATTGTACCATGCGGAATTGTATGCTGCGATTCCGATCGCTTTACTCTATCAAAAATAATGAAAATATTTTTACTAGTTTATTTTGTTATGTATACTATCATACTATATCACATTTTTAATAATATATTTTTACACTGTTTTTTATTAATATAATTAGTCTAATAATATTCATTATTAATACTTTATTGTTGTTATAAATATCCCCTTTATAATCGCTAACCTTGTTATTCAGATATTCTCCAGCAAAGCAGAATATAAAGGCTTCGAGATTCGTTATAGCGTAAAATAAGAGAGATCTTATTATCTTTTCTGTCGCGTCGGGCGTACCAATCGCCTGTAATATCAAAATGATACGCGAGAGGATTTTTAGTTTGCTTGCATAAAATTGTAAATAATTGATATATTTCGTCTATGTTGTAAAATGTAACGAAATCAATTAAATTAATAATTAGAACAAAAATAACAGCAATTTTCTGAATAATATTTTAATTTCAATTCTTTACTCACGCTTACGATGAGAAATGCCAGGGAGCAAATCATTATCGTATTCGATGCGAACTGTAATAGCGCGATATACGTGTATAGATTCTCGACCTTCTCCGAGAAGTTAATGATTCTTTGATGCTTTTCGATGATTTGATTTGTAGTGAATATAGTCCGTTTTTTTACGCTCTCATTTGATGTGAAATCCATCAACCAGCTACGCAATATATTCATTTGACCACCTATATGTAAGATCTGTAAATAAGAAATCTCTGTATGTATTTTAAAATCATTACAATTCGCGAACGCTCTATATTCTAGCATTAAACAGAAATTATGTAGTATGAGGCGTAAAAGAATCCTCAAAAGATTTACTTGCTATCATGAGAATTATATATATATCGTTTGCAATATAATGTTCATGTAACGCACCAAAGTTAAGAGCAAAGCATTTACAGCACCGGCAGCCCAACTGCACATGATAACATACACGAATTGCGCAATTACGATCATTTTATATACTCTTTGCGTGTTTACATCGAAGGGGAATTCCATTTTATGGATGTAGGGTGGCTGGGACGTGCGATCGGTGATATCGACATTGGCCAGGATGACGCGTGTGCCGTACGCAACGACGCTTAACGTGTGCAAAAGGAGCATTGCGTTAGTGATACGCTCACACAATTTCGCTTTACATATTGTCTCTTGCATGCCAATCTCACTGTTGACGTAATCGTGCCAGTCTTTCGTCATCATTGCCAATATCTTGATGAATTCTCTGTGTGAATGATTGCATTTATCAATTATATCGATCATAAAAAAATCATTTCAAGTCCTTAAAAAGCTCCAAATATTATGGAGTAATAAGAAACTCTTACAAATATTGAAATTATAAAATTATAAAATATTTCAACATCAAAAATATTAAAATTTTAATATTTTTATAATTTTAACTCCTTTTAATTCTTCTAATTTTTCTTTTGTAAAATTAAGCAACAACATGTGACATGTATATATTGTAAAATTATTAAACATAATCCTATATTTTAACATATAATTTAATAGGTGACACAATGCAATTAATCGAATCAACAAATAAATTGTAGATTTTGATAATTGCGAACAAACATCATATTTAAATATAACTTAATATATAAAAGATTAATATTGTAAAAGATATTTATACATCGATCGTACTTACCGCTGATTCAACCAAAATGCAATAAACTTGGTCATCACTTTTGTATACGCTAGAAAGCTACTTAAACAGTCCATTAAATTGAAAAGATCGTCGGAATAGAAATGCGTTAGAAGATATTGGTAATGATAGAATTGAACAATTATTATCGAAATAATCCAAAATATTCTGCAAAGTAGAATGCACGAAGTACCTGGCCATATTCCGAACAAAGTAAACAAAACTTCTATTGTGCGATTAATCGAACTATTGCGAATCATAATTATTTTCTAATTCCCCTCTTTTTAAACGAGCGAATGCATAAGAAGTATATAAATGCAACAAATGCTATAGTAAAATAAAGAAAATATACTTCTACCAAACGTATATCTTAACGACAAATTGAGAGATATGTGTCACAGAATTGCCACGTAAAGACTGAATGATGCCGAGAGATCATTATACGAATATATGGATTGTGTCGACCAGTGAAGTTCTTCATTAAATATTTTTATCATATTGCATACAGATCCTCCCACATAGAGTACATTTATCGTAAGTTTTGAAAATTTTAATAAATATAAAGGAACAGATGTGTGTATCACGTGTATGTAGCAGAAAGGAGGGAGAGAATTATTTCGCTTTTCTTCGATATCTGGAAATTGCTCGCTTTAAATACGTAATGATCAGCCACAGAAATACAATGGATATATTCGATTACAAGTTGCACTCAGAGGCGAATATTTGAAAACATTTTGAAGCTTTGAGAGCGAAGAAAAAAAATGGAAAAACAAGTCATGCAATCTCTTATTTATGTATCCTTCTGTGCATATGTAATATGTTCTTATATTGCTAATTCGATCTGAAAAAAGATGCATGATTTTTCTCTTTGTAAGAAACTGTGGGAATTGAGATGGACTTGTATTACAACTGTTTAATTCGCTATAGTTTTACATGTTATTGTGAATTACTTCTTTCTTTCAGAGAAAATATATATTTAAAAAAATAAGTGCAATACATTACGTGTATGTGATAGCGTAACTGCTGAGTACATATTTACATATCACTTTGTATATGTGCTTCACCACTATTGATTATAAACTTCTGAAGTGAATACGATGTTCATTGCATCGCCAACATTACTGACAGGTAGGATCCTGAAGCGTTCATGATCTATAATAATATTAGAAGATAATTGTATTAAAAATTAATATTTTTATAGATAGAAAATTTTAGCAAAAAAGCACATATATAAAATATTGTAAAAAAAAAAAGTACAAAATTTGATATAAACAATTTCATTTAATTATATATAAATTAATATGAGCTATAGAATTGTTGACACAAAAATTATTGATTTCGATAAAATCTTACGCTTGAAAAAGATTTTAAGGAGAGATCCATTATCTTGCCAGCTGTGAGTGTCAATTCTTTCTGCGATCTTAATATTATAAATAACAATATACGAATATCTTTAGGTTTTAAATTGTACCATGGACAATTATATGTTGCAAATTCGATGGCTCTGCTCTTCCAAAGTGAAAATAATAGATATATATTTCTAACATTATATTTTTTATCTTACATTTTAAAAAAAAAATATATAAAGTTATATAGACTTATATAGAAATATATAAAATTATATAGAATGTTAATTGTACGTTTTATTAAAATAATTATCTCGTAGAAACCTTATTGCTTAGATATTCTCCAGCGTAGCAAAATATAAAGGCTTCGAGATTTGTAGTCCAGAAAAATAAAATAGATTTTAAAATCTGTTCTGTAGCATCAGGAGTGCCAATAGCCTGAAATAATTAGGAAGATATGTAATAATAATGTGTTCATATTATTTGCATAATTTAAATATCATTGCATATGATTTGCATTTAAAAAGCCGAAAAACAATTTTTATGAAAAATAATTTTTTGTTTGTATTATTCGACTAATATATTCACGGTTACGATGAGAAAAGCTATCGAACACATTAATATTGTATTCGATGCAAATAGCAACAGCGCGATGTATGTATATAAAATCTCAATATTTTCTGAAAATTGTATAATTTTGTTATGCTTTCGAATAATTTTATTTGTCGAGGTGACAATTGATTCTTCTTTATTTCCAATCTTTTTGGGCACAAGCTGTGATAACCAGCTTTGTAGAATCTCCACTTGACCTCCCATATGCAAAACCTGAAAATAAAGATTCACGAATTTTAATATTGATTAATTTTTATCTGCAAAACATCTTTTTAATCATGTATAAAAATGATTAGGTTTGAATATAATTTGTTTTGCGAATTATATTCATGCAATTACATTATAATACGTACAAATACGTAAAAACAAATATATTATTACTTTCCGAATTGTGTTTACATTAGTATATAAACAATTTGAATATATTATTCTTATTATGTTTTAAAACATTTTAATATTTTATATATTATTACTATTATATTATAATTACATATTATAATTATATATTATAATTATATATTATTTTTCGTAGCTATTCACGGTTGCAACTTACCAAAGTTAAAAGTATGGCATTTACAATCCCTAATAACCAGTTAGAAAAGATCATATGCACGAATTCCGCGATTAATATTAGTCTATATGTATTCTGGATGTTAATGTTGAAAGGGAGTGTCAACTTGTTGACGAAAGGCAATTCAATCGTTTGATCGGTAACATCGGCATCAGCTATGATGACTCCAAGACAATAAACGAAAATAGACATCGTATGAAGAATAAGTATTGCGTTAGTGATACGATCCGATAATTTTGCCTTATGCATCGTCACCCGCATGCCAATGTCACTCTTAGCACAATCGCTCCAGTCGTCCATGATTAACGTCAAAGTTTCCACGAGTTTTCTGTGGATGATTTGGTTCCTCGATCATGTTGCCGGAGTCAAATAAAAACCGTAGATAGTTGTATCTCTAGAAATGTTGCCTCTGACTGAGAATCTGATAGAGAATAGCGTTGACGCTGTTTTCTCTTGAACAAAATTTTATCATGCATATTTCTGTACTTTTCTATCGTTTTCTTTTTCAAAGCGAAATAACAGTATAAAACAATATGTAAAAGAATATTTACAAAGAAAGATAGATTTATCCAACTTTTGTAAATGTGATTTTGATTTGATTTTGGTTTGATATAAGTTTTTTATAGTATAATGAAATCCGACAACAAAGGGATAGCAATAAAAATTATTTATAATTATTAATTTTTACGAATTGTTTATAAAACGTCACGTAATGTATCGTTTTACTTACCGCTGATTTACCCAAAACGCAACGAGTTTAATGAGCACTTTGGCGTGCGCCAAAAAGCTACACAAGCAATCCACCAAGTTGAAAAAATTCTGGATATTCAAGTGCGTTGAAAAATAAAGATAATGACAAAATTCGATGAATGCTATTGTAATGACCCAAAACACTCTGATAATTAAAATCATCGATCTGCCTGGCCAGATACCGTACAAAGGTAGCAGAAGCATTACTATGCGATTAATCGTACTTTTACGAGTCATAATCTTATATTTCTCCCTGCACTCGCTTCTATTCCTCTTAAGGAAATATATAACAAAGTTACAATACTCTTGAGAAAATGGAAGGAAACTACACTGTCGCCGCGAGTTATTTCACGATGACAGCGCAGAGTATATCATTGAATATCTGCGTGAAGACTGCCCCTAAAAAGCCATCAAACAGGTGTTCCCTCAGTCAATCGATTAAGGGGAACATTTGCTCATGAAATATTTTTATCATGCATGCAGGGATACAACTGTTGTGTTCCCTTGCAACTTTGAGGAAAAAAGAAATACATAAGAGATAATTTTGTGTCCACTTAGAATGTGCTTACAATATATTCTGTAATATGCACGTGAAGCACATATGTTAAATATGTAATGAATTGTACAAAGAAAAATTGTATATTATTTCTCATACGAGAAGGTATCTAATTCTTTCCCATCATGTCTAGTTCCTTCCGTAAAAATTGCGCATCGATAAAAGAACATTAATGTTACGTAAAAATAAGAACGGTTGTGCCAATGCGTTAGTAATATATATCATTGATTTTGTGCTTCTTATTACACGTGTTAATTTGCACAATGTGGAAAATAAATTACCATTCACCACTGCGTGTAAATTACACAGAATACTTTTGCTGTAAATGTTGAAAATTTTAATAAATAGAAAGGAACAAATGTATCCATGTGTATATGCAATGATTCATGCAGCTAGAGATACGAAGGATACGTATATTCGATTGTAAGTCGCGTTCAGTGAACTTTGAAAACATTTTGAAATAAAGAACGAAGAAAAAGAATGGAAAAGCAAGTCGTACAATATCTCTTACCTATGTATATATCTTCTTATATGTATATGTATATGTAACGTTCTTTTATCGCTAATTCGACTTGAGAAAAAATTCACGGTTTTTCTTTCGCTAAGAAATTGTAAAATTTGAGATGGTATGTTTTGTATTACGATTTAATTCGCTACAGTTTTATACGTTATTTTGTGAAGTATATTTTTTTTTCTTAAAGAAGAAAAATAAGTACGTGTTATACATACGTATTGGCATAATAACTAGTGAACACATATTTACATATCATTCTGTATATTCACGACTATTGATTATAAACTCCTGAGGTGAATACGATGTTTATTGCATCGCCAACATTACTGATAGATAGGATCCTGAAGTGTTCATGATCTATAATAATATTAGAAGATAATTGTATTAAAAATTAATATTTTTATAGATAAAATATTTTAGCAAAAAAGCACATATACAAAATATTGAAAAAAAATAAGTACGAAATTTGATATAAACAATTTCATTTAATTATATATAAATAAATATGAGCTATAGAATTGTTGACACAAAAATTATTGATTCCGATAAAATCTTACGCTTGTAAAAGATTTTAAGGAGAGATCCATTATCTTGCCAGCTGTGAGTGTCAATTCTTTCTGGGATCTTAATATTATAAATAACAATATACGAATATCTTTAGATTTTAAATTGTACCACGGACAATTATATGTTGCAAATTCGATGGCTCTGCTCTTCCAAAGTGAAAATAATAGACATATATTTCTAACATTATATTTTTTATCTTACATTTTAACCAAAAAATATATAAAATTATATGGAATTATATAGAAATATATAAAATTATATAGAATATTAATTGTACGTTTTATTAAAATAATTATCTCGTAGAAACCTTATTGCTTAGATATTCTCCAGCGTAGCAAAATATAAAGGCTTCGAGATTTGTATTCCAGAAAAATAAAATAGATTTTAAAATCTGTTCTGTAGCATCAGGAGTGCCAATAGCCTGAAATAATTAGGAAGATATGTAATAATAATGTGTTCATATTATTTGCATAATTTAAATATCATTGCATATGATTTGAATTTAAAAAGCCGAAATACAATTTTTATAAAAAATAAATTTTTTGTTTGTATTATTCGACTAATATATTTACGGTTACAATGAGAAAAGCTATCGAACACATTAATATTGTATTCGATGCAAATAGCAACAGCGCGATGTATGTATATAAAATCTCAATATTTTCTGAAAATTGTATAATTCTGTTATGCTTTCGAATAATTTTATTTGTCAAGGTGACAATTGATTCTTTCTTATTTCCAATCTTTTTGGGTACAAGCTGTGATAACCAGCTTTGTAGAATCTCCACTTGACCTCCCATATGCAAAACCTGAAAATAAAGATTCACGAATTTTAATATCGAATAATTTTTATCTGCAAAACATCTTTTTAATCATGTATAAAAATGATTAGGTTTGAATATAATTTGTTTTGCGAATTATATTCATGCAATTACATTATAATACGTACAAATACGTAAAAACAAATATATTATTACTTTCCGAATTGTGTTTATATTAGTATATAGACAATTTGAATATATTATTCTTATTATGTTTTAAAAAATTTTAATTATATATTATTACTATTATAATTATATATTATTTTTCGTAGCTATTTACGATTGCAACTTACCAAAGTTAAAAGTATGGCATTTACAATACCTAATAAGCAGCTACAAAAGATCATATGCACGAACTCCGCGATTAATATAAGTCTATATGTATTCTGGATGTTAATGTTAAAAGGAAGTGTTAACTTGCTGGCGAAAGGCAATTCAATCGTTTGATCGGTAACATCAGCATCAACTATGATGACTCGAAGACAATAACTAACAATAGACATCGTATGAAGAATAAGTATTGCGTTAGTGATACGATCCGATAATTTTGCCTTATGCATCGTCACCCGCATGCCAATATCACTCTTAGCACAATCGCTCCAGTCGTCCATGATTAACGTCAAAGTTTCCACGAGTTTTCTGTGGATGATTTGGTTCTTCGATCATGTTGCCGGAGTCAAATAAAAACCGTAGATAGTTGTATCTCTAGAAATGTTGCCTTTGACTGATAGAGAATAGCGTTGACGCCGCTTTCTCTTGAACAAAATTTTATCATGCATATTTCTGTATTTTTCTATCGTTTTCTTTTTCAAAGCGAAATAGCAGTATAAAAGATTATGTAAAAGAATATTTACAAAGGAAGATAGTTTATCCAATTTTTGTAAATGCGATTTTGATTTGATTTTGATTTGATATAACTTTTTCATAGTATAATGAAATCCAACAACAATGGAATAGCAATAAAAATTATTTATAATTTTTCATTTTTATTGTTTATAAAACGTCACGTAATGTATTCATTTTACTTACCGCTGATTTATCCAAAACGCAACGAGTTTAATGAGCACTTTGGCGTACGCCACAAAGCTACACAAGCAATCCACTAAGTTGAAAAAATTCTGGATATTCAAGTGCGTTGAAAAATAAAGATAAAGACAAAATTCGATGAAAACTATCGTAACGACCCAAAACACTCTGATAATTAAAATCATCGATCTGCCTGGCCAGATACCGTACAAAGGTAGCAGAAGCATTACTATGCGATTAATCGTACTTTTACGAGTCATAATCTTATATTTCTCTCTGCACTCGTTTGTATTTCAAGCGCCTAAAGAAATGTATAACAAAGTTACAATACTCTTGAGAAAATGGAAGAAAACTACGCTATCGCCGCGAATTATCTCACGATGACAGCTCAGTGTATATCATTGGCTATCTGCGTAAAGACTGGCCTAAAACGCCATCAAACAGGTGTTCCCTCAGTCAATCGATTAATGGGAATATTTGCTCATGAAATATTTTTATCATGCATGCAGGGATACAACTGTTGTGTTCCCTTGCAACTTTGAGGAAAAAAGAAATATATAAGATATTTTGTGTCCACTTAGAATGTGCTTACAATATATTCTGTAATATGCACGTGAAGCACATATGTTAAATATGTAATGAATTGTACAAAGGGAAATTGTATATATTTCTCACACGAGAAAGTATCTCTAATTCTTTTTTATCATGACTATCTCCTTTCGTAAAAATTGCGCAACGATAAAAGAACAATAATGTTACGTAAAAATAAGAACGTTGTGCCAATGCGTTAGTAATATATCATTGATTTTGTGCTTCTTATTACACGTGTTAATTTGCACAATGTGGAAAATAAATTACCATTTACCACTGCGTGTAAATTACACAGAATACTTTTGCTGTAAATGTTGAAAATTTTAATAAATAGAAGGGGACAAATGTAGCCATGTGTATATGCAATGATTCATGCAGCTAGAGATACGAAGGATACGTATATTCAATTGTAAGACGCGTTCAGTGAACTTTGAAAACATTTTGAAATAAAGAACGAAGAAAAAGAATGGAAAAGCAAGTCGTACAATATCTCTTACCTATGTATATATCTTCTTATATGTATATGTATATGTAACGTTCTCTTATCGCTAATTCGACTTGAGAAAAAATTCACGATTTTTCTTTCGGTAAGAAATTGTAAAATTTGAGGTGGTATGTTTTGTATTACGATTTAATTCGCTACAGTTTTATACGTTACTTTGTGAAGTATATTTTTTTTTCTTAATGAAGAAAAATAAGTACGTGTTATACATACGTATTGGCATAATAACTAGTGAACACATATTTACATATCATCCAGTATATTCACGACTATTGATTATAAACCTGAGGTGAATACGATGTTCATTGCATCGCCAACATTACTGATAGATAGGATCCTGAAGTATTCATGATCTATAATAATATTAGAAGATAATTGTATTAAAAATTAATATTTTTATAGATAGAATATTTTAGCAAAAAAGCACATATACAAAATATTGTAAAAAAAAAATACAAAATTTGATATAAACAATTTCATTCAAGTATATATAAATAAATATGAGCTATAGAATTGTTGACACAAAAATTATTGATTCCGATAAAATCTTACGCTTGTAAAAGATTTTAAGGAGAGATCCATTATCTTGCCAGCTGTGAGTGTCATTTCTTTCTGGGATCTTAATATTATAAATAACAATATACGAATATCTTTAGATTTTAAATTGTACCACGGACAATTATATGTTGCAAATTCGATGGCTCTGCTCTTCCAAAGTGAAAATAATAGATATATATTTCTAACATTATATTTTTTATCTTACATTTTAAACAAAAAATATATAAAATTATATGGAATTATATCGAAATATATAAAATTATATAGAATGTTAATTGTACGTTTTATTAAAATAATTATCTCGTAGAAACCTTATTGCTTAGATATTCTCCAGCGTAGCAAAATATAAAGGCTTCGAGATTTGTATTCCAGAAAAATAAAATAGATTTTAAAATCTGTTCTGTAGCATCAGGAGTGCCAATAGCCTGAAATAATTAGGAAGATATGTAATAATAATGTGTTCGTATTATTTGCATAATTTAAATATCATTGCATATGATTTGCATTTAAAAAGCCGAAAAACAATTTTTATGAAAAATAAATTTTTTGTTTGTATTATTCGACTAATATATTCACGGTTACAATGAGAAAAGCTATCGAACACATTAATATTGTATTCGATGCAAATAGCAACAGCGCGATGTATGTATATAAAATCTCAATATTTTCTGAAAATTGTATAATTCTGTTATGCTTTCGAATAATTTTATTTGTCAAGGTGACAATTGATTCTTCCTTATTTCCAATCTTTTTGGGTACAAGCTGTGATAACCAGCTTTGTAGAATCTCCACTTGACCTCCCATATGCAAAACCTGAAAATAAAGATTCACAAATTTTAATATCGAATAATCTTTATCTGCAAAACATGTTTTTAATCATGTATAAAAATGATTAGGTTTGAATATAATTTGTTTTGCGAATTATATTCATACAATTACATTATCATACATACAAATACGTAAAAACAAAGATATTATTACTTTCGGAATTGTGTTTATATTAGTATATAAACAATTTGAATATATTATTTTTATTATGTTTTAAAAAATTTTAATTATATATTATTACTATTATAATTATATATTATTTTTCGTAGCTATTTATGATTGCAACTTACCAAAGTTAAAAGTATGGCATTTACAATACCTAATAACCAGTTACAAAAGATCATATGCACGAATTCCGCGATTAATATAAGTCTATATGTATTCTGGATGTTAATGTTGAAAGGAAGTGTTAACTTGCTGGCGAAAGGCAATTCAATGGTTTGATCGGTAACATCAGCATCAACTATGATGACTCCAAGACAATAACCAACAATAGACATCGTATGAAGAATAAGTATTGTGTTAGTGATACGATCCGATAATTTTGCCTTATGCATCGTCACCCCAATGTCACTCTTAGCACAATTGCTCCAGTCGTCCATGATTAACGTCAAAGTTTCCACGAGTTTTCTGTGGATGATTTGGTTCTTCGATCATGTTACCGGAGTCAAATAAAAACCGTAGATAGTTGTATCTCTAGAATTGTTGCCTTTGACTGATAGAGAATAGCTTTGACGCCGCTTTCTCTTGAACAAAATTTTATCATGCATATTTCTGTATTTTTCTATCGTTTTCTTTTTCAAAGCGAAATAGCAGTATAAAAGATTATGTAAAAGAATATTTACAAAGAAAGATAGTTTATCCAACTTTTGTAAATGCGATTTTGATTTGATTTTGATTTGATATAATTTTTTCATAGTATAATGAAATCCAACAACAAAGGGATAGCAATAAAAATTATTTATAATTTTTCATTTTTACGAATTGTTTATAAAACGTCACATAATGTATTCATTTTACTTACCGCTGATTTACCCAAAACGCAACGAGTTTAATGAGCACTTTGGCGTACGCCACAAAGCTACACAAGCAATCCACCAAGTTGAAAAAATTCTGGATATTCAAGTGCGTTGAAAAATAAAGATAATGACAAAATTCGATGAATACTATTGTAACGACTCAAAACACTCTGATAATTAAAATCATCGATCTGCCTGGCCAGATACCGTACAAAGGTAGCAGAAGCATTACTATGCGATTAATCGTACTTTTACGAGTCATAATCTTATATTTCTCTCTGCACTCGCTTGTATTTCAAGCGCCTAAAGAAATGTATAACAAAGTTACAATACTCTTGAGAAAATGGAAGAAAACTACGCTGTCGCCGCGAATTATCTCACGATGACAGCTCAGTGTATATCATTGGCTATCTGCGTAAAGACTGGCCCTAAAAGGCCATCAAACAGGTGTTCCCTCAGTCAATCGATCAATGGGAACATCTGCTCATGAAATATTTTTATCATGCGTGCAAGGATACAACTGTTGTGTTCCCTTGCAACTTTGAGGAAAAAAGAAATAGATAAGAGATATTTTGTGTCCACTTAGAGTGCTTACAATATATTCTGTAATATGCACGTGAAGCACATATGTTAAATATGTAATGAATTGTACAAAGGGAAATTGTATATTATTTCTCACACGAGAAAGTATCTCTAATTCTTTTCCATCATGACTAGCTCCTTTCGTAAAAATTGCGCATCGATAAAAGAACAATAATGTTACGTAAAACGAAGGGAAAGAATGTATCCATGTGTGTATATGTAAAGATTCATGCATAGAGATATGATGGATACGTATGTTCGATTGTAAGTCGCGTTCGCTGAGCTTTGAAAATATTTTGAAATAGAGAACGAAGAAAAAGAATAGAAAAGCAAGTCATACAATATATTTTACCTATGTATATATCTTCTTATATGTATATGTAACGTTCTCTTATCGCTAATTCGACTTGAGAAAAAATTCACGATTTTTTGTCGGTAAGAAATTGTAGAATTTGAGATGGTATGTTTTGTATTATAGTTTAATTCGCTATGATTTTATACGTTATTTTGTGAAGTATATCTTTTTTCTTAAAGAAGAAAAATAAGGACGTGTTATACATATGTGTTCGCATAACTAGTGAACACATATTTACACATATTATCCTGTATATGTGTTTCACGACTAAGAACTTTTAGGTGAATTCGATGTTCATTGCATTGCCAATAACATTGACAAGTATGATTCCGAAACATTATCTACAATAATTATTAAACAGTAATTATATATTAAAATTTTTATAGATAAAAATATGAACACAAAGAGCATGCATATAGAAAGTAGCATTAATAAATCAAATACAGCAAATATATATTAATAATAATAGATATATAGATATATAGATAATAGATCTATAGATTTCGTTTTGCATATATAAACAAACGCGAACTATAAAGCCATCGACAATGATTATTGATCTATGCAATTTTACGCTTGCAAAGGATGCAAAGAAGAGATCTATCATCTTGCCAGCTATGAGTATTAATTGTTTCTGCGATCTTAATATTGTAAATTTCAATACATGAATATCTCAAATACACGAAGGTCTCAAATTGTACCATGAACAATTATATTGCAAATTCAATGATTATATCGCGCAAAAATGAAAATAATAGATATATTTCTAATATTTTTTTTTTTGTGTTATATTTTCTTTTTATACAAAATACATAAAATTGTCTAATATAATATTCAATGCTCATTTTATTATTATAACAATTATTTCATAGAAATCTTATTGTCTCGATATTCTCTAGCGTAGCAAAATATACCTGCTTCTAGATTTGTATAAACATTTACTGTATAAACATTTACTACATTTGTAATCTGTTTCGCAGCATCAGGAATGCCAATTGTCTGAAATAATTTAATTGAATAGATTTTTAATAATGATAATGAATGCATATTATTTACATTATTGTTATATATATATATATATATATATATATATATATATATATATATATAGTAATCGCGCAGTTATATTGTATATGAACTTGACAAGATAGATATATTATCAGTTTGTCCAAATTGTTTCTTGTTAGATTATAATTTGGATATATTTTATTCTACATTGCACTTTAAAAAAAGTTTAATTATTTATTTATTATTATTATTACATGCTATTTTTTATCATTATGCACATAGGTTTTGATAAGTTGCAACTTACCAAAGTCAAAAGTATGGCATTTATAATACCGGCTGTCCAATTACAGAGAACCAAGTGCACGAATTCCGCTGTTAATACAAGCTTATACATGCGCTGTTAATACTGAAAGTTTCAATTTGTTGACGAAAGGCGATCGTTTGATCTGTAGACATCTGTGGACAGAACATTGGCATCGGCCATGATGACTCCAAAACAATACGTGATGATAGTCATCGTATAAAGAATGAGTATTTATATTGCATTGTGATACGATTCGATAATTTTCCCTTATGCATTATCACACGCACGTCAATGTCACTGTAAGCGCAATCATCCCAGTTGTCCGTGATTAACGTCAAAGTTTCTACGAATTTTCTGTGGATGATTTGATTGCTCGATCATGCTGCCGGAGCCAAATATAAACCGTATCTTAGAAACATATCGACATTTCTGACTGATAGAGAATAGCGTTGGCGCCGTTTACTCTTGAACAAAATTTTATCATGTATATTTTTGCAGTTTTCTATTATTTTTTTTCCCCAAAACGAAATAGCAAAGAATGGTCAACAATCGGTAAAAGAATTGCAAAGAAAGATAATTTATCTAACTTTCTTGATTGTGATTTTGATCTGTTTTGTATTTATATAATTACTTTATAATATAATTAAATATGTCGACAAATATGTGATTATTATTTTTAATTAATAATCTTTATGAATTATCCACAAACATCTATTTGCTTTACTTACCACTGATTTATTCAGAATGCAACAAGTTTAGTGACTACATTGACATGTGTTAAAAACTGCTCAAGCAATCCATTAAATTGAAAAGATTCTGGGAATTTAAATGCATTGAAAAATAAAAGTAATGACAAAATTCGATAAATGTTAGTGTAACAATCCAAAACTCTGCTGATTAAAATTATTGATTTGCCTGGCCAAATACCGCACAAAGATAACATGAACACCATTATGCTACTAATTATATTTTTACGAGTCATCTTACATTTATCTCTGTATTCGCTTGTATTCTAGGCGTATTAAGCAACGTGTAACAGAATCAGAGCACTTTCAAACGAATAGAAGAAAGCTACTGTTGTTGCGAATGTACTTTCACTCGATGACAGCACATGTATATCATTAGATATCTGCGTGAAAACTGAGCGGTTCCGAAGGTTGTCAAACAGTTACATCCTCGATCAATCGACCAATGAAAGCTGCTCATGAAATATTATTATCATGCGTGTAGATCTCTGATACAACTGTCGTGTTCTCTTATAATTCAAAGAAAAAGAAAGAATAAGAAATATTCTTTGCCCTCCCCCACTCCAAGTGCTCATAATGTATCTCATAATACATGTGAAGCGCGCATATTAAATATTAATAACGTGATTCGTGCAGAGGGAAATGTATATTCTTCCCTACATGAAAAAATATCTCTGAGTTTTCTTTGCGACTAGATTTTTCCGTAAAAATCTTCCCTCAATAAAAGAACAATGATGTAAATATATATATATATATATATATATATATATATATATATGTATGTATATATGAAACTGATAATTTTTTGTATTAAAAAAAATACATACATATAATATAATATAGATGTTATTAACTTAATAATGTTATGTTTCTTTTCTACATATGCATGCGAAAATGTCTGTATTAAAATAATATTAATAAGTATGCATCCACAATGAAGTGTTTAATCGGTTTCTATTTTACTGTTAGCTATGCAAATGTATTTTTTTATAGAAAAAAAAAAATCGTAATATAATGATATTATAGATTAATTTGCTCTGTGCAATCTTCCGAGAATTTTATAAACTGAAAAGAAGAGCGAAAAAATTTTGAAGAAAAACGGTAAAATTTAATTACAAGAGAAAAGTATATTTAGTATAGTAAAAGAAGAGTATAGTTAGTAAAATTATATTATTAATTCAAAAAATCTATGACTCTTATAAGAATATTCTTTATACTACTCTTTATACTATTCATCGGAAATCTACATTATTATACAATTCCGGAGAAAATGTTTTAGATTGACCTCACTTGTGTGTGTATGTATATGTATTTGCAAAAATATGCATATATTATGATGTAAATTTTAACTAATAATTTACGGAATAGTCATTATATTATTGCACGAATTGACATTTATTGCATCGCCAACAACATTGATAAATATGATCCTGAAGCACTCATGATCTGAAATAATTTTGCTTTCTGTATTAAAAATCAATATATCTATAATTATGATATTATATTAGAAATATTATTTTTTATCGAGGTAAAATCGTAAAATATCATAAAAAAACGAGGCAAAATTGTCTACGCATAAACGTTACATTTTTAAAAGATTCCAAGGAAAGATCCATCATCTTTCCAGCTGTAAGCGTCAGTTGCTTTTGCGATCTCAACATAACAAATAGCAAAACACGGCTGTCTTTAGATTTCAAATCGTACCATGTAGAATTATATGCTGCAACACCAATTTCCTTGCTCTATGATAAGATAATAATTTAAAAAATTTTGTTTTATTAATATAATTTATATTTTTTTAATCCATTTTATATAATAAGGCAAAATTATTTTATAAATTATCAATACTTTATTATCAATATTATAATAACTAACCTTATTACTCATATATTCTCCAGCAAAGCAAAATATAAATGCTTCCAAATTTGTTATAGTGTAAAATAAAAGAGATTTCATTATTTGCTCCATCGCATTGGGATTGCCAATTGCCTATAATATTGTACAAAAATGACATGCAAAGAGTTATTGAATACGAACTATACAATATATTGCACGTTATACAATAAATATTAATAAAATTTGCGAGAATATAATATTTAAATTTAATATTTAAATGAATTGAATAATATTTAATTTTTTTTAAACACAATGGACAAAATTTAAAAGAAAATCAATTATATTTTAAATCTCTCAATTAATCGAGTACAATTACAGTAATTCTATATTCAATAATATTACTCACTGTTACAATAAGAAAGCCAAGCGAACAAATCATTACTGTATTTGACACAAATTGTACTAATGCGATATATGTATAAAGACACTCGATATTTTCTGAAAAAGTGACGATTTTTTGATGCTTTTGAATAATTTTTTTTATTGTGATGACGATTAATTTGCTTTCGCAGGATGTCAACTGCGTTATCCAGTAACGCAAAATATCGATTTGACTAGCTGTATGTAAGGTCTGAAATTGAGGTGGGGATTATATAGGACATTGTCTTCACATGTTTGCAAGTGTTTGCTATTAAAAAAAAAACGATGCAGAAAAGTTTGAGAAATGACATTATTGAAGTACGAAATAATAAAAAAATCGAAATAATAAAAAAATTGATAATGTAAATATCTGTTTTCAATTTTTTTGTATCTCACGTTGAGATTGCAAAACAAATACAATGATTAATCGCAGCGTCGATTAATCTCACGATTATCATTCGAATCACGCGTAACACCTCGCGAGTATATCGATTCGCGCATTATCGTAACTTACCAAAGTCAATAGCAGAACGTTTGTTATACCGGCCACCCAACCGCATAGAATCATATGCAAAGATTGTGCGACTATCGTTAATTTGTATACCCGTTGCGTATTTATGTGAAAAGGAACTTTTAATTTGCCTATAAAAGGTAATTCTATCATCTGATCGGTGATATCCATATCACTCAGAAAAAGGCCGATGCAATATGCAGAAACCGTCGTTGTGTGTAAAATAAAGATTGCATTTACGAGACGATCCGATAATTTCGCTTTTTTCGATGTTTCACGCATGCTAATATCGTTATCAGTGCAATCGTCCCAATCTTCCGCCATTAACGTCAGAATTTCGATCAATGACCTAAAAATGTTTGTATTCGTCAATCATAAATTAATTTAGATTTTTGAGAGTTAGAAATTTGTTATTTTTCAATGTGTTATAGATTAATCGTGGATGTCTTTTTAATTGTAAATAATGCTGATAATTGATTATTGATAATAATGTATTCATGAAATGTATTATAAGTACACATTTTTTAGTTAAACTGTTTTTTAAATATAAAATAGAATTTTATTTCACATATTAATTTAATTTAATTTCAAAGTACGATTTCAGAAAGCAAATCATATTGTATAGGTAAATATCTTGAAAAATTACGGTTTTGTGATTGCAATATTTTTCGTTGGGATATTATCAGTGGAATATAATGTGCAATATATTCGCAGAGATTTTTTTATATATTGTATATGCATTACATCATACTACTTACTTTTGGTTCAACCAAAATATAAAACACTTAGAGATCACTTTGATATGCGCCAGCATGAGACATAGACAGTCAATCAAGTCCATAAGTTCAGCGGTATATAAATGCGCTAGTAAGTAAGAGAGTAAATAAGATATAGCAATTGTCATTGTAATGATCCAAAACATTCTATAGAATAGAACGCATGATATGCCTGGCCAGATGCCGCACAAAGTGAATATAAATTTCACTTTGCGATTAAGGATATTCTGTGGAATCATAATATCTTGTTCGTTTTTACTCATATTACGATCTATTAGAATATACAAGATAAAGAAGAAGAAGAAGAAATAGGCACTTGGAAAAATAAAAAGAAATATGTTCTGATCAACTACGTTCTTTGAGATATATTATAGAACACCTTCGTAAGACTGAAAAATTCTGAAATATTATTAAGTAGATCGTGTAGCCTGACACAACTGACCAATCGAAGTTTCTCATTAATTATTTTCATCATATTGTGTGCACATCGCAAATACATCGTGGTTTTTGCATGAAAATGGAAGATAGATAATCATTTTTTTCTTTCTTTTAACCACTGGAAATACAATTGTGAATCGTCTACTTTAAATATGCAATGATTCGTGGGGTCATGTACATCTGACGTTTAGGCGTGTCCGCGATCGTTCAGAAAACTTTTTTTAATATAGGGGATGAACAGAACTGTATTCAAAGAGAAGAAGGTGTAAACAGCTGTTACGGCACTATGATACATATATGTATAAATATAGGAATTTATATATGAAAGTGTGTAAACTAATTTCTTAAATATCCACATAAATTAACGATAATTATGGAAAAAAGAATAAAATATGTTAATTAATTTTAATGTAATTAGTTTGCCGATTTTCGCAAATATAATGATTAATTCATAGATTAATTAGATAATAAAAAATATATAATATTTCTTCAATAACTTTGAAAATTAATTGTAAATGTAATCAAACATGCTTTGAATATTTTGAAAATTATTTATGACGTTACTTAACAATATATTGCTGATTCAATTAAAAGATAACAGATTTTGTAACAACTTTACATCTGTATTTGAAAAAATATCTTGTATTACACGATATGTTTTTATTTTAATTAATAATACTAATAAATCGCAATATATTTTAACTATTGCTTAAAAATCAACAACAAACAATCTGATGATTATTGCATCGTCAACAGAACCGATAAGTATGATCCTGAGGCATTCATGATCTGAAACAATTTTGTCTCTTGTATTAGAAATCAATGCATTTATAATTGTTATTATAATAAATGTATAAACTTTTAGAATGAAAGATGTATGCATAATTCTTACGCTTGTGAAAGATTCTAAAGAGAGATCCATCATTTTTCCTACTGTAAGCGTCAACTGCTTCTGCGATCTTAACATAATAAATAACAAAACACGACTGTCTTTAGATTTCAAATCGTACCAAGCAGAATTGTACGCCGCAATGCCGATTTCCTTGCTCTAATAAAAATAAAGAAAATATTAATGAAAAAATTCTTAGAAATTTATAAATAATTAAATAATATTGTATTAATATTATAATATTTTTAATATTTTATTATTCATTATTATTATTATCAATATTATTCATTATAATATTTCTAATAATTTTTTAATAATATAATTTTTTGTATAGTTCAAAACACAATCATTTATATCGATTCTTCATCATTGTCATAAATAGCTTGTAATTAACCTTGCTGCTTAGATACTCTCCAGCGAAGCAGAATATAAATGCTTCGAGATTCGTTATGATATAAAATAAGAGGGATTTTAATATCTGTTCTAATGCATTAGGACTACCGATAGCCTGTGAATATCATGCGAAAAAATAATTAAAACAAATTGTGTGAAATTTTTCACACCTTATACATAAGACATGTAATAAAAAGTATATGAACAGAATGTATGGATAAAAATATAAAATTATTATTAATTAAATATATAGAAAGCAATTAATTCATATTTAATAATATCATATATTATATACATAATTATTTAAAGAATTAATAATAGAAAGAATAATAATTTTATATACAATTATCTTATACTCACTGTTACGATAACGAAAGCTATTGAGCAAATCATTATCGTATTTGAGATAAACTGTAGCAACGCGATGTATGTATAAAGGCTTTCGATATTTTTTGAGAAACTAATGATTTTTTGATGTTTTTGAATAATTTTACTCGTAATAATATGATATGATACATGTTTGTATTCCTCTTTACGGGGTACAAGTTGCATCAGCCAGCAACGTATAATGTCGATTTGACCGGCCGTATGTAGAATCTGAAAATAAAATCTCGTTGATCAAAATTCCCAAATGGTTGATATTCGTATAACAAAATAAAAAAATGTGTGCAAAATAATACTATCAAAATAAATAACAAATCTCGCAAATTAGATTTTTCATTTAAATTTTTGTATCTGTCATGGTTTTAGAACATATTCAATGAAATTGATTTATCGCACTGTGTGAATACATTATTATATTAATTTATACGTATAATATATATAGCTTCAACTATAGGTCGATTTTGTATATTTAACTTACTAAAGTCAATAATATAGAGTTTGTTATACCAGCCGCCCAACCGTAAAAAAGCATAAGTAAGAATTCTATGATTAATACGAATCTGTACATGCATTGCGTGTTTATATCGAAGGGTATTTCTAATTTGTTGAGCAAGGGTAGTTCTGTCGTGTGATCGGTGACATCGGCATCGGCCAGGATGATACCTATGCAATACGCTACAATTGTCATCGTATGAAGTGTAACGATCGCATTTGTGATACGATCCGATATTTTTGCTTTGCGTGTTGTCTCGCGCATACTGATGACGTCACCGTCAATGCAATCATTCCAATCTTCCCTTATCATCTCTAAGATTTCGACGAATTTTCTGTGGGTGAAATATACTCGTCGATCATATATCGTCAAGGCAATTATAATTTTTGCGTTTTGGAAATTTGTTTAAGATTTGTCATTTCTGGATATTATAAGTTAATTTTTTAAATAATATTTTTACTCGTCGAACATAATTAATCTTATTGGTGGAACGCAAAGCTCAAAGAATATTATATAACTATATTGATTATATATTTTATTGATATTTTGATAAAAAATATTATACAACTATATTTTTTCGAACAAAATTGTTTTACAGGAAAGATTTATCTAAAATCAATCAAATTACATAAGTATGATTATAAAAAACGATACGTTATTATACTCTTTTATTTCATAATTATAAGAAACGATACGTTTCTTATAATCATGAAATAAAAGAGTATAATTTTGAAGTTTTATAGTCTTACTAAAAAAAGAAAAAATTATTCCAGAATTAAATTTTCTAAAAAAATTATAGCTTTTTAGTTAGAAAATTTCTGGTTGCTGATGTTATCGATATAAATGTATTAATCGGTTATTTGTTTTTTTTTGCAGAATATTGTTTCATTATATCTCGTTACTTACTGCTGATTGAACCAAAACACAGCAAATTTAATAATCACTTTAGAATATGCAAAGAAACTAGACATGCAGTCCATCAAGTCCAAAAGTTCGGCAGAATACACATGCGTGAGAAAATAACGATAGTGACAGAATAGAATAAATGTCACTGTAATGATCCAACATGTTCTGTAGAGCACTATGCACGATACGCCTGGCCAAACACCACAAAAAATAAGCATAAACTTCAATGTGCGATTAAACGTATTCTTCGGAGCCATCTTTTTTTACTTCTATCTGCTCTCTACATATAAGTGAGTCCATCGATGTATAATAATGAAATAAAAATTCTCAGAGATATAAAAGAAAAGTACTTTTTACTCAAGTGTACGTTTCCGATGACAGTTTTACGTGTGTCGCAGAATATCTGCGCGAGGAGAATTGAAAATTTTGCGAGATCTTCGAGTAAGTTTAGCCATTAGCAATTGATCACACACATACATGCAATGAAAATTTCTCATTAATTATTTTTATCATATTGCGTGCACATATATCGCAAATACATTGTGGTTTCTCGCATTGTGGTTTGATGCATTAAAAGGGAAGATAGATAGTCATTTTTTTCTTTTCTCGATCGCTTGAAATACAACCGCGAATTGTCTACGTTAAATATGCAATGATTGCGGTGGTAGAAACGGCGATGAGCGTCCAATGCGCAGTCGTGTTCACGACTCTTCAGTGAAGTATCGAAGTAAAAAATAAAGTGCCGCAGGGAATGAATACACAAATGGATACGATACTGGATACGTTATTCTAATAATTAAAAATAAACTTATGTTATAATAATATTTGTGCTTTAGCGAAAAATATAAAGAAATTACAAGTGCATGGATTTGAATATAAAAATGCATGAAACGATTTGTTGTAATCCGGGTAAATTAACGTTAATTGTTAAGAAAAGATATAATATGACACATAATTTTAATATTCAATCGATATTACGAATTCTGCATTTAATGTGGACAATTTATAAGTAAATAAAATAATCAAATACAATTGTTTTAAGATTTCAAATTGTAATATATAGAATTATACGCCACGAGACTATTTCTTTGTTCTATGAAGAGAAAAATAATGGAGGAATTTTTATATATTGATTATATTTTATATAAAATATTTTTTCAATTCGAAAAATATAGAATTATTTTTATAAATTTTTAATATATCGAATATTGTATCTCAATGCTAATCTTATTCAGATATTTCTCAACAAAGTAAAATATATATGCTTCGTAAGTTTTATTATGTACAATAATAATAATCTACTGTTACTATTGCATTATCTGATTATGTATATTGTGTAAAAAATACAAAATAAAGTTATAAGAATTATAAAAAATAATTAATTACAATAGAAATGTTATGAAGAGTAAACTCTCTATAATATTTATAATATTATTATAATAATATTAACTTATTTGTCTAATTTTATAATGTATAATTTGTATAATTATTATAATTTAATTTAATTTTTACTATTGTGATAAAGAAACATTAGACACATTATTATTGTATTTGAAATTGCAATAACGCGATGTTTGTATAAACATTTTTGATTATTTATCGAAAAAAATAATGATTTTCTGATATCTCTAATAATGAATTATTTTATTCGTTGTAATGGCGATTGATTTTCATTATTACGGGATACAAGCTCTATCAGTTGTAGCTATGCATCAATCAGAAACGCATAATATCCATTTGGCTAACCGTATATAAGGTCTGAAAATAAAGATCCCATTGTGCTAATAGAATGGAGTTGTGGAATTCAAATATGGAATAACTGATATTCAAGCGGTGAAATAAATGTGTATTTTGTGAGATAGTAAAATCAATTTCTACATCTATTGTATCGATTGTATTGAGGTTTCAGAATTGCGTATAATGCAACCGCTTTATCCATCAAATCCAATATTATCATAATTAGATGTACTTTCGAGATGTACTTTGGTTCGATTTTATTTTCAACTTATCAAAGCAAAGAGTTTTATCAGTCACTCAGTTCCAAAGAATCAACTGTACAATTAACACAAATTTATATATTATGCGTTCATGTTGCAGGTAATTTCTATCTCTCTTGCTCAGAAAAGGTAATTTTGTCGGTGCATTGATCAAAATGATGCAGTATGCAACATTGGTGAATTGTGTAAAGAATTATTTCGCGGTTTTTACATGCTAATATTACCGTTCGCGCAATTATTTTAATTTTCTATTATCATTGATAATAATTTTCTGTAAATGATTTGTCATTCATACGCTGCCAATTGTAACAAATTTTAATTTTTACATCATGGAAATTTACTCCTCTAAAAATTTGTTATTTCTGAGTATTGCAAATTAATTTATAAAGTTTTTCAGGGATGTAGAGGCTTCTTATTAATAAATTATTATTATTGTATTTATTATTATTATTAGATTATTATTGTATATTGATATATTATTATATTGATTATTATATTGAAAAATATTATAATTGAATATGAACAAAGAAATTTTGCGATAGTTTCTTATCTGAGATGACATCATTTTAAAATAAATCGTTTAGTCTTTTGAAAAAATTGATCTTTAAATTATAATATTTTATATTAATGTTCTTTTTCTCAAACATAAATGTTTGTGAATCAAAATATTTTTACAAAATATTCTCAGCATATGTGTATGTGTATTGCATATGCATAAATTATTTATTTTTGGTTAAATCAAAATAAGAAAAAAATTATAATTATTTTGGAATATATAAGAATTAGACAATTCAAAGTACAGCAAAATAATTCAAGAAATTGGTATTTATGAAACAGAATCATTATAATGATTCATAATATGCTGTAGAATAAAAAAAATGACGCGTCTAATCAAATACCACATAGAGTGAGCATAAATTTTAACGTGCAGTTAAGTGTACTTTTACAAACCATAATTTCTTATTTACCTTCTTTTCTTTTGTTTGCAGGCGCAAATGAAGATATAAAAGTGAGGAAATAACAGAAGAAAAACCTTCGGGAGAAAATAAAAGTAATATACTTGGACTATATATATGTCTCGATGACAGTTATATATACATCTGAGCGAAGACTGAAAGACTACAAGTCTTTAAATTGTTTTTGATAATCGATTAAAGAGAATCGAAGTTTTCCATTAAATATTCTTATCGTATTGCATGCACGTATCACAAATATATCATAGTTTCTTGCAGCTTTATGATAAGAAGAAAGAATATAAATATAAGATCCGTTTATTTTTTTGACGTCAATAATACGAATTTGTATAAATTATATTTAAACAAATATATTTAAACAATTACATTGTCTAAATATAATTGTTTAAATATGATTTATGTGAAGAAATATATGTCCGATGATCGCTTACGATTTTGCAGAAACTTTGTAATCGACAAAGCCAAAAAAACCAAAAATAATTAAATATAATACCAGCATAATTTCCGTTACTTTGCTTGTGATTGAATAATTAAAAATACATCGTAGAAATATTGAATATTAATATTTGTTTATATTATATATAAGAATTATATAAGACTATATAAAATTATATAAGAAGAATGATATAAGAATATATAAAATATATAAAAAGAATACATGGATTTGTATGTAACAACGATTTCAAAATTTTTGTTTTAAACTTAAATTTTATATTTTGATATATTGCATTAAAATATTATGAATATTGTATTCTGTCATTATGCAAAAAATTTGCATCATTGACTTATCTTAATATATAAATATTACTGTATATATATATATATATATATATATATATATATATATATATATATTTCGAACTATTTGATTTTTTTCTCTAGCAATTTCGGTTACAACATGGGAAGCGCACAAATACGTATATGTATTATATCAATATAATCGCTCTGGAAAAATCAACACTTAATATAAAATTTTCTTGTGAACTTATTTTTGATTATATTCGCGATTATAATATAAAATGTTGTAAAATTTGATGTAACACTTTACGATTTTTGTGGTAAATATTGGATTTAATTAAGGTATCGTGATATGAACAAAAAATAACGACTTATTATTTTATATTTTTAAAAATTACTACCGTCTTTTTAGAACATATAAACATGAAAAATATGTTATACGTACGATACATCTCTCATAACTATTGTTTAAAAATCTTTTAACGCACGATGTTTATTGCATGGCTAGCAATACTGACAAATATGATCCTGAAGCTTTCATGATCTATAATAAAATATAGAAATTAATATTTTTTAAAATTATAATCTTATTAAAGAAGAGCGTTTTAAATATTGCTAAAAAATTTACATACATAAGATGGACATGAAAAAATTATATAGGCAATAAGTAAATCTCATGTGGAAAGTATCTTGCTATGTATTATTGTCCAGAATTATTTTTCTAATCATAAATCTTACATCTGTAAATGATTCTAAAGAGAGATCCATTATTTTTCCAACCGTAAGCGTCAATTGCTTCTGCGCCCTTAATATGACGAATATCAAATTACGACTATTTTCAGGTTTCATTTCATACCATGCAGAATAATACGCTGCATTTCCAATAGCTTTACTCTATAAAATTGATTAACAATCAGTTAAAATGTTATTTTTTTAATTTAACAAACTTGTAATAATGTATTATCGTTACATTATCCCGTATATCAAACCTTGTTTTTCAGATATTCTCCTGCAAAGCAAAATATAAACGCTTCGAGATTTGTCACAGTATAAAATAAAAGAGTTCTGACTATCTGTTCTGTCGCATCGGGACTACCAATCGCCTGCGATATCAAAGCAGCAATTATTAAATCATTATTTTTTGCAAAATCATAAATGTCTTTATCGTTCTAATGTAAACTTGAAAATCCAGAGAAATTGTTTTTAGATAATGAAGATATAAGAGCCAAAAACCGTAGCGCTTTAATAAAATTATGAGTATATCCAGTCTCTCTCTCATGAACAATAAATTAAATATCCCTTTTTATTACTTACGGTTACGATGAGGAACCCTAATGAACAAATTAGCACAGTGTTTAATGTGAATTGCAACAACGCAATATATGTGTACATATTCTCGATGTATTCTGCGAAGTTAATGATTTTCTGATGCTTTCGAATGATTTTATTCATCGTGACGATAGATTCGCCTCTTTCTTTGTTTTTTTTAATTACAATCTCATTCAACCAGCAGCGCAGAATGTCCATTTGGCCGCCTATGTGCAGAATCTAAAAATAATAATCCTTATGGCTATTAAAGTTTTAGGAAAGATATACCGGGTGTTCTAAAAAGGTATGCCAAAAATTTAAGGAGATATTCCTCACACCTGAAGGATGAAAAATGTTATATGGACATAGATGCGGAAATGCTTATTTCAAGAGTTATGTTGAAAATATTGTTAGCTGTATTATTTACACAAGGAAAAATTTAGGATGTGAGGAATATCTCCTTAAATTTTTGACATACCTTTTTAGAACACCCTATATATGCATTATTTATGACACATGCGTATTACAGCTTACCAAAGTTAAAAGCAGAGCATTTAATAAACCAGTTCCACAGCCGGACAGGATGAGATGGATAAATTGTGCAGATAACAGTATTTTATACCTGCGCTTCGTCTTTATGTCGATAGGAAGCGTCACCTTTAAGAGCAAAGGTAGTTCGGACTGATGATCGGTGACATCAACGTCGGCTAAGAAAATGCCGATGCTATACCCAACGATCGTTAACGTATGAAGTGTAAACATCGCATTAGTGATACGACCTGCTAATTTAGCCTTGCACATTGTTTCGCGCATATTAATGTCGCTGCTGCAGCAATCGTTCCAATCTTCCTTCATTATCGTCAGAATCTCGGCGAATTTTCTACAAATGATAATAGAATCATCGATTATTACCAGTTATAAAGCAAATCATAACAAACAGATAATATATCTCGCATCGTAGAGATTCGCGTGTCCGAAGAATCAATTTAAACGAATTGCAAAACAATTATAGCGATATACGTTAATGTCCGTATTATTTTCTATAAACAAATCTCGATTTTTCTTATATCTTTCCGTTTAATAAAATTTAGAATAAAAAAATATATTTTACTTATTCGCTCACACACATATGTATATATAATTGATTGTGCAAGTATGAAAAGAAATATATGTATATTCTATGAACAAAATAATGAATTAAATTAAATTCTTGAAGATGACATATATTTAGATTATTACTTGTGTGTATGTGTGTGTGTAACATTACTTTGCACGCTATACGACTTACCGTTCATTCAGCCAAAATATGATCAATTTAGTCATAAACTTCACTTGTGTCAGGAAGCTACTGAAACAATCCATCAAGTCGAAGAGATCGCTCGAGTGCAAATGCATTAGAAGATACCGGTAATGGCAGATATTATCTGTCGCTAATGCGATGATCCAATATGCTCTGCAGATTATAACGCACGACGTACCCGGCCATATGCCACACAAAGTGAGCATTAATTTTAACGTGCGATTAATTGTACTTTTATGCGTCATAAGTCTTTTCCTTGCTTGTTTCACAGGGAAGAATCACAGTATTTCTTACACAAGGAAGGATATTTACATTAACACGCAATAAAATAAACGCGCTTTCAAGAAGGTTAAAAAAGCTACAAAAGCTATATTTCCCAACTCGATATATATTTTAGAACAACTGCGAAGAGACTGTGGGAGATTCTCGAGGGATCATTAAATGAGCGCTCCCTTAGAGCGATCGACCAATAGTAGTAATTTATTAAATATTTAACAGAAGCCATTAAATATCTTTTATCGTACTACGTCGTAGAATTCACGAATATGCATTTATCGCGACCTTTCCGACACAAGAAAAAGAGGGAGCATATTTCTCTTTCCCTTGGATATCGCTAACGCAATTACAAAACGCCTATTTTAAATATGCAACATGATATATGCGAAGGTAAATGCGAAAATGTACGTCTGGTCACTTATATTTTTTCAAAGTTTGAGAGTCAGAAGCAGTCAGAAGTGATCGAAATGCGTGATATTACGGAAGTTTTCTTGCGTACAACAACTTTCGAAACTTATCTGCATGCTATGACAATATTTATGAGAAATTAACGAGTGAAAATACATGTGAAATAATATGATGTCGAACGTTTATATGTGCAGAAGATATTTTTTTTTTAAGATTGAGAAATGATGTGTCTTTTCAACAGAAACCTCAAGCATATAATTTTCTTTGCAAAGAAAAAATATCGATGACTTTTCTCTTTAATTTAAGAAGAAAAAAATAATTGTGATATTTTTTTATGGAAAAATATCACATATTATTATTTTATATTATTTTATTTATTCATCTAAAAGTACTTGAAAATATATTATACATACTATTATATATATTATTCTCGATATGTTTTTCTAAAGTGATGAAGTTATGTCTACATGTTAGATGATTGAGTTAGTTCACGATTGTCGCGCAGGAAATGACTTGAGTCTGTGAGTGAATTTATGACTGTAGTATTCATTTCATCGCCAGTAGTACTGACAAATAGGATCCCGAAGCTTTCATGATCTATAACAATATTGCTTTTTATAAGAAAAGAATACAAAATATATTATTATAATAATATTATATAAATATATAAATATATATTATATAAATATATATATATATATATGTATATATATATATATATATATATATATATATATATAAGAACATGTAATGTGAAGAAGACGCTTGATCTAAAAAAAATATCTTCTTATATTTCTTACATTAGTAAAGCATTCTAAAGAAAGATCTGTCATTTTGCCAGCCGTAAACTTCAATTTTCTCTGTGATCTCAAAATTATAAGCAATAAAATGCGACTGTCTGCGGTCTTCATATCGTACCAACCAGAATTGTAAGCCGCGTTTCCGATCGCAGTGCTCTAAAGTAAAAATAACGAAAAGATATTTCTTTATATATAATATATTTCCTTCTGTATAATATTATTTCTAATATCGCAAACACCGCAGTATTATATCTTATATAATTGTTATTGTAACAATTATCTTTTTGGTTGCTAACCTTATTGCTCAAATATTCTCCGGCAAAACAGAATATAAACGCTTCAAGATTTGTTACAGCGTAAAATAAAAGAGATCTCATTATCTGCTCGGTAGCATCAGGACTACCGATTGCCTACAATATCGAAATAAGCTGAATACATAATGTACTTTCAAAATTATAAGTAATTTTTCAATTACTTATAATTCTACGTATTATTACATATAATTTATAATAAATTAATTCGCGCAACAGAAAATATAAATAAAATTATTAAATTAATTAATTGATTTTAAAATAAAATGTGTATTTATATTCTTAGAATTTTGACAATTTCACTTACGGTTACGATGAGAAACGCTAACGAGCAAATCATCACCGTATTAGATGTAAATTGTAGTAAAGTAATGTACGAATAAAGATTCTCAATCTTTTCCGAGAAGCTGATAATTTTTTGATGTTTTTGAATGATTTTCGTCATTCTTCCGATCTCTATTGATCTAACTTCCGTCAACCAACGAAGCAAGATATTTATTTGACCACCTATATGTAGAGTCTAGAAATAAAGATTCTGTCATTTATGATAATTATTGTTTACCTAGAAGAGAACAAGAAATATAAAAATGTCGTAATGAGAAATAAATTTGATAAAATGTACGAAAGTGAATCAAATCTCATGGAATATTCTCTTAAATGGTATATTAATATTGTATCACTGAATGGCTTTACTTATGTAAATGTAGTACACAAATAGTGAAATTTCAAGAAAAAAATCAATTAATGGTAGTGGCTGATTTTGCAGTGAAATCTTACTGTCAGTAATCAAACATAAGGTAAAATATGAGTATTTTCACTGAAAATCAGTAAAGTGCTCGCTGATCTGCGGTGAAATCTTGTGTGTATCACTGCTTTAATTATTAATATTTCTATTAAAATTCCTCAATTTAAGAGTAGACACTGAATTTTTTTTTATTTATTATTTAATATCTAATTTTATATTTATTTTTTATATTTATTATTGAATATCTAATAATAAAATATTTATAAATACTAATAATAATACCTAATAAAGATAGTTATATAATGCGAACAGCATATTTATTTTATAATTACATCTTACACATGATACTTGCTTAGATGTAGATGCAGGTTACCAGAGTTAGAAACAGGGCGTTGAATAAACCAGCCCCCAAACTGCACGCCAGCACGAACATGAATTGCGTAGTTAACACCAGTCTGTACTTGCGTAACGTGTCTATAACGAAGGGATATTCCATTTTCATTATAAGGGGCAGCTCGGTCGTTCGATCGGTGATGTCGGCATCGGCCAGGAGGATACCAATAACGTATGCGAACGCGGCAATTGTATGAAGAATAATTAACCCATTACAAATACGGCTCGATAGTTTTGCTTTACGTTTCGTTTCGTGCAACACAATACCATTGTCACCGCAACAGCTCCAGTCTTCCGACATAGTTGTCAAAATTCCAATGAATTCTCTGCGAAGGATCGAATATTTTGAAATAATTGTATAGACATATTTTTTTACGATAATATCATTTTTTTTAATTTTAATTTTCGACAATGCTATTTTTTTTAATTTTAATTTTCGAGATATATTGTAAGGATCGTGTTTCTTCTCTTTGTCGGAATTAAAAATATGAAAAATAATTGGATGTGTGTGTGTGGAGATAAACAATTATAATCGTAAAAAAATAAAATATCTGTTTTATTAATTTTGGCATCCATCTTATATGATTATTTTGCATAATTATTTAAATAAAATAAATGCCATTATCTTAGGAATTATCTATGAATATCTTATTTAAAAATGTATTTATAATATAATAGTTATATCTTTGTTTACTTACAGTTTCTAAATCGTAACTCACCTTTGTTTTAACGAGAAGATAATGATTTTAAAGGTCAACTTTACGTGTGCCAAAAAGCTACTCAAACAGTCCATCAAGTTGAAAAGATTGTTGACATGAAAATGTGTTATAAAATACCGATAGTGGAAGAATTGATTGATCACTAGCGTAATCATCCAAAACACTCTGTACAATAAAACGCATGATATACCTGGCCAGACACCAAATGCGGTAAGCAAAAGTTCTATCGTGCGATTAATTGTACGTCCGCTAGTCATAATCTTTTATCTTTCTACTTGTTTATAGCCTATATATAAGCCGGGGCATCAAAATGTGCGCGATAGATCAAATACGCTCGTGTCCAAGTAAGAGGCGTATGCTCTTGAGAAAATTCTATTTTTCAATTGCAGATCTCGATGTATATTACGGAAAATTTGCGTGAAGACTGGAAGCTTTTAAAAGCATCACGAGGCAAACGGTACTCTTGAACAATCGACCAATGGGACGTGTTCATTAAATATTTGTATTCTACTGTATACAGATCATACGAAGAAGTCCGTATTTCTTGCAACTTAAAAAGAGAGGGAACACAGATGGGGTCATTTTGTGCTTCTTTTAATACGCACTCGCGAGTAATTTTCTCGAATATATAATGATCTATTGGACGCAATATAAATGACGATGTATATCCGCGTCCAACTATCTTTGAAAAATTTTAAAAGTAGGGGAAAAGAAAAGGAGAAATAAAGAGAAACAAAAAAACGCATCATTTAATAAGCGCATAAATTATTATCTGGCTTTCTTAACTTTTCGTGGAACGTCATTTTGATAAGAGAAGAAAATGAAGTATCTGTCAATTTCTTATGTACCCTACGCAGTTTACCTTTAATAATTCAAAGTATCGTGTAATATCGTGGATCTTATGCGATATAAATATAATTTTACATGTAAATTTTAACCAACGATTTATGGAAAAGTCAATATATTATTGCACGAATCGACATTTATTGCATCGCCAACAACATTGATAAATATGATCCTGAAGCACTCATAATCTGAAACAATTTTGCTTTCTGTTTTAAAAATCATTATATTTATAATTATGATATTATATTTGAAGTATTATTTTTTTATCGAGGCAAAATCATAAAATATCATAAAAAAAACGAGGCAAAATTGTCTACGCATAAACGTTACATTTTTAAAGGATTCCAAGGAAAGATCCATCATCTTTCCAGCTGTAAGCGTCAGTTGCTTTTGCGATCTCAACATAACAAATAGCAAAACACGGCTGTCTTTAGAGTTCAAATCGTACCATGTAGAATTATATGCCGCAGCACCAATTTCTCTGCTCTATGATAAAATAATAATTTAAAAAATTTTCTTTTATTAATATAATTTATATTTTTTTCCATTTTATATGGCAAAATTATTTTATAAATTATCAATATTTTATTATCAATATTAATATATTGATATATTATAATAAATTAATATATTGATATATTATAATAACTAACCTTATTATTCATATATTCTCCAGCAAAGCAAAATATAAACGCTTCCAAATTTGTTATGGTGTAAAATAAAAGAGATTTCATTATTTGCTCCATCGCATTGGGACTACCGATTGCCTATAATATTGTGCAAAAATGACGTGCAAAGAGTTATTGTATACTAATTATACAGTATATTGCACGTTATGCAATAAATATTAATGAAATGTGCGAGAATATAATATTTAAATTTAATATTTAAATAAATTGAATAATATTTAAGTTTTTTAAAACATACTGGAGAAAATTTAAAAGAAAATGAATTATATTTTAAATCTTACAATTAATCGAGTACAATTACAGTAATTCTTTATTCAATAATATTACTCACTGTTACAATAAGAAAGCCAAGCGAACAAATCATTACTGTGTTTGACACAAATTGCACTAATGCGATATATGTATAAAGACACTCGATATTTTCTGAAAAAGTGACGATTTTTTTATGTTTTTGAATAATTTTTTTCATTGTAATGACGGTTAATTTATTTTCGCAGAATGTCAATTGCGTAATCCAATAACACAGAATATCGATTTGACCAGCTGCATGTAAGGTCTGAAATTGAGTTGAGGATTATATAGGATATTGTCTTAGATATTTACTATTAAGAAAAAAAAACGATACAGAAAAGTATGAGAAATGACATTATTGAAGTACATCGAAATAATAAAAAATTATGTAAATATTAATATAATTATAATTAATAATGTAAATATCTGGTTTAAATTTTTTTTGTATCTATCACATTGATATTGCAAAACACATACAATGATTGATCGCAACATAGATTAATTTTACGATTATCATTCAAATCATGCGCAACATCACGAGTGTATCGATTCGCATATTATCGTAACAACTTACGAAAGTCAATAGTAGAACGTTTGTCATACCGGCCACCCAGCCACACAAAATTACGTGCAAAGATTTTGCAACTATCGTTAATCTGTACACGCATTGAGTGTTTATGTGAAAAGGAACTTTTAATTTGCCTATGAAAGGTAATTCTATCATCTGATCGGTGATATCCATATCACTCAGAAAAAGGCCGATGCAATATGCAGAAACCGTCGTTGTGTGTAAAATAAAGATTGCATTTACAAGACGATCCGATAATTTCGCTTTCTTCGATGTCTCGCGCATGGTAATATCGTTATCAGTGCAATCGTTCCAATCTTCCGCCATCATCGCCAGAATTTCGATCAATGTTCTGAAAGTGATTGTATTTGTCGATCATAAATTAATTTAGATTTTTGAGAGTTCAAAATTTGTAATTTTGCCATGTATTAATGTATTATGGATTAATTGTTGATATGTTTTTAATCATAAATAATGCTGATAATTGATTATTGATAATAATGATATTCATGAAATGTATTATAAGTGCACATTTTTTAGCTAAACACTGTTTTTTATCTTATCTAAATATTCCGTTTGAAATTGAGATTATAAATATAAAATAGAATTTTATTTCACATATTAATTTAAATATAATTTCAAAGTACGATTTCAGAAAGCAGATCATTTTGTATAGATAAATATCTTGAAAAATTACGGTTTTGTGATTGCAATATTTTTCAAGTTGGAATATTATCAATGGAATATAATGTACAATATATTCGCAGAGATTTTTTATATATTATATATTATATCATGTTACTTACTTTTGGTTTGACCAAAATATAAAACACTTAGAGATTACTTTGAGATGCGCTAGTATAGTACACAGACAGTCGATCAAGTCTATAAGTTCAGCGGTATATATATGCGCTAATAAGTAAGAGACTAAATATGATATAGCAATTGTCATTGTAATGATCCAAAACATTCTATAGAACAAAACGCACGATATCCCTGGCCAGATGCCGCACAAAGTAAATATAAATTTCACTTTGCGATTGAGGATATTCTGTCGAATCATAATAATCTTGTTCGTTTTTACTGTAATTTTACGATCTATTAGAATATGCAATAAAGAAGAAGAAAAAGAAATATACACTTGGAAAAATGAAAAGAAATATGCTCTGATCAACTACGTTCTTCGAGATATATTATAGAACACCATCGTAAGACTGAAAAATTCTGAAATATTATTAAGTAGATCGTATAGCCTGGCACAACTGACCAATCCAAGTTTCTCATTAATTATTTTCATCATATTGCGTGCACATCGCAAATACATCATGGTTTTTGCACGAAAATGGAAGATAGATAATCATTTTTTTCTTTCTTTTAATCACTGGAAATACAACTGCGAATCGTCTATTTTAAATATGAAATGATTCGTGGAGTGATGTACATCTGACGTAAGTTTAAGTGCGTCCGCTCAGAAAAGTTGTTTTAATATAGGGGTTAAACAGAACTGTATTCATAAAGAAATATGTATAAACAGTTGTTACGATACTACGACATATATATATATATAGGAATTTACATATGAAAGTATGTAGAACAAGTTCCTAAATATCCATATAAATCAACGATAATTACGAAAGAAAAGATAAAATATGTTAAGTAATTTTAATATAATTAGTTTACAATTGGTTTGCTGATTTTCGCAAATAAAATGATCAATTCATAGATTAATTAGATAATCAAAAATATATAATATTTCTAGTCACATTAGTCGTTTTTAACACTTATACGAATTTTAAAATAAAATTCAAATAAAACTTCTGTGGAAAAGAAGAGTAGAATCAGCATACAATTCGGCCTCATTTAATAGACATTTAGTATCACGAGTTCATTTATTTTCAGACAGTCTTAAATTAATTTTTTTATTCGTGATGAAAACGTATACATGCGTGCAAAAACGCGCAATGCGCGTGAGAAAAGAATGGTTAATAATATCGCAAAATTTTTATCTTTAATGTTTTAATGTGCAAATTTCTTTTGACTAAATAATAATAAACTTTTAACGCTTATTAGAAAATATGTGATATGAGATTTTGTTTCACTTTAATTCATCGCAAGTAGTACTGAAATGTACGAGGCTGAAGCCTTTATAATCTATAATAAAAAAATTTATGTAATAATTATAAAGATATGCGTTTATCTCGAAATAGAAAATATTAATATCCAAATTTAATGTTTATATCTTTTTATGACTGAACTTTTTAATAAATAATGTATAAATAATATTTCTTTATAACATATAATATATAACAAATATAATTATCTCGTGACTAATAGTTATTTAAAAAAAATCTAAAATATAAAAAATCAAGTATTATATATCACACAGACGCACACACGCATATATGAGTATAAATTATTATAAAAATTAATTAACCATGTGACATAGAAGATAATATTTATATGATCTAAAAAATAATTACACTTATTAAATATATATTAATTGATTTTTGCAGTTGTATGAGAGAATGTAACAGTCTGTAAAAAGTCGTGAGAAATCTGTAAAAAGTAAACATAAATATGTACATATACATACTTACACTGCTAAACCGTTCCAAAGACAAATTCATAACTTTTCCAATTGTAATGACTAATTGCTTTTGTGATCTCATTATCAAAAACAATGTAATTTGATTATTTTTGGAATTTGATTCGTACCAGAATGAATTATACGCAGCATTTCCAATACTGTTGCTCTGTTGAATGGAAAATCTTAATAATTTTTAGAGATAATAATACATCCATTTAATATTATTGCAGCTATAATATTTATTCTAAAGTTTAACCTTAGTACTTAAATATTCTCCAGCAAAACAAAACGCAAACGCTTCCATATTCATAACGAAGTAAAATAAGAGTGTTCTCATTATAATTTTTATAGCATCAGGCGTTCCAACTGACTGGAATATTAAGAAAAGACCTAATGGCAACGAGAAAACGATAAAAGAATGAATAATTAAAAGCAATTAATACTCGTCATTTTCATACAGATTTATTGTTACAAGTTCAAAGTTCTTTTTTACTGCATAATTGTTGCGCTGCAAAATGAAAGCGCTGCTTACCGTAACCATTACAAAACCCAAACAACAGATAATTAAAGTATCCGATATGAATAACGCCAACGCGATATTCGAATACAAATCTTCGATATGTTCTGAAAATTTAATGATTTGTTGATGTTTCTTAATTATTTTTTTTATCACAAAGAGATTCGGACTGTGCTTCTTTTTTATTGGAAAAATGTCAATCAACCATTCGCAAAGAATATCTACTTGACCACCTATGTGTAGTATCTAAGGTATACGATATAAGATTATCAAAAGATTATTTTAGAATTATTTTATTTTATTCTACATTTTTTTAAAATATTTATTTGCATATATACAGAGTGATTTATAAATGCATATCAATTTTTGTAATGTCAAAAAATCAAATATGCACATTAAAATAAATAAAAATGTTTTTGACTGTACATATCGTAATTTCTGAAATGTGGAAAATTGAGTAAAATACTTGGACTATCTCTGTATTATATGATTACACGTGCTACAGCATAATTTAATATTGTATCCTTCATTCACTGGAAAATATGAAACGTTGTTCAAATTGTTTCGAATTTATTTCATATATTTTCTTGCAAATTATCAATTTTATTAGTTTATAGTATATAACAGATTTTAAATGACTCGAAAAATAAAAATTTAATAAACTTAAATCAGGAAATTGTGTTGAGTCTACTCTTGCTATGAGTCTACTCATCTTATTCATCAATATAAAAAGAAATTATTTAAAAATGTCAAAAACAGGAAATAAAATCGAGCATTCCCTTTAATCTTTCCCTTTTATAACTTAGAAACTATGATATGTGTACAAATTATGTTTACATAATATTTTAGTATACTAAATTTATCACTCGGAATATTATTGCATTTAAAAATTATCATATATATTATGAATTGAATGCAATTAATAAAATATTAATAAACATAATAACAAGAGTAATAATAATTAGATAATAAAACTTACCAAATTTATTAATAAAGCATTTAAAAGGCCAGTTGCACAAGAGCATAACAATAAGTGAACAAACTGAATAATTATGATTAACACGTATACATATGTTTGGTTGAGATCAAATGGTAGATTCATGTTCATAACGAGAGGTCGCATAGAAGTATTGAAAACTTTATTCTCATCTGTGTGTTTCACAATATTACTACTGTGAAATATTACAGCCATCGAATAAAGAGCCACTGTCACGTTAGCGAAACGTCGGGACAATTTGGCGTTCGATGTCACAAACATACTGAATTCCGTGTTGAGAGACTTTTTCCAATCAATCGCCATCATCGTCAATATCTTGCTAAATGTCCTACGGATAATTTTCGGATAGTCATAATCACTAAAATGGTAGCAACAATGGTAGAAAAATTTACATATATTTATTTATTATTTATTAAATATTTATATTATTTATATTTATTTAATTTTATATTATATTGTTTATATTTATTTTATAATTGCCATATGGTTTACTTTACTGACAAAATTATTGCATATCTTACCGTTGTTTACACCAAAAAATAACTAACTTAATTATCAATATCGAGAATGTCATTGCTTCACCTAACATGCCCATCACTTCGAAAAATTCAATAGAATAAAAATTGATTATAATATATTGATATTGAAAAATTTGTTCGAGTGCAAGCGCAATGATCCAAAACAATCTACGTAGCGAAATGCACGATGAGTCCGGCCAGATGCCAAAAATTCGAAGCCAAATTTCTATCGTTTGACTAAGTATATTTTCCACTTTCATACTTTTATTTTATTATCACTTAGTTTTTCTTAATATTAGTACACCATTTTTATTAAGACAATACTTTTAAACATTTTCAGAAACGCATCCAATCGATCGTATGATGTGCACGATACTGCAACTTTGTACAGACTAAAAGCTTGAACAAAAAGACTAACAGAAATCCTCCCTCGAACAACTACTTATTAAATATTTTGATCGCAAAGCTTACGGATTGCATATATCTTTGTTGAGACACATCGATAAAAAAAAAGTTTCCGGGTAGCTGATCTTCCTTTTCTCTATTTCTATCTCTATCTCTCCCTTGGATGAATCGATGGTGTAGCGCAGTACGTTATTTCCTTTAAAAATTCAAGCAACACACGCAAACTTATTCTGAACATTAAATCATGCTTGGTGACTGTAAGAAGATTTTCAGTCTTTATAAAAATTGCATATGTTCAAATAAAACAGACAATGTCTATCATTGTCATATATTTATGATTGAAAGAAAAATAGAAGAATAAAAAGATATTTATAATTTGAGAGTGAATTTTAGTTCTCTCTCTCTCTCTCTCTCTCTCTCTCTCCCCCCCTCTCTGTCTTTTTTATCTTTCTCTTCATTGTTTCCTTTAATTCTGTAAATAGAAACGAAGTAATGCAGTTAAAATATAAAAATCTATACGTGTAGAAAAGATATAATATCCACATAAAAGTCGACGGAATTTAAAGCAGAGGAAAATAAGGTAAAAGATAAGGTAAAAGTAAGAAAGAAAACGGATAAATTTCTTCATTCGATATTACTTAACACAACTTTACGTACTTTATGTTACTGATTTTCTTTCCAAATTTATTCTTGTCTTGATACACATATAATAGAAAAAAATAGAAAGTAATATTGAAATAGTTTTTAAATCTTAATTTATATGCAAATCTTTATAGTTAAATATTGTTTATATAGATTTTAATTATAGAAACCGTTATTTAAAAAAAAAGAATTTCTATCAGGAAAAATAATGTGTAATAAAGGAGATAAAAAGAAAGAAAGAGAGAAAGAGAGAGAGAAGGGGGAGAATAAAAAAAAAGTACGAATTAAGATATAGTTAAGGCACCAGAAGAAAAACGATTAGGAAATTATAGGAGTATAAAACTATAGGAATAGATGAGAGAGTCGAGATGCACACCAGAGAAGTATGGACTATTAAGAAAATAGGGGGATATCTGACTAACGTGCGGTCAAGGATAAATTGAGTAGGGTGGTGTGCGGATCGGTATAAGGGAAAAAATAAAGATATGCCATAACTATATGAGAAGGAAACGTGAGAGTATGGAAAATGATATTGGAAGATAAGGAGAAGAATAGAAAATAAAGCAAACATCGATTAAAGATGAATGGATGATAGAGATAAGAAGAAATAATAAATAAAATGAAGTAGAATATATTAATAAAAACGTGGTCAATAACCGTGCGATATGAGATTGACGATAAATAACATATACAATTAAAGAAGAATAAAGAATAGGATAGAATAAACATGATTGGGATAAAAATATGAGAAATAACGCGATGAAAATGGCATGTATAAAAAAATTTTTTCATCACTTTCTTAATATTTAATTGCATTTTTTTTATAATTAACAACATAATAACAAATTTGAATTTCTCATCATATAAAAACCAGACACGAATGGTAGTGTGTCAATTTCATCGAAAATTGATTTTGAAACTTTAATGTACAGAGAACACAAATTTTTCTTGATTTATATACCATTAAATCTTATGATTAAATCTTAATTCGAGATTTTTAATACAGCTTTCTTTATCTCTCTGAGGGAACGTAAGCAAAAAAATATCAGAACAAAGTTGCTGAATCGGATTAATAAAGCTAATCTCGCATAAAAGATCCGTTTAAATATTTGACAAGAAATCTCGACAAAAAAATCAAATTTTGAATAATTTTAAACATAACAATTTAATATAATTATAATATAACGCGTAAAAAAGAGTATTTCAAATATAAATAAAACTAATTGTAAAAGAGTATTTCAAATATAGTATTTCAAAGTATTTCAAGAGTATTTCAAATATAATAAAACTAAGAGAGAAAGAGAGACTTATACCCCATTGATTGATTAAAAAAATAGTTATTTTGAAGAGTAATAAACTGTAGACTTTGAAAGAAATTCAAATTGTCTATCAAGTCTTTTAGATTATTAGTACAATACAACATAATAGAACTGTATAACAATTAATTTTTTGAACCAGAAGAATTTGCGTACAAATTTGCGAAGTACGATATATGACCAGACCAGATACCAAAGAAAAACAAGCTTTAGAAAGAAGTACATCATGCGTAGTTGTCGTTTTTGTAAGAAACAAACCGTTTTACTGTTGCCTTGTAAAACATTGAGTGTCGGCAGAAGGCGGACGTTGTAACTATTCGTTGTTTTTCGAAAAGTGCAGGATAAAGCTAAAGATCGGAACATCATTATAAAGGCGCATTGAATTTATCGAGATTGATCATTAAATATTACTTTGTTACCAAGCGGTAAAATAGTTGTACATACAAATATCTACAATTACTTTCTTGACCGAAAAAAAAATTTACAAAATTATTTCCTCGTTTTATTTTCTTTTTTTTGCAATATTCCACTGAAATAATTATTGATTTAAAATTGCAAAACACGTGTGCAGGAAGTGTATATATATATATATATATATATATATATATATATATATATATATAATGTTTGATTAAAACTCCTGTGGAAAAATAAGAAAAGAATCAAAGGACCTCATTTAATAGATATTTAACATCATGAATTCATTTACTTTCAGCCAATATCGAATTTATTTTCTTATTTACGACGAAAACGTGTGCGTGTGTGCAAATGCGCGGGAGAAAATGCACATGAGAAAAGAATGATCAATAATATTACAAAACAGGTTTCGTCATGTCTTTAATATTTTAATGTGCAAATTTCTTTTGACTAAATAATAATCGACATTTTATGTTTAAAAATATTTGATGTATAATCTCGCTTTAATTCATCGCAAGTAGAACCGAAATATACGAGGCTGAAGCCTTTATAATCTATAATAAGAAAATTTGTAATATAATTATGAAGAGTACGCGTGTATCTTGAAATATAAAATATTAATGTCCAAATTTAATGCTTATACCTTTTTATAACGTATAATATAATAAGTAATACTTGTTGTCTTATATTTTCTTTAAATGAGCAAATAATAATGGCGACTAATGTTTGGTCATTTAAAGAAAATATAAGACAACAAGTAATAAAAATACATATACATATCTATGTAAACGTAAACATTAATTAATTAATATAAAGTAGAAGATATTTATGTTCTAAAAAATAATTATACATTTATTATAAATATTAATTGCCTTTTGTCATTGTATGAGACAATACAGCAGTCTATAAAAGGTCATGAAAAATCTGTAAAGGTAAAGATAAATATGTACATATACTTACACTGGTAAACTGTTCCAAAGACAAATTCGTAACTTTTCCAATTGTAATGGTTAATTGCTTCTGTGATCTCATTATCAAAAATAATGTAATTTGATTATTTTTGGAATTCGATTCGTACCAGAATGAATTATACGCAGCATCCCCAATACTGTTGCTCTGTCGAATGAAAAATCTTAATAATTTTTAGATATAAATAATAAATCCACTCAACTATTCCAGCCATCATATTCATTCTAAAGTTTAACCTTAGTACTTAAATATTCTCCAGCAAAACAGAACGCAAATGCTTCCATATTCATAACGAAGTAAAATAAGAGTGTTCTCATTATAATTTTCACAGCATCGGGTGTTCCAACTGACTAGAATATTAAGAAAAAACCTAATGCCAATGAGAAAACAGTAAAAGGCTGAATAATTAAAAGCAATTAATGTTCGTCACTTTTTTGCAGATTTATTGTTACAAATCTAAAATGTTTTTCTTTATTGCAACAATGTCACGCTACAAAATGAAAGCTGCTTACCGTAACAATTACAAAACCTAAACAGCAGATAATTAAAGTATCTGATACAAATAGCGCCAACGCAATATTCGAATACATATCTTCGATATACTCTGAAAATTTGATGATTTGCTGATGTTTCTTAATTATTTTTTTTATTATAATGACATTTGGCTTGTGCTTCTCTTTTATTGGAAAAATGTCCATCAACCATTCACAAAGAATATCGATTTGACCACCTATGTGCAGTGTCTAAGATATACGATTATTAAAAGATTATTCTAGAATTATTTTATTTTATTATATATTTTTTTTAAAGATTTATTTGCACACATATGTACAGATTTATAATAGCATATCAATTTTTGTAATATCAGAGAATCAAATATGCACATTAAAATAATGTAAAATTATTATCTAAACATAAATTGTACACAACGTAATCTCTGAAATTTAGAAAATCAAATGAATAATTGAAGTATCTATTATAGACTACATACGCAAGAACATACTTCAATATTAAATCCTTGACTCGCTAGAAAATACTAAATTGTTGTTCGAATTGTTTCGAGTTGAGTTCATATTTTTTCTTGGAAATCGTATACTTTATTAGCTTATAGTGTGTACATAATATATGTTATATGACTCTAAAATTAAAAGTTTAATAAATTTAAATCAGGAAATTGTGCTGACCACGCTATGAGTTTACTCATCTTATCCATCGATATAAAAAGAAGTTTAAAAATATCTATATTGTAAACAGCAAGGAATAAAGCCGAGCATTCTCTTTAATTTTCCCTAACTCGGAAACTATTACATACTATTGTTCTATACAACTTATATTCATATAATATTTTAGTGTATTAAATGTACTCGAAGTATTGCATTTAAAAACCATCCTGTTTTGATTTAATAATAAATTAATTAAATATTACTAAACTAATTAAATATTACTAAATTAATAAAATATTACTAAACATATCATAACAATAATATTAATAATAATAATAACAAAAACTTGTTAGATAATGAAACTCACCAAATTTATCAGTAAGGCGTTTAAAAGGCCGTTTGCACAAGAGCATAACAGTACGTGAGCAAATTGAATAATTATGATCAGCACATATACGTATGTTTGATTGAGATCAAATGGTAGGTTCATGTCCATAACGAGCGCTCGCGTGGAAGTATTGGAAATTTTGTCATCACCTGTGTGTTTCACGATAATATGGCTACTGTGTAAAATTACAGCCATAGAATAAAGGCCCAATGTCAGGTTAGCGAAACGTCGGGACAGTTTGGCGTTTCGTGTCATTACGGACATACTGAATTCCCTGCTGGAACACTTTTCTGAATCGATTGCCATCATCATTAACATGTTGCAAAATGTTCTACGGACAATTTTTGACTATTCGAGTCATATCACGAAAATGATAGCAACAAAGCCTTGTATAAATTAACAGTAAAAGAGTAAAAAATTATATGCATTTATTTAATTATTAAATACGTATATTATTTAATTTTATATTTTATATTTATAATTGGCAAGCGGTTTCCTTTACTGATAAAATTATTGCATGTCTTACCGTTGCTTACACCAGAAAGTAACAATTTTAATTATGATTATCGAGAATGTCATTGTTTCACCTAATATGCCCATCACTTCAAAAAACTCGATAGAATAGAAATGTATTATAATATATTGATAATGAAAAATTTGTTCGATTGCGAGCGCAATAATCCAGAATAATCTGCGTAGCGAAATACATGATGAGTCCGGCCAGATGCCGAAAATTCGAAGCCAAATTTCTATCGTCCGACTAAGTACATTTTCCACTTTCATACTTTTATTTTATTATTACTTTATTAATTTTTCTTAACGTTGATACACTGCTTTTGTTAAGACAATAATTTTAAACATTATCAGAGACACGTCCTATCGATCACATGATGTGGATGATACTGCAATTTTACACAGATTAAAAGCTTGAACAGAAAGACGAGCAGAACCCTCCCTCTAGCAACTGCTTATTAAATATTTTGATCGCCAAGCATACAGATTGCATCTGTTTTGTTGTGACATATCGATAAAAAACATTTCCGGGTGACTGATCTTCCTTCTCTTATTTCTCCCCGAATATGAATCGATGATGTAGAGCAGTGCGTTATTTTCTTTAATAATTCAAAAACAACACACGCAAACTTATACCGGACTTACATCTTAAATCGATAACTGTAAGAAAATTTTCAGTCTTTAAGAATTGCATGTGTTCAAAGAAAACAGACAATGTCTATCATTGTTAAATATTTATGCTTGAAAGAAAAGTAGAAGAATAAAAAGGCACTTATTATCTGAGAACAAATCTTAACCTTTTTTGTATCTTTCCGTCTTTTTTATCTTTTTATTTACCGTTTTCTCTTTTTCTGTAAATAATAATGAAGTAATATAGTTAAAACGCTATATGTATAGGAAAGATATAATGTTCACATAAAAGTTCGCGAAGTTGAAAATAGAGAAGAATATCGGATCAAGATTACTGAATCGATCTTATAAGGCTAATCTCGTATAAAAAGTCCGTTCCAAAATTTAACAAATATCTTGACAACAAAATAAATTGTGAATAATTTTAAATATAACAATTTAAATGTTATAATTGTAATAAAACGCAAGAGAGAGAGATTATTTTAAATATAATAATAAAACTGAGAGAGAGAGAAATTTATACATTGATTCAGAAGACAAATTATTTTGAAGAGTAATAAACTATATTGTAGACTCGAAGGGGAATATTTAGGTTATCCATCAATTCTTCAGATTATTGGTGCAAAAGTGCAATACAACATAACATATTGACTGATCTGTACAATGATTAACTTTCCGAATCAGAAGAGTTTGCACAGAGGAATTGGGATAGATATCAAAGATCCGAAAAACGAGTTTTAGGAAGAAGCACATCATGTTTATAATTGTTTTCGTAAGAAACAAGCCCTTTTACTATCATCTTGTAAAACATCAAGTATCGGTGAACATATTTACTTTCGAAACGTATTGCGAGGCAATTAAACATCGGAACGTCATTACAAAGGCGTATTTATTGGAATCGATTGATCATTAAATATTATTTTGTTATACCGAGCGATAAAATACGATTGCAACATACAAATATGTAATAATTATTTTTTTCGATGAAAAAGAAGAAAATTTACAAAATTATTTCCTCGCTTTATTTTCTCCCTTTTGCGATGCTGCAATACAATAATAGTAAATTGTTAATTTAAAAATGCAAATGCATATGCGTGTGGGGAATGTATAAGATTCGAATAAAACTCTGGCGAAAAAATAAAAAGAGATTCGACGGACAATTCGACGAACCTCATTTAGACATTTACTTTTGGACAATTTCGAATTTATTTTCTTATTCGCAACGAAAATATGTGTATGCGTGCAAATATGTAAGAGAAGAATGGTCAATAATATTGTAAAACAGATTTTGTCATGTCTTTAATGTTTTAATGTGCAAACTTTTTTTAATTAAATCATATTATCATTTTAATAATCAATTTTAAACTCTTATTAAAAAATATTTAATGTGTAAGATTTAGTTTCACTTTAATTCATCGCAAGTAGAACCGAAATGTATGAGGCTGAAGCCTTTATAATCTATAAAAATAAAATTTGTAGTAATTATGAAGATATGTGTGTATCTCAAAATAGGAAATATTAATATCTAAATTTAATACTTATTATATCTTTCTATGACTGATCTTTTTATAACGTAGTATAATGTAATAAGTAATACAATTAGTAATACAAAATAATTGTTTATAATGTATAATGTAAGTATATTTTATATAGTGAATAATATTTGTTTATTAAAAAAAAATATATAAAAATCAAATAACACGGACACGTATATTTTTGAGTATATACATTATAAAAATTAATTAATCGTATAGAAAATATAATATTTATATAATATAATATTTATGTATGCTCTAAAAAATAATAAAATTATTTTATCGCTATATGAAAGAATATAGCAATCTGCAAAAGTCATAAAAGATCTGTAAAAAATAAAGGTAAATACGTACTTATATATATACTTACACTGCTAAACCGTTCTAAAGACAAATTCGTAACTTTTCCAATTGTAATGGTTAATTGCGTTTGTGATCTCATTATTAAAAATGATATAATTCGGTTATTTTTGGAATTTGATTCATACCAGAACGAATTATACGCAGCATCTCCGATACTGTTGCTCTGTTGAACGAAAAAATTTTAATTATTTTCAAGAGTAAATAATAAATCTATTCATCTATTACTATAATAATCGTTCTAAAGATTAACCTTAGTACTTAAATATTCTCCAGCAAAACAGAATGCAAAGGCATCTATATTTACAACGAGATAAAATAATAGTGTTTTCATTATAATTTTTACAGCATCAGGTGTTTCAATTGACTGGAATATTAAAGATGATAATGAGAAAACAATAAAGGGAATAATCAATGATCGTAACATTTACGGATTTATTTTTAAAAGTCTTTGTACTCTTTTTTTATCGCAAAATTGTTGTATTGCAAAATGAAAGCGCTGCTTACCGTGACTATTACAAAACCCAAACAGCCGATAATTAAAGTATCTGATACGAATAGCGCTATCGCAATATTCGAAAACAGATCTTCAATGTGCCGTGAAAAGGTAATGATTTGTTGGTGTTTTTTAATTATTTTTTTTATCATAAAAAGATTCGGATTCTCGCATCTCTCTTTCATTGGAAAAACTTCCGTCAGCCATCCGCAAAGAATATCGATTTGACCACCTACATGTAGTGTCTAAGGAATACGATTATCAAAAAATTTTTTTATTTTATTATATATTTTTATAAGATTTATTTGTACTAGATAATTTATAAATATATGGCAATAATATTATTGTAATATTAAGGGATAAATGTACATAAAATAAATAAAAATATTATTTAAACATAGGTTGTACATATCATAGTTTCTGTGTTATGGAAAATTAGAAGAAATACTCGAAACTACGATATATACGATATGTACGATATGTACACAACTTAGAAACTATGATAAGTACGACTTACATTAAATTAATATTTCAATATACTACATTTATTCTTCGAAATATTGCCGTGTATTCATAAACCATCCAATACATTAGCAGTTGAATATAATTAAAATATTAATAAATATATAATAATAATAACAGAAATAATAATCATCATAAATATCATTATTGATTTATCATTATAGAATTAATAATAATAATTTAAGCAATAAAACTCACTAAATTTATCAATAAGGCATTTAAAAGGCCATTTGCACAGGCACATAACAGTAAATACACAAACTGAATAATTATAATCAGTTCATATATATATGTTTGAGCGAAGTCGAATGGTAGATCCATATTCATAAGGAGCGGTCGCGTGGAAGTATTGGAAGCTTTGTCGTCTGTCTGTTTTACGATAACACTACTGTAGATAATTATATTTATCGTATGAAGGGCTACCGTCACATTAGCAAAATATCGGGACAACCTAGCATTCCATGTCGTCACAAACATACTAAATTCTGCGTTGAGACATTTTTCCCAATCGATTGCCATCATCGTTAATACTTTGCCAAAAGTTCTACGGATAATTTTTTGATTATCATAATTATGAAAATGACCACAAAACATTGCATAAATCAACGACAAAGAGAAATTTACATATATTTATTTATTAATATTTATATTATTTATATTTAATTTTATATTATATTTCTTATTTCTACACACACACACACACACACACATATATATATATAATTGCTAAATGGTTTACTTTATTAATAAAATTATTGAATATCTCACCGCTGTTTACACCAAAAAATGACAAGTTTAATTAACAATATCGAAAAAGCTATTGTTTCACCTAACACGCTCATCACTTCGAAAAATTCAATAGAATGGAAATATGTTATAATATATTGATAATGAAGAATTTGCTCGGTTGCGAGCGCAATGATCCAAAACAGTTTGCGTAACGAAACACATGATGATTCTGGCCAGATACCAAAAATTCGAAGCCAAATTTCTATTGTTTGGCTAAGTACATTTTTTACTTTCATATTTTTATTTTATTATCGTTGTATTAATTTTTCTTAATGTTTGTACACCGGTTTTGTTAAGAAAATAATTTTAAACATTATCAGATATGCATCCAATCGATTGTATGATGTGCACGATACTGCAACTTTGTACAGACTAAATGTTTGAAGAAAAAAACGAACAGAATTCTCCCTTCAGCAACCGCTTATTAAATATTTTGATCGCAATGTACGTATTGCATATGTCTTCGTTATGTCACATCGAAAAAAAAGTTTCCGGGTATCCGATCTTCTTTCTCTTTATCTCTATCTTTCCCTCGGATGAATCGCTGATATAGCGCAGTGCGTTATTTCCTTTAAAAATTCAGTAAACAGACGCAAACTTACACCGGACATTAAATCATTCTCGGTTTGCAAGAACATTTTCAGTCCTCGTAAAAATTGCATATGTTCAAAGAAAAAAAGAAAATGTCTACCATTGTCATATATTTATAATTGAAAAATAAATAGAAGAAAGTACTTATAAAAAGTACTTATAATCTGAAAGTAAATCTTGACTGTCTCTTTCTCTCTTTGTATTTTTCTATTTTCGATTTGTTTCCTTTATCTCTATAAATAATAGCGAAGTAATGCAATTAAAATGCCACGCAGAAAAGATATGTCCACATAAAAGTTGACGGAAGCAAAGAAGAAAATCGCTGATTCAGGCTAATGAGATTAATATCACATAAAAAGCTCGTTTAAAAATTTGATAAGAAAACTTGACAAGAAAACAAATTCTGAATAATTTTAAATATTATAATGCAACGCGTGAAAAGGAGTATTTTAAATATGAATAAAACTGATTTATATGATTGATTGATCCAATTATTTTGGAGAGTAAAAAGCTATAGACTAAGAGGAAGTTAGATTGTCTATCAAGCCAGATTATCAGTGCAATACAACGTAAATACATTGAAAGATTTGTACGATGGCTAACGTTGCGAACCAGAAGAATCTGCGCAGAACGATGCATATCAAACCGAATATCAAAATCCGAAGAACAAGCTTTATGAGAAAAGTTGCTCGTCATCATTTTTGTAAGAAATAAACTGTTCCACTCATGGCTTATAAAACATGAAGTTGTTGACAGACGTTGTGTTTTTCTCAATTGAAACGAAATTAGAAAGCAATTTCTAACTAAAGATGGAAACTTTATTGCGAAAATGCACTGCACGTAATTGATTGAGATCGATCGATCATTAAATATTCTTTTGCTATCGGTATATAAATACGACTGTAACTATACATCACTATTACATCTCGATAAGAGTCAAAGAAAGAGGAAAATTTGTTGTTTCTACGCTCTGTTTCCTCTTTTTCTCGACGTTGCAGCGCAATAGCGGTCAATTATGCGAATTATTAGTTTAAAAATGCAAAATGCGAGCACAGAAAGTGTATTATGTTCGAATGAAACTCTCGCGGAAAAACAGAAAAATCGACGGAGAGTTCGACCTCATTTAATAAACATTGAATACAGGCTATTGATTTGCCTCCAAATAACCTCATGTTTATTCTTACTCCACAAATGTGCACGCACGTGCGAATGCGTACGATGCATGTAAGAAGAGAAAGATGAATAATACCACAAAATATTTTTTGTCATATTTTTAATTTTTTTATGTGCGAATTTTTTTTCAACTAAATTTCATCAGCATTTAATACTTATTAAACATTTGATCTCTCTACAAGATATAATTTCGTTTCAATATGTCGCGATTAAAATCGATATATACGAAGCTGAAGCTTTCATAATCTGTAATAATATTATTTACAATCACTATGAAGTACACGTGCATCTTGAAATAGAAAATATTAATATTTAAATATTTATGTCTGCTTATGACTGATTTTTATAATGTATAGTAAATATGTTTTAAATATATTAAATATATTATTTGATAATTATTAATTAGTATATCATTTAAGAAAACATGAAATATATATCAAAAATTGGCACATACGAGTATATGTAAAAATTTATTTTTCTTTAGAAGAATAATGTAATAAATATTTTTTATATTTTATAATTATTTAAAAATATTTATATCTTCTAAAAAAATAAATAAAAAATATTTTTTTATTGTTGAAAATAAATAATAATTTTTTTTTCGCTATATGTATGCGCTATATGTAAAACATAGCTGAGACGCTATAAAAGATTACTTTTAATATAAATATTTATGTACAGTAAACTTACACTGGTAAACCGCTCCATAGACAATTCCATGATTTTTCCAATTGTAATAGTTAATTGCTTCTGCGATCTCATTATCAAAAACACAATAAATTTACTCTCTCTGGAATTTCCTTCGTACCAGCAAGAATTATACGCAGCATCCCCAATGCTGCTAGTCTGTTAAACGAAAAATTACATGATTTTCAAAAGCAAATAATATATCCAATTATTTATCGCTGACATAATATTTGTTCCAAAATTTGAACCTTATTAGTTAGATATTCTCCAGCAAAGCAGTAAATAAACGCTTCCATACTTGAAACGACATAAAATAAAATTGTTCTCATTATAATTGTTAGACCATCGGGCGTTCCAATTGACTAGAATATTAAAGAAAGGCCTAATGAAAAAGCGATAAGTAAGTGAATGATTAAAAGCAATTTACATTTTTCACGTTGCAGATTTATCTCTACAAATCTCCACGCTGCAAGATCAAGGTGTTGCTTACCGCGACGAGTATGTAACCCAAACAGCAAATAATTAAAGTATCCGACACGAACAGCACCATCGCGATATTCGTGTACATTTCTTCGATGTATTCTGAAAATGTAATGATTCGCTTATGCTTTTTGATTACTTTTTCTACTATCAAAGGACTCAGACTGCTTTCCTCGGACAGCCTTCTTTCCGTTGGAAACATTTCCATTAACCACTTACGAAGAATATCGATTTGACCGCCTACATGCAGTATCTAAAATATATAAATTTCTCAATCACTATGCTTAGAAATCGCTAAAGAATATTTTAATATTCGGATTAAATTTGTGATACAACATTTCTGGAAGTTTGAAAAGTAAGTCTCTGAGCACATATAGGTGACAAAATTATTAACATTATTTTTATATACATATATTCAGAATGATTTAAAAATGCATAGCAATACATTAATACATGGGATAAATGTACACACTAAAACAAATAAAATATGTTTTTTGATTATATATTGTACATACCATAGCTTCTGAGTTATCGGAGATTAAAGGAAATGCTCAAATAATCCGCCTTATGCAACATACGTTACAACACGCTTTAATATCGAGTCACTCGCTGGAAAATGCCAGGCGTTATTCGAATTGTTTCGAATTTATTTCGTATGGTTTCTTACAAGTCATGAACATTATTAATTTGAATTGCATACATAAAATATAAGATTTTAAATGAAAAAAAATAAAGCTCTAATAAATTTAAATTAGAAGGTCTCCTATATTATAAATTTATCTTATACCATTCATTGATGTGAAAAAAATTGTTTAAAATTATTCGAATTGCAATAAGAGAGTGAAATCGAACATTTTTTAAATCTTTTATAATTCAAAAATTATAATATATATAATTTATATTTTCAAATAACATTTTTCTTTTTTTTTAATGTATACATTTAATGTATATATTTTCTCTAAAATATTGCCGTGCATTTATGAATTATCCTGTATATCATATATCAATAATAGTTAATAAAATGCTAATAAATATTAATAAATGTATAAATATATATAAATATATAATAATAGCAATAATATTGATAATAATAATAATAATTATTATTATTATTATTATTTTTTTTTTTTTGTTTTTTTTTTAAACAATAAAACTCACCAAATTTATTAATAAGATATTTAATAAGCCGTTTATATAGGCGCATAATATTAAATGAATAAATTGAATAATTAGGACCGACACGTATACCCATGTTCGACTGAGATCAAATGGTAAGTCCATGTTCATAACCAATGGTCGCGTGGAAGTATTGGAAGTTTGTTCATCCATAAAATTAGTATATACATTGCTAATATGAAATAATACGGCTATCGTATAAAGGATAATTGTCCCATTATTGAAACGTCGACACAGATTAGCATTATGTGTCGTCGTGATCATACTAACTTCATCGATGATACGGTTTTCCCAATCAATTGACATCATCGTTAATATCCTAACGAATGTTCTAGGGATAATTTTCGATTGATCATTATCGTGAAAATTATTGCAACAAATCGTTGTATAAATTAAAGATGACATAGAAATTTATCGTTATATTCGCTTAATATCTTTAATATCTTTCCTTAATAATTAATTATATTTATTAATTTTTTTTCATTTAACTTTATGATATTGTTTATAATTGCTAAACAATTAATTTTACAAACTTTTAAGTAACAAACATTGAAATCAAATTTACAAAAAGATAATATGTTACTAAGATAAGTTTTATAATATTACTATAATAAATTTTCACAGTCTAACAATAAAATAATCTTCTGTCAATATTGCATCGCTATATATATTAATATATATCATATTAATATATATATATTATATATATATATATATATTAATATATATCATATTAATATATATTAATATATATCACTATATATATTATATCACTATATATTATTGTCTCACCTCTTTTTAACCCAAAAAATGATAATTTTAAGAAACATTATCGTATATGTCATTGCTTCACTTAAAAATTTCATCACTTCGAAAGGCTCATTAGTATAGAAATGTACTACGATCCACTTATATTCAAGAACTTGCTCCATTATGATTGCAATTGTCCAGAATACTCTACGTAACGGAATATGCGACGCGTCCGGCCAGATACCAAAAATTCGAAGTAAAATTATCATTGATTTACTAAGCGAGCTGTCTTTCATATTTTTGTTTTATTATCACTTTTCTTAATTATTCTTTTTTCAACGTTGATACACCGATTCTGATAGGACAATAAGTTTACATTATGAAAGATACATCCAATCGATTGTATGATGTATACGATATTGAATCTTTGTACAGACTGAAAGCTCAGAACGATGTAAAAAAGGAGCGAGTAACTGTCGGTAAAAAAAAGCTTTCGCGATCTTTCTCTCTCTATTTCTATCTTTCTCTTTCTCTCTTTCTCGGGTAAGACATAGCACGCAGTGCGTTATCTTTTAAAAATTCAAGCAACAACAGATCACACGCAAGCTTATATCGAACAAGCTTAAACTATGGTCAGTGACTATAAGAAAAGTTTTGTGGTTCTATAAGGGGATTTTTCGAGAAGGAGGGAAGAAACGACGGAGTTTCCCTCTTTGAGATTTTATTTGCTCAATGTCGAAGGAAGTCTTCACGTATGTTATAGTGAATACTACAATGAAAAATATCAGTCGTCCAATTTCGGATGAAACGCGAGGTGTATGTCAGATATAAGTTTGTGCGCAATAATCGTGTAAAAAAAACTAGAAACTGAAAAGACGAGGAAACGAAGAAACTGAGAAAAGTTTTATTTCTGCGTCAATTTTCATAGGCACAGTATAATAAAATAAGCTAATAATAAAGATAAAGATATAATATAAACTTAAAAGAATATCACAAGACGAAAGAGAATACATTAATTTTCTCGAAAACATTATGATTTTTATATAACATTTATTTAAATATTGTGAGAATCTAAACGTGTAATGCAACGATGTACGCAGAGTGTTTATGAAAGTGTTTCATACTGGTACTTCATATACTGCTATAACATATTTGCATGAAAGAAAAGATATAATTGTATGTGAAATAAATTATATAAAATATAAATGCACAATTATATATTCAAAATAACAATAATAATAATTAGAATATTGTTATCATGATTCTATTATATATTGTTTTATCTATTGTATAACAGTTACCATGAAATATTACATCACCATAAAGAATGATACTATCAAAATTTTATCAATCGAGATAAAATTTAGGCTTCAGTATATTGCCAATAGTACAGACACATATGATGCTGATATCTTTAATACCTATAATGTTAATTACTAGTGACATAATATATTATGAATATGTGAATTTTAATTGATTAATCCAATTAATAAAATCAGTTTAATTTTATAAAACTATAGCACAATTTACGTTTAAAAATTAAATTTTTCTCACTAATATGTCTCATAGTTATTCGATAAAATAATAAATTCTTGTTTTAACATTAATCAAATTCTTTTACTGTTTATAAATATAAATATAATTTAATATAAGTGTCTAAAATTTATGTTACAAAGTGGAGAAAAAAAAGGAGGAGAAAAATGAAAACTTACGCTGGTAAAACGTTCTAAGGAGAGATCCATGATTTTTCCAATCGTGATGGTCAATCGTTTCTGTGATCTCAGAATTATGAGATGTATGATTTGACTCTGTTTAGACGTAACGTCGTACCAAAGAGAATCATAGGCTGCATCTCCGATCATTTTGCTCTAGAAGAGAAACAAAAGATAGATTCAAGAGGATGATTAGGAATTCTCACGAATGTCGCCGCATGAATTCTCGGCTAACCTTGGCAGTCAAGTATTCACCAGCGAAACAATATATGAACGCTTCAAGATTCATCACGAGGTAATATAATACGGATCTTACTAGAATCGCCAGGCCACCAGGTGTATTAATCGACTGTAATACCGAACGGATTATTTAAAATCATTAGATATGTTTCTATGTGTGTTGTAATATCTATCTGTTATGTTAATATTCTGTTATATTAATTAATATTATTCTGTTAATATGTCAATGAATCTCTCGAGCGCGTTTTCTAGTAGTTACTGTGTCTAAAATGCGAGAGAAAATAATATGAAACGCACAAGACTTTATATTTTTGAGTCGGGACAGAACAGTGATTTCTAAACATCATACACAAAGTGTACTTTCTCTCGGAGAAACGGTAATAAGCACTGTGGCAATGATTTTTGCTGAATGTTACTCACAGTGACGATAATAAATCCTAAACAGCATATAATGAGAGTATCCGACACGAACAGTATCAACGCGATGTACGTGTAAAGGTTTTCGATATTTTCTGAAAACATAATGATCCGCTGGTGTTTCGTGATTAGCATTTTCATTGTTATCCTGTCCACGGTGATCATATTTTTGGAAAAGGCCTTCAGCAACCAGTCGCGAAGGATATCGATTTGACCACCGATGTGTAATATCTAAGATCCACAGGACAAGTGAACGATAATAAACCGCGATCTCATTTTTTAGAGGCTGAATAATGTTGCAAACTCACCAGAGTGATGATGAGTGAATTGATCACAGAAATCGCCAAGCCACACATCATCAGATGAAAGAACTCGAAGATCGTAACGAGCGTATAAACAGGAAATGTGTTTACCTTGAATGGTAGCTTCATCTTCAGGATGTGCTCCCGCGCAGATACATTCATTCTCTGAACGTCACCAACGTTGACGGCGAGAACGCCACAACTGTATAAAGTTATGGCGATCATTTGAAGGCCGATGATCCAATTCGAAAAGCGATACGAGAGTCTGGCCTTGTTCGATGTAATGCGCAGACTGCACTCGGTTAAAACGCAATTCTTCCAATCCATGGCCATCATTTGCAACATATCGGAGAATGTTCTACGATCGAATCAAATTTCTCGCGATGTGTGCTTATTTAACACTAATATCTACTATTTTTTTAGATAAATATATACACACAAGAATATGAGATGAAATAATAATGTAACGGAAGATAATAATAACATCTATAACATCTTATATACAAATTCACAAAATAATGGATTCAATAATTGATATAAATTTTGATAAGATATGCACGTGTGTATCTGTATAATTTTCTTGCAATATTCATATTATATAATTATATAATTTTACTACAGGATAAAATAGCGACACAAATCTTACCGCTCGTTAATCCACAAAATAGCAAGTTTCATAAACAGTAGACTGTATGTCATAGCGCTGCTCATTCCGTCCATAAAATTAGAGAAACTATCGGTGTGATAGTTTATTAACACGTAGCGATATTGAAAGATTTGAGCCGCGCTCAAAAGCACGATGCACAACAATCGGCACAAAGCTGTCGACGGTAGATACGGCCAAATACCATAGGTGCGAAGACCGATCTTCACCACGCGACTAACCGTGCTCATCTCCATGTTTTCCATAAATAAAATGATGCGTCGAGGATATGCGCACGAATTGTCAAGTAATTTTACGCCAGAAAATCCGGAGAGGTGGAATTGAAATAGTTCCATGTCGCTGACACGCAAAAAAAATGTTCACCAATCGAATAACTCGTTAAATATTCTCTATCGCCACGTATGTGTCGCGAACTTTGACAAACTCGATGGTATCACGTGCGACAGTCACACGTTGCAACTGCGTGAATTTGGAAAATAGGGAGCTAAGGAAGAGCTTTTTTTTCTTCCCTTCTTGAAGTTAAGTTTCAGGACGATGCAACTGTAGATTAAAAATGTAACAATGCCTACAGTAAGCTCGGGAGTTTACAGCTTCCATGACCTGCGCGATAAACACGCAGTTGCAAAGTTTCCCTGTTGTTGAGGGAGCGTTATGAAGGGTGGAATATGAAAACGCGGGAGTTTGTTCTGACGAGAGTGACTAAGATTACGTGTTCGTACCGCGATACGTGACAGAATACACTCCCCTTGGTGAAGAAAGATAAAAAGTTCATCGCACTAGGTTTTTCTCTATAAAACGAGTGGATACTTAAAAATATTATTTTTTACGTTGCGCCTTCAATTCTTCAAACTTGATAAAACTGAAGAAATAAATTTAAAATTACATAGCAACGAAGGAAGATGGATCTAATTATGAAAAAAAGGGTCCTTCTACTTGCGATATTTCGAATGAAACATGAACGTAAATCAGACGCGAATCTATGTGTAACGATCGTAAAAAGTAATCCGGAGCTTAAGAACATAGATCTAAAGAAAAATAAAAGAGAGTAAAATTGCTAAAATAGTTTTCAGCACTATTTTTTTTTGCCAAGCATAGACAAGCAAAAATCTTTAGGAAAACAAGTAAAACAATTTAGATCTTACTTGAAAAATATCTATGTTATTAACAATAACGTGAAATATCTGACCAATGAAAAACCTTCACAATACAATTTTGCTATGTAATTTTCTTTTCGGTTTTGCATTAAAAAATATAATAGCAAAGTCGAATGCAGCTTGAATTACTTGCAACTCGTGAGAAATAAATGGAGAAGCATTATGTGAAACAAACTTCATATATTTATTCTGATATATTTATTCTGATATATTTTATCTTATTTTATATTATTCTGAAATCTATTGTTGACGCACTTTTGCTTCATATTATTGTTACAACATTGTCCCAATACGTCTTCCCAATAATACTTCGAAGATCATAATTGGTAGGTTACGTGAAGGATCAAGCAAATTGACTCTAGAAGTTGAAGTGAAATTGACGAAAAAGATATTCAATGAGTGATCTATCCTCCTTATTAAGATGAATATATCGTAATTTTGTTTTCACGTTTCTCTCTCTCCCTCTCTCTCCCTCATGCTATACATATAATCTTAAGCTTTAAAATAATATAGAAAATATCTAGAAAAAGTATAATTAATGAATAGATAAGTATTCACAATAATTTTTGTTCTTATTATATGATTAGTTTAATTTTATAATATAAAGAAAGAAAGTAATATTATACATGTATCCAGTTTAAAAAGGAATATAAGAATCTGGTTCTATTCGTTATAATCCGTAAATTATACTCGATTAAAATGTAATTCTTCTAGTCCATGGCCATCATTTATAATATATCGGAGAATGTTCTACGATGGGATTGGACTCATCTCTCGCAATGTGTGCTTATTTAATATTAATTCTGTGCTTATTTAATAATAATTCTTTTTTTAAGTAAATATATAAACATAAGAATATGGACAAGATAATAGTGTCATACCTTATACATATTTTGCTCTTAAAAAAATTAACAAAATAATGGATTTAGGAATTGAGATAAATTTTGACAAATATGCACGTCTCAACACATATATATGTATAATTTTTTTGCATCATCAAATTATATAATATTATTTTACTGGGAAATAAATGGAGAAGCATTAAAATAAGCTTGATATATTTTTATCTTATATATCACTCTATGTACTCTCTACTATTCATAAAACTATTGCTTCATATTATTGTTACAATTACTCTCTACTACTGCTGTATTCATGAACTATAGCTTCATATTATTATTACACCCATTGTCGCAAAACATCTTACTTACCTTCAGTACATCGCTAATAATAGTGATAGATATGATGCTGAAGCTTTTATAACCTATAAATCAAATTATTGTTGTGCACATAATCTTTCAAATATGAATAATAATAACACAAAAGAGAATAAAAATAAATAAAAAATAGCATGTGGAACAAAGTTATCTGTACAATTTTAATGTAGCAACTTTTTGACATGTCAGTTTCTATAATTTAAACTCTTTCGTAATCTGTGATTAATCTTAAGAAATTAATAATAATATAATTTATTTTTACTAGCTGCACACAAGAAATAAGGATATTCATGTATAATTAGTATTAAAATCTTGAGAAAATGACGTTTATAAGAATATAAAATCTGTCAGAGATATTCAAATTTTATGTTATGCAGCAGTTGTAAATGAAACAATAATAAATAAATTAAGTTAAATCTTACGCTAGTAAAACGCTCCAAAGAGAGATCCATGATTTTTCCACTCGTGATCGTCAATCTTTTCTGTGATCTTAAAATGACAAATAATATAATCCGACTTTGTTTGGACGGAAAGTTGTACCAGAGAGAATCATACGCCGCATTCGCGATCATTGTGCTCTGAGAAACAAATTAATAAAGATTGAGAAACGAATTAATAAAATTTTTTACGAAATAACAAGTATTTTTCTCAAAGATAACCTTGGCGCTCAGATATTCGCCAGACAAGCAGTATATAAATGCTTCGATGTTTATCGTGATATAAAACACCACGGACTTCACCAAGATTGCTGCAACGTTGGGCATATCTAACGACTGTAATTTCCACATACATTGACAATTTAATATATCTTGATACGAATTTTTTATACAACGATACGATATTTGTAACCCATATTTTTTCCGATAACTTTTTATGCATTATTTATGTCTATAAAACATTGGTCATTTTAAACTTACAGTGACGATAACATATCCGAGACAGCATATGATGATTGTGTCCGATAAGAGTATAATAAATGCGATATATGTGAAAAGATTCTCGATGCATTCTGAAAATATGATAATTTGTCGATGCTTCGAGAGCAACGATTGTATCGTAATCTCCTCCGAATCTACCGTACTCTTGGAAAACACTTTCATCAATCGTTCGCGAAGAATATCGATTTGACCACTGACGTGAAGAATCTAAAATTTACATATTGATAGTTTTCTTAAGAAGATTAATAATTGTTTTTTCGAAGATAAATCAAGACAAAATATAAATTGCCATTTTTTTAGCTATTCACATCTAATTTTAGATAATATAAAATTGGAAACATTTATTATTGGCTAACTCAAATGAATTCGAAATTTAAAAAAAATATTTTACATTGTGTAATTATGTTGCAGAAGTAATATTTTAAAAATTAAATGTTTGAAAGATTTTTACGAATTGGACAATCTTAAATTTATAGAGACAGATCTAATGAAATATATGGAAAACAATATTAAAAGTATGATTGGACTAATTCGTCTTGTGTAAAAGATTTAATTATATAAATGCCAAATATATCGCATATAAATATCGAACTTACCAGAGTAACGAGAAGCGAGTTGACCGTTGTGATGCCGTAGGCGACTAAAATCAAGTGATAAAATTGAACACTTTGAACCGCTGCATAAATAGAATTCGTACTAATATTAAATGGTAATTCCATCTTTAGGATAAGTTCCCGTTTGTATGGTTCCTCTTTATCCATGTTATTGGCAAGGACGCCGCCGGCGTAATTGAATACGGAGAATATCTGTAGACCAATGATCCATCTCGAGGCACGTTGTGCGGCATTTGCCGTTTTTGCCATTATGCGCAAATTATAGACAGTGTCCTGCCGATCCTGCCAGTCCGCGGACATCATTTGTAACACATCGAAAAATATTCTACGGAAGATTCGGATTCACACCGTGCGTGTTAACGCCTGTTTCACTTTCAGCCCGCGTGAAATTGAATCGAAACTAAATTGCGACTCCGAATTCATTTCACAATATATCAGAAAAAAAAACAAACAACTTGTGCAATAGTAAGCTTCGTTTACTCTTCATTTACTCAGATCGATTAATTAAAATTAAAAAATTTAAATTCAACAAGATTGATTTTTTAATTGGTGATTTCGGTAACTAACAAAAGAAATTAGTTTTTTGTAATGTATTCTATAACATGCGAGATTTGTGTAGTATTTTGTAAATGTATCATACCGTTGATTGGACCAAAGAAGAACGAGTTTGATGTAAAGTAGGGAGGAAGCCATCGCGCTACTTATTCCATCCATTAATTCTGAGAAATCGTCCATATAAATGTTTACTATGACATATCGGTATTGAAAGACTTGAGCCGTGCTTAACATCATTATCCAGTATAATCTAAACAGCACAGTGGACGGTACATACGGCCAGATGCCGTAAATATGAAGACTGAATTTAACGAGTCGGCTGATCGTGGACCGCATTTTTATTTTCTTGAAACGGCACTTCGGGATCGACGAATAATTTGCTAACGTTATTACCTGTCCACAGATCAACAACCGAACCGTGTCATTGACCACTGACTCAATCACTACTAGTAAAATATATATTTCTGTTGCGAAAAAACTTTAACTGCAATATTATGCACCACCCTCGAAAATGATGCTCCCCCTCGATCCCTCCTTCGCGATGCAATTGCACGCTCTCGTTAAAGATGCAACAGGCATGGGGAACAGGAAAAAACTTAGTTTCCGCGGACGACGATGTTGAAAAGTTTTGCTGCTAGGGGAATACGTGAAGAAAAACATCGCAAAGAAAGCGAAGATATATTGCAAAAGTTTCTTACGATGAAAAGACTGATTCGAAGGTCATAGTTGGTATTGTAGGTTGCGTGAAGAATTAAGCAGAATGGCGGTGACGCTAGAAATTGAAGAGACGAAGAAGATATCCAACGAGTGATCTATCTTCCTTATTAAGACAAATACATCGTAACATTGTCTTCACATTTTCTCGTGCTGCATTTATAATTGTAAGTTTTAAAATAATATAGAAAATATCTAGAAGAAATATCCTTAATGATAAATAAATAGTCACAATAATTTTTTATCTCATTATACAATTAATTTAATTTTATAATACAAAGAAAGGAAGTAATGTATATAGTAATGTGTATGTATCCAGATCGAGAAGCGATACGAGAGTTTAACTTTGTTCGTCGTAATCCGTACATTGTACTGATTAAAATGTAATTCTTCTAGTCCATAGCTATCATTTACATCAATATATCGAAGAATGTTCTACGATGGGATCGGACTCATTTCTCGCAATGTGTTTATTTATTACTAATTTTTTGTGCTTATTTAATAATTCTTTTTTTTAAGTAAATACATAAACACAAAAATATGTATGACAAGATAATAGTGTCATACCTTATACATATTTTGCTCTTAAAAAAATTAACAAAATAATGGATTTAGTAATTGTGATAAATTTTGACATAATATGCACGTCTCAACACATATATATGTACATATTTTTTTTGCATCATCAAATTATATAATATTATTTTACTGAGAAATAAATAGAGAAGCATTAAAACAAACTTGATATATTTTTATCTTATATATCACTCTTTGAACTCTACTATTCATGAACTATTGCTTCATATTATTGTTACAACATCTTACCTACCTCATACTATTGTTAAAACATCTTACCTACCTTCAGTACATCGCTAATAATAGTGATAGATATGATGCTGAAGCTTTTATAACCTATAAATCAAATTGTCGTTGTGCACATAATCTTTCAAATATGAATAATAATAATACAAAAGGGAATAAAAATAAGTAAAAAATAGCATGTGGAACAAAGTTATCTGTACAATTTTAATGTAACAACTTTTTGACATGTCAATTTCTATAATTTAAACTCTTTCGTAATCTGTGATTAATCTTAAGAAATTAATAATAATATAATTTATTTTTACTAGCTGCACACAAGAAATAAGGATATTCACGTATAATTAGTATTAATTAAAATCTTGAGAAAATGACGTTTATAAGAATATAAAATCAGTCAGAGATATTCAAATTTTATGTTATGCAGCAGTTGTGATAAATGAAACAATAATAAATAAATTAAGTTAAATCTTACGCTAGTAAAACGCTCCAAAGAGAGATCCATGATTTTTCCACTCGTGATTGTCAATCTTTTCTGCGATCTTAAAATGATAAATAATATAATCCGACTTTGTTTGGACGGTAAGTTGTACCAGAGAGAATCATACGCTGCATTCCCGATCATTTTACTCTGAAATGAAACAAATTAATAAAGATTTAGATTTAGATTAGGAAACGAATTAATAAAAATTTTTACGAAATAATAGGTATTTTTCTCAAAGATAACCTTGGCGCTCAGATACTCGCCAGACAAGCAGTATATAAATGCCTCGAAGTTTATTGTAATATAAAACACCACAGACTTCACCAAAATTGCTGCAACGTTGGGCATATCTAACGACTGTAATTTCCACATACATTCAAGGCCATTGACAATTTAATATATCTTGTTACGAATTTTTTATACAACGATACGATATTTGTAACTCATATTTTTCCGATATCGATAACTTTTTATGCATTATTTATGTCTATGAAACATTAAAGGCGTCATTTTAAACTTACGGTTGCGATAACATATCCGAGACAACATATGATGATTGTGTCGGATAAAAGTATCATAAACGCGATATATGTGAAAAGATTCTCGATGCTTTCCGAAAATACGATAATTTTTTGATGCTTCACGATCAATGATTGCATCGTAATCTCCTCCGAATCTATCACACTCTTAGAAAAAGCTTTCATCAATCGTTCGCGAAAAATATCGATTTGACCACTGATGTGAAGAATCTAAAATTTATATATTGATAGTTTTCTTGAGAAGATTAATAATTGTTTTTTCGAAGATATATCGAGAGAAAATATAAATTGCAATTTTTTTAGTTACTTACGTTTAATTTTAGATATATTATAAAAATATAAACATTTATTATTGGTTAACTTTTCAAACGAATTCGTAACTTTAAAAAAATATTGTACATTTTTTAATTATGTCACAGAGATAATATTTTAAAAATTAAATTATTGAAAGATTTTTATAAATTAGACAATCTTAAATTTATATAGAACAGATCTAAAGAAATATATGGAAAGCGATGTTATAACACAGACAGCATAAAAAGGCCAAAAGATGTCTTAAAGACGTCTAGAGGACTTTAAGAAGTCTTTAAGTCGTCTTTTAGATGTCTTTTGGACATGTGTGTTGTCTGGGAAGTTGAAGAAAGATGATTGGATTTGACTTGTTTAAAAGATTTAATTATATAAATATTAAATATATCGCATATCGAAACTTACGAGAGTAACGAGAAGCGAGTTGATCGTCGTGATGCCGCAGGCGACGAAAAACAAGTGATAAAATTGAACACTTTGAACCGCCGTGTAAATAGAATTCGTACTAATATTGAATGGTAATTCCATCTTCAAGATAAGTTCCCGTTTGTAGGGTTCCTCTTTATCCAAGTTATTGGCAAGGACGCCAGCAGTGTAATTAATTACAGCGAATATCTGCAGACCAATGATCCATCTCGAGGCGCGTTGTGCGGCATTTTGCGTTTCTGTCATTACTCGCGAATTTATAGTGTCCTGCCGATCCTGCCAGTCCGCGGACATCATTTGTAACAGATCGAAAAATATTCTACGGAAGATCGGGTTCACACCGTGCGTGTTAACGCCTGTTTCACTTTCAGCCCGCGTGAAATTGAATCAAAACTAATTTCCGGCTCCTAATTCACTTCATAATATATCAGAAAAAAAACAGACAACTTGTACAATAGTAAGTTTCGTTTACTCTTCATTTATTCAGATCGATTAATTAAAAAATTTAAATTCGACGAGATAGATTTTTTAATCGGTGATTTCGGTAACGAATAAAAGAGTTTAGCTTTTTGTAATGTATTCTATAACACGCGAGATTTGTAGTATTTTGTAAATGTATCATACCGTTGATTGGACCAAAGAAGAACGAGTTTGATGTAAAGTAGGGAGGAAGCCATCGCGCTACCTATTCCATCCATTAATTCCGAGAAGTCGTCCATATGAATGTTCACTATGACGTATCGGTACTGAAAGACTTGAGCCGTGCTTAGCATTATTATCCAGTACAATCTAAATAGCACAGTGGACGGTACGTACGGCCAGATACCGTAAATGTGAAGATTGAATCTAACGAGTCGGCTGATTGTGGTCTGCATTTTTATTTTCGTGAGACGGGAGGATTTTGAGGATTGATCGACGAATAATTTTGCTAACACTAAAATCTGTCCGCAGATTGACAGTCGAACCGTGTCATTGACCGACTCAATTACTACTTGTTAAATATTTATTTCTGTTGTAAAAGAACTCTAAGTATAGTATTATGAACCACGAAAATGACGCTCCCCCTCGATCCCTCCTCTTTCTGATTGCGATGCAATTGCATACTCTCTTTAAAAATGCAACAGGCATGGGGAGCAGGGGAAAACTCAGTTTCCATGGACGACGATGTTGAAAAGTTTTGATGTTGGGGGAGCACGTCGTAGAAAAGAACGTTGGAAAAGAAAGCGAAGACATATGGTAGGAAAGTCTTGCGATGGGAAGACTAGTTCGAAGGTCACAGTTAGTGCTGTACGTTGCATGGGAAGGAGCAAGCAGTTCGACGGCAATGCTACAGACTGAAGCACATGACGAAGAAGACGATCAACAAGCAATTTCTTCTCCTTATCATAAGGCGAGTATGTCGCTATATGATACTGTATGTAACTTTATTTTCACGTTTTTTTCATACTACACATCTATATAAATATATGTATAATCATAAGTTCCCAAAATTAAATAGAAAATATGTAGAAAAAATTTAGAAGAAATCTAGAAAAAATATCGTTATTGAATAGATAAATAATCATAATAATTTTTTATCTTATTACGCGATTAATTTCCGTATTGTATATAAAGAGAAAAAAGTAATATACAAGAAAAGTAATATACATATATATTTCATAATGGTGCTTGTATTGCATATATGTATATGTATACTTTGTATTTACTTCAAGAACAGAATCTTTTAAGATCTCAAGAACAGAGTATTTTAAGGTAAAATAATGCTTTAAATGACTAAATTAAATAATTTTATTTTGACTCTTATCAGGATTAGTGAAATACATTGATTAAAAGATCCCATTTAGATCAGTATTTATAACTCCCTTTTTATGCTCTGCGGGCAAAGTAAAGTTGTCAGAAGAATCGATGCTTTGGTAAACGATACTCCTGCTCATCTACATGCATACACTTGATGTAAAACCCCGTCGAGTCTCTGAATAGGAAAATTGTTAATCGTGTAAACAGCTGGCGGTAGGAAAAGAGTACTACATATATCCTTTTCTGCACGCGAGGTCGTAAGCGACGCGTAAAGTACGATATACTTCAATACATCGCGTGTAACACCGATACATATGACGCTGATGCTTTCACGATCTACAACATGATACATACGAGCAATTACGATATGCATGCATATTATGCAGTATGATCAAAGAACGTCACTCAATTGTCAAAACATCAATCATGATAAGAGTCTATCATACGTGTAAAAAATAGGATTTTAATAAATGATCTTATCATCTTAATCTTATCTTATTAAATTTTTACGTTTGCAAATTCTTGCAAAGAAAGATCCATAAACTTTCCAGCCGTGAGTGTCAAGTGCTTCTGCGATCTTACAATCATTAAAAGAATATTTCGATTCAAATTCGGATTTGATTCGTACCAAAGTGATTCATACGCCGCATCGCCGATCATTCTGCTCTGTAACAAAATGTAACAAATTTTTATCTTACAATTAATATAGCATCCGTAATATATTTTACAACGTGTATTGCATACTGACTTTTGTGCTGAGATATTCTCCGATGAAACAGAAGATAAATGCGTCTAAGCAGATGACAACATAAAATAAAATGGATTTCACTAATACTGCCGATCCTCCCGGGACACCTATTGACTAAAAATTTTGAAGTATACGTAAAGAGATTAAAATTACATTATATTTATAGAATACTCACAATCACAATAAGGAATCCTAAACAACAGATAACTAAAGTGTTTGAGACAAATTGTATTAGAGCAATGCTTGAATACAAGACCTCGATATCCTTGGAAAACGAGATGATTCTCTGATGACGAATGATCAAAGTCTTCATAATAGTTTCGGTAATATCTCGTTCAGTGTTCTTTTGTGTAATTTCACTCAACTTATGGCGCATTATATCGATCTGCCCACAGGCGTGAAGCACCTATAAATGTCACTGCTCGGTTTGATTTTACGCTTCATAAAAAACATGAAATATTCTACATAGCTTGCATTAGTTTATTTCACAGATTAAAAAAGAATAACTCATTAATTATTAGAATTTATTATTGTACTTGATATTGTTTAAAATTTCTTTCATAGTGTTATATCGCAGCTGTATTTCTTTGCAGAACGATTAAAAAGACTTACTAATATTATCAATAAGGAGTTTAATACGCCTGTTGTACTGGCCGCACTGATCTGATGAATAAACTGTGTAATTAAAACAATGATATATACCGATGTGCTCTTCATTTCAAAAGGTAATTCCATCTTGAGAATGAGCTCTCGAGCATCGGTCTGATTGTTACTATTATACCTAAGTAGAGTACCAGTAGCATAGAGGAACACTGATATCATGTACATGGTAATTATTAAGTTGGAGAACCGACGAGAGAGGTAAGCTATTCTGGTCATTGTGTACTCTTCGGAGACATCATGTCTCTTCCAATCTTCGACTATACGCGTTATGATTTCATTCAGCAGACTATAACATTTGAACAAACATTAAACAATATATAGAGAGACAATATGGATTATTTCGCGATATTATTACGAAGCAAAGTATTATATTATTACGAAGCAGATTATTAAGAAAATTATTTTTACAATTTACAAGAATATGAAGATCCAGGATTTGCTCGTTTTGCAAACCATACTTAGCTATGAGGAAACTTACTGAGCATTGCATGCGAAAATTATCAATTTAATTAATACAAGACTGTAAGCCAGAGTTATGCTCAATACGTCCATCAGAATAAAAAGATCCTCTTTGCCGAAATGCATGATTAAATATCGATACTGAAAAGTCTGAAACACCACCATTGAAGATATGTACAAAATTCGGCGCAAAATTGCGTACGACGTGTCCGGCCATACGCCGATTGCACGTAGACCAAATTCCACGGAGTGACACACGGTATTCGTCGAATCAATTTTTTCATTACTCATTAAACCGGAATAAATTCAATTTATGACACAAAGCACTAATCTTAGCGATTTCCGCTCTCTTGTCGATTTATGGACAAGGTTATAATAGAAGGTGGCAAGATTCGCATTAACCCAGATTTATCTACTTTGTACGATTGTCGAGATGTAATTTTATTTTGCACAGAAACTGAAATGCGATTGGACGTCGAATCTCGTAACGTCATTGATTAGAAGAGAAGCATCGAAACTTCTGGTTGCAGAATCGATATAGTCTTTTTCTAAATGTGACTGAACAGTCAGTCGAGAGGTCTGCGCGAGACTGTAAAATTTTCTGTAGATTCAGCACTCGAACTCCCACCCCAACCACAGACAACAAGTAAAGATCGTTCATTTCGTATTTCCCTCGCATAATTATTGCCATCTTGGAAGTCGCAATAAAAAATATAAAATGATATTTCTCCAATAGTTACAGCGATTGTAAAAAAAGAAAAACTCATGCAAAGACGTCCATGCATTCTATTGTGTACGTATCGCTCGGTTGCCATCTATCATTTGCATTAAAAATGTAAAGCGAACGTTCACTACTTTCATGTGGTAAAAGACTTGCGCTGCATTGAGCATTATAATTTTGTATAATTTAAATAGCACGATGGACGATACACGGTACTATATTGTATAAGTCATATTTAATTATCTATTGGGTTATTAGCTTCTTTTTCCTAAGAATCGATTTGAAACTTGGATTAAGTAGATTAATCACAATACGTTAGCAACCATCTTCTCTAAAATTAAAATTGCTTTGTGGCGAATGTAGCTTTGCATTACTTATATAATATTAATAAATCAAACATTATTTATTAAATATATGTTTGTTGTGCAATAGTTGAAAAATTAAACTGTAATTACGTAGAAAAAATTTTCTGGTAACGTAATGTAATATATTATATATGTAAGATAGGAAAAAAAGGAAATATACATATAGTATACGTATAATTAATTTTATATTATTCTTTCTATACATCTATATATGTATATATTTGTATATTTTTTTATTAATTTTCAAAAATCTTTCCAGATAATCTTAAAGTTTATAAGATAGATCTGATACTTTGAAATTAGATAAATAAATTTTAAGTCTATAATTAATTTGCTTTTATTTTGTTTATATTAGATTTGATAAAATACATCTTAATTCACAGAATTAAGTGTCTTATTTGATAGAAACGTGTGTTTCAGTAAACGATATTTTTGCTTGTCTATATATCTCTGACCAAGTGTAGTTGGCGGTAAAAAACTACTACATCCCTTTCTGCATGCGAGGCCATAAGCAACGCGTAATGTACATGTATTTTAATATATCGCATGTAACACCGATACATATGACGCTGATGCTTTTACAATCTACAACGTGATACGCACGAGCAATTACGTCCGATACATACATGAATATTATGTAATACATTAAAGAAAATATATAGATTAAAGAAAATAATTCAGTCAAAACGTCAATCATGATAAGAGTCTATCATACGCGTAAAAAATAGGATTTTAATCATCTTAAATAAAAAATAATCTTATTATCTTAATCTTATCTTATTAAATTCTTACGTTTGCAAATTCTTGCAAAGAAAGATCCATAAACTTTCCAGCCGTGAGTGTCAAGTGCTTCTGCGATCTTACAATCATTAGAAGGACATTCCGATTCAAATTTGGATTTGATTCGTACCAAAGTGATTCATACGCCGCATCGCCGATCATTCTGCTCTGTAACATAATGTAACAAATTTTCATTTTACAATTAGTATAGCATCCGTAGTATATATTTACAGCGTGTATTGCATACTGACTTTTGTGCTGAGATACTCTCCGACGAAACAGAAGATAAATGCGTCTAAGCAGATGACAACATAAAATAAAATAGATTTTACTAACACTGCCGATCCTCCCGGGACACCTATTGACTAAAAATTTTGAAGTATACGTAAAGAGATTAAAATTACATTATTATATTTACAGAATACTCACAATCACAATGAGGAATCCTAAACAACAGATAACTAAAGTGTTTGAAACGAATTGTATTAGAGCAATGCTTGAATACAGGACCTCGATATCCTTAGAAAACGAGATGATTCTCTGATGACGAATGATCAAAGTCTTCATAATAGTTTCGGTAATACCTCGTTCAATGTTCTTTTGTGTAATTGCACTCAACTTATGGCGCACTATATCGATCTGCCCACACGCGTGAAGCACCTATAAATGTCACTGTTCGATTCGTTTTTACGCCTCATAAAAAGCATGAAATATTCTACATAGCTTGCATTATTAGCTTATTTCTCGGATTAAAAAAGAATAACTCGTTAATTATTAGAATTTATTATTGTACTTGATATTGTTTAAAATTTCTTTCATAGTGTTATATCGTAGCTGTGTTTCCTTACAGAAACGACGATTATAAAAAAACTTACTAATATTATCAACAAGGAGTTTAACACGCCTGTTGTACTGGCCGCACTCATCTGATGAATAAACTGTGTAATTAAAACAATGATATATACCGATGTGCTCTTCATTTCAAAAGGTAATTCCATCTTGAGAATGAGCTCTCGAGCATCGGTCTGATTGTTACTATTATACCTAAGTAGAGTACCAGTAGCATAGAGGAACACTGATATCATGTACATGGTAATTATTAAGTTGGAGAACCGACGAGAGAGGTAAGCTATTCTGGTCATTGTGTACTCTTCGGAGACATCATGTCTCTTCCAATCTTCGACTATGCGCGTTATGATTTCATTCAGCAAACTATAAAATTTGAATAAACATTAAACAATATATAGAGAGACAATATGGATTATTTCGCGCGATTTTATTACGAATCAAAGCAGAGTATTAAGAAAGTTATATTTTTACAATTTACAAGAATATGAAGATCCAGGATCTGCTCGTTTGCAAACTGTACTTAGCTACGAGAAAGCTTACTGAGCGTTGAACGCGAAAACAATCAGCTTGAACAACAGAAGGCTATAAGCCAGAGTTGCGCTCAATACGTCCATCAGAATAAAAAGATCCTCTTTGCCGAAACGCATGATTAAATATCGATACTGAAAAATCTGAAACACTATCATTGAAGATATATACAAGATTCGGCGCAAAATTGCGTACGACGTGTCCGGCCATACGCCGATTGCACGTAGACCAAATTCCACGGAGTGACACACGGTATTCGTCGAATCAATTTTTTCATTACACATTAAACCGAAATAAATTCAACTTATAACAACACAATAGTACTAATCTCGGTTTTATCTTTTTTGTCGGTTTACGAACAAGATTATAGATGGATAATAGAAGGAGAGAAGACTCGCGCTAATCCAGATTTATCTGCTTTGTACGATCGTCGAAATGTAATTTTATTTTGCACAGAAACTAAAATGCAGTTGCACGTCGAATCTCGTAACGTCATTGATTAGAAGAAAAGCAACGAAACTTTTGGTTGCAGAGTGCTCGATATAGTCTTTTTCTAAATGTGACTGAACAGTCAGTCGAGAGGTCTGCGCGAGACTGTAAAATTTTCTGTAGATTCAACACTCGAACTCCCACTCCTACCACAGACGACCAGTAAAGATCGTTCATTTCGTATTTCCTTCGCATAATTATTGGAAGTCGCAATAAAAAATATAAAATGATATTTCTCCAATAGTTACAGCGATTGTAAAAAAAGAAAAACTCATGCGAAGACGTCCGTGCATTCTATTGTGTATCGCTCGGTTGCCATCTATCATTTGCATTAAAAATGTAAAGCAAACGTTCACTACTTTCATGTGCTAAAAGACTTGCGCTGTATTGAGCATTATAATTTTGTATAATTTAAATAGATGGATGATATACACGGTACTGTATTGTATAAGTCAAATTTAATTATCCATTGAGTTATTAGCATCTTTTTCCTAAGAATCGATTTGAAACTTGGATTAAGTAGATTAATCGCAATACGTTAGCAACTATCTTCTCTAAAATTAAAATTTCTTTGTGGCGAATATAGCTTTGCATTACTTAATATGATATTAATGAATCAATCATTATTTATTAAATATATGTTTGTTGTGCAATAGTTGAAAAATTAAACTGTAATTACGTAGAAAAAATTTTTTGGTAACGTAATGTAATATATTATATATGTAAGATAGGAAAAAAAGGAAATATACACATAGTATACGTATAATTAATTTTATATTATTCTTTCTATACATCTATATATGTATATATATATTTGTATATTTTTTTGATTAATTTTCAAAAATCTTTCCAGATATTCTTAAATTTTATAAGATAGATCTGATACTTTGAAATTAGATAAATAAATTTTAAGTTTATAATTAATTTGCTTTCATTTTGTTTATATTAGATTTGATAAAATACATCTTAATTCAGAGAATTAAGTGTCTTATTTGATAGAAACCTGTGTTTCAGTAAATGATATTTTTGCTTGTCTATATATCTCTGACCAAGTGTTGGCGGTAAAAAAGTACTACATCCTTTTCTGCATGCGAGGCCATAAGCAATGCGTAATGTACATGTATTTCAATATATCGCGTGTAACACCGATACATATGACGCTAATGTTTTTACAATCTACAATATGATACACACGAGCAATTATGTCCGATACATACGTGAATATTATGTAATACGATTAAAGAAAATAACTCAATCAAAACATCAATCATGATCAATCTACGCGCATAATCATACGTAAAAAGATATCTAGGTTTTTATAAACAATTTTATTATGTAACTAAATTCTTACGTTTGCGAATTGCTGCAAAGAAAGATCCACAAACTTTCCGGCCATTAGTTTTAGGTACTTTTGTGATCTCGCAATCATTAGAAAGACATTTCGATTTTGGTTTGGATTAAATTCATACCAAAGTGATTCATATGCTGTCGAATTCGCCGTTATTCATAAAATCAGAATAACTTATCAAGTTAGACTTATACTGTGTTATAATACGGTAGCACTAATATTAACTCGTTTTCTCTTTCTTGTTCATATATGTTATACGGATAAGGCTATAATACAGAAGGAAACAAGATTTGCGTTAATCAGGGATTATCTGCTTCGTATAGTTGTTACGACGTAACTTAATTATTTTGCACTGAAGCTGCAACGCGGTTGCACGTCCAATTTCATCCTAGATCATATTGGTTAGAAGATGAGTATCGTAACTTCCGGTCGTAGCATGCTTGATAATCGTAATCCAGTCGTGGGAGATATAATTAACCGAGAGATATAAAGAGACTAAAATTTTCTATGGATTAAGCACTTGAAGAATTGTCATCTTTGCCACAACCAATAGTAAAGATCGCTTATTATGTTTTTCCGTCGCGTAATTATCTCCATCTTGGAAGTCGCATAATGAAAAACTTATAAATCAATATCTCTTCTATGATTATAGCGATTGCAAGAAGAAGCAACCATGAAAAGACGTCCATGCATTTTTTCGAATATGCATCGTTCGGTGTCTGTCATTTATATTAAAATGCAAAGCAAACGTTCATTACCATGTGCTGAAAGATTTGCGCTGTACTGAGCATTATAATTCCGTATAATTCAAATAGCATGGTAAATAGATAAATACGGCTGAAACATAAGTTCAGGTAACAACGCTAAATCTAATTATCCATCATGATTTAGTATTAGTATCTTTTTGCTAAAAGACGAGAAACTTGGAATATTAATCACGATACGTTATCAATCAACTTCTCTAAAATTGAAATTTTTTTGCGGCCATAACCAAACGCGTATCATTTAATTAGACCAATCATTATTTTTTATTAAATAAAAATTAATATTAAATATATGTTTAATTATTATTAAATATATGTATCTGCTATATGCATAAAAATGATAATATGCATAAAATTGGAACTATAATTTTGTAGTCAAAATTTTTTCGTATCTAACGTTCTTTCTCCTATCTCTTTACATTACCTATGAAAGAAACGTTAGATACATTATCTATGTAAGAGATAGGAGAAAGAAACAATACATATAATTAATTTTATATAATACTTTCTATACATTTATACATGTATATATACATATATATTTACATATATATTTTTAATATTATTTTTCAAAAATCTTCCTAAATATATTCAATCAATAAAATGGCACTTTGACATTAGATAACTAGATTAAATCGATAATCAAATGTTTTAATTTTAATTTTATCAAATTTGATAAAAGACACCCCTATTCAAAATATCAAGTATTATTATTTTATGGAAACTTGTATGTGTTTCGGTAATATTATATATATATACATATATCTGTTTGTCTATACATGTCTCTAACTAACAAAATCGTGTAAAAATAGTTGGCGGTAGAAGAATACTACATCCCTCTCTGCACGCGAGGCCGTGCGTGTAATGCACAATATATTTCAATACATCGCGTGTAACACAGACACATATGACGCAGACGCTTTCACAATCTACAACATGATACATATGAACAATTACGACCGACATATATGAATATTATGCAGCATGATCGAAGAATGTAACTCAGTTGTCAAAATATTAATCATGTTAAGAGCCTACGCGCACAATCATACGCGTAAAAAGATATCCAGGTTTTTATAAATAATTTTATTATCTGATTAAATTCTTACGTTTGTAAATTGCTGCAAAGAAAGATCCATAAATTTTCCAGCTGTAAGTTGTAAGTGCTTCTGCGATCTTACAATCATTATAAGGACATTCCTATTCAGATTCGGATTCGATTCGTACCAAAGCGATTCATACGCTGCGTTGCCAATCATTCTGCTCTATAACATATAACATATATAAATTAATAAATAAATAAAAGATAATAAATTTTCATCATAGAACATCATCTGATATACTTTATGTTATACAACATATGTTATATACTGACTTTTGTGCTCAGATATTCACCGGTAAAACAAAATACAAATGCATCTAAGCAGATCATAATATAAAATACCAAGGATTTCAGTAACACTGTTGTTCCATCTGGAACACCGATTGACTAAAACTCTTGAAATAGATCTTGTTTATTGAAAAAAACGATTAAAATTTTGTTACTGCAAAATACTCACAACCACGATAATAAATCCTAGACAACATATAATCAAAGTATTTGAGAAGAGTTCTATAAACGCAATGCCTGAGAAAAGACTCTCGATGTTCTTAGAAAGCAAGATAATTTTCTGATGACGAATGATCAGTTTCTTTATGATACTTTCAGTAATATTTTGCTTGATATTCTTCCTCGTAATTTCGTGCAATTTTCGTTGTACTATATCGATCTGTCCACAAACGTGAAGCACCTAAATGTCACAATGTATTTGATTCAATTTTATATCTTAAGATATATCTTATATCATAAGATAGATGGAAGTTCTCTGCATAGTTTCAATTATTAGTTTATATCTCAGATTCAAAAAGAAATAATGTATTAAAGTTAAAATATATCTATTATTTAATTTTCATCAAGATTTTTCTCTTTAATATCATATTTCAATTATCTTATTTTGTGTACAGTCGTTTAAAAATTATAGAAATATTCTTACTAATGTTATTAGCAAGGAGTTTAATATGCCCGTGGTACTAGCTGCGCTCGTCTGATAAACAAACAGTATAACTAGAACAACAATATATACTGATGTGCTCTTGATTTCGAAAGGCAACTCCATTTTAAAAATGAGCTCCCGAGCATCGGTCTGATTGCCAATCTTATATCTAAGTACAGTACTGGTAGCGTAGCAGAACACTGTCATCGCGTACAAGGTGATTATCAAGTTAGATATCCGACGAGAGACGTAAGCGATTCTGATCATTATGCTTTCTTCAAAGGTATCGTGCCTCTTCCAGTCCTCCACCACGTGCGTTATGATTTCATTCAGCAGACTATAATATTTACAAAAATATTTAATGATATCAAACGGCAACATGGATTATTTAGCCAAATATCATTCCAAATCAAAGTGAAATTTTTGCATATTAGAAATTATATTTTTATAATTTCGAACTTTTTTTAAATGTAAAATATAATATCCCGAAATCTGCTTGTTTTCCAAATTTTACTTAGCTGAAAGAAAACTTACTGAGCATTAAACATGAAAATTATCAGCTTGATGAACAGAAGACTGTAAATCAGAGTTCCGCTCAATACGTCCATCAAGATGAAAAGGTCATTTTCGTTAAAATGCATGATCAAGTATCGATACTGAAAACTCTGAAATACTATAATCGAGGATATACATAAGATTCGACGCAAAATTGCGTATGACGTGTCCGGCCATACGCCGATTGCACGCAGACCAAATTCCACCGACTGACACACAGTACTCATCGAGTCTATCTCGTTATTTACAGGATCAGAATAACGTGTCGTAAGTTAGATTTATGACGGTTGCATTAAAATTAACTCGGTTTTCTTTCTCTTGAGAATGTATATATTATATATATGACTAGGACTATAATACAAGAGGACACAAGATTCGCGGTAGCCAGGAATTATCTATTTCGTACAGTTGTTACTACCTAATTTAAGTATTTTGTTGTGAAACTACAGCACGGTTGAACGTCCAGTCTCATATAAAGTTATCGATTAAAAAATGAGCGTCACAATGTGCTTGATAGTTGTAATTCAGTCTGAAGTGAATATAGTCGGTCAAAAGGTCTAAACAAGACTATAAAATTTTTTTTGTAGATTAAACTTTTGAATATCTTCTACCTTACCAGAGCTGACGGTAAATATCAAGAATCGTTTATTATATTTCCGATGCATAATTATTTTTATCTTGGAAACCGCATAATAAAAAACTTATAAATTAATATCTCTTCAATAATTAAAGCGATTGCAAAAAAGTAGCTATAAGAAGACATCCATGCATTCAGCCGTGTGTGCATCGCTCGGTCGCTGTCTGTCATTTGCATTAAAAATGCAAAGCAAACGTTCACTGCCATGTGCTGAAAGACTTGCGTTATATTGAGCATTATAATTCTGTATAATTCAAATAACACGGTGAACAGATGAACACGGACGAAACATAAGTTCAGGTAACGTTAAGACTAAATCTAATTATCCATCATGATTAGTAATATCTTTTTGCTAAAAGACGAGAAACTTAGAATATTAATCGCGATACGTTATCAACTTCTCTAAAACTAAAATTTTTTCGCGGCCATAACCAAACGCATATCATTTAATTAGACCATATCATTATTTGTTATCATTATTTGTTATTACTATTAAATATAAATTATTATTAAATAAATATAAAATATTATTAAAATATTATTAAATATAAATTAATATTAAATATATGTTTAATTATTATTAAATATATGTGCCTGCTATATGCATAAAATTGGAACTGTAATTTCGTAGCTAAAATTTTTTTGTATCTAACGTTTCTTTCTGCTATGTCTTACATTACATATGTAAGAGATACAAGAAAGAAACAATATATATAATTAATTTTATATAATATTTTTTATACATTTTTTAATATATGTATATATACATATTTTTAATATTACTTTACAAAAATTTTCCTAAACATATTCAATCAATAAATGACACTTTGACATTAGATGACTAGATTAAGTCGATAATCAAATGCTTTAATTTTGATTTTATCAGATTTAATAAAAGACACCTCGATTCAAAATATCAAGTATTATTATTTTATGGAAACTTGTATGTGCTTCGGTAATCTATATATCTGTTTGTTTATACATATCTCTTACTAACAAAATCGTGTGCGGTAAAATACTACATCCCTCTCTGCACGCGAGGCCGTAAGCGTGCGTGTAATGCACAATATATTTCAATACATCGCGTGTAACACAGACACATATGACGCAGACGCTTTCACAATCTACAACATGATACATACGATCGACATATATGAATATTATGCAGCATGATCAAAGAATGTAACTCAGTTGTCAAAATATTAATCATGTTAAGAGCCTATGCGCACATGCGTAAAAAGATATCTAAGTTTTTATAAATAACTTTATTTATAAATAACTTTATTATCTAATTAAATTCTTACGTTTGTAAATTGCTGCAAAGAAAGATCCACAAACTTTCCAGCCGTGAGTTGCAAGTGCTTCTGTGATCTTACAATCATTAGAAGGACATTCTTATTCAGACTCGGATTCGATTCGTACCAAAGCGATTCATACGCTGCGTTGCCAATCATTCTGCTCTATAACACATAACATATATAAATTAATAAATACATAAATGATAATAAATTTTCATTGTAGAACATCATTCGATATATTTTACGACATATGTTATATACTGACTTTTATGCTGAGATATTCTCCGGTAAAACAAAATACGAATGCATCTAAGCAGACCATAATATAAAATACCAAGGATTTCAGTAACACTGTTGTTCCACCTGGAACACCAATTGACTAAAACTCTTGAAATAGATCTTGTATATTGAAAAAAGATTAAAATTTCGTCATTGCAAAATACTCACAACCACGATGATAAATCCTAGACAACAGATAATCAAAGTATTTGAGAAGAGTTCTATAAACGCGATGCTTGAAAAGAGACCCTCGATATTCTTAGAAAACAAAATAATTTTCTGATGACGAATGATCAGTTTCTTCATGATACTTTCAGTAATATTTTGCTTGATATTCTTCCCCATAATTTCGTGCAATTTTCGTTGCACTATATCGATCTGTCCACAAACGTGAAGCACCTAAATGTCACAATGTATTTGGTTCAATTTTATATCTCATAAGATACATGGAAATTCTCTACATAGCTTCTATTATCAGTTTATATCTCAGATTCAAAAAAAATTAATGTATTAAAGTTAAAATATATCTGTTACTTAATTTCTATCAAGATTTTTCTCTTTAATATCATATTTTAACTATCTTATTTTATATACTCGTTTAAAAATTATAGAAACATTCTTACTAGTGTTATTAATAAGGAGTTTAACATGCCCGCGGTACTAGCTGCGCTCGTCTGATAAACAAACTGTGTAATTAGAACAATAATATATACTGATGTGCTCTTGATTTCGAAAGGCAACTCCATTCTAAAAATGAGCTCCCGAGCATCGGTCTGATTGCTAATCTTATATCTAAGTACAGTACTGGTAGCGTAGCAGAACACTGTCATCGCGTACAAGGTGATTATCAAGTTAGATATTCGACGGGAAACGCAAGCGATTCTGGTCATTATGTTTTCTTCAGAAATATCGTGTCTCTTCCAGTCCTCGACTATGTGTGTTATAATTTGATTCAGCAAACTATAATATTTGCAGAAATATTTAAGGATATAAAACGGCAACATGGATTATTTAAACAAATATCATTCAAAGTATAACAAATATAAATCAAAGTAGAAAATTCATGTATATTAAAAATTATATTTTTATAATTTCTAACTCTCTTCAAATGTAAAATATGATATCCCAAAATCTACTAGTTTTCCAAATCTTATTTATAATTAGAAAGAAAACTTACTGAGCATTAAACGTGAAAATTATCAGCTTGATAAACAGAAGGCTGTACGTCAAAGTTCCGCTCAATACGTCCATCAAAATAAAAAGGTCATCTTCGTTAAAATGCATGATCAAGTATCGATACTGAAAACTCTGAAATACTATAATCGAGGATATACATAAGATTCGACGCAAAATTGCGTATGACGTGTCCGGCCATACGCCGATTGCACGCAGACCAAATTCCACCGACTGACACACAGTACTCATCGAGTCTATTTCGTTACTTACAGAACCAGAATAACGTGTCGTAAGTTAGATTTCTGACAGTTGCATTAAAATTAATTCGTTTTCCTCTCTCTTGAGAGTGTATATATTATATGACTAAGACTATAATACAGGAGGACACAAGATTCGCGGTAGCCAGGAATTATCTACTTCGTACAGTTGTTACTACCTAACTTAAGTATTTTGAAACTACAGCACGGTTGAATGTCCAATCTCATATAAGATTATCGGTTAAAAAATGAGCGTTGGTCACAATATGCTTGATAGTTGTAATTCAGTCCGAAGTGAATATAGTCAGTCAAAAGGTCTAAACAAGACTGTAAAATTTTCTGTAAATTAAACTTTCGAATGTCTTCTACCTTACCAGAGCTGATGGTAATATCAGTTAAGAATCGTTTATTATATTTCCGATGCATAATTATTTTCATCTTGGAAACCGCATAATAAGAAACTTATAATTTAATATCTCTTCAATAATTAAAGCGATTGCAAAAAAATAGCCATAAGAAGACATTCATGCATTCTGCCGTGTGTGCATCGCTCGGTCGCGGTCTGTCATTTGCATTAAAAATGCAAAGTTCATTACCATGTGTTCAAAGATCGCGCTGTACTCGATATTATAATTCCGTATAATTCAAAAAGCACGACAGACGATACATATAATACAGAAACTGTACAGTAACTTAATGCTAACTTTAATTATTCATTTGGTTATTTGCATCTTTTTTCTAAATGATGATTAGAAACTTGGAGAATTAATCGATACGTTATCAATCAATTTCTCTAAAATTATAGTTTCCTTGCTGCGACAGCTGAATGGTTTCGTATCATTCAACTATTATTTGTCAAATATAATGAATTGTGTGCAATGCAAAAAGAGTAAAAGCATAATTTCATAGAGAATTTTCTCGTAACGTAATGTAATACATTATATATATAATAGGATAGAAGTGGGGAAAATGCAAGATATATTTTATATAATACTTTTTATACACGTATGTATATTTATTCATATATTTTTGTATATTTTTCTTATCATATTTCAAAAATCTCTTTCAAATTATTTCAAATTTTATAAGATAAAATGGCACATTGACATTAAATAATTAAATTTAATCGATAATTAAATCTATATTGATTTTAATCGATATTTTACCAGGTTTTGGCAAAGAGAATTCAATATCTTTTTTATTGAAAATTGATGCGTTTTAATAAACGACATCTTTGTTCGTCTATATGTATCTCTGACTATGAAAGTTATATAAATTGTTGGCGGTAGTAAAAGAGTACTATATCCCTTTGCACGCGAAACCGTAAGCGGCGCGTAATGCATGATGTACTTCAATACATTGCGTGTAACACCGACACATATGACGCTGATGCTTTTACAATCTACAACATGATATATACGAGCGCAATTACGGTAGACAGTAGACATACACGAATATCACGCACCAGAGAAAGTCATTCAGTTGTCAAAACATCAATCATAATAAGTGCCCACACGCATACAATTATATGTGGAAAAAAATGGCTAGATTCTCATAATCATAAAAAATTCATTATCTAAATAAATACTTACGTTGGCAAATTGCTGCAAAGAAAGATCCACAAACTTTCCAGCCGTGAGTTGCAAGTGCTTCTGCGATCTCATAATCATTAGAAGAACATTCCGATGCTGATTAAGATTTGAATCGTACCAAAGTGAATTATATGCCGCGTCACCGATCAATCTGCTCTGTAACAAAACGAAAAAAAGTGTCCATCATACATCAGCATCGGACATTTTGCAGCGCATATTGTATACTGACCTTTGTACTGAGATATTCTCCGACGAAACAAAATATAAATGCGTCTAAGTTGATCGCAATGTAAAATAACACGGATTTTACTAATACTGTTGTTCCATTCGGGACACTGATTGACTAGAAATTTTGAAATATATCTCGTTTATTGAACAAAGATTAAAGTATCGTTATTACAGAATACTCACAACCACAATGAGAAATCCTAGACAACAGATAACCAGAATGTTTGAGACAAATTGTACTAGTGCGATGTTTGAAAAGATTCTCTCGATATTTTTAAAAAACGAGATAATCTTCTGATGACGAATGATCAACGTCTTCATGATATTTTCAGTGATACCTCGTTCAATATTCGTCTGCGTGATTTCGCTCAACTTTTGTTGTACTATATTGATCTGTCCACAGGTGTGAAGCACCTATATGTCACGCGATATGCGTTTTATTTTAAGTCTTATAAGAAACATGGAAATTTCTCCCATAACTGGTATCTTTGATTTATTTTTCAGATTAAAATAAATAATGCATTAATTATTAATATGTATCTATTACTTTTGATTAAAATTTTTCTTATTGGTGGTATATTATAGCTGACATCGTATCGATTTTTTTGCGTAGGAACATCGATAAATTATTGAAAAAACTTACTAGTGTTATCAGCAAGGAGTTTATCACGCCCTCCGTACTGGCCGCGCTCGTCTGATGAACAAATTGAATAACTAGAACAGCGATATATACTGATGTGCTCTTCATTTCGAAAGGCAATTCCATCTTAAGAATGAGCTCTCGAGTATCGGTCTGATTAGTACTCTTATACCTAAGCACAGTACTGGTAGCGTAGAGAAACACCGTCATCGCGTACATGATGATTATCAAGTTCGACAACCGACGAGAGATATAAGCTATTCTGGTCATTGTGTATTCTTCGGAGACATCGCGTTCCTTCCAATCTTCGACTATATGCGCTATGATTTCACTCAGCAGACTATAATATTATATTTAAAAAAATAATATTACATTTGAATGACATATAAAAAAATGGCATAGATTATTTAGCCAATTATCAAAGTAGCATGTACAATTTTTGAATATAAGAGGATATATTTTTATAATTTACAATCTCAGGTCTAGAATATGAAGCTATCTGCTTGTTTTCCAAAACTCCTACTCTACTTAACTGCGATAAAACTTACTGAGCATTGAATGCGAAAATTATCAACTTAATTAACAGAAGGCTGTAAGCCACAGTTCCGCTCAATACGTCCATCAGGATATAAAGATCCTCTTCCTCGAAATGCATGAACAAGTATTGATACTGAAAAGTCTGAAACACTGCCATCGAGGAAATGCACAAAATTCGGCGCAAAATTGCATATGACGTGTCCGGCCATACGCCGATTGCGCGCAGACCGAACTCTGTGGACTGACATATGCTATTCATGGAACCTATCTCGTTATTTATCAAATCGGAATTAATTAAACTACACGATAACACAAATTTTAATCTAGTTTCCTCTCTCTTGTCAGTTTACATTATATGAATAAGACTATAATGCAGAAGGAGACAAGACTCGCGCTACCTCGGGATTATCTACTCCGTATATTACGATGTAAATCGAGTATTTAGCACTGAAGCTAAACGCGAATGCACGTCCAATCTCGTAAAGTCATCGGTCAGAAGAAGAATTCGAAACTTTCGGTCGCAACATGCTTGATAGCCTTGAGTTGATCGCGGAATATAGTCAATCGAGAGGTCTAAGAAAGACTGTAAAATTCTCTACGAATTCAACATTCGAGTAATCCCCACCTCTGCCATCAGTCAACCAGTAAGAATCGCTTACGTATTTCCTTCGTGTAATTATTTCCATCTTGGACGTTGCAAAAAAAAATTAAACCGACATCTCACTGATGATTATAGCAATTGCAAAAAAAAAACACGCATGGACGTTCATGAATTTTCTTTTGCGCGCATCGCTCAGTCGCAGTCTGTCATTTGCATTAAAAATGCAAGGAAAACGTTCGCCAGCATGTGAAAGACTTGCGCTGTATTTTTACGCTGTATTGTACTTGGCATTATAATTCCGTATAATTCAAATTATACACAGTTAAATATCGTAAATATAAAAACCAACTGTAATTATTTATAGTGATTAGCCGGATCTTTCTCTTAAAAGAGACTAGAAAAATTAATCCCGATATGTTACCAATCATGAAATTTTTCTTTAAAATTAATTTCTTTGAGACGACAACTATACGTCTGCATCATTTAACAATGAACCAAACATTATTTGTTAAATATATGGTTTGTTGTATAATGTAAAAAAATATAATTGTAATGTCATAGGCAATATTTTCTTATATCGTAACAAATATAAGATTATAAAAAATATGAGAGAGAGGCAATGTATACAATTAATTTTATATAATATCATATATATATATATATATATATATATATATATATATATGTAATAATTTTATAACTTATTAAATGACTAAGTTTTTTCCTTAGTTAAATGCTTTTTTATTTTCTTTTTATCAGAGTTAGTAAAAAACATATATATCTGGAGTCAGATAATTAAGAATCTTATTTTATCGAAACTAAATGTGTTTCAATAAACAAATCTACTCGTCTATATATGTTTCTGGCTAAGAATATTGTGTAAATGTTTGGTGGTAGCAAAAGAATACTGTATCCCTCTACACGTGAAGCCGACTCATAATGTACGATGTACCTTAATACATCGCGAGTAACACCGATACATATGACGCTGATGCTTTTACAATCTATAACATAGTATACAAGTAATTACTAAGTAAATATACGCAGCGTGATTATAAAACGTCACTCGGTTATCAATACAAATATTATGATAAGATCATACGCGTATACATTTCACAAATACGTGTAAAAAAATATCTAGATTTTTAAAACCAATTTTATTATGTGGCTAAATTCTTACGTTGGAAAATTGCTGCAAAGAAAGGTTTACAAACTTTCCGACTGTAAGTGTCAAGTACTTCTGCGATCTCATAATCATTAGAAGAACATCTCGTTTCTGATTTGGATTTGATTCGTACCAAAGCGATTCATATGCCGCATCGCCGATCATTCTGCTCTGTAACATAACAAATTTTCATCATAATACAGCATCCATAGCAAACTTTACAACGAATATAGCATACTAACTTTTGTGCTGAGATACTCTCCAAGGAAACAAAGTATAAATGCGTCTATGCAGACTACTGTGTAAAAAAACAAGGATTTCACTAACATTGTCGATCCACCAGGGACACCGACTGACTAAAAATTTCGAAATAATCTTGTAAAAAATTAAACTTATGTTACTATGGAATACTTACAATCACAATGAGGAATCCTAGACAACAGATAACCAAAATATTTGAAACGAATTGCATTAATGCGATGCCTGAGTAAAGGCTCTCGATGTTCTTGGAAAACGAGATAATTTTCTGATGACGAACGATCAACGTCTTCATGTTACTTACGGTAACACCTTGCTCGATATTCTTTCGTGTAATTTTATTCAACTTTTGCCGCACTATATCGATTTGCCCACAGACGTGAAGCACCTGTCACGGTATGTGTTTGGTTCAATTGTAAGCCACATATAAAAAGCATGATGGATTTTACATAAACTATTTTTATACTATTAGTTTATTTCTCGGATTAAAAAAGAAAAATCACATTAATTATTAATATATATTTGTCATTTTTGATATTGCTTCTAATTTTTTCATGATGTTATATCGTAGTTAGCATTCTTTTCGGAAACATTATTAAATTATAAAGACTTACTAGTGTTATCAATAAGGAGATGAACACACCCTCCATACTAGCCCCGCTTACCTGATGAATAAACTGTGTAATTAAAACCGCGATATACATTAATGTGTTTTTAATTTCGAAAGGTAACTCCATTTTAAGAATGAGTTCTCGGGTATCGGTCTGATTGCTACTCTTATACCTAAACAGAGTACCGGTAGCATAGACAAACACGGACATGGCGTACATGGTAATTATCAAATTGGAAAACTGACGAGAGATGTAAGCTACTTTGGTCATTGTGTACTCTTCGGAGATATCGCGTATTTTCCAGTCCTCGATTATGCATGCTATGATTTTGTTTAGTATACTACAACATTTGAACAAATATTATAATGATATATAAAACGACAATTGTTTTAGAGAAACGATTGTTTCACGGAATATTAGGAATCGAAGCAGTGTGAAAAATTAATGTATAAGAAGTTTACATTTTTATAATTTGCAATCCCAAATCTTTAGAATGAAGACCTGGAATTTGCTCGTTTTGCAAATGTACTTAGCTACGAGGAAGCTTACTGAACGTTGAATGTGAAAATAATCATCTTGATAAAGAGAAGACTATAAGCCAGAGTCGCGCTCAATACATCCATCAGAGTAAAAAGATCTTCATCGCCAAAGTGCATGATTAAATATCGATATTGAAAAATCTGAATCATTGCCATCGAAGATATGTATAATATTCGACGCAAAATTGCATATGAAGTGTTAGGCCATACGCCGATTACGCGCAGACCGAACTCCACGGAATGACACACGGTATTCATCGTGCCCATCTTGTTACTTATCGAATCGGAATGAATCAGACTCATGACACAATAATACTAATCTTAACTCGGTTTTCTTTTTCTCTTTTTTATATCATACGTTATTTAGAATTATAATACAAAAAGAGGCACTATTCGCAGGAGTTCAAAATTATTTACTCCATATGGTTATTTTCGCGTAACTTAAATATTTTGCACTAAAACTCTGCAGTAGGTTACATTAATACTATAAACGACACGTCGAATTTTATGACATCATTGATTAAAAAAAAAATGTCGAAACTTTCGGTTGTAGCATGCTCGATAGCCATTATCCAATCGTGAGTGAATGTAGTCGATCGAAAGGTCTAAGCAATACTGTAAAATTTTCTCTGTTTAAGCACTCGAATAACTCTCACTACGACTAATAAAAATCGATTGTTACGCATTTCCGTCGCGTAATTATTTCTTTGTAACTTCGAAGTTGCATAAAAGAAACCGATATCTTTTTAATGATTCTAGCGATTACAAAAAAAATTGCCACACAAAGACATCCATGCATTTTCTCGTGTTCGCATCACTCGATCGCTATCTGTCATTTACATTAAAAATGCAAGACGAACGTTCGCCACCATGTGGAAAACTCACGCTGTACTCGACATTATAATTCCGTATAATTCAAATTGCACGATACATACAGTAAAATATATGCCAATAATTATATCTAATTATCCATCATTGGTTATTCATATATTTTTCTTCTAAAATACTAAAAACTTTGAGAGTTAGTTGCGATATGTTATCAACCATCTTTTCTAAGTCTGAAATTTCTCGTGACGACAATCTAATGTAATTCTATATTATTTAACATGGACAAATATTGGCAAATATTGACAAATTTGAAAAATATATCTACAATACAGAAAAATATAACAGTAATTTTAAAGAACCATTCTGTTGTAACTTAACTTAATACATTATTATTCTATATATAAAATAGGAGAGAGGTAATATATAAAATGAATATTATGAAATACTTTTTATGGATGTGTATATGTACATATATATATTTCCCTCATTATTTTTCCAAAATTTATATATTTCTCTCATTATTTATATATTTATTTATATATATTATTTATATATTTCCCTCATTATTTTTCCAAAATTTTTTATACAAAAATATCATTTTATAAGGCAAAATAATATTTATTGTTAGATGTCTAAATTTAATTCTTAATTGAATACTTTTATTTTCAATTTATCAAATTTAGTAAAATCTCGATTCAGTAACATCTCGATTTATTAAATCTTTTATCAGATTCAAGTATTTTGCTTTATCGGAATTTAATATGCTTTAGCAAATACATATTTCTTACATACTTCTTTATATATATCTCTCTAAAATCGTGTAAATGACGGTAGTAAAAGAAGTACTATATCCCTTTGCACGCGACGCCTGTCTTACTCTGTAAACAACGTGCAATACATGATTTCAATACATCGCGTGTAACACCGACACATATGACGCTGATGCTTTCACAATCTACAATATAATAACATACAAGCAATTACTGCAAATATACGTTTAGAAAGCATGTTTAGAGAACGTCACTCTATTGTCAACACATTATGATAAGAGCATACGCGTACATAATCATATGTGTAAATCACAATCATATGTGTAAAAAAATATCTAGATTTTTAAAATCATTTTATTATCTTAAATTCTTACGTTGGCAAATTGCTGGAAAGAAAGATCTACAAATTTTCCGACGGTAAGTGTCAAATGCTTCTGCGACCTTATAATCATTAGAAGAACATCTCGATTTTGATTCGGATTTGATTCGTACCAAAGCGATTCATACGCTGCATCGCCGATCATTCTGCTCTGTAACATAACAAATGTTCTATAACAAATTTTCATAGTAATATAGCATCCATAGTAAGCTTTACAGCTCATGTTGCGTACTAACTTTGGTGCTGAGGTATTCTCCGACGAAGCAAAATATAAATGCGTCTAAGCAGATTACTACATAAAATAATACAGATTTCACTAACATTGTCGATCCACCCGGGGCACCGATCGACTAAAAATATTGGAAATAATTTTATAAAAAATTAAAATTATGTTTCGACGGAATACTCACAATCACGATGAGAAATCCTAGACAACAGATAACCAGAGTGTTTGAGACGAATTGTACTAACGCGATGCTTGAAAACAGACTCTCGATGTTTTTGGAGAACGAGATAATTCTCTGATGACGAACAATTAATGTCTTCATGATACTTACGGTAACACCTTGCTTGATATTTTTTCGCGTGATTTCATTCAATCTTTGCCGTACTATATCGATCTGTCCACAGACGTGAAGTACCTGTCACGATTATGTTTAATTTTACACCTCATATAAAAAGCATGATGGGTTCTACGTAATTTGTATTATTAGTTTGCTTCGGATTAAAAAAGAAAAATCATATTCATTATTAATATCGGATTAAAAAAAACATATTTATTATTAATATTTATTATTTGATATCACTTCAGATTTTTTCATGGTATTATGTCATAATTAGATTCTTTTGCAGAAATATCGTTAAATTTTAAAGAAAACTTACTAGTGTTATCAGCAAGGAGTTTAACACGCCAATCGTACTGGCTGCGCTCGTTTGATGAACAAACTGCGTAAATAAAACAATGATATATACTGATGTGCTTTTGATCTCAAAAGGTAACTCCATCTTCAGAATGAGTTCTCGAGTATCAGTCTGATTGTTACTCTTATACTTAAGTAAAGTACCGGCAGCATAGAGGATCACGGACATGGCGTACATGGTGATTAACAAATAAGAGAATCGACGAGAGATATAAGCTATTCTTGTCATTATGTACTCTTCGGAAATATCGCGTATCTTCCAATCCTCGACTATACACGCTATGATTTTATCCAGCATACTACAATATCGGAACAAATATTGAACGATATACATATAAAGCGACAACAAGAATTGTTTCACGAAATATTATTGCGAATCGAAGCAGTATGTAAAATTAATGTATTAGAAGTTTATATTTTTATAATTTACAACCTCAATTCTCTAGGAAGACCCGGGATTTGCGTGTTTTGCAAATTGTGCTTAGGTACGGGATAGCTTACTGAGCATTGAACGTGAAAATAATCAGCTTGATAAATAGAAGACTGTAAGCTAGAGTCGCGCTCAATACGTCCATTAGGATAAAAAGATCTTCATCGCCAAAATGCAAGATCAAATATCGATATTGAAAGATCTGAAACACTGCCACTGAAGATATGCATAATATTCGACGCAAAGCTGCAAATGATGTGTCCGGCCATACGCCGATTGCGCGCAGACCGAACTCCACGGAATGACACACGGTATTCATCGTACCCATGTCGTTACTCATCGAACCAGAATGGGTTATGATAGTATTTATGATAACACTAATTTTAACTTGGTTCTCTCTCGCTCTTTTCTATATTATATGCTATTTAAAATTATAATACGTAAGGAGACAAGAGTCACACTAGTTCAGGATTATTTACATCGTACGGTTATCACGTAACTAAAGTATTTTGCACTAAAATTACAAATGATGACACATCCAATTTCGTGAGGTCATTGATTAAAAAAAAGCGGTTGCAGCAAAAACTTTTGATTGCAACATGCTCGATAGCCGTTATCCAATCAAGGGTGAATGTAGTCAATCGAGAGGTCTAAGCAATAATGTAAAATTTTCTGTAGATTAAGCATTTGAATAACTCCCCCCACAATCGGCTAGTAAAAATCGATTATTACGCATTTCCGTCGCGTAATTATTTTTCTTCGTAACTTCGTAACTTCGAAGTTGTATAAAAGAAATTTACAAATCGATATCTATCTAATAATTAGCTGTTGCAAGAAAAAAATAGCCAGCCGAAGACATCCATATATTTTCTCGTGTTCGCATCACTGGATCGCTGTCGGTCATTTACATTAAAAATGCAAGACGAACGTTCGCCACCATGTGGAAAACTCATGCTGTACTCGACATTATTAATTTCGTATAATTCAAATTACATGATATATACGGCCATATCGTACATGTCAACTCTAATTATCCATTGTAGTTCACATCTTTCTCTTAAAATATTAAAAATATTGAAGTTTAATCGCGATACATTATCAACCAGCTTTTCTAAAAGTCTTTGAAGTCTTTCGATACAATAATCTAAGGATTTTAAGGCAACTCCGTGTTATATAATATGAATAAACATTCTTTATCAAATATATAGAAATGTAGAGAAATAATTCCAACAATAATTTCCTACAAAATATTGCAACAATAATTTGATACAATAATTTCCTACAAAATATTCTTTTAAATTTTCCTAACTTAATACTCTATGTGTATAAAATACAAGAAAGGTATATAAAATGAATATTATGAAAAATACTTTTTGTATATGTGTACACATATCTACATATATATTTGTATAATTTTCATTATTTTTAGAAATTTCTTTATACAATTTTCTTATAAAAATATCATATTTTATTAGATAAAATAATATTTTATCATTAGACGTTTAAATTTAATCATTAATTATGTATATTTCTTTTTATTTTTGAATTTAAATTTTTGAATTTGAATTTGAATTGAATTCAAATTTGATATAATACAATTCGATTCATAAAATCTTTTGTCTCATTCAAGTATCTTATTTTATCAGAATGCTTTAGTAAACATATAGTGTACTTGTTTATACATGTCTCTAACTAAGAAATTGTGTAAATAGTTGACGATAATAAAAGAAGTACTATATTTCTTTGCACGCGATACTACCGCAAGCAACGTTTACTGCACTCAATACATCGCGTGTAACACCGACACATATGACGCTGATGCTTTTACAATCTACAATGTGAGACATACGAACAATTATGGCAAACATATGCATAATCGGGAAACATCACTTGCCAAAGCATTACTCATGATAAGAACACATATTAAAAATATCCAGGCATTTAAAATATTTAGATTTTCATAGCCAATTTTATTATCTCAGTAAATTCTTACGTTTGCGAATTGTTGCAAAGAGAGATCCATAAACTTTCCGACCGTAAGTGTCAAGTGCTTCTGTGATCTTATAATCATTAGAAGAACATCTCGATTCTGGCTCGGATTCGATTGGTACCAAAGCGATTCGTATACCGCATCGCCAATCATTCCACTCTGCAACGTAAAAATTTTTAGTCGTATAATATCAATATCTGATACACTTTATATTACCGCGTATTATATACTGACTTTTGTGCTGAGATATTCTCCGACGAAACAAAATATAAATGCGTCTAAGTTGATCATAACGTAAAATAACACGGATTTTACTAACACTATTGTTCCATTCGGGACTCCGAGTGACTAAAAATTTTGAAATATATCTCGTTTATTGAACAAAGATTAAAGTATCGTTATTACAGAATACTCACAACCACAATGAGAAATCCTAGACAACAGATAACCAGAGTGTTTGATACAAATTGTACTAGTGCGATGTTTGAAAAAAGGCTCTCGATATTTTTAGAAAACGAGATAATCTTCTGATGACGAATGATCAATGTCTTCATGACATTTTTGGTGATTCCTCGTTTAATATTCGTCTGCGTGATTTTATTCAATTTTTGTTGTACTATATTGATCTGTCCACAGATGTGAAGCACCTATATGTCACGCGATATGTATTTGATTTAGGTCTTATAAGAAACATGGAAATTTCTCCCATAACTGATATTATTAATTTATTTTTCAGATTAAAACAAATAATGCATTAATTATTAATATATATCTATTACTTTCCCAGACAGTACAAAAAAGACAAAAAAACGTCTTTAAGTCATTTAGATGTCTTTCGTACACTTTTGTGTGCTATCTGGGTCTGATCAAAATTTTTCTTATTGGTGTTATATTATAGCAGATATTGTATCGATCTTTTTTAGGAACACCGATAAATTATAAAAAGACTTACTAGTGTTACCAGCAAGGAATTTAACATGCCCTCTATACTAGCCGCGCTCGTCTGATGAACTAATTGAATAACTAGAACAGCGATATATACTGATGTGCTCTTAATTTCGAAAGGCAATTCCATCTTAACAAGGAGCTCCCGAGCATTGGTTTGATTGCCACTCTTATATCTAATAAGAGAACCGATAGCATAGACGATAACAGCTATGGCGCACATGGTGATTATCAAGTTGGAGAATCGACGAGATATGTAAGCTACTCTGGTCATTGTGTGTTTTTCGGATACATCGTCTTTCTTCCAGTCTTCAACTATGCGTGCTATGATGTCATTCAGCAAACTGTAATATTGAATGAAATATAAAGATTATATAGAGCAACATGGATTATTACATGAAACGTCATCAGAAATCAAAACAGAATGTAAAATTTATGTGAATTAAAAGTTATATTTTTTTCAATTTACAATTTCAAATCTAGAATATGAACACTAGGGATATTTTGTATATCGTACTTAGTTACGAGAAAACTAACTGAGCGTTAAACGTGAAAATAATCAGCTTGATAAACAGAAGACTGTAAGCCAGAGTTACGCTCAATACGTCCATTAAGGTAAAAATATCTTCTTCGCCAAAATGCATAATCAAGTATTTATATTGAAAAATCTGAAACATTGCTAATGAGGATATGTACAAGATTCGGCGCAAAATTGCATATGACGTATCAGGCCATACGCCGATTATACGTAAGCCGAATTCTACAGAATGACACACGGTATTCATCTCGAAACACATCGAATTGGAATAAGTCAAACACGATAACACTAATCTTAACGTTTTCTCCTTTTTTTTCTCCTTTTATCAATTTACAATATACAGATAGGATTATAGAAAGAAACAAGGTTAGAGTTAATCTAAGATTGTCTACTTCATACAGTTGATATAACTTGAATTTTTTTGACTAAACCACAATACAATTGCACGTCTGATCTCGTAAGTCCAAGATCATCGGTTAGAAAAGATGAGTCGAAACTTTCGATTGCAATATGCTTGATAGCCGTTATCCAAACGTGGATGAATGTATTCTATCGAGAGGTCTAAGCAATATTGTAAAATTTTCTGTAGATTGAATAACTCTCACCACAGCCGACTAACAAAAATCGATTATTATATATTTCCGCCGCGTAATTATTTCTTCGTATCTTTCTTCAAAGTTATATAAAAAAACTTATAAACCGATATCCCTCTAATAATTATAGCGATTACAAAAAATATCCACGAGAAGATATTCATGCATTCTCTGTTCGCATCGCTTGATCGTTGTATGTCATTTATATTAAAAATGCAAGGCAAAAGTTCGCCACCGCATGAAAAATTCGCGCTGTCCTCGACATTATAATTCCGTATAATTCAAATTGTACATGCAGTAAAATCGTAAATGTATATGCCATCTCTAATTATCCATTGTGGTTATTCGTATCTTTCTTCTAAAATATAAAACTAAAAACATTGAAGTTTAATCGCGAGGCATTATCAACCAGCTTTTCTAAAAGAGGCTTTGAAGTCTCTCGCTACAATAATCTAAGGTAACTTCTTATTATTTAATATGGACAAATATTCTTTATCAAATATATGGAAATGTGGAAAAATACAACAATAATTTCATACAAAATATTCTTAAATTTTCTTGACGTAATACTCTATATGTATAAAATACAAGAAAGGTATATAAAATGAATATTATGAAAAATACTTTTCGTATATGTATATACATATATACATATATATTTGTATATTTTTTCATTATTTTTTGGAAATTTCTCTATACAATTTCCGTATAAAAATATCATATTTTATTAGATAAAATAATATTTTAATATTAGACGTTTAAATTTTATTATTAATATGTATATTTTTTTTATTTTGAATTTATCAAATTTGATATAATACATCTCGATTCATAAACTCTTTTGTCTAATTCAAATATTTTGTTTTATCAGAATTTGACATGCTTTAGTAAATGACATATATACTCATTTATACATGTCTCTAACTAAGAAATTGTGTAAATGATTGACGATAGTAAATGAAGTACTATATTCCTCTGCACGCGATGCCATAATTATACAATGCACTATGCTTCAATACATCGCGTGTAACACCGACACATATGACGCTGATGCTTTTATAATCTACAACGTGAGACATACGAATAATTATAGAAAACATATGCAACATAATCGGGAAACATCATTTGTCAAAGCATCAGTCATGGTAAGAGCATACGCGCACACATTCACACGCATTAAAAACATCTAAATTTTAGCCAATTTTATCATGTCATTAAATTCTTACGTTTGCGAATTGCTGCAAAGAGAGATCCACAAATTTTCCGACCGTAAGTGTCAAGTGCTTCTGTGATCTTATAATCATTAGAAGAATATCTCGATTCTGGCTCGGATTCGATTGGTACCAAAGCGATTCGTATGCCGCATCGCCTATCATTCCACTCTGTAACGTAAAAATTTTTTCGTCGTATAATATCAATATCTGATACACCTTACATTGCCGCGTATTATATACTGACTTTTGTGCTGAGATATTCTCCGACGAAACAAAATATAAATGGGCCTAAACAAATTATTGCATAAAATAACACGGATTTTACTAATATTGTTGTTCCGCCCGGGACACCGATTGACTAGAAATTTTGAAATATATCTTATATATTGAAAAAAAGAAACTCAAAGTTTCATTATTGCAATCTACTCACAATCACAATGAGAAATCCTAAACAACAAATAACCAAAGTATTTGATATGAAATGTATTAATGTTATGGTTGAGAAGAGGTTCTCGATGTCCTTGGCGAACGAGATAATCTTCTGATGACGAACAATCAACCTCTTCATAATATTTTTGGCGGCATCTTGCTCCTTATTCTTTCGCGTGACTTTGTTTAATTTTTGCTGCATTATATCGATCTGTCCACAGACATGAAGCACCTAAATGTCACAAATGCGCTCAGTTCAATTTTACGTATCATATAAGAAGTACAAAAGTTATTTGCGCGAAGCTTGTATTATTAATTTATTTCTCTATTATATTTATTTATATGCTTGTATTATTAATTTATTTTTTTAAGTGAAAAGGATAACATAATTAATTATTAACATTTATTTATATTTTATCTTTAAGATTTTTTCCATCATATCAATATCTCTTTATAGAAACATCGATAAATTAAAAAAAAAGAACTTACTAGTGTTATCAGCAAGGAGTTTAACATACCCTCCGTACTAGCCACGCTCGTCTGATGAACTAATTGAATAACTAGAACAGCGATATATACTGATGTACTCTTAATTTCGAAAGGCAATTCCATCTTAACAAGGAGTTCCCGAGCATTGGTTTGATTGCTACTTTTATATTTAATAAGAGTACTGGTAGCGTATATGAACTCAACTATGGCGCACATGGTGATTATCAAGTTGGAGAACTGACGAGAGATGTAAGCTACTCTGATCATTGTGTGTTTTTCGGATACATCGTGTCTCTTCCAATCTTCGACTATGCGCGCTATGATTTCTTTCAGCAGACTGTAACATTGAATGAAATATTAAAGATTATATAAAGCAACATGGATTATTTCACGAAACGGCATTAAAAATCAAAACAGAATGTGAAATTTATGTGAATTAAAAGTTATTTAAAGTATTTTTCAATTTACAATTTCAAATCTAGAATATAAAGACCAGGAATATTCGTTATGTATATCGTACTTAGTTACGAGAAAACTAACTGAGCGTTGAACGTGAAAATAATCAGCTTGATAAACAGAAGACTGTAAGCCAGAGTTACGCTCAATACGTCCATGAAGATAAAAATATCTTCTTGGCCAAAATGCATAATCAAGTATCTATATTGAAAGATCTGAAACATTGCTAATGAAGATATGCATAAGATTCGGCGCAAAATTGCGTATGACGTATCAGGCCATATGCCGATTACGCGTAAACCGAATTCTATGGAGTGACAGACGGTATTCATCTCGATACACATCGAACTGGAATAAGTCACACTATAGCACTAATCTTAATACGTCTTCTCCTTTTCTTTTTCTCTCTTGTCAATTTACAATATACAGATAGGATTACAGAAAGAAACAAGGCTAGAGTTAATCCGAGATCTATTTTATACAGTTGTTATGATATAATTTGAGTTTTTTCACTAAACCACAATATAATTGCACGTCCGACCTCGTAAGATCACTGGTTAGAAAAGATGAGTCGAAACTTTCGATTGCAACATGCTTGATGACCGTTATCCAAACGTGGATGAATGTAGTCTATCGAGAGGTCTAAACAATATTGTAAAATTTTCTGTAGATCGAATAACTCCCACCACAGCCGACTAATAAAAATCGATTGTTACGTATTTCCATCGCATAATTACTTCTTCGCATCTTTCATCGAAGTCGCGCAACAAAAACTTATAAACCATTATCCCTCTAATAATTATAGTGATTACAAAAAAATAGCCTCAAGAAGATATTCATGTATTCCTTGTTCGCATCGCTTGATCGTTGTATGTCATTTACATTAAAAATGCAAGACAAAAGTTCACCACCATGTGAAAAACTCGAGTTCTATTCGACATTATAATTCCGTATAATTCAAATTGCACGATACATACAGTAAAATTGTAAATGTATATGCCATCTCTAATTATCCATTGTGGTTATCTGCATCTTTCTTCTAAAATATTAAAAACTTTGAAGCTTAATCATGATACGTTATCAATTATCTTCTCTAAAAGTCTAAAGTCTCTCGCAACGACAATTTAATGCAACTCCGTTTTATTTAACATTATTTGTCAAATATATCTACAATGCTGAAAAATACAACAGTACTTTCGTAGATAATATTTGGTTACCAATGCAATATATGTATGTACTTAATGTAATATATTATAAAATAGGAGAGAGAAATATATAATAAAATGAATGTTATAAAATACTTTTTATACATGTGTATGTATACATATAAATTTGTATATTTTCCTTATTATTTTTCAAAAATTTTATTAAGTAAAATAATATTTTAACATTAAATCTAAATTTAATTGTTAATTACATATAAATGATTTTATTTATATTTATCAATTTTGGTAAAATACATTTTGAATTATAAAATCTTTTATCAAGATCCAAGTTTTGATTTATCCGAACTTGATGTGCTTTGGTAAACGATATATCTACTCATTTATGCCTCTTACTAAAAAAATCATGTAAATGGTAGTAAAAGAAGTACTATATTCCTCTGCACGCGACGCTGCAACGTTTACTGCATTCAATACATCGCATGTAACACCGACACATATGACGCTGATGCTTTCACAATCTACAAAATTATACATACGAACAATTATGGCAAATATATTGCGATATAATATGAAAATGTCACTTGGTTGTCAAAACATCAATCGTGATAAGAGTGTATACACTATTACACGTGTTAGAAATAATTAGATTAATAACTAATTCAATTATCTGATTAAATTCTTACGTCGGTAAATTGTTGCAAAGAAAGATCCACAAATTTTCCAACTGTAAGTGTCAATTGCTTCTGAGATCGTAAGATCATGATTAGAACATCTCGATGTTGATTGGAGTTCGATTCGTACCAAAGCGATTTATATGCTGCATCGCCGATCATTCTGCTCTGTAACATAACCAATGCTCTATAACATAACAAATTTTCATGGTAGCACAGTATCCATAGCTTTACAGCGCATGTTGCATACTAACTTTGGTACTGAGGTATTCTCCGACAAAACAAAATATGAATGCACCTAAGCAAATCGCAACATAAAATAACACGGATTTCACTAACACTATCGATCCGCCTGGGACACCGATTGACTAAAAATTTTAAAATATATTAATATATTAAAAAAGAGATCAAAATTTTGTTATTGTAGAGTACTTACAATTACAATAAGAAATCCTAGACAACAGATAACTAGAATGTTTGACACAAAATGTATCAATGCGATGTTTGAAAAGAGGCCCTCAATGTTGTTGCAGAACGAGATGATTTTCTGATGACGAACAATCACTTTTTTCATAATTCCTTTGGCAGCACCTTGCTCGATACTCTGCCGCGTAATTTCATTTAATTTTTGCTGCACTATATCGATCTGTCCACAGACGTGAAGTACCTAATTAAATATTACTATATACGTTCGGTTCAATTTTGCGCAGCATATAAAAAACATGAAAGTTGTTTGTGTGAAATTAACGTTGTGTGAAATTAATTTATTAATACCTAACTTTTTTCTTAAATTAAAAAGAAAACAAAATACATTAAATATTAATATATAGCTGTTATTTGATTTCGACTAAGATTTCTCAGATTAAAGAAATAACACATTAATTATTAATACGTTATTGTTATTTTATTTCAATTCTCAAGATTCTTTTTATTAGTGTCCTATCATATCAATTTTTGTTTGCAGAAACATCGATGAGTTATAAAAAGGACTTACTAGTGATATTAGTAAAGAATTTAACACGCCTTCTGTACTAGCCGTGCTCATCTGGTGAATAAACTGTGTAATTAGAATAGCAATATATATTGATGTGCTCTTGATTTCGAAAGGCAACTCCATTTTAACAAGGAGCTCCCGAGCATCAGTCTGATTACTACTCTTATACCTAATTAAAGCACCACTAGCGTAGACGAACACTGACATGGCGTATATAGTGATTATTAAGTTAGACAACCGATAACAAAAGTAAGCAACTCTGGCCATTGTGTACTTTTCGGAAACATCATGTCTCTTCCAGTCCTCCACTACGCACGCTATGATTTCGTGCAGCAGACTATAACATTTGATGAAATATTAAAAATTATATAGAGCAACGTATATTATTTCACGAAATATTATCAGAAATCAAAACAGAGTGTAAAATTTATGTGAATTAGAAATTACATTTTTATAATTTACAACCTTAAATCTAAAATATGAAGACCAGAGAATTTGCTCGTTTTGCAAATCGTACTTAGTTACGAGAAAGCTTACTGAGCGTTGAACGTGAAAATAATCAGCTTGATAAACATAAGACTATAAGCCAGAGTTATGCTCAATACGTCCATCAGGATAAAAATATCCTCTTCGCCGAAATGCATAATCAAATATCGATATTGAAAGATCTGAAATATTGCTAATGAGGATAGGCATAAAATTCGGCGCAAAATTGCACATGACGTATGGGGCCATACACCGATTACGCGTAGACCGAATTCCACGGATTGACACACGGTATTCATCGTGCTCATTTCGATACACATTGAATCGAAATAGGTCAGACACTAATATTAACACGATTTTCTCTCTCCCTTGTCGATTTACAATACGGATGGGACTATAATATAGAAGGAAACAAGGCTCATGCTAGCTCGAAATTATCTATTACTTATATGATTGTTATATTATAATAACTTGAATGTTTTTTCACTGAAATTATAACACGATTACACGTCCAATCTCGTAAGATCATCGATTAGAAAAGGAGAATCGAAACTTTCGGTTGTAGAATGCTCGATTAACCGTAATATACTCAGGTTGAATATAGTCGATCGCAAGTTCTAACCGAGACTGCAAAATGTTTTATGGTTTCAATGCTCGACTAACTCCCACCTCAACCAGTAACAATCGTTCATTATGTATTTCCGTAATTATTTCCATCGTAAAGTCCAGCATAAAGAGAAATTTATAAACTTATATCTCTTCAATGATTATAACAATTGCAAAAAATTGCTACGATAAAACATCTACATATTTTCTTGTGTTCTTATTGCTCGGTCGATGTCTACCGTTTGCATAAAAAAATGCAAAATAATCGCTTACTATCATGTGAACAAAAAACTGAAAGACTCGTGCATTATAATTCCGTATAATTTAAATTGCACAATAAATGATACGTATAGATATGGCAAATGAAAAGACTAATTCTAATTATGCATCCACATTTTTTTTAAAGACGATTAGAAACTTGGAAGATCATGCAAATAGCTATCAAAAAAATAGCTTCTCTACTAAAACTAAAGTTTCCTCGCGACGACAACGTAACGCAGCTTTGTGCCATTTAATGTGAATGAATCATTGTCAAATATATATGTTGTACTATACAAGAAATACATTGTAATTTCATAAATACTGTTTTCTCGTAACATTACATATAATACATAACATTACATATAATATATAACATAATACATTAAATAAAAAATTGGATAGGTAATATATAAAAAAATAATTTTATATAAAATATTTTATACATTTCTGTACATATTTATGTACTTGTAAATTTTTCTCATTCTTTTTTAAAAACCTTAATAAAGAATCTCATAATTTATAAGGTAAAATGTTATATTGACATTAGATAACTAATTTTTGTAATTAATTAAATGCTTTTATTTTTATTTTAACAGAGTCATAATAAAATACATTTTGAATCAAAGAATCAAGTATCTTATTTTATCAGAACTTGATGAGTTTTTATTTCTATTTCTCTATATGTGTCTACGTCTCTGACTAACAAGAAAATCGTGTAAATGGTTGTAGGTAATAAAAGAGTATTATGTCCCTTTGCACGCAAGGCTGTAAGCGGCATGTAATGCACGATGTACGTCAATACATCGCGTGTAACACCGATACATATGATGCTGAAGCTTTCACAATCTACAACATGATACATACGATGAACAATTATGCAAACATACGTGAATATTATGCAGCATGACGAGAGAACGTCAATCGGTTGTCAAAACATCAATCATGATAAAATCCTATATCCACGCAATTATAATCCATAAAAGAATATCTAGATTTTTCATAGCCAATTTTATTATCTCACTAAATTCTTACATTTGCGAATTGTTGCAAAGAGAGATCCGCAAATTTTCCAACAGTAAGTGTCAAATGTTTCTGTGACCTTATCATCATTAGAAGAACATCTCGATTTTGATTTGAGTTCGATTCGTACCAAAGCGATTCATATGCCGCGTCGCCGATCATTCTACTCTATAATGTAAAAATAATAATTTTTCATCGTAAAACAGCATAAGGTACAGATAGGTACAGATAGCTATTTATAATTCGTATACATACTGACTTTTATGCTGAGATACTCTCCGACGAAACAAAATATAAATGCGTCTAAACAAATTGCAAGGTAAAAAAACACAGATTTTGCTAACACCATTGTTCCACCTGGTACTCCGATGGACTAAAAGTTTTAAAATATATAGTGTGTACTGAAAAAAAGATTTATTTCGCTATTGCAGAATATTACTTACAACTACAATAAGAAATCCTAAACAACAGATGATCAAAGTATTTGATACGAAATGTATTAATGCGATGATTGAGAAGAGATTTTCGATATTTTTGGAGAACGAGATAATCTTCTGATGACGAATAATCAACATCTTCATGATACTTTCGGTGGCATCTTGCTCAATATTCTTCCGTGTGATTTCTCTCAACTTTTGACGTACTATATCGATCTGCCCACAAGCGTGAAGCACCTAAATAAACACAATTTGTGCATGATTCAATTTTACACCCCAACTTGATACATGAAATTTCTCTTGTACTATTACTTTATTTCTCAAATTTAAAAAAAACGAATAGCATATTATAAATATTAATTTATATCTGTTATTTTTTTATTCTCAGTTAAAAATTTTTTTATTATTATATTTTATTATATATTTTTCCGTGTAAAAACATCGATAAATTATAAAAAAGACTTACTAGTGTTATCAGCAAGGAGTTTAACACGCCCTCCGTACTAGCTGCACTCGTCTGGTGAACAAACTGTGTAATTAGAACAGCGATATACACTGATGTATTTTTGATTTCGAAAGGCAATTCCATCTTAAGAATGAGCTCTCGAGCATCGTTCTGATTGCTATTCTTATACCTAAACAGAGTACCGATAGCATAAAGAAGTACCGACATCGCGTATATAATGATTATCAAATTGGAGAATCGACGAGAGATGTAAGCTATTCTGGTCATCGTGTATTCTTCGGAGACATCGCGTTTTTTCCAGTCCTCGATCACATGCACTATGATTTCATTCAATAAACTACAATGAATTGAAGAAATATTGAACGATATATATATATATATATATATATATATATATATATATATAGTTGCAACACGGATTATTTCGCAAAATATTGTTACGAATTGAAGCGGAGTGTAAAATTTTTATGTATATTGGAAGTTATATTTTTACAATTTTGTAAATTTAGATATAAAATATGAAGCATTGGTATTTGCTGGTTTTGCAAATCCTATTATACTTAGTTGCGAGAAAGCTTACTGAGTATTGAACGCGAAAATTATCAACTTGAGAAACACAAGGCTGTAAGATATAGTCCCACTCAATACATCCATCAGGATAAAAAGATCCTCTTCGTCGAAATGCATGAACAAATATCGATATTGAAACGTTTGAAATATTGCCATCGAGGATATGCATAAGATTTGGCGCAAAATTGCGTATGACGTATGGGGCCATATGCCGATTGCACGCAAACCGAATTCCACGGAATGACACACGGTATTCATCACGGTATTCAAGCCCACTTCATTATTCATAGAATCGGCATAGAAATCAGACACGATAGCATTAAACTTACTCTCTTTCTCTTTTTGTCAGTTTACATTGTAAAGATAAAAATATATTTTAAAAGGGGCTCACACAAAACTGGCTCTCGCCAGAAATTATTGCTATAATGTAACTCAAGTGTTTTGTTGAAGTTACCGTACGTCTAATCTTATAAAGTTATCAAAAGCAACTTTCGATGTTTTATATAACTGCAACTTTCACATGTTTTATATAACTGTAATCCAGTTATAACTGACTATCGGTCGAGAGGTCTGAGCAAGACTGTAAATTTTTCTATAAATTTATTCGAATAACCCCCACCTTTGCTACATCCAACCAATAAATATCGTTCATTACGTATTTCTGTCGTGTAATTATTTCCATCTTGAAAGTCGTGAAAAAAATATGTAAACTGAGATCTCTTCTATTATAGCGATTGCAAAAAAGGAACAACCACCCGAAGACGTCCATGCATTTTCTTTTCTACTTATCGCTGTCTGTCATTTGTATTAAAAATGCAAAGTAATCGTTCATGTGCAGAAAGACTTGCGCTGTACTCGGCATTATAATGCCATATAATTCAAATTGCATGATAGACGGTACACACGATTGAATAACGTAAATGGAAAAGGCAAATTATCTATCATTGTTATTCGTATTTTTTTCTTAAAACAATTAGAAACTTAAAAAATTAATCACCATACGTTTTCAACTAACTTCCCTAAAATTGAAGTCTCCTTCCTTTAATATAGACTAAATATTATTTGCAATGTTAAAAGAAATACAATTGAAATTTTGTAGACATATTTTGTAGACATATTTTCCCAATATTTTCTCGCAACGTAATGGAATATTACATATAAATATATATAAGAGAAAGAGGCAATATGTAAAATTAATTTTATGTAGTATTTTTATATATGTGTGTGTGTGTGTGAATGTGTACTTATATATTTGTATGTATATTTCTCTTATTATTTTTCAAAAATCTCCCTAGACAATCTTATATTTTATGAGGTAAAATGGTACTTTGACATTGGATAAATTTAATCATTAATTAAATATTTTTATTTTGATTATCAGAAATATACATTTCGATTCAGGGAATCAAATATTTTGTTTTATTGAAACTAGATGTGTTTCAATAAACGACATCTCTGCTCATTTATACATGTCTCTTACTAAGAAAATTGCTAATCGTGTAATTGGCGGTAGTAAAAGTACTATTTCCTTCTGCACGCTAAGATATAATATATGTTAGGGCTTTAATACATCGCGTGTAGAACCGACATATATGACGCCGAAGCTTTCACGATCTACAATATGACAGAAACAATTACCATCATCGTACGTATGTATGTATCATGCCACGCCAAGATTGGAAAATGTTATTTGATTGTTAAAACATCATTATATCTTCACATTCTACGCGCAAATAAAATGTGCCTTTATTTTTGCATTCTTATTATCACATTAAATTCTTACGCTAGCAAATTGCTTCAAGGAAAGATCCATGACTTTTCCGACCGTAAGTGTCAAGTGCTTCTGCGATCTTAAGATTATGAAAAAGATATCTCGATTCTGATTCGGGTTTAATTCGTACCAAAGTGATTCGTACGCGGCGTCGCCGATCATTTCGCTCTACAATTTTAAATTAAATCTCTCACATGTAACACAGCATATACCGTGTTCGATATATTCGTTAAATAGTGTATACTGACTTTCATACTGAGATGTTCCCCGACGAAACAAAGTACAAATGCCTCCAAGCTGATAAGAATATAAAATAATACGGATTTCACTAACACCGCCGATTCACCCGGTACACCGATAGACTGAAATTTTCAAAAATGCCTTGCATCCCGAAGAGATTATGTCACTTCACTATACTCACGATCACAATGATAAATCCTAGACAGCAAATAACCAGAGTGTTCGATACGAATTGTATCAGAGCGATATTCGAGAAAAGCGCCTCGATGTTCTTGGACAGCGAAATGATTCTCTGATGTCGAACGATCAACGTTTTCACGATGCTGTCACTCGTACTTCGCTCGATGCTTTTTCGGGAGATTTTACTCAGTTTTTCTCGCACTATATCAATCTGTCCACCCACATGAAGAACCTAAACATCACGAAATGCAGTTAATTCATTTTAACATCTATGTACAATGAAAACGAACATCTTCATTTTGTATATTTAATGTATAGACTTTAATATCTCTAGATTTTTAATATATTATAAGTTACTAAATTTTATTGTCTTATCTATTTCTTACATATCTCTAATAATGTCAAAGGGAGGAATTGGAGATATTATTAGATAATTTTCTATAATTAGTTTGATTCAATTATTTATTTTTCACAAACAAAATAATTATTATCTATTATTTATTGATAAATTTCTGAAATAATTTTTAAAAATTTTTAAATTTTTCGTTTTTGACATTATATTGCATTTATATTTTTCAATAATTTTCAGAAACATTGACGTTTTCACGAGAGATGCACTTACCAATGTTATCAGCAAGGAGTTCATGACACCGGCCATACTAGCCGCACTCGTCTGATGAACAAACTGTATAACGAGAACAGCCACATATATCGATGTGCTATCGATTGCGAATGGTAACTCCATTTTGAGGATGAGTTCCCGAGTGTCAGTTTGATTATCGTTTCTGTGTCTTAACAGAGTACCAGTTGCATAAAGGAACACCGACAGCGCGTGCGAGACAATTATAAAGTTGGAGATACGACGAGAGATGTAGGCTATTCTGGTCATCGTGTAATTATCTGAAATTTCGCGCTCCTTCCAATCGTCGACCATGACTGTTATAATTTTGTTCAGCAGACTATAACGGATTATTTGAAGAAATATTGACTGATAAAGCTGTATGAAGCATTGGAGTTGATACAAATCGAGCAAATGTGCAGAGTGTAAGAAATATATAAAAATTTCAAATCGTATTTCTCGCGTTTGGCAATTTCGAATCTAGGATGTACGATCTAGCGTGTGCTTGTATCACTTGGACTTAATCCTGTGTTCAATATACATCGTATATACGAAGTGTACATACGAAGAAAGCTTACCTCGCATTGAACGCGAAAATAATGAGCTTGACAAGCAGAAGACTATAAGTAATTGTTGCGCTTAATACGTCCATGAGGAGCGGTAGATTCTTCTCGCTGATGTGCATAATCAAATGCTGATACTGAAAAGTCTGAAACACTCCCATCGAGAATATACAAAAGAATCGTCGTAAAATTGCGTACGATGTGCCCGGCCACACGCCAACCGCGCGCAGACCGAATTCTACGGAACGACACACAGCTCTCATCGAATCTTTCCCGTTTTTCATTAACTCAATCGAACGAAAGCTAGCTTTGCAATATACTCGTAATAACACAGTATGATTTATCATTATTTGTATTTACTCCATTTTTTCTCAGTTTAAATGTTGTAACACTATAGTCTACAAAAGACACATGTTTGCATTAACATAAAATTGTTTAATATTTAATACAAACAATTGACAATGTTGAAACTCGAATACGAGGTTGCATCGATGAAATGGCAAATTTTTGTATAGTTATCATTTAAAAGACGAGCGTCAAAATTTCCAGCTGCACGCGCTCGATAATCTTATTTTAGTTGTGGTTGGTCGGGAGGTCTCAATAAGACTGTAAAATTGAGCAATCAAGTGACTCCCACTTCAACCGAACAATCGACCAATAAAAATTACTCATTGCTTATTCCCATCACATTTCTTTTTATCTTTGAAATAAAAGTTATAAATCGATGAACCGATAATTGACGGTCGCAAAAAAAAGAAGAAAAGGGAGACAAAGATGCTCGAGCAAGCTTTATTATCAAGCTGCTCTTCGTTATTTGTATTAAAAATGCAAAAGAAGTATTCTTCATCACGTAACAGGAAAACCTGGGAAACCTGAAACATGCTCATTATCATGATCTAAATAGCATGATTGATGCATGTAGTTAGATATTATAAACGTGAAAAGAAACTAACTTTGAATGTGGTTGCTCGCATCTTTTCTTTAAGAATGAAAGAAACGCTTCAAAAATCGATCTCAATCTCATTGAACTTCTCTAATATTAAAAGCTGTTTGCAGATCGAACGCAATCTGGTATTACTATCATAACTACTATTTGTCAAATATATACATATACATATGTTTTTATTATAACACACACACATAAAGATTATTATTTCACGAACGATAAGCGTTGAAAATCTTTTTTTTCTTTTTTTTGAGTTTTCAACAATGTGTGTGTGTTCTATGTGCAACTATGTGTTTCGTTTAAAAATGCAATGCAAGCAAAATAAGAAGAAACGCAGATTCTACGAAATGCTCGCAAAATACTAGTTAAAAAGTTTTATTGTTGGGGGAACATATTGTAGGGGATCATGAGACAGAAGAAAGACGATGACACATCGCAGCAATTTGTCGCAACGAAAAGATCGGTATGAGGATCATAGTTGGTGTTGTATGGTTATAAAGAAGATCGAACACTGTGCTTAATTACAAGCTCGCAAAAGTTAAACAATTAAATTTATATCGATATTAATGTTAATATAATTGATTTTAATATTGATTATATTAATATTATAAAAACATGTTACAGTACTATTATAATATATATATATATATATATATATATATATATATATATATACTTATATATTTATATAATATATATAAATTGTAATTTTATTCCAAGAATCCAGAATTCAATTTTAAGGCTTTTAACTTTTGCATTCTGTTTTTACACTCAATTGTCTAGATTGCCACTGGATTCGAATTATTATGAATGCAAAAGATTAACATAAAACGTACGTAGGTATTTAAATCGAGTTTTTGTTTGAATCCTTTTATTTTGGCATTTACCGAATTCAATAAAATACAGACGGAGAAGATCAATATTGCAATTATAATTTTGTCTCTATGCATTGAAAATTATCGCGAATCGATACTCTTCAAATGATATATCCACTGTTTTTCTCCGCATGCGTAATTTAATGTGAAACTTTGTTTTCGAATAGGATGATTATTAATCGTGTAAATGGCTGGGACTAGTAATGACAGTATATCCCTTTGCATGAGAAGAGATATAAGCGGCGCATGCGAAGCACACGTTGGAGCTTTCAATACATCGCGTGCAACACCGACACATACGACGCCGAAGCTTTCACAATCTGCAATGATAGAAGCAATTACGGCCGTTACGAAAAAGAACGGTTATCAAAATGTCATTTATGATAACATTCTAAATGTGAATTTTCCTGATCATTTTCAGTATATTTTGCTAAGTTCTTACATCGGCAAATTGCTTGAGGGAAAGATCCGCGACTTTTCCGATGGTAAGCGTCAAGTGCTTCTGCGATCTTATTATCATTAAGAGGATATCTCGATTCTGACTTGGACTTAATTCGTACCAGTTCGATTTGTACACCGCATCTCCGATCATTTCACTCTGAAACGCACGATAAACTCCTATTGCAAGGATAGCATTGCAATATCTGCATCATAGTATAGTTTATACTGACTTTCGTACTGAGATACTCTCCGACGAAGCAATATATGAATGCCTCCAAACTCATAACAATGTAAAAGAATACGGACTTTATCAACATCATCGAACCATCCGGTACACCGATCGACTGTAATTTTCGAATGTATCGCTTTGTATCTTCCGAATAAGTTGCGTTATTTTATTTTACTCACAATCACGATGAGAAATCCCAAACAACAAATAACCAGGGTATTTGATACAAATTGTATCAGCGCGATATTTGAGAAAAGAGCCTCGATGTTCTTGGAAAACGCGATGATCCTCTGATGCTGGACAATCAGTGTTTTCATAATGCTTTGGGTGGCGTCTCGCTCGTCATTCTTTCGAGTAATTTCACTGAGTTTCTGCCGTACTATATCAATCTGTCCACACGCGTGAAGAACCTGTGCACGCCAGCAATAGTCTCAATTAATTTAATTTAATTAAAGCATATAGCTTTATATATATCATATATATAAAGCATGAGAATATTTCCTTATCATCTTTATTTTTGTAGTATAATTTTATATTTACTTATTATATATAATGTCATAATTTAATTTTATGTAATTAATATATAATAATTTATAATATAATAATTATATAATAATTTAAATTTAAATTATATAATAATTATATAATAATATTTTATAATTAATTATTGATTATATATCTGTTATTTATCATATATTTAAAATAATTTAAAATTACATGTAAAGTCTCTTCTTCTGCATCTCATATTCAATAATCTTTATAAAATAATCTTTTTTGCAATATTTTTTAAAATATTGGCACATAATAATAAAGCAACTGTACTTACCAATGTTATCAGAAAGGAATTCAGCACGCCCACCATAGCAGCCGCGCTCGATTGATGAAGGAACTGCGTAATGAGAATAGTCACATATATTGGTGTACTCAGCATCTCAATCTCGAAGGGTAATTCCATCTTAACGATAAGTTCTCGAGCGTCAGTTTGATTGTCATCCTTCTGCTTAAGAAGCGCACCAGTAGCGTACAAAAACACCGATATCGTGTGCGAGAAAATTATCATGTTGGAAAACCGACGAGAGATGTAAGCCATCCTAGTCATAGTATATTTGTCCAAAATGTTGCATTCCTCCCAGTCTTTGACCACGTGTTCTATGATTTTATTCAGCAGACTATAACGAATTATTTAGAGATACTGATTGACATAGTTAATCGCGCGCGTTTTCGCGAAACATTGGATGAATCAAATTGTACTCGAAGAAGGAAATTTTTTTTATAAGATTTGCAATCAAAAGTGGAGGAGAGGGTGTATTTATTTTACCGGATTTAAATTTGTGCTCACATTAGTATGTATCGCGACAGATGAACTTACCGAGCGTTGAGCGCGAAAATAATCATTTTGATAAGTAGGAGGGTGTAAGCGAAAGTTACGCTTAATGCGTCCATGAGGAGCGTAAAATCCTCCTGTCCAAAATTCACGATCGCGTATCGATATTGAAATATCTGAAATATCACCATCGACGATATGCTGAGGACTTCAAATAAGATTGCGCACGACGTACCCGGCCATACACCGATCGCACGAAGACCAAATTCCACGGAGCGACTCACAGTAGTCATCGATTGCATTTCGTTCTTCATTGAATTTAAATAAGTCAGTTTTATACGATTTTTCCTCTCTTTCCCTCTGTTCTCAATCAATTGCGATTTGTCATTAATTCTGATTAAAATTCCTATTTGCTTTTCTTTCTACATTATTGATATCCAGAAAGGGATATCAATTAATTTGCAATAGGATTATTTAATCTAACTATGATAAATGATAAAAGTTTAAATTTTTCGCGGAAACTATGATACGCTGATGTTAGATTTCGCAACGTCATGGATTGGAAAGCAAATATCGAAGCATATAGTATGATAGTTCCGATTCAATTCATAATCAGTCGAGAAGTCTCAGTGAAACTGTAAAATTTTACTCAACAGAATAATCCCCACTTCGATCACGATCAGCCACGTTAGTTATTCATCGTATATTTCCATCGTATTTTTTACTGTCTCTTAAAAGTCATGAGCAAAAATTATACACCGATGTCTCAATGATTGCCGCGATTATAAGAACAGATAGATAGGCAAGAGCACCCTCGCAAGCATTGTTCGTTATTTGCATTAAAAATGCAAGACAGGTACGTGCGCTGAATGCATGACAGTAAAATGCGCGGAATACTTGGAACTTTCAAATGACAAAAAAAAATGATAGGCGGGAATTGTGAAACTTAAATTTATAAGGAGATATAGAAAGCGCAGGGGAGTGAGAGTTCTCCTAAGGAAAATCCCTAGAAGATCCATACACGAAGACATCTATCTATAAAAAGTGCGACGCAATTGTTAATTTTGTTAAGATATATTGATGTAGTTTTTACATGTGAAATTATATTTTATATTCTTGGAACGTCGTTCAATTGTTAGAATCGCACGAGAATCGTTGCATTTCTTTCGTAATAGTTATAAATATACATGGAGGGGATGTATTGCCTCTCTTCTATTATTTGCTATATCTTCAAGACATAGCATGCAGCACGGAGACATAAGATCCTGATGCCTTAATAATCTAAAAGAAACGAAAAATAGAGACTTGTCGTGCTTTATGCGAAACAAATTCTTTGTAGAAATGCAAGAAGAAATCTGATATAAAATAAATTTAATAAAACAAATTTAATAAAACAAGAAGAAATTGGAACTATGTGTTTCTTATATATATATATATATATATATATATATATATATATATATACTTGAAAAAAAATATACATATGTATTTTTTTATCAATCATTTATGAATTGAATTAGTGGAAAGAAAGGAATTAATGTAACATGTATTTTTTTTCGAAGTAAGTGCAAATTTTATATTGTCAGATACATAATAAAGGAAAACGCAATTCTCCGAATGCATCTTACTGTCGTAAAACGTTCTAGGGAGAGATCCATAAATTTTCCGATTGTAATAGTCAACTTCCTCTGTGATCTCAAAATCAATAGTAATAAAATACGGCTTTGCGTAGGACTCAAATTGTACCACTTCGCTTCATATGCTGCATCGCCGATCATTCTACCCTGCAATGATTATTGAGTTTAGTTAGTTTAGTTATAATAGAAAAAATATAATGCTAAACTGAAAGTTTTTTTTGCATAATACTCTCTAGATATAAATAATTGAAGACTAGATATAATTTAATTGAAAAAGTATTATTAAAAAAATTTATTTTGATGCAGAAAGTTGTAAAATTGGCATGAAAATTGAATATGATTTTCCTCATATTATAATAATTGTTATGCTAATCGTGAACATATTATGAAATGGAGTATATTATATCTTCAAAAAAATAATATTCAAAAATTGTATTTTTCGGACCTTAGCGCTGAGATATTCTCCTGCATAACAAAAAATGAACGCTTCCAAAGTGATGACAACGTAAAAAAAGAGAGATTTAATCAGCATCGTCGAGCCTTGCGTATCGCCTATTGACTGCAACGTGATCGAAAATAATGCATGTCAAACATGAATGGTGAACGCAATGAGACTTTAAAACCCAGATATGAGTGCCATCAATTATTTTGAATACTCGAATATCAAATATTTTGACATTTTATTGCATATCGAGAAGCCGTCAGTATCAAATGTAGAAATGTTCAATGTATATAACAGCAATCTGATACTATTTGCATTTATTTGCGCATTCCATAAAGCAATTACTCACCGTTACAATTAAAAATCCGAGGCAACAAATGACTAAGGTATTCCACAAAAATTGCATTAGGGCTATATATGAAAAGAGAGTCTCAATGTCGGCGGATAGCGCGATAATTCTCTGATGCCGACGTATTAGTGTCTTGATGGTCGTGGTTCGCAAGTCGAACACGTCGTCGTCTGAGGAAATTTCTTCCAACCCTCGGCACATTATATCGATTTGACCACCTACGTGAAGAATCTAAAAATAGCGGTCAACGCCCTGCAGTGTGTTCTCGATATCACCGTGACTCAACGCAAAGAACAGCTTTACGCATACAAAAGGTTCATCAATGTAAAAGACGGTAATATAAATTAATAAGAGGGAATTGAAATATCTCTCTTGTATAGTTAAATTCCTATAATTAATATAATTCTAATTTTTGAACTGAAGAAAAAATGTGTGTATAAAATGTATGTGTAACATATTATATAATTATAAACTTTTATTAGAAAAGAAACTAAAAGCAGAAAAGTCATATTGAATTTATCGATTAAATTCAGCATAGAGCGCTTTTCATTATCCATAAATGAAATAAATGAAGTAAGTTATTAATCACGTGGATAATACAGGATATTCATTATCTCGAACAATGCTACGCAACAAGCGAGGAAATCCAATTGATTTATTTTGCGATTTATTTTATTATTCTGCTAAACTCTTTGTATAAATTATGCATCTCTATCGCGCGGTATAATTACGCGATATAGCGTAATACATATTAATTCAATCACGAATAATTTAGAAATTAGATTTCAATTTGTCTCTAGAGAAATTTTTAACGAAATAGATTATTTATAAATTAAATTATTTTCTCCTTTGCACTTTCGAACAAATTTGCTGATCGAAAAAAACGCCATTAGTCATGAAAAATCTCACAAAAAAGTAAAAAGATGGTCTCTTCACGTCATTCTTTTTCTTTAGATCTATGTCGATTTATTCACTCACCAGCGAGACAATTAGGGCGTTCAACACGCCGACTATCGTGGCTGCCGCGAGCTGATGAAAAAACTGCGTGACCATGACTACCTCGTAAACGGGGGAGACATTAGACTCGAAGGGTAGTTCCATCTTGAGAAACAACTCCCGCGCCGGCACCGTGAGCTGCACATCATCGACCTCGTCGTCATCGGTCTCGTCGGCGTGGGCGACGAGTACGCCAGTGCCGTAAAGAAACACTGACATTGAGTAAAGGCCGATGATCAGGTTGGAGGACCGATGCGAGACGTAGATCGTCCTCGACATCGAGCAGACGGCCCAGTCGGTCGCACACTCGCTTCGATCGCGAGCCATCATCATCAGGATATCGTGGAATATCCTACAAAAAAGTGTTTTGTCAGAACAAAGACGACGAATAGTTTTTTCGCGGTGAGTCTCATTAATTTTTATATAATAGAATATCCTCTATTTTCACGATTTTTGATATATATTAAATTACTATACGATTCACTCGTGAAATATGACATACACATAATCTCACAATCTGATTGTTATTTAATTATATTTCTTGCATAGTATTATTTTTTTATATTTATTATATTTAATTATATTTAATTATATTATTTAATTATTATTTATTTAATTATATTTCTTGCATAGTTTTATTTGATCTTGATTTTTCTATCTTAGTTTTTTTCAGTTAATTTACGTGTCGTTCACGCGAAGCAAGAGCTCACCGCCGATTGATCCAGAATATTGTAAGTTTCAGCAGTAGCAGACTGTAGGACATCGTGGTGCTCAGACCGTCCATGAGATGCGACAGATCGTCGGTGCGGATATGTACGACGAAATAGCGATACTGAAAAGTTTGCGCCATCATAAGAGTGATCATCCAAAAAGCGCGATGAAGGAAAGCGTAGGACGAATCGGGCCAAACCCCGATCATACGGAGACCTATCTCGATTGAACGACTGACAGTGCCGTCGAGGATGATCGAATCGATCTTCGAGTCCATTCTATCTTCGAATAGAAACGCTTCCGACTGAAATGTCCCTTTACATCGATACCTCCATCGAGAAGCCGACCGTGTATCTCGTGCAGAGATATCGAACACATGGATGAACACGCGAGATGAACGCGAGTGAATACGAGAGGATTATGCTGCGCACCGATCCCCCACCTTCGACGTGAGCCAATAGGAAATATCCGCAAAATATTCCGACCGAGCGAAATTGTTGGTCGAGCTTGCAACAATTAAGTAAGATAAGTGCGGGTATAGATAACGAGCACGAAAAAAACACTTGATTCATGGGATCATCATCCTGAATTTAAAAAATTCAAGAACCATGCACGAGAAGATCGCAGCAAGATAATGGTTGGATAGATCGAGACGCTTTAAAACGATAAAATGTAGAGAAAATGATGAAATCGTCGGATAACGGGAAAAGTTAAATTGATATGTCCGGACTGTCGATACGACGAGGGATAATTATTTACAAGGTATATGTCATTTAGTGAGCGTGAGTGACGGCAAAAAACGGAACTACGATGCGTATAAATTCAATTTCATATAAATTTATAATAATTTGTTATAATAATTGGTTTATTGTCTATAATAATTTTAAATAATTTGTTTTCTTCTTCTAAATATAAAAAATTGAAAATTAAAAGTTGCTTGATAAAAATTTAATAAAAAATTGAGAATTAAAAATTGCTTAATAAAAATCGCACTTTACTAACGTCATAATATTCCCGACCGAGCGAAATTGCTGGTCGAGCTTACAACAATTAAATAAGATAAGTGCGGGTATAGATAACGAGCAAAAAAAAATACTTGATTCATGGGATCATCATCCTGAATTTAAAAAATTCAAGAACCATGCACGAGACCTTCGGAAAGATCGCAGCAAGATAATGGTTGGATAGATCGAGACGCTTTAAAACAATAAAATGTAAAGAAAATGGTGAAATCGTCGGATAACGGGAAAAGTTAAATTAATATGTCCGGACTGTCGATACGACGAGGGATAATTATTTACAACAGGTATATGTCATTTAGTGAGCGTGAGCGACGGCAAAAACGGAACTACGATGTGCGTATAAATTCAATTTTATATAAATTTATAATAATTTGTTATAATAATTGGTTTATTGTCTATAATAATTTTAAATAATTTGTTTTCTTCTTCTAAATATAAAAAATTGAAAATTAAAAGTTGCTTAATAAAAATTTAATAAAAAATTGAGAATTGAAAATTGCTTAATAAAAATCGCTTTACTAAAAATTGCTTAATAAAAATCGCTTTACTAACGTCATAATACGAAATAAATTGAATACATAGAATATGTTTGAAAATATCTTTCGAACGTCGAGATGAATCGAGATTTTCTTCTAAATAATTATATGATATTGAATATGTCTCTGTCGAAAAAGAGAACTTATTTTTCTATTAATTTATTTCTACTATTTATGCCTTCTTTTATACAAACTTTATTTTTTTATATATAAGAATGAAAGAGAACAGCTCCCGCCCTTTTCAGACAAGCTACATATAATGCTACACTTGTTACTGTCCGATACGTCAGTAACCACGATGGATGCGCTTGGCACAAGTAATTGTTATCTGTTGGTCTCTCGTTTAATACATCGCGTGCAGTACTGACATATACGAAGCGGATGCTTTCATCACCTGGTCGAAATAAAACGATAAATTTCATTCGTGTAACAGACCGCGTGAGTATTTTATATTTTCTGCCCCTTAATAAACATTAAAAAACTCGATGTTCTCTCTTGTTCTAACACACATGCACGAGGCGAAGAATTCTTACGGTCGTGAATCCTTCCAGAGAGAGATCCATAACGTTTCCGGCGGTGATGGTCAATCTTTTTTGCGATCTTAATATCACAAATAATATAATCCGACAATCGGCAGGTGTCATGTAATACCAGAGCGACTCGTACGCTGCATCGCCAATCGATTTGCTCTGAAAAAAAAAACAGCGAAGAATGAGAGATAAAAATTTATTGACTTCATCTGAATTCGATTTTGAATGCAACAGTCGTTCGAAAGTTTCTACATATTTGAGAAGCGCAAGAAAAATTGGAAAAGAACCGTAAGACTGTGAAGACATATTGAACTAGTTCGACCATGAAAGAATAAAATATAATATTGTATAAAATATAAAATATCCTGTGCGAACCTTGGCGCTGAGATATTCTCCAACGAAGCAAAAGATAAAGGCTTCTAACGTTACAGCGACATAAAAGATAGCGGATTTCAATAGTACCTCGGTACCTCCATCCTTGGCGAGAGACTTTGGCGAGAAAATCGAAAAAAATACGCGAAAAATTTAGTTTAAAGTTATAAATCGTGGTCGCGATTAATTAAATGATACGATTTACGCTTATAATCGTGAAGCCGATGCAACAGATAACCACAGTATTCGACAGAAACTGCATCAGTGCGATATCGGAATAAAGCTCCTCGATATTATCCGAGAACGTTATTATCCTTTGATGTCGAGTAATTAGATGCTTGATACTCGTGATGATCGAATCGCGTTGTGAGTCTTCATCGCAGCAAATCGCTAATAAATCTCGACGAAGAATATCGATCTGTCCACTCACGTGAAGTACCTAAATGCAACTATTAATATAAATCTGCCAAAGATAGGCTTTCGAACCATTATTAACGAAAATTTTCTTAAAGAAGTATTCAAATATAAATATAATATAAAAGAATACAACAAAACATAAAATATATACAGGATTAGAAAGAAGCACAAAAATCATTTTCAACTAAAATTTGTAGAGAAACATCCATTAAACTTGTATTATAAACAAAGGATAAAATCGATGTAGAACGTCTATTTTTCATTGATAAAACTCACCAACGTGATGATCATGCAATTTATCGTGGCAGTTAGAGCGGCGACCGATACCACGTGAAAAAACTGAGCGACCGCTAGAAGCTCGAAGAACGGCGAGGCATTAACTTCAAAAGGAAACTGCATCTTTAGAGGTAGTACTCTCAAACTATCGTTGAAATTCTCTTCAAGGCTTATCGAACGTCGCGTAAAACTGGTCGCGGCGTAGCAAACCGCGGCGGTGGCATTGATGCTGATCAACACGTTCGAGCAGCGACGTGACAGATTGGCGTTACTCGACATTGTGTGTAACATCGATCGGTCGTGATTAAGAACGTCGCTCCAATCCTCGTCCATTGCTAGCAGGATATCGTAAAATATCCTGTAGGAAATCGCTCACGTATTTCGCATTGTAAAAGAGAGAAAGAGAAAACTGTTGTCCTTAAGTGTTCAAAGAACTTCTCCCTACCTACGATGCGACCAGAGAGAGATTAACTTTAGGAAACTGAGACTGCAAGCCAACGCGATGCTGAGCGCGTCGATGAGATTCGAGATGTCGTCGATGTCGAAATGATCAAAGATGTACACGTACTCAAAATACATAGCGATCACTATACTCGTCATGAACGTGTACCAAGTGAAGGTTCCGTACGGCAAGCCCGGCCAGATCCCGACGAAGCGGAAGCCGAACTCGACGGAAGTGCTAATGGAAGTCGCGCGCATAGAATCGGAGAATAACGTTTCTCGATGTCGGGAAGTTGGACGATTACCGCGTGAATGACGCTAGTCGGAAATTAAGCATAAGTCTCGACGGGACTATAACTCCGGGAATCGCACTGAATTACGCGAGGCGATGATACGTCGACTATGCGTTATCGGTCATTATCGATCACTTGCAATTATACGTTTATTCTTCTGCCATGCAACGGCAAAATACGTATTACATTTGCTCGATGATTACGGATTGTTAGAAAGAAAAAAAAATAATTTGTGGAGACATATAATATACTGAAAGCGAATGGAAAGAGAACATGAATTATGCACTTAGAAAATGCGGAGGGTCTGACATATCGCGCATATGCAATAGTACATACAGCCATCGCAAGACTTGAAAAGTATACGAGAGTAAAGAAGAAAAAGGGCTTGGGAGAAAAAATTATGGGAGTTTCGTGAAAAGATTTAAGTGCAATGTTTTATATAGATTATAATTTATATGAATATAGATTATAATTGATATGAAAATTCATATGAATTATATTTGTCATTAATTAATTAAATATTTCACTATATATCTTATATTACACAAAAGATTATACATAATGCTCTAACTTATATTATAAGAAAATTTGTTAATTTATAGTTACATTTAAAAATAATATAATTTAAAAGGAACTCGTATTTTTGGATAAAATATATATTTTCCAGTAAATAATTTAAATTTTTAATAGATATATTACGTGGAATAAAAGCATGTATTCCATTTTATCACAATAATTGATTTACTTTGAGAAATAATTTTTGACGCGATTTTTTATTTCTTTTTACAATTAATTTTATAAAACAAATAAACAACAATTCTTTCACGAATAACTAATGCATTGCATATGACGCATTGCATTAATATACAATTTATACGAAGCACATATTTACATGCATATAAAGCATGTGTGTGTGTGTGTGTGTGTGTGTGTGTGTGTGTGTGTGTGTGTGTGTGTGTGTGTGTGTGTGTGTGTGTGTGAATTACTATTATAAATATCTTATCTTGCGAATATCATATATATAGTTATACGAAAGCTACAGAATGATTTGCATCTTAAACTGTTTACACAGTCAGCTCTGTGAAGTTTGTTCGAAACATGTTTAATATCCATGAGCAGAATTTTACGTGAGGGATAAATCTTACGTGCTGATAAATCTTTTCAAAGATCCATCATCTTTCCGGCCATGATCTCGTCAGTCTCTTTTGCGATTTCACGTTCGCGTATAAAAGGGTTCGACGTTGGCTGGATGTCATAGTGTATCAAACATATTCGTGAACGACATTTACGAGATCGAAAAATTCTGAAGAACAACCAAATTTAACAAATATATATTCATATAAGAAAGAACAGCTCTATTTCCCCAAAAAATTTAATTTAATTCGAATCAAATAAATTTACAACAGCAGATTATTTTTAGCAAAATTAAGTAACACAATTTTATTATTTGTTAACGCAACAATTTATTAAAAAGCAAAAAAGATTGTGTGATAGATAAAATATTTGGAGAAAAGTTCTACTCATTGAGATATCTAAAACAGAAAACGAATGCTTCCAGGATAATCGTGATGTGAAATAAAATGGCTTTCATTAATATTATCGTTTCATTAGTAGTCCATTGATTGTTACTGATGCCCTACAAAAGGAGATAATGTAAATTGGTTACGTAATAGCAAAGGAAAATTTACGATGTTAACATTTTACGAAAATATGATCTTTTGTGTAATAATAATTTATTTTATTATATGCATGTATGTGTATATGCATAAGACAATAGTGTAAATAATAATTACTAAATTAATTGAAGAAATGTTAGTGATAATTTTTGCTCATATTTGAATTGAAGTAATTACGAGTCTTACTCACGACGAGATGATCATAAATTCCAGGCAGCAGATTAATCAAGGTGTTAGAACTGCAGGAGAAGAGATATTGTCGGACGATGCGACAATATTCTTTAATGCTTCAAAATGAAGATTTTAATCTCCGGTGGAAATAAGGAACTCCTGATAACTTTCCGGTGGAATATTTCTGTCCAATATTTGCCTATATCAATCCAATTATACTCATGTGAAGAATAGATTGAGTTAAAGTGATTCATCTTTACTGCGTACAAAAAGCTTATAAAATTGATGGCAAAGCGTCGACTGAAACTTATCAGAGTGACAAAGAAATTGATTATCACCGAAAAGAGTAAGGAGGAGAGCGATAATTTCTGGAGATAATTCATGGAGAAATTGGGCTGCCGTAATCTCGAACTGAGGACTCATTAACCTCGAAAGGGAATTCCATTTTAACGCGAAAATCGAATCCGGTCCCGCGAGAGTCGTCCTCATCTTTCGCGGAACATCGAGCAAGGTCTTCGGGGGCGTAAAAGATAACAATCGAGGAATTGATGGATATTAAAATGTTGGAGCGTCGACGCGATAAATTGACATAGATTATCATCGGGTAGATACACGAGCTACAGCGACCATATATTCTCTCGAATTCATCGTTGCTCGAATCTCGTAAAGCACTCTATGCAAGATGATACGAGAATATCTATTACGGCAATATGTGCAGCGTAAACAACGCGAAAATATAAAAGACGTCCGGAAAGAGATGCAGCTTGCGTGAAAATGTCTTTATGGTATCTTTTACATCTGTATTTCGAAAGGAACTCTTATAAACACTGGATTCGAAATATAAGGAGACTCGTAGAAAATGTATTTCATAGTGCAAAAGTAAACGGCTTTGTTCCAACGCATTCTAGGATACTGAAGTTCAAAAGCGGATTTATGGGAAGAAATTTTGAATTTATATTTTCTCTATCTTTTATTTAAGAAGTCACATGTGGACACAAGGATAATGAAATCAAAAAATAGTAATGTATGCCGAATCTTTCTGTCCATCAAATTCGTCCTTTACTGAACCATATGCTTATCAAAAATTTGCTAACTTTAAAAACTAGATTATATTCAATGCATCTCCATCTATAAATTAGATTAGATTATATTCAATGCATCTATAGATTATTTAAGTCCAATTTTTTTAAGATATATTTTGAAAATATACACAATCACGTATGGTAAATTGAAAGCTCGATCTTGATCGATAAACTTATACGCTTATAATCATTTCGTATTTATAGCGATTTTTGGAATAAGACGATTTACTTCGCTAAGTGCTTATTACCGAGTGAGCGATGCGAAACTCATATTGATTGATCCAATGTGTCGTCGCATAATGACAAGAGAACTGACCGATCGTAGAAGATGACAAAGTTATATGGTAGTTATCGATCAATCATAATTGTACGTTAAAGCACCGGCTGGTCAAAGATTGAAGACAAGAACGAGCAACAGGCTACCTTCAGTTATCGTATTATGCGGTAGCGAATGATTTGCTTTAAAAATGCAGATCGTTCTCCAAGAGTACGCCCGTTCATATCTAATGGTCGTATTACCTGTAATATCAATCGTATTATCAAGAAAAAGCAATTGGAGCGAAGAAAGAAATGGAAATCTTGAGGTCGAGCAAAAATAAAGAAAAGAAATGTGGGCCGGCAAGAATTTAATGTTAGAAATAAAAGCGAATTTGCTGCTTTCCTTTCCGAGTAATATTACATTTCATTGTACAATAAAAAAGTGGAGCAACTAATTATTAATATATAATACTAAATATATAATAATTTTGTATATTAATAAATTCAGTAAGTAAATCAGCTTTTTAATAACGGACTCTTTAATAAGGATTTTTCCATATTAATATTCAATTATAATCTTAATCTAGTCAGATTCATTTTGTATGAAAAAGAAATTTAACACAAATTATGAAACTTATATAAAATTTTTTTATGTAATAGATTCATACATAATAATAACATAATTGTTAAAGTGGAGATTAAACATTCAATTTGTTTAACATAAAAAGCAATATTTTTATGTGACAATATTTTTGCGTTTAAATAATATTGACATTGATAAAAGTGCTAGATTTATCAATATAAAGACACGGATATTTAAAAATAACGATTGCTGCTGACTACATGATATGCAAAACGAGCTTACGATGAGAAATTTGCTGAATTTTAAAGGACATTTCTCGTTTAAGAGGAACTTTTCGAATTTTATTACGCGTTATTCTTTTTCTTTCCAAAGGAAATACATTGCATACCTTTCCTGAGTATTGCGAATGACATATAATGCTCAATATAAAATTGGCAACAAAAATATTGAAATATTGGCTTTAGTTATCACGTTTAAATGTCAATCGATATTAGTAGTTATGCCAATCATTCTTCATCACAGAATTTCGCTCTGTAATTTATTATTTATAAATTGATCAGATATTTCAGTATAAATACAAAGCATTAGAAATAATGTTTCTTACAGAGCGTTGTTTTTTAATAATAAGTGGTGATGATTCAAAATATTAGAAAGTCAGAAACGATGAATATTCGTATAAACAACTGTATATTTAATAGCAATTTGACATTTCTCTTGTGTTTTTAATAAATATTTGAAAACATTTTCAGATTTACAAACGGACTAGATTATTTCAAATGTTTTTTATATTTATATTACCCGTTTTGCGCGCAACAAACATTTAATCATATTTAGCGCGTTTAATCATAACGGCACATGTATTTTATTAAAGTTAAAAAGCGGCGCAAACTTACTAACGATGCATTCAGAGAATGCTCAGCTTGAAAAACATCAAATATAATTTACAAACACAGTCAGACCATTCATGTAATTAGACTGCTATATCTGAAATGTATGAATATAAGAAAATAATTTTGCACGTTTTTTGATATAATTTTACAAAAAAAGAAAATTATATTACAACATACTTCTCTAAGAAATGCACAAATTTGTTTTACTTATTATACTTGTGCTGATAATACTATATGTTCGATATATATAGTTAAAGAAAATAAATAAGTCAATAAGTGATCAATAAGTCAACAAGTTCAATCGAGAAATGTAAACTTTGAACGATAAATTTGAACTGGTATTCGTGATTATTATTCAATGACAATTTGAAATTTAAAGACATGAGATAGGCTAGATACAGAGATAAGAGAATAGACAACTGACAAAATTACGTTAATAATTTCCTGGTACACGAGAGTATGAAAATCATTATCGGCATCTTCATCTAAGCTACTTTACATAATACATCGAAATTACCTAATCATTCTCGAACGCTCGATATGCATCTCCATTCGAATGGCAATCGATCGTAATTATGTACTCTGCATAGTCGAACAGCAATTCGAGATAGCTTATTATCCATCTGGATACCCTACAACTGCATCAAGATGATGTATCTGGCTATAAATCAGAATGAAGTTTATATTACACAATGATTGATAATAGTTTCTTCCTCAAATTAGTTTTAATTAGACAAATCAAATGTATGAATGAAAAACATAAATTTATTTTATATTTTATTTTATAATATTATTTAAAATTTAATAAAATTTTATTTTATAATATTATTTTATAATATTATTATATATTATATAATCTTGCGACTAAAAAGATCTTTGGATAATAGCAAGCAATCTTGTTTAGTAATTTATAGAAAAGAACTTTGCAAAGAACACATGTCAGAAAAGTTTTAATAAAAATAATTAATTAATCAATTAAACACATCATCAAAGCTTAGTTTAAGACATTATAAGAATATTGAAAAAAATATCATACAAATTTAATATGTACAAATTTTCCAGTAAGACTCCAATGTGGTAGATAAGTTTGATGCAGTATGAAGATATTTCTTTCTTCGATAAGATCATATTTTAACAAAGTAACAAAGCAAAAATACATTTTTATTGAATATATTTTTAAATTGGGAATCCTGCAAATCTCGTAAATTATATTAAATGATTGTAAAGAGATATAATATTTATAATAGAAATTATTAATTTATTAATAACAATTTAAATATTTACTTTCTCAACAATAATAATTTCTAAATTATTAACCTAAATACTATTTATAATCTGGATTTAATAAATCATTATTACAATCTTGTTGATATTAATACATTGCATGCAAGACAGATACGTATGATGCGGATGCTTTTATAATCTAAAAAAACATTATATGATACATAAATAAAAAATACATAAATTAATTATAAGAAAAAATTTACTGAAGAATAACGTTTTATTAATAATATAGCAAAGGCGAAAAACTTACTTTCGCGAAAGTTTCCAGAGATAGATTCGTGATTTTTCCTGCTGTGATTACTAATCGCTTCTGAGATCTTAATATCATGAATGATATAGCTTTACCCTCCCTTGGTGGCAAATCGTACCATAATGATTTATATGCTGCATCGGAGATACATTTACTCTAATAATAATATAAAATAACGTAAAAAAAGTTTGTCAAAAACGTCAGAATACTTTTCGTATGAACAACAATTTTTTTATATAAAAGATTAATCTTCTATTAGCTTTATTCATATAACATATAAACTTAAAATTAAAGTAATATATCTTTCATAATATAAATACAAAGTTTATATTGTAAATTTTTAATATGTACATATATCGTACGTTTTTAAAATATATAATCAAAATTAATAGTCTATATTACAAATTATTCAGCTTATATTTTTTATTTTTAAATAAAAATATATATTTTAAACAAGAAAATAAGAAGCGAATATTTTTATATTTCCAAAAAATCAACAAAATATTACTTTATTTATTATATTACGATCAACATATTGAAAAATGATTATTATGCTTATGCTAATTATATATCGCATTAGAAAATTATGTTTATAATTAATAATTTGAAATTTACTAACCTTAACGCTAAGATATTCTCCAGCAAAGCAAATAATAAAGGCCTCTATCATTATGGCAACATAAGCTAAAATAGCTTTTAATAATACGAAGAAACCGGATTCATTATGAATGGACTATTTCAAGACGAAAAGAGGGATAAATAAATTGCAATATCAATGATTGCATAATCCCGATAATACTCACAATTGTGATGAGAAATCCTATGCAGCAAATAACTAAGGTATTTGCAGCAATTTGCATCAATGTGATAAAAGAGAAAAGTTTCCCAATTTGTTCGGAAAATAAAACGACTCTGTTATGTCTCTCAATTAATGTTCCTAATGTAGATATGGAAGATCTGTCATGGATACTTTTAGAAATAGTTCTAAAGCTTTGACATATGATATCGATTTGACCACTCATGTGAAACACCTACAATATGTATACTAGAAAAAATCGTATTAAGATAAATATTGTATACAAAAAGTATTTTTTCTGCAGAAGATATCAATTTGATGTGCAAAAGAAATAAAAGTAATATTTTTACACAAAATATTTAACTCAGTCGTAAAATTTCTTTAACAATGATAAATTATATGTGTAGTGCAATGTAACAATTCGTATATAACACAAGTACAAAGTAAAATTTGCGCGACGATTTCTTTAGATCTAAGCTCTCATTATAAATTTTCTTATTACACAGTCTTGACAAAAAATAAGGATGCGTAAATTTAAAGTGCGACTTACCAGACTAAAGATCAATCCGTTTACAATAGCGATTGTGAACGAATCTGACATCACATGTAAAAATAAGCCTAAGACAAGCAACTCGAAGATGGGTGATTGCTCCGTTTCGAAGGGAAATTGTGCCTTGACAGGAAATTGCCGCAAACTGTTATTGTAATCTTTTGTTAAATATACGAAACGAATCACGTAATCACCCAAGAGGTAAAGCACCGAAGCAAATGTATTAAAACTGAACATAGCATTGGAACAAAAATGCGATATACCGGCTTTAATTGTCATTATGTTTAAATGCTGATGAACGTCGTTGCACTCGCGCCAATCATTATCCATCGCGGCCAGGAGTTGATGAAGGATGCTACAAATATTTTAATTGATCAAATATTTGGGAGATGAAAAGATATCCTTTCTTAAGCAAGATTATACACATTGATGTTCTACTTAAGATTAAAATGAAGGCATTAACAATAAGTCTTGCTCTGCTTAAGAAAGATCAGATTGACAGTACATTATTCAGACTTTAGATGGAAAGATTCATCTTCTCTCGATATCTTACCGACGATGCTTCCAAAGACTAGCCACCTTAATAAACATCAAACTACTTTCTAAAGTCGAAGATAAACCATCCACGAGATTTGAAAGCTCGCTAAGCTTAAAGTGAGAGAATACATAGAGATATTGAAAATATTGTACGATTAAAGTGCTCAACATAACAAGAAACCAATAAACGGTGGAATATGGCACATTCGGCCATACACCAAGGCATTGAAGACCGATTTTCAGCGCCGGACTAATGGTACTCGTGGCTATCATTCGTCAAGAATTTTAAAGGCGCGAAGAAACGAAGAAGATCAGTGTCAGCGCATTTGTAAACTAAAAGACAGAACCGTCTGCTTCTTCACATGCTCGCTCACGCGATGCATCCCCACTCAAGTGAATACGGATCAATCGCTATTATACGTTATTGTGCAGTCGAGATAGTTCTCATTATTTGTATCATCAATTTTCTATAATTTCATTGGAAGTTTAATATTGTGTATTTCGATAGAAAACGATTTAGCAAGGATATTAAGAGGAGGACGAACAGCTAATTACACATGTCAATTTTTTTTCTCAACGTTTCTCTGATAACAAGAAAGCGAATATCTATTGCTTTTTTTACATATCACAAAGCTAAACATGCGGTTCGATTAAATGATCGCAATTATTCATTAAATATTCTGAGCGAGTAGGATTCAATTGTTTTCATAGCGTTTGATTGCAAGTTTTAAAAGAGATAAATGTAAGAAAAATATTATATCTTCTTGACTGTGGGACTCAATTGTGCGTAATAGCACGTAATTTCTTTTAATGATTCGACAAACTTTTGCAGAATACGCATATTGAAGAAAATTGAAGGAAAAAGTATAAATTAATTAAACATATTGTAGAACTTATAGTTATATAGATGTGTATGCAATACAATTATATATATACAAACTGCATATATGCGATTCTTCCAACGAAAATTCACTACTAAGTATATGATACAATTTAAAAATCCATTTCTTTTCTCGATAAAAATTGTTACATGTATATATAGCAAAAATATAAAAAGATAATAAAAAAGATATTTTTCGTATTTGTATTAAATATAATTTTAGATTTGATACAACTTGTGCACCTTGCAAACTAAATTAAATTAATATAAAAAGACAAAAATGTTTCCAAAGAATAATATATTAATACATATATACACGCACACATAACAATTTAATTATTATTATATATATGTATATTTAAATATATATATATATATATATATATATATATATATATATATATAATTTTTTCTGTTATGATTATTAATTGCTTTTTGCAGGAAACTTTATAATTATAAATATAACAACTTTCTATTGATTTAATGGGATATTATAGCGATTCGTTGCATTATTTATTGCTACATTAGCAATTAACTTATTCTAAAAAATATAATTAAAACGATACGGAGAAATATATTTTCTATAAATACTTTCTCTCTTAATTAAATAATTATTTTATTCAAAAAGATTCAAATTTTTTTCAGTTTTATTATTAACACTACAATTAGAAAAAATAAAGAGTAAAACTTTACAATAAAATTTTTCCTAACGATAATATTTCTCATGAAATTAAATTTACAGTAATGCTGCACTTTGTATATAAAAATTTTTTTTAATTATATATTAAAATAAAATTTGCATACGCCAATATGGTCAGGAATAGATTTCAAGATCATATTGCAAATCTTTTCAATAAAGAATCAAAACACATGAATAGAGATATTTCAAGCGAGTGAAATTGAATTGTATTCATGATCCAATTGCAAATTTTTAATGAGATTGCGAAGAAGCGAGATCAATGTATTTGCCCAGAGGCAGAATTGCGAGAGTCTCTCTTTCTGCAAATCTATTTCTATGTTAAATGCATTCTTATTTAGATGATTATAAATACGTCATTATATATGACGTATACAGTAAACTAAGATAGAATTTATTATATTTATACTTAATAAACTATATTATTTTATAATTTTATTACAAATCTAGTAATGTGAAAAAGAGATGTACGGAAAAAGGATATTATAAAATAAAAAAAATATAAAAGAGAAGATTCTCTCTCACTCAATAAATAGTTTATGGAACAATTCGTAGCATTTTAGTAAATTTCTTTCTGATAATATAATACCTTTGATGAGAGAAGAAAAATTCAACATATTTTTTGTATATATCGAGGAGGTCACTTAACGTGCAATAATTAGATCAAACGAGAGAAATCATGCATTAGATACTCTAAAAGGACGGAATTAACTGTGTACGTGTCCCATTACAAATCTTAAGAAAGATAAATGAGAGAGAACTCTATCTTCCTGAGGCGACCGAATGTGTGGACGTAATGGTGAGTAATTTTTTTAAATAATTTTGCGACAGAATATAATTTTGCAGCCCATGCACTAGCAGAGGAAGTTTTAAAAGCAAAAAAAATGTGTTCATCCATTATATTATAGAAGCTTAAGAAGAGAAAGATACATTAATAAAATTGCAAATTGCATAAACAGATTTTTCAATAATAATTCAATGATCGATTCAACAAGTCATAAACTATAATTTTTATAGATATGAATCTAGTATGCACTAGTATTATAGAAAAAATAATTATTTACATTTATAAATGTAATTCAAATATTAATCTCTATTTTTTTCTCTGTTTTTCTTTCTAAAAATTTTAAAAGATACATTAAAATAATTTAAAAATTCAAGTAGTCATTTTAAATTGAGTAATTAATAAATATTTATTATATTCTGTATAAATAATGTTTTCTTATCATATTGTATTTTTAATAAAAAGTTGTCGTGTTTTTTTGAATATTAATACATTGCATGTAAAACAGATATATATGATGCCGATGCTCTTATCATCTATAAAAGTTAGAACAAATAAATTTAATACAGGAGTGAAAGATATATTTTGTAATAAATTAATAAAGGTATTAAAGATACATTTTGTAACATAAATTAATTGTAAACAAAATATCATTTTTATTTATTATTTATGTTTATGTGTTTAAATATTTAAAAAAGATTTAAATACTTACGCTACTAAAAGCTTCAAAGGACATATCTGTCATTTTTCCTGCCGTGATTGCTAGTCGCTTATTGGATCTCATTATTATAAATGTCATAACTTTACTCTGACTTGATGGCATATTGTACCAGAATGTTTCATATGCTGCATCGGCAATTGATTTACTCTAAAAAAAGACCGCAAAGAGAATTGAATGACACAGAACGGTATTATATTCCTATTTTTTTATTCATTCAATTTTTTTGTGTGATGGATCTATGAACGCCGACACTGTATAAAATAAAAATAAAATTGAATTGAATTGAAAGATATATTTTTTCCTTTTTAATTCATCTTTCTTTATTTTTATATAGTGTCAGTGGCGGTAACATATTCATAGTGAGAATATCGATCATCGTAAAATATCTAAAATATAATACAGTAATTACAGCAATATATGTGTTACTAATTCTTTGATCCATTTTTGTTCACAGAATAAAAGGATTAACATAACATCGAAACATTAGAAATCTTTTAAAAAATTATGCATTTACAATTATATAAATTTTTTCTCACTAACTTTAAGGCTGAGGTATTCTCCGGCGAAGCAAATAATAAAGGCCTCAATCATTATGGCAAAATAAGCGAAAATGGTTTTTATTAAAATCATGACACTGGTTCCACCATTGACAGACTATTTCAACGAATAATAAAAAGAAAAAATGTGAATAGATAATAATATAATATGAATCATATTTATAATAATATAATATGAATCATATTTATCGCATATTTATCGGACTCACTATTACGATGATGAATCCTAGACAGCAAATAACTAAAGTATTCCAAACAACTTGCATTAATGCGATGAAAGAGAAAAGTTTCTCGATATTATTGGAAAACGAAATCACTTTATTATGCCTATCGATCAACATCCTTAATATTGGTGCGGAAGAATCATAAAGAGAAGTTTTGTCAGAAATATTTCTGAACTCTTGGCATATAATGTCGATTTGTCCGCTTGCGTGAAGTACCTAAAATTTACTTAATATTCTGCAAAGAGTCCAATTACGTATTATACATAAATAAATATTTTTGCCATAAACTTATATGTTATATTCTTTATATATATATATATATATATATATATATATATATATATTGTTACGGCCCTGATGTCCGTGTTTTCATCGGGACGGCGCCGATTTACGAGAAGAAGCGCGTTGTCAAGGTTGTTGACAGGAGCGCCTGTCATCTTAGTTCGGTTCCAGCTGTCAAGCTGCGCGGACGTGTTTGTGTATCGTGCCGAGCCGAATTATTAATATTGTGTTTCTGTGATTACGTTATAGTGTTCTATGTTGTTCTGTGTTGTGCATTAAAGAGTTCCGAGTTCCTTGTAAAAGTGTCTATTCATTTCGCACGACTCGCGAGCGGCCGATCTCTCCGCGCGCGTCTTCGATAATAATCGAAGTCCTCGCCGCGGGCGTAACAATATATATACACACAAAAGATCTTAAATATATTTTACAATATTTTTTAAGTTTCTTAATATTTTTAATTATATTATTAATTATTATACAATAACATTTCTCAAAAATTCTACGTAAATTTTACGTAAATTTGTGTGTAAAAGGATTTTATAAATTATGTAATTTGCAATATATTAAAATTGAAATTTCCATGATATAGATTCTATTGTCATATTTCAATATAGGTCACAAATAATTTTTATTAAATACAATTCTGATAAAAGATATGAAGAAATGTATTCAAAATATAGGACGTGGAAAAATTACCAAAGTAAAGATCAATCCGTTTAAAATAGCAACTGCACATACATGTAACATTGTATGTAAAAACAGAATTACTACGAGCAGCTCGAAAATAGGCGATTGCTCATATTCAAAAGGAAGTTCTATCTTGATAGGAAGTTGCCGCAGAGTATCATTGTAATCGTCGACCAAAGAGACAAAATGAATCATATAATCGCTCAAAACATAAAGTACTCCAGCAATTGCATTGAAACTCAACATAGCGTTAGAACAGAAATGTGATATACTGGCTTTAATTGTCATCACATGAAAATGCTGTTCAACATTGACGCATTCGTGCCAATCGTTATCCACAGCTATTAGAATTTTATGGAGAACTCTGCAATATGTAACATTAATTGATCTGATATATGGAACGAAGAGTATTAGTCTTTTTATTAAAAAAATATAAACGTTGAACTTTTAAGAATTAGATTATGATAAAGTCACTCACTTTGATCATATGCATGCATGGACACACAAAGAAGCTTTATTTAATAATGCATATTAGAAAATTAAAGAATGTTTTCTCACGAACATAATGATTGAATAAAACCAATGATTGAATAAACCAATATCACATTATATCTTACCGACGATGTATCCAAAGACTGATCATTTTAAATAACGTTAAAGTATAATCTAAGGTCGCAGGCAAGCTATCCACGAGATCCGATAATTCGTTCATCTTTAAATGTCCCATTACGTACAGATATTGAAAATATTGTATTATCAGCATGCTCGACATAAACATAAGCCAATAAACAGCTGAGTATGGTACATCCGGCCACATACCAAGTAATTGAAGGCCGATTTTCAGCGACGGACTGATGGTAGTTGTCGCTATCATTCGTCAATATTTTTATGGATGAGATGAAATAAAAATTAGTATAGGCGATACATTTGTCCGAGTACGAGACAAAACTGAGAAAGCATTGTCCATTTCTCCAAGTTCATCCCCACACAGTGCATCCCCACTCAAGTGTAGATCAATCGCGCTATTATGCATCGCATAATAATCAAAAGAGCTCCTATTTTTTCCGTAATTACCTGAATGGTAATGTTCTATTCTAATTCCATTATTGAAGCTAATAATGCGTAGATACTCTTATATGAAGAAGTGAAAATATTGTGAATAAATTGCTTGATTTTTCATAATTTCTCCTGTCTTATTATATGATATGTTTGCAACGAATGTTCGTCGCATTTTCTACATGAAGATAGTTTAACGACAATTTGATTGGACAATCGAGCATTATTCTAACTAAATATTTTAAATAATGAACGGAACTAAATTGTAGCGAGTTTTTTTAAAGAGAGATAAGTAAGCAAAAACATTGTATTTCTGTGCTTAAAATCGATTTGCACAATGGTGAGTATTTTTCTTTAATAATCCAAGAAACGTTATTGCATGCTGAACACACAAATGTGGAAAAAGTTTTAAAAATAAAAAGTTTGAATCATTTGGCTAAATCAGAAAAGTTTAGTTGCAAGTACACGCAACAAAATACATATCCCGTACAAATTAAACGCGCAGATCTTTCAGTGAAAATTCAATGATCTATTTGTCGCAATTTAAATCAACGTTTTTCTCAATATAAAAATTATACAATATAGAAAAAGCAATTATATATATATATATATATATATATATATATATATTATTTTGTATTAAATGTGTAATGCTAATTTTTATGTTATTAATATAAAAATCGTTCAATAACGGATAATTTAATTATATAAGATTCGTCCATCTATATTAACTTTATTAAGTCTTACTGTTTTATTAATATTATATATTATATGTGATTAATCGATGAAAGAAATATGTTTTCATGAGTCAAATATTTTGAATTTTAATACATAGCGTGTAATACTGAAATGTATGACGCCGAAGCTTTCATGACCTGAAAAAATTATTCTCACCAAATATCTAATGAGAGAAGCACATTTTTTAACATCTATATACATCTCATTAATGATGTGATATATACATGTGTGAGTTTAGTTTCAGGAACATCAACATACTTATAATATTTATGATTATTGAATTTATGCGATGTATCATATAAATAATTTAAATTAATTATCTGATATTTAAAAATCATTAAAATCTTACAGTCGTGAAACCTTCCAAAGTCAAATCCATAACTTTTCCGGCTGTGATCGTCAATTGTTTTTGGGCTCTAACGATTATGAGCAATAAAATTTGGCATTCATTGGTGGACAATTCGTACCAATGTATCTCATATACCGCATCGCCGATAGATCTGCTCTGAGAAAGAAAAAGGAATTATGGATTAAAATGCAATAGAAACGACAATAGAAACCTCACCCTGAATGCAGGAAAAGTGCAATCACACAACTTTGGCACTAAATCATAAAACTAACAAATACTTTTATTTATATGTTATAGAGAGAATATATATAAAACACTCGCATCCGATAAAAACAAGGGGATGATGCTAACCTTAGAACTCAAATATTCGCCAGCAAAACAGAAAACGAAAGCTTCTAACGTTACAGCGACATATGGAATAATGGATTGTATTAATATTCCGGATTTACCTTCTATATCTGTGCCTAGAGACTGTATAAAAATGGTACGTTAAATTATATTAATAAAAAAATCCTAATATCATCTAAGAGATTATGTTTTTAATTTAACATAAATATTCTACATACATTTGAGATTTTGCAAGGACATAATTCCAATATCATAAAAAAAGGAATAATACATTATTCTCTAAAATGACGTTACTATAAATATTACATGAGATATCTTTCTCCTCGAAATTGTTTCGTGTAAATTATTTGAAATTATTTTCATTCCGATTAATTTTAGGCGATTAAATAAAGTTAATATATCAAATATAATTTAATGAAATGAATGATATTCTGTGCAATTAAGAAGCAAATTGATTCTTAGAAAAATTCATTGCTTTCTCTCTATAAACAAAGCATCTTTACTCACTATTACGATCATGAATCCTATAGAGCAGATAACTATGGTATTCCATACAAACTGTATCAGTGCAACAAAGGAGAAAAAGTTGTCAATATTATTGGATAAAGATATGATTTTCTGATGTCTTTCGATGAGTGATCTTGTGGCCGATGGATGAGATTTTTTCGTGGAGGAAATTTCTCTCAATTCTTGGCACATAATATCAATCTGGCCACTCACGTGAAGTACCTCGAAATAGGAAAACTGAAGGTTTAAGAAAAGCTCACGAAATTTAAGAAACATGTTATTTGATAGATCAAGAACCACATGTTTTCAAACATGTTTTAACGAGATTGCGTCATGAAAACAATTATCTAATGATCTTTTAAGCAGTTTTACATTGCTTTTGACTTACAAGTGCTAAGATGAGAGAATTCAACATCGCGATTACGGTCGCCGTCTCCCATACATGAAAGAAGGTTGCCAGATAAATGAGCTCGAAGATTGGCGAGTCCGAAGCTTGGTCGAACGGGAACTGCATTTGTATCGGAAACTCTCGAGGTTCTTCGCCGGCGGAGATTATACGATGACTCAAGTAGCTGCCCACAAAGTAGAAGATAGTGGCCAAACTATTTAGGATCATCATAGCTTTAGAACATCGATGCGCTAGATTAGCTTTGCTTGTCATCACGTACACGTGTGAATCCGTGACCTGATTGTTCCAGTCATCTTCCATGGCGTCTAAGATATCCGAAAATATTCTGCAAACGACTTCACTAATTTCCAATAATACAATCTAGATATCGACGTCGATCATGACCCTTACCGTCGATTGTGCCAGAGACTCAACAGCTTTAAAAACGTCAGAGTGTAATCTAGAGTGACGCTCAGACCATCCATTAGTTTGGAGAAATCGTTCTTATTCAGATGCACAAAAACGTAGGAATATTGAAAGTATTGCATGGCGAGGAGGGTAGCCATGTAAAAGAGCCAGAGATGCGTCCCGTATGAGGAGCCGGGCCACATACCGATGAAACCAAGACCGATCTTTAGCGACAGACTTATAGTACTCGTCGACATAATTACAATTCACGCATTTATCGAAACGCGGTTTTTCAACCAAATTGTGCGCTGTTGTTATTCTTAATTTCAACTGAATTGAAAGAAAAATCTTGCGCGGTAAAAAAAGAAAAAAGCAACGTTTTTTTTTTACTCTAACCTCGCGCAAAGTTTGCAATTTCATAAGAAGTAAAATTATACTCGCGACATCGATCAATTGTAATTAACTATCGCGCGATGCGACAACGACATATGCATGAAGAGCTAAGTTGCGATGACAGATGATTATAGGTTTTCTCGCGCTCGAAAAAAGTATACACGTGGAAAATATCAATCGTCAATTCTAACAAAATGCAAAAAGTAATATCTCATTTTCTTTAATAATGCAATTGCAGCCCTCCAATATGCATCGTACATAGGAAAAAATAATTACGAATAAAAATTAGACTTGGTAGAAATAGTCAGTTGATGAAAGTTGGACATATTAATTGGTTGAATATTAGCTCCATATTAACGAAAAAAATATCGCTTTTGCAGAGAAAATGATGAGAGAACAGGAGATAAAATTTTTAGTCTAAAGTTTATAAGCAAATATGTATGGGAAAAATAAATTGTACGTATAAATGTATATATACTTAATATTACACTATTAATTAAAATTTATATATAGATACTTTATTAATAATTTTGATGACAATTTTTCTTAGAATTTATTAGGAAAAATTTATAATTTTATATTTTATATGTATATCTAATTAAAAAGAAAATAGCAACATAAAATAAGGATATTATAAGTTGATGAACAATTATTAAAAATTAAAGAAGAAAGGCAAAATTAATTAATTATCCTTTTATCTTTAATTTCTCTTTCTACAAATATACATACTTACTCGCAATAATTCGACAACATACATAGGTATATATGTCCAGCATACATTTTGATACAAGTTTCAGTACATGGCGTGCAAAACCGAAATATATGAAGCCGAAGCTTTCATGACCTAAAAAATTACCTTCTTTTGAATATAAAAGTACTAAGAGAGGAATAATTCTTCAAAGTCTAAATATTATTAATGCGATACATTCATATTTTTTTACGAATTATGTTAAATATTGTCTCTTGCAATATTGTTCGACAATCAAATATACATTATTAAAAACATATACATATACATTATTAATTAATATACATTATTAAAAAAGAGATGAGTGATATCAAGCAATGTACTTACAGTAGTATAACTTTCCAATGTTAGATCCATAACTTTTCCAGCCGTGATTGGCAATCGTTTTTGCGATCTCAGAATCAGGAATAATAAAATTCGACACTCGCTAATAGATAAATCATACCAAACTGTCTCATATGCCGCATCACTGATAGATCTACTCTGGAAAAGAGAAGAAGGTTACAGATTTTTTTAAAGAGTTACAATTACATTTGACCAATACAAAAGTAATATGCTAACCTTAGTGCTTAAATACTCGCCAGCGAAGCAAAAGATGAAAGCTTCTGCACTTACTGCAAGATATGGTATGATAAATTGTGTAAAAACTCCAGATTTATTCTCCATATTCATATCAAAGGACTATGGAAGATTAAAAATAATTTTAAAAGCTTTTAATATAAAGTTATAATTACTTTTTAAAAAAAGTTCTCTTTTTAAAATATTATTATATTAAATAACAAACAAAATTTCATTTGCATTGAAACTTGCAATAAATCTAATATTTAATTAAACAAATTTTTATTGTTTCAATAATTATATTAAATAAAGAAATATTTTATATATAGTTGGATAAAATTAATGATAATAATTCTAATATTTTTAATAATAATAATTCTAATAATTTTAATAATAATAATAATTCTAATAATTTTAAAATCTTTTTTTCCAGTAAGAAATATATGCAATTTATTACTATTAATTATATTACTATTAACTAAAATAATTTTACTCACTATTACAATCATAAATCCTAAACAGCAGCTAACAAAACTATTCCATACGAATTGTAACAAAGCAATGAGCGAAAAATAATTCTCGATATTATTCGATAATGATATAATCTTCTGATGTCTCTCAATGAGTGATTTGGTGGAAAACTTCTTAGATTTGAATATAGAAGGAATTTCTTTCAATTCTTGACACATGATATCGATTTGTCCGCTTACATGAAGTACCTCAAAGTAAATAAAATAAAAATAAAAATAAAAATAAAATAATGTAAAATAATGTAAAATAATGTAAAATAATGTAAGTAATGTGTTCAAACAAGATTCGACAAAAACTTTAATTAATTTGTTAAAAAAAAATTAAATATTGTTGCAACTAATGTTTTACCTAAGAACTATATGTGATACTTAACTAAATAATATGAGTTCTTCTCCACTTACTAGCGTTAAGATCAAGGAATTTAATACCGCGATCGCAATCGCCGTTTCTAACACATGAAAGAACAATCCTAAGACAATGAAGTCGAAAACCGGCGTTTCGTGAGCCTTTAATGGCAACTGTATCTGTATCGGAAACTTTGGGTATTGTCCATCTTTGGAAAATATACGGATACGTGCGTAACTATCGATGAAGTAGAGAACGGTAGCGACAATGTTAACGAATATCATAGCATTCGAGCAACGATATGCCAGATTAGCCTTGTTTATCATCACGCACTTGTGTAAATCGGTTGCATCTTTCCAATCATTGTCCATCGCGACCAGAATATCCACAAATATCCTATGATTCAATTGATCGAATCTTACGATATGATAGAACTCTCTAATAGAAAAATCAATCATAGAGAATAATCGTTGAGCTAGACTTACCGGCGATTAAACCAAAGACTGATCATTTTCATAAACGTCAGGGTGGAATCCAGAGTAATGCCCAAACCGTCCATCAGTTTGATCAGATTGTCGAACTCCAGATGCGCGTAAACATATGAGTATTGGAAATATTGCACAATTAAAAGGGTCGTCATATAAAAGAGCCAGCAGAACATCCCGTACGAGGAGTCGGGCCACATACCGATCACACGGAGACCCATTCTCAACAACGGACTTATAGTACTCGTCGGCATAGTTGTGCGTAACGTTACATTGAACCATTACTCCAATCAACTATGCACGTTGTTTCCTTCCGACGAAGTAAACGATGAGAAAAACGATTTCCACTTTCCAAAGGAAACATATGATCGAATCTCTCAGTCGTACTTTGCAATATACTCCCCTCCTCGGTATCGCAGAAGAAATAGCAATTTTACAAACTAAAATTACTACGGGATGAAGAGTGCGGGCAACAATCAATCGTAATTATGTAATTATGCAATATAAACCATAGAACGACGAACTAATGCGATAATAGATCAATGATTATGGGTCTTTGCACATAAAAAAATATACATGTACCATTACACAAATAATCATCTTGAAAAGAACAGACACATAGTCATCATTATTGATAAGCTTAATTTAAAAAATGGTATTAAAAAGAAAGAAAGCTTTTACGTATTCTTGATGGATTTAAAAATTGAATCTTGCTAAGTCATGCAATAAATTATACAAATAACGCACAGCAATTGTCATTGAATGGTAACCTGACATTTAGTCAATAAAGAGAAAGAAAAATATTACAGACAAGGAGATTAAAACGTATACATGGAACGTAGAAATATAATAAAGGTATATTTGTAACATAAAGAAAAATATTTAATATGTCATTATTAAAATTTATGTCTATATTCCATTCTTTGCATCTGTAATAATCGAAAATATTTGAAGATAATTTATGATAAAGTGTTAGATAAACAATTTAGTACATTGCATGCGATACAAATATATAACAGGCAGAAACTTTTATTATCTAAAAAATAGATTCAATAAAAAAGACTTGAAAAATTAAGCAATGCATTTACACTGTGATATCTCACGCTTATAAAATTTTCAAAAAGAGATTAACAATTTCCTCATAAAAATATAACTGTCAATCGTTTTTGCAGCTGATCTCAAAATAAATTAAAAATAAAACTGAAAATGTGTATCAGTTATATTATATTGTATCGAAATAATTCGTACATACATTGCATCTAAGTTAATTGATTTATTTTGAAAAGAGTGTAACTCAAATCCAAAACATATTTGAATAAAACAAAGCTGCCATAATATATTGCATAAAACAATGATTTATATGCTGCTATTGTTCAAGATACATACATATGTAATTGTTAATGGGGATGATGTATAATATAATAAAAGGACCATTATATAATGGCAATTGTAACATTATTGTAACTGCACATATCTTTATCGAACTTATTGTTTTTCATTTGTAAATACTAGCAACTTATTGTTAATCATAAATAAGAAAAAATAAATAATGGTACATATATGTATAATTTATTATACACACAAATTTGGGATTCAAATAAAAAATCTTGGCATTTAAGACTTTTCAATATAATAGGTTAGGTACATAAAAACTTTTTGCAATATGCAAAAATACTGAACTTAAAACTAATACTGAAATTTAAAACATTATTATATTTTTTACTGAAATTCTATAAAAGAAGACGAATTATCAATCATATTAAAATATATTGTATGTGCATATATTATTATATATTTTTTATATCATATTATTAATTAAAATATGTGTAGATACTTTAATTAATAAATTTGATAATACCTGTTGCTAAAAATTTGCAACAATTTATGCTCTGTAGAAAAATACTTGTTTCGTAAAATCTCATTTGTAATTACAACATAATATTTCTCACAATCAGTATAATTAATCGAGCGGAGAATTTATAATTTTTTATTTTACTTGTGCGATTAAAAGAAGACAATAAATATAGAAGTACAACATTTATTACAACAATTATTGGAAATTAAAAAGAAAAAGGCAAAATTAGTGTTAATTATCTCTTTATCTATAATTTTTTTATCTACAAATGTTACTACTTACGCGGTAATTTGACAGATGCATATATATGATCAACATACATTTTGATATAAGTTTCAGTACATTGCGTGCAAAACCGAAATGTACGAAGCCGAAGCTTTCATGATCTAATGGAGGATTCTTATGAAGTTAAGAATAATAAAAAGAATATTCTTTAATTTCTAAACATCATTAAAAATGATATATTGATATTTTCCTATCAATTCTGCTGTGTTTTATTGTCTCTTGCAATACTAATCAATTATAATACTAATATTATTCAAAAAAAGATAATGTTATATCAACAACTTACAGTAGTGAAACTTTCTAATGTTAAGTCCATAACTTTTCCAGCTGTTATCGTCAAACGTTTTTGCGATCTCAGGATCAGGAATAATAAAATTCGGCATTCACTAGTAGATAAATCATACCAAACTGCCTCATATGCTGCATCGCCAATGGATTTACTCTGGAAAAGAAAGATAGGTTATAGATTGTTCTAAACTAAATAGATTAAATACAATTATATTATATTTGATATAATCCGAGCAGTAATAGTAGCAAAAGTAATATGCTAACTTTAGTGCTCAAATACTCGCCAGCGAAGCAAAAAACGAAAGCTTCTATAGATACTGCGAGATATGGCATCATAAATTGTATAAAAATCCCAGATTTACTCTCTATATTCATACCTAAGGACTGTGTAATGGAACATCAAGAATAATTTTTAAAGTTTTGAATATAAAATTATAGTTACTATTTTTAAAAATAAGTGAAAAGGTATCTTTTCAAAGTATTATTATATTATATTATTATATTAAGTGCAACACAAGGTATAATTTCATTTGATTTAAAACTTAATTAAAATTAATTAGATTTTATTAATATGAAAATAATTGATTAAATCATTTTATTTTTTCATGTATAGTAAAAAAGTTCTTAATTGGACAATATTAGTATAATAATCATTCGGCATAATTTTAAAATATTTTCTTTTAACAAAAAATGTGCTAATTTATTATTATTATATATTAATTAAAGTAATTTTACTCACTATTATGACCATGAATCCTAAACAGCAGATAACAAAGCTGTTCCATATAAATTGTAATAAAGCAATGAACGAGAAATAGTTCTCAATATTATTCGACAATGATATAATCTTTTGATGTCTCTCAATGAGCGACTTGGAGGAAAATACCTTAGATTTCAATGTGGAAGAGATTTCTTTCAACTCTTGACACATGATATCGATTTGTCCGCTTACATGAAGTACCTCAACACAAAAAAAAATCAAATCAAATCAAATAAGTAATGCGTTTAAATAAGATTCGACGAGAACTTTAATTAATTTAGTAAAAAAAAAATGTTAAATATTATCGCAACTAATGTCTTATCTAAAAAATATGTGACACTCTTAACTAAACAATATAATTCTTAACTTACCAGCGTTAAAATCAAGGAGTTTAGTATCGCAATCACGGTTGCTGTTTCTAACACATGAAAGAACAAACCTAGGACGACGAATTCGAAAATCGGTGTTTCGTGAGTCTCGAACGGAAACTGTACCTGTATCGGAAACTCTCGGTGTTGTCCGTCCTTGGAAATTGTATGGCGACGTACGTGGCTATCGATGAAGTAGAGAACGGTAGCAACGGCATTAACAGATACAATAGCGTTGGAACAACGATGCGCCAGATTAGCTTTATCCATCATTACACACTGACGCAAATCGGTTGGTCGGTCTTTCCAATCGTCGTCTATCGCGGTCAGAATATCTGCGAATATCCTACAACTCGATTTCTCGAAGATCTGACGAGATGATTGAATTCTCTCGAGAGATCAATCGTGCCGAATGATCATCAAGCTAGTCTTACCGGCGATTAAACCAGAGGCTGATCAGCTTCAGGATCGTTAGGGTGTAATCCAAAGTGAGGCCCAGACCATCCATCAATTTAGTCAGATTGCCGAAATCCAGATGCGCGTAGACATATGAATATTGAAAATACTGCATTATTATGAGAGTCGTCATGTAAAAAAGCCACCAAAACGTCCCGTACGAGGAACCGGGCCACATACCAATCGCGCGAAGACCGATTCTCAACAACGGGCTTACAGTACTCATCGACATAGTTGCGTGTAACGTTACATTGAACCATTACTCCAATCGACTGTGCACATTGTTTTCTCCCGACGAAGTGAACGATGCTTCTATTTTTCAAAGATAATGTACGATCGAATCTCTCAGTCTTACTTTGTAATACGCTTTGTACTCCCCTCTTCGACGACACAGAAGTAGTTTTATGAACTAAAACTATCACGAGGTAGAAGAGCAATGATCAATTGCAATTACGTAATCATGTAATATAAACCGTAGGACGATAAGTTAAATTGCGATAATAGATCAATGATTATCGGTTTTTGCACGCAAAAAAAAATATACGTGTATCTTTACATAATAATCATCTTCAAAAGAACAGACATAGTTAACATTATTAATAAACTCAACTTAAAAGTGGCATTAAAAAAACGAATGGTGATTTTATGTTCTTGATGGATCTAAAAATTGGATCTTTTGTCTAGCCATGTAATAAATTATACAAATAACGTACAACAATTGTCATCAAAAGATAGACGAACGTTTAGTATATTGAAAGTTTATAAAGAAAATGGAAAATATTACAGACAAGAAGACTAAAGTGTGTACAAACGTAGAGATAATAAAGGTATATTTGTAATATAGAGAAAAATATTTAATATGTCATATTATTAAAATATATATATTTGTGTCTATCTCCATTCTCTGTCACTGTAATATTTATGTTAAAAATATTCGATGGATAATTTATCACACCCAAGTGCAAAATATTTGATAAAATATTAAATAGAAAATGCTCCTTAATTTAATCCATCGCATGCGATATAAATGCATGAAAACAGAAGCTTTTATTATCTAAAAAATGGATTCGATAAAAAGAATTTAAAAAATTAAAAGTTGCAAAGTTTGCACTGTGACATCTCACACTTATAAAATTTTTCAAAAAGAGATTAATAATTTTTCTAGAAATAATTGTCAATCGTTTTTAAGACCAATAAAATCACACCAACGTGAACTAACGATAAATGAAATTAAAGAGACTGTCAGATATCACATTTTATCGAGGCAATTTATATCTAATAATTAGTTAATTGATTTGTTCTGAAAAAGACGTAACTCGAGTCCTAAACATGTTAGAAAAAAAATGCAATTATGTTTGCCTTTTCGAGTCAGTGAACACTTTATTATTATAAAATAATTGCTTTAAAATTGTACATTTGTTTCTTAAAAGGCAGTTTCACATTCATTTAATAAGTTTCTTTAAAAAAATTACACACAAAGTTAAAAATATATTTATGAGTCGCAAAAATAAGGCAGAAAAAAAGTGGAAAATGTTTATTATAACTAGATATTGAATATGTTTGTAATACATACGATCCAATTTTCTTTACCTTTCATTCATATCCTCTCGTTTATGTACTCCCACTCCCATTTCGATAAAATATAAAAGTCCAGTGTAAGGAAGCGGACGAACATATTTTTTCATGTCATTTGAACTGCATAAAACTGTATAAAAATGTAAATCATTTTTAAATCATATAAACTTGTATTATATCATGTTACATTTTTTGCTAATTTTTAAATATATATTGAATTAATAAAAACCGATACAAAAATCTTCACACTTTTTTTATAAAAAAAGATTATTGAAAAAGAAATTCGCATATCAATCCCGATTAATATTACAAAACAGCAATAATAAACAATAGCAAGAATCCCTTTAATTGCAGTTTCAAATTACAGCACGAATAGGTATCATAATAAATTAATATATATTGATTATGAAAACCTGCATAGTGCTTGAACATTTATAGAAAATGTGAAGATTAAATTTGACAAATAAAAGCATGCAATATATATTTTTAAAATAATAATGAAATGTTAGAAAAAAATGCTAGTGGAAAGTTAAGTAATAATTAGAACTTTGAATAAAAAACTCATAAATAAAACGTATATTTAATGTGTAAACATACCTTTCAAGTTACAATAAACTATATGTTCGTACCTCTTCTTCTTAATAGAGTTGCAATATTTTTATTGACATTGAAAATGGAAACATAGAAAGCTGAGACAAAAAAAAGTTCACATTTTATAGGAAAATACAAAATAATTGTTACCACAAACAAAGACAATTGTTTATTTTTCAAAAATATAAAAGTTAATTTACAACAAAATAATTTTATATCTCGTAATTTGTGTAATCAAATTGATCAACAATAATGATCGCTTTCTAAACTATCGCAGCCAAGCTAATAGAGAATATACATATATATGCAATCGACATTGCTCTAAACTTAGTACATCGCATTTAATACTGATATGTAAGAAGCTGATGCTTTCATAATCTAAAAAGTTACATGTAATTAATACGGCATATTAAAATAATGTATCTATAAAATATATAATGTCTTACACTTGCAAATCCATTTAACGTCAAATCAATGATTTTTCCTGCAGTGATCGTTAATCGTTTTTGACATCTTAACATCATGAACAATAAAATACGACTGTCATTTGGAGATACATTGTACCAAAGTGATTCGTAAATTGCATCGCTAATCGACATACTCTGAAAGCAGGATAAATCATGTCAAACATATATATACCAATAAAATAAGTAACGTGAATAGAAAACAATGGATATTTACAACTTCTCGTAGTAAAAGCTTCTTTACATACCTTGGCACTCAAAAATTCCCCAGCATAGCAAAATATGAAAGCTTCTAGAGTTATTGCAATATAATAATTTACAGATTTGATCAAAGTCGATATATCTTTAGTGGTATTAATAGTCTATAAGAAAATAAATAAGAAGTCATTTTCTTCTAAAAAGTGAAAAAAACAATCAAAGTTACTCACAATTATAATAAAAAAACCAGTACAACAAATAACCAATGTATTCCATAGAATTTGCATCAGTGCAATTTCAGTATAAAGATTTTCAATATTTTCCGATAAAGCAATGATCCTTTGATGTTTGCAGATGAGGTCTTTAATAATAATTACAAATGTATTATGATCGTAATTGTGTTTGGAAATTTCGGCTAAATCTTGTCGCATAATATCGATTTGACCACTTACATGAAGTATCTAGAAATACGAAATAATTTTTATCAGAAGTAATAATATTGTAAGTAAAAATATCTTGCTATTTCTTTAATATCACTCTGAAATTTATTGCAATTTTTAATCTTCGTAAAAACAATTATGTTTAAAGTACCAATGTGACAAGTAACGCATTCATCAAACCAACTACAAAAGCTATGACCAAATCATAGATAAACTGTCCAATTAGAAAACACTCGAAAATTGGTGATTCGCTGACATCGAAAGGAAATTCCATTTTTAAAGGGAGTTCCCGAGAACTATTGTTAATTCGATTGGCATCGTCCATCGATTGCAACAAATGCTCGCCAATCGAAAGAAAAAATGCACCGATGCCATTTACAGTGAACACTATGTTGGAAAAACGACGCGACAGATCTGCCATGGTCATCATCGTGGACATATACGAACTGTTGACAATGCAATTTTTCCAATCTTCATCCATGTCTTTCACAATACGATAAAATATTCTGCAGATAGCAATAAATATAAGGCATTCTGTCTATTAATATATTTTTCGCATGTATACAAGCCACGAATAAATTTGCACATGCAATTTTATTTAAAAGATAATAATATATATATTTTCATATTTTCATTCACGCCTCATGTTTCAACATTAATAACAATTTTAATTTTATTGATTACAGTTTACATCATTTGTTTTACAAGAAAACACGCTTACCGGCGATTCCACCACAAAACAAGAAGTTTAAAAAAAGCGAGAGTATATGCCAAAGTGAGACTAAGACAGTCCATAAGAAGCCAAACATCGTTTATTTCAAGATGTCCAAGCACATACGCATATTGATAATATTGCACTATTACTATCGACGTCATGTAACTAAACCAATAGAAAGTCGCGTAAGTCGAATCCGGCCATAAACCGATAAAACGGAGACCGATTTCGACCGAGCGGCTGATGGTGTTCGCACGTTTCATTGTTCTTTGTTAAACACTGAACTATTGTCCCAACAAATCTATCAGAATGGGAATTCGAATTCAGTGAGAATAAAATACACGTGAATATTTTTCAACATGTTCTGCATGATAACTAAAGCATTAAATAATCTTGGTAAAAACGATAAAGCGCAAGCTACTTTGAACGTTATCAATCATAATTATACTTTATATTGTTCGCATTAGATCTCTATCTACAGCCTTATAGCTCTATCGATTAAAAATAAGAAAAAATATATAATTGCAAATAATTTGCTTTAGTTCTGGCTCAGTGGACATTTTAATATTGTATTTTGTAATTATTTAATTTTGTAATTATTTTAATATGTCTTTTATTGTATATTCTTTGAAAAACAGTTTTATATGCACTTATATCCATTAGAAAAAATTATGCGCGACATCTAAGTAAAAATATCAATATCTGCGAGAATACAAAAAACGTAAATACAAAATGGCACAAAAGTTTTGAAAACATTTATTATAGCAGGACATTAAATATGTTTGCTACATAATCACCAGTTCTTTTTGTCTTTCACTCGTATATTACTCGTTTGTTCTTTTATTTTCATTTTAAGTAAAGACTGAAATTTTCAATTACAGCGTAAAAGCGGATTTGTATATCATACCGACGACCTGCAATATAAAAATGTGTAAATTGTTTTAAATTATCAATTTATAAATTTTGTTATCGATTTTCAAATAGATATAAAAAAAAGTGAATATAAAAATCCTAACAAATATTTCATAAATATTAGAATATAATTTGCAATGGAAAATTTTCATATTATTTTTGAGCCCTTACAAAAATTAAACGTGGAACAGTATATATATAACAACAACAGTTTTCCTTAAAAATGCAACGCAAAAATAATTGTGATAAATTAATAATAGATGGAAAAAATCCTTCAGACTAAAAATTTCATATAAACATTCATGTGAACGTTAAAAAAATGATAAAAATAACATTATTATATTTAATATATTATAAGAATATTTAATACATTGATAATAATCAAGTATTTATATTAATTAAAAAAGAGAAAATTATTAATTTAGGATTCGATAAAGCAACAGTTAAAGTTTTGAGCAATAGCTTTATAAACATCAAATCAGCTTTATATACATTCAATAAATGTGAACAAACCTTTGAGATCTCTAAGATTGTGTGTTCTTTTCCGTACTTTCTTCTTTAGATCTGCAATATTTTTATTAATAATTCATTGGAAAGGAAAGCACAAAAAATTCAGATAAAGAAAATTTTATAGAAACTTTCAAAAAATAATAAATTAGTCATTATAAATATTTGAATGTGTAAGAAATATTTTATATTAATATATAATTTTAGATTTTATAACTTGCATAATTTTCATTTGTTCAACGATAATGATGCTTGATAAATTTGTTGTAATTAAGACAATAGCAAATATATTCAGCGGATCATCATCCCAAAGTCAATACATTGCATTTAATACTGATACATAAGAAGCTGATGCCTTCATAATCTAAAAAATTGTGCATAAACTAAAATATATAGTTGATGCAACAAATACTAAAAAAATGAAATGTTTGTAAGAATATGATGTCTTACGCTTGTAAATCCTTCCAAAGTTAAATCGACTACTTTTCCTGCAGTGATCGTTAATCGTTTTTGCGATCTTAATATCACGAATAATAAAATACGGCTGTCAGAGGGTGGCATATTATACCAAAGTGAATTATACACCGCATCGCTAATCGACTTACTCTAAGATTAGAACAAAATTCCCAATTTGAAATGCGCAATAATGATAAAGTCAAAAATGTTTCTTGTTATTCAAAAAAATGCGTTTTTTAAATTTGTATATTTTTTATAATAAAAATTAATTTCTGAATTAAAGATATGATAAAAAAAGAAGATAATCATGAACGAAACGAGTACTTTTATATGAAAAAACTCATTTACAAACCTTGGCGCTTAAAAATTCTCCTGCAAAGCAGAGTATAAAAACTTCCAGAGTTATTGCAATATAAAAGCTCACAGATTTAATTGATGTCGTCGCACTTTCGTCAGTACCTATGCTCTACAACGTAAAGCGAGGAAAAGTTATTCTCAATCAGAGATGAAAGGAAGAGCGTCTAGTCGTTACTCACAATTATAATTACAAAACCAGTGCAGCAGATAACCAAAGTATTCCACAGAAGTTGCATCAGAGCAATATAAGAAAATAAATTTTCGATATTTTCTGATAAAGTAATAATCTTTTGATGTTTGCAAATAAGAGTTTTAATAATGATTAAGGATGTATTGGGATCGTATTTGTTGGAAATTTCACTTATATCTTGCCGCATAATATCAATCTGACCACTTACGTGAAGTATCTATAAAAAAATTAATATTATTCAAAGTATAAAATTTTTCCGATTATTAATTAATTAATTAATTATATATGCATTAATTAATTAATCATGTGTGTGTGTGTGTGTGTGTGTGTGTGTGTGTGTGTGTGTGTGTGTGTGTGTGTATGAGTGTGTGTGTGTGTGTAAACATAACAGATGACATGATACATTTTTATTTAGAAGCAACAAAATTATGAAAAATGATTAAATATTGTAAATGATTAAATATTATAATATACATGTGAAGACACTTTTTTGCAGAGTCTCATGAAACTTACTAGTGAAACGAGTAACGCATTCACCATACCAACTATAGAAGCCAGCAACAATTCGTAGAGAAATTGTCCGATCAGAAAACACTCGAAGATGGGCGATTCGCTGACATCAAACGGAAATTCCATCTTTATGGGAAGTTCCCGAGAATTATTGTCGACACGATTGACATCGTTCAACGAGTGAAGTAGATGCTCGCCGATCGAAAGGAAAAAGGCAGCTAGAGCGTTAATGCTGATCATCACACTGGAGCAACGTCGCGATACATCGGCCACATTGATCATCATAGACGCGTACGAATCATTGATATCACACTCTCTCCCATCACGATCCATCGCCGCCAGGATGAAATAGAATCTCCTACAGAGAGCAGCTTATATATCGAGTATTGTACATATTAAAAGGCTTCTTTTTGGAAAACACACTTACAAAAGTACATGTACAAAAATATTTAAATGTATTATATTTTAGATTTTTATTTATTTCGTCGAAATTTCTTAGTAATAATGTTCCATGTTCTAGAAGAGGGACATTTAATTATTTGGAATCATATGTCTGCAACAAAAACGCGTCTTACCGGCGATTCCACCATAGAGCAAGAAGCTTAAAAAAGGCGAGAGTGTACGCTAAAGTAAGACCGAGACAGTCCATGAGAAGCGGAATATTATTCAAATCGAAATGCGCAAAAACGTATGCATATTGATAATATTGTACTATCACCATCGTCACCATGTACATTAACCAACAAAGAGTCGCGTAAGCCGAGTCCGGCCACATGCCGATAAAACGCAGGCCGATTTCGACAGGACGACTGATGGTACTTGTGCGTTTCATTGCTCCGTATGACGGTCACTAAACGTTACAAACTGATGACTATCGAGATGTCAAAGTCCCACAAAATAAATTTTGTTCAGTGAACGTTTGCTGAATAATTATACGAAGTTTATAAAGCGAAGGTCTTCCTATGATCGATTATAATTATACGTCTATTTTAATGCCATTAAAATTCCATTAAGCTTCCAAAAAGCTATTAAGTTCTTAAAAACTTATAAGCTTATATACCGGATAAAAAACAAAACGCTACGTAACTACCCTCTATTATCCTCTGAAATAGAGCATTTAATAGTGCATAATTGCCTTAGAAATTTCTTGATTTGAAGAAGATCACTTCTAATGACATCTATATCAACGGAAAAAGACCTGTGCACGATGTTTTTTGAAAAAATAAATAATATCTGCGAGCAAAAAGCGTAATACGAAATGTAATATAATATAAAATATTTATTAAAGTTCTGAATTAATAACACTCACTGGAAAAGGAGGATTATTACTAATGACAGTAATGTTTTACACATCTTCTAAATTGTTATTTCTTGCACAGCAGGGTTTTAACTTGTATTACTCAAAAAGATCAAAAAATATGCGATAAAATATAGAATTTTATATATTTATATGTACATATTTTATAATATTCCGTTCAACAGAATAAAATTAAAATTATTCCTGCCATTTTGTATAAGAATTATGGCATTTTCTTTGCATAAAACACCTTCTTGTGTTAGCCGTAGAGATGCAAATTAGTTTCTTTCCGTTTCTCTCTAGAGAAGCTTGCCAAATGCAATCCTTTTCGCAAACTTTTTTAATACAGCGCACGCAACACAGATATGTACGACACAGACGATTTCATAATCTGAAGTAATTAAACATCCAGTTTCTAATTTCAATGATAGAAATTTTGACGTACAATTACATAGACTTACGGTCGTGAAACCTTCCAAGGATAAATCGGTCATTTTGCCTGCGGTGATGGTTAACCGTTTCTGCGATCTCAACATCAGGAACATTAAGATTCGACATTCGCTCGGCGTCAGATCGTACCAGAGACATTCGTATGCGGCGTCACTGATGGATTTACTCTGCAATATTAATTACGCGATGAATCGCGTCTAATTGTGCCTCTCTCGAAATCTGAGGAATTCTACAATGCTACCATTACGCTCCCTTGCGCTGACCTTAGCGCTGAGATATTCCCCGGCATAGCAAAAGACGAATGCCTCGAGAGTTATAGCGACGTAAAAGATGAGAGACTTCGTTATCATCGTAGCACCTTCTTCCGTACCGATGGACTGCAATGTCGAAACATGTAGGTCGCTGCGAGATCGTAAATTTATATTACTACATATGTATATTTATTTAAATTTGCACGCTTTAAAAGATTAATGTTTCAGATGAATATATCGCATACACACGAGGGAAAAGAAAGAGTAAATAAAAAAATATACATATAAAATTCTGACCCACTATTATAATCAAGAAGCCTATACAACAGATGACCAAAGTGTTCCAGATGAACTGAAGCAATGCAATATTTGAGAAAAGATCTTCGATATTATCTGATAGATTGATGATTCTTTGGTGTCTACTAATCAAAACTTTAATAGCGGCCAGAGATGAATGATTCTTGGAGGGAATTTCCAGGAGGCCTTGGCGCATGATATCAATTTGACCGCTTATGTGCAGTACCTAAAACATTTAATTTTACAGACACTTCAACGTGATATACTATTTTCTCAAAAAATCTGAAAGCTAAACTCATATTTAAAAATAAAAGACTACAGTGTAAGATTCGTTTTTGAAAAATTATACCATTGAAAAAACAACAAAACACACTAATAAATAAGAATAACGCAGGATATAATATGTACATCATAAAAATAAAATTACAGACTGTAACAAATAATACAAAAGAAAATAAAATTAATTTCAACTATTCGAAACAAAGCAAAGAAAAAAATAGCATATATACATATCGTTTTTTTCTTATTGAATAAATACATAAATAAAATTGATTTTGATAGTATTCAAAAATTTGTTCCATACATAAAATATGATCGAAACTTACCAATGTGACAAGCAAAGCGTTTAGCATAGCGATGATACAAGCTACAGATAGATCATGAAACAATTGGACTACTAATACCAGTTCGAAAATCGGAGAGTTGTCAACATTAAAAGGAAATTCCATTTTGATGGGTAACTCGCGAGTTATAGTTTCCTGATCGTTCTTATGGATCACCGATCGAAGTATCGGGCCACCGATCGTGTAAAAAAACACAGACAGCGCGTTCGTCGTGATCATCACGTTAGAGCATTGACGAGATAGATTGGCGTGCCTGATCATTGTGGATACATCCGAATGAATCGCGATTCCATCGTTCCAATCTTTATCCATCGTATCCAGAATGACATGTAGCTTTCTACGGAATGTTTCAAACATTCAGTATCGTATTTCTAGCGAGATAGAAAATAAGTCGAAGTGATTTTCATGGTAAATATGATTTGTGCTCATCCGCGGAGCATTAAAGATAATACTTATACCGGCGATTGAACCAGAGATTGATCAGTTTGAGAAACGACAGGCTATAACCCAACGTGATGCTTAAACCGTCTATAATAATCGAAAGATCACTGATGTCGAAATGCTCCAAAATGTACGAATATTGAAAATACTGCACCACCGCTACCGATGCGATGTAAGTCCACCAATTAATGTTCGCATATATACAATGCGGCCACATGCCGATGAAACGTAGACCTGCTTCGACCGATTCACTGATGGTGCTCGCACGTTCCATCGTACCTCTATCCAACTTCATATTTCTTGCGAGAAACTACGACCTCTACATGCGCATCTCGTCAGCAATCGTGGCAAAAAATACAGAAAATGGGAAGGGGGGAAAAGATGCGACAATAAGCCGTCGATCAATCGTAATTGAACTTCGTAGAAATGGCGAACGCGAATTAAATGTTTGCCAATTTGCTGGATTATAGTCTTTGAAAGAAACATGAGAAAAATCGCCATTTATCGAATCATTTATCTTAAAAATGCATAAAACTTTCTGAAAATTGTTCAACGTTCGCTGAAAATGCAAAGAAAAAATTAAATATACTGGAACAAAAAACATACGATGTAAGAAACATAATGAGAACATAAAGAGATGAACAAAAGTGTAAGATACATCGCTTAATCATAAAGTTCTATTAACTGAAACGTTTCTATTGCCGATTAATTCTACTTGAAGATACAACAAAAATTATAAAAATATAAATTAATAAATTATTTCTTTTTATTGAGATTTATAGAAAAGATATATATGTGAAAAATAAGCACTTGTGAAAATTAAGCACTTTATTATAAACTGTGGAAGGTAATTTTTCATACATCACCATCACACATATTGTCTATATTTATCTACAATCATCATCGATTCATATCATAGATATCGAATCGATATCCGCAAATGAGAATCGATAAAGAAATTTCAATATTTTTAGATCCATATATCTAATGAAGATCTAGACACGCTGATTTATCTTCGATTTTCAATACATCGCATGCAATACTGATACATACGAAACAGAAGCCTTTACGATCTATAAAAATATTATATTAAACAATAATAGAATAAAAAATAAAGGTATAAAGAAAAAAAGAGTATAGAAAGAGTATAGAAAAAAGAATATAATAAGAATAAATAAATCGATCAAGTAATCAATTAAATATTTTTATGATGCAAATATTTGTTTTTTTTTATCAAGAGCTTCTTACAAAATCGATAATCATAAAATAAATCGATTATTCAGAATAATGTAAGTGTATTCAACTAAAATGAACAGGATTTTATTGAAATCAGGTGCGAAAAATGTAATATACAGAAATCTTACACTCGTAAATCCTTCTAGCGACAAGTCCATTACTTTTCCAACCGTGATGGTGATCCTCCTTTGTGATCTCAACATTATAAGCAGAATGAGTTTGCTATCGTTGGGTTTCAAGTTGTACCATATTGATTTGTATGCTGCATCACCGATCATTTTGCTCTGGAGAAGTGTTGCAAAGATGTCGCGTTGTCAGAATGAGACAAATGTATAAATCAATATCATATATTATCGATATAAAGCATCGTTCATACCATAAAGATAGCAATGATTCGGACATAGTATTTTTGTTAAAATTATCATATTGTGAATTATTATATATTTACGTTCTCGCCAAGAAATTATAAAATCATGTTACTGATTGAAATTATTTAATACGTAAAAAAGCATGATTTAAAAAACTTATATAAGAAACATATATGTAATTATTGTGGACGCATCGTAATGTTATATTGAAAGAGAGAAGATTCAAATCTATGATTATAAATAGTGATACGTTCTCCAAGATGAAAATGCAATTGCCATTATCTGAAATCATGTATGGCCGAACCGCGTTTTGACGCTGCGTCGTCTCTACAATGTGAACCGAGTCTAAGGATTTCGATTGTGCGTTCCGACCTTGGCACTGAGATATTCCCCGCAAAAGCAGAAGATAAACGCCTCTACCGTAACAGCCATGTAAAACACTATAGCTTTCATTAATGCCGAGCCATCGATCGTATCGGAAACTTGTATTGTGCTGATTGACTGCAACATCGAACTGCGTTGTAGATCGTCTTTTCGCGCAACTTAGTTGCGCTTTACTTACTTTAGTGATCTACTTACTGTCACGATCATATACCCTAAACAGCAAGTTACTAATGTGCTGGACATAAATTGAATTAATGCAATGTAACAAAAGATCTTTTCGATTTTGTTTGAGAAGATGATGATCTTCTGATGTTTGCCAATCAGTTTTTTCGTGATAGAAACGGCTAATTTTCGATTATTTTTTTCCGGAGAGATTTTTTTCAATGAATCACACAAGATATCTATTTGACCGCTCGCATGAAGAATCTGAAAGCACACATTCTGAAGAAACTTCAATCAAAATATAATTGATACGTAGAAAAAATTAAATAAATAATTATAAATATAATTATAAATATATTATTTATGATATATTATAAAACGTACGAGAAATTTTAGAATCTAAAAACAGGAAGAATAAAACTTATATAAAGATTTATGTGAGATTTCATAATTTTGAAATCTTAATAGAGTTTATGTGAAAAAAATATTTCATTTTTCTCAATTCTAAAGTGCAATCATTTTTGTGACAACTATCAAGTTTGAGAAAAGTGCCTAATCATAGAATGCGAGACGCTACAGATTCTAAGATTAATATATTTAAGCATCCTTGCTAACAATCTCGCATTCTGTATGCTAATAAAAACTAGATAACTCAGAAAAGTTAACAAGTGTGTGTTTACACGAGCATCTTTTCCTTTGATTTGAGATTCCGAAAATGTAACTCCCACATGTTATACATGCTACAAAAGCTAATTGAGAGAGATAATAAGAAGAAGAAAATCTCCTTTTGACTGGTAAAGAAATATTCAACGATAATGGACATTCTACTTATCGGTATTCAACGATAATGAACATTCGATGTACCTCGTCTTTTCCTATGCAGATATACATATATATACTACTGGGCAAAATTAATGCATAATTTTTTTCACTTTTTCTTTAAAAGCTGATATTTAAATTTTAACGAAAAATTTTAAAGATAAAATAAAAAAAAATTATGCGTTAATTTTGTCCAGGAGTATGTATACATATATAGCGTATTACATATATAATTATCATGCGAAAGAAATGTCGATATTATGTTCAGTTATGTATAAAAGAAGTAGTAGCCTAGAAGAAAGAAATTTTTTTTTGCAGATTTCACTCACTAACGTGATGATCAGAGAGTTCAGTATGCCGGTCACGGCGGAAGACGCCAATTGGTGGAGGAACTCCAGACTCATAACGAGCTCGTACAACGGCGACTCGTTGCATTCGAACGGGAGCTGCATCTTCAGCGTGAATTCGCGTTGCATTCGAACGGGCTCAATCGCATCGGCATCATGGTCATCGGAATGGGATACGAGAACGCCGATGCCATAAGTAAACGCTCCCACTGAATGGAGCCCGATGATCACGTTGGAAAAGCGTCGCGACAGATTGGCCTTGCTCGTCATGGTATGCATGTCGTTGATGGTGGCTTCCTTCCAATCCGAGACCATCGCAGCTAGGGCGTCGTAAAATATACTGCGGCAGTTTACTCTATTCGTTTACTCTATAGATAATGATTCGAATTAAGATGGAAACAATTTGGGAGAAAGCAGGGCTGATCTTTTAAACGTACACTTAGCGATAAATATAGATGTTCTTTACTTTCTATTAAAATATATGTGAATATTATTACGATAATATGAGCAAAGGAAAACAAAGAAATCCTCAGGAATAAATTATATTAAATTCTTCTCTCTTCTATAAATCAATTTCTTATAAATACAAAAATAGCCTTTATATTTTCAAGAACATAGATAGGATAAGAAATATTTGGGATATAAGATTTTTATTTGAGAGAAAAAATATTTTTGTTATTAAGGATAAATAAAGGAAAAAAATTTTGAAAAATAAGGTAAATAATACCCGATGGTCTCTTACACACACACACGCACATAGTTTCCATCTTCGATTAAAAGATGTATGAGAGAGATGTTCTCTTACCGACTATTTAACCATAGTATAATTAATTTCAGAAGCATCACAGTGTATTCCATAGTGACGCTTAAACCATCTAAAAGATGCGAGAGATCTTCAGTTCCGAAGTGGATAATGATCCACCAATATTGGCAAGTTTGTATTATGCCTGTGGTGAATATCCACCCGCATCGAAACAACAATGTATACGGTGCATTTGGCCAAATTCCGACAACTCGAAGACCGATTTGCACCGACAGGGCAACAATATTTGCAAGTATCATTTTACGATTCTCGCGTGGCATAATTTATCAAATTTATACCGAAATTTACATCTATTAGAGTAAAATTTGACTGAAAATTTCACAGCAAAGTAATCCAAAATGCACTTATAACTTTGTTAACGTTGTAAAGTCACGGACATCAAGCTGCAACTCTAAAACGACTCTAGAATAAGTTGATCACGCAAGGCTCGACTAAACGTGGCCGTAGCAAGATAATCGCCGGCCAATTGTAACTGATCGAGAATACAAGAGTTATACACAAGGCAGAGGGGATTAAAGTTGCAGCAATCGAATTATGATTACGTTTTCATTTTATCATAAAAAAATGTCGCTGATAAGGAGGAGGGATAGATTATTTGCTTGAAAAATGCAAGAGATACCTTTTTCTACGCAAGAGCAAACGTTTATAATCTAGGATAATGATGAATAATTTTCCAAGAAGTTCAGAAATATGGTGGAAATGGTACCGATCATGCGCGCATCGATGTTCCCAAGCGCGTACAGTATGCAAACGACGATTTCTATGCGAAGTGCAGTGATATCGCGAACTGAGAGAGTTTCAAATTCTCAATTTTCAACGGTTTTAACGATAAAATTTTTGGTAAATATATATAATGGCACTTCTCTTAATTAAAATAGCACGATAGTATTTTCAAATTTTTTTTTTATATACATTCATTTTTCTATCGGGGTCAGATATTTGATCCGAAGAGAAACAAAGGACGGCAAAATTCACGATAAAAATAATTTTACAGGTGAGATAAAATTATATTAAAACTAAACGACTTTTCTCTATGTCATATTAAAATCAAATTATTTTAGTACAATCCATTTACAATAGAAAATGGATAATACTTTGACGTTCACAGCCTGTATATACAATTTTGTATACGCTTCATCGGCATCAATACATTGCGTATAAAACAGATATATACGACGCAGAAGCTTTCAAACTCTGGAAAATTAAATAGTATATAATGAATCAATTTGCTCTGTAGTAAGTAGATATCAATAAAACAAAACAATTTAATTATATTATAAGCGAAATAAATGATATAAATTATATTTAATTATGACAGTTTTAACAATTATTACAAATATTGTAAAATAAGTATAAAATTCGCAAAATTATTTTCGCACGTGATATATTATCAATTGCCTTCTTAAATTATATTGTCCTGTTTCATATTATAGTAACTTAATTAGCTATTAATTTTCATAAATATACTTGGACATTTAGTGCTAAACATGAATAGCTAATTTTGATCTCATAAGCAGTGCATTGTCAAATTATAATGTAGATGTACATTACGAAATTTGTCCTTAAATTTATGTGTAGCTATAAAAAATTCCGTCATTATAGAAATCTTACGCTTGTGAATCCTTCTAATGATAAATCCATAAATTTCCCCGCAGTGATCGTCAGCCGCGTCTGCGATCTCATTATCACAAACAGCAGAATACGGCTATCTCGGGGCTTGAGAGCGTACCAAAGCGATTCATATGTCGCATCACCGATTGTTCTGCTCTAGAATACAAACGAGGGACAAGTACATGGAGAGGATAGAAGGACGAAAAACACGAGAAGTCATCTTCAGAAGCGACACTCGCGAACGTAGCGTTTTCTTCGTAAGTATTAGCTCCACTTTTAGAGCAATATAATTTAATGATTTTTTTGCGCGTAAAAACTTTTGCCATGGTGATTTCAGATACTCACTTTATTGCTGAGATATTCGCCGGAGAAACAAAAAATAAATGCCTCCAAAACGATAGCGATGTAGAAAAATGCAGTCTTTATCAACATTCTGACGCCTTCATTTGTGCCTAATGACTGTAAGCCAGAAAATGATCAAGAAAAAGATTTGAAGAAAAAAAATCAAGATCATTGAAAAAGAAATTGGAAGAATTGATTAGGAGGAGTTCGATCGCTGCAGAGATCTCGGACAATAAGGGAGCAACAAGTGAATTCTCCCTTCTCTTATCATGTGCGGCCCACAACGGGCCCTCGATCAATTCCGTAGTTTTTCAGCGGATGCAAAGTTGACACGCATCATTATATCAAAACAGTTAAAAACAATGCTGCGTAAATTCAAAAATCGTTTTTATTTGTACACATGTATAAACTTTGTACTTGTGATTTTAATAATATATTTAGAAACTTATGTTTGTGTCGACGTGGGAATATATCAGTCTGAGACCACTGCTACAAGAATGATATTAGCAGATGATATTAATAAAAAATGTGTATAAAACGATACAATTGAAAGTATGTTATTATCTGTTTTCAATTAGGCTAAAGCCTCAAAAAAGCTTAAACTACATCCATGTACAAGTAAAATAATATTTATACACACGTTGCAACTTTTTATAAAGTGCAATAATCAATAGCAAAATTAGTGAAAAGATCTCAAATATGTGCAAGATAAAAGATATTTAGAAGATTTTAATATAATAAATACTTGCAGAATACTTACAGTTGCTACGAGAAATCCAATGCAACATATGATCATCGTATTTGACACAAATTGCATCAACGCGATAGAGGAGAAAAGACTCTCAATGTTGTCCGAAAAAGCGATAATTTTATGATGTTTTTTGATTAAAGATCTCACAATAGTAATAGATAAATCATATTCATTATCCTTAGGACAAATCTCTCTTATCTGCTGTTGCATAATATCTATTTGCCCACCAATGTGCATCATCTACACATATCATAAATATTCAGTTATGATTAATATTGACTAAGTATATACTTCAACAGGGAAAGAATAAGAAAAATAAATGTGATATATTAAAAAATATTATACTAAATGTAAAATTAATTTTTAATTTTTCATTCAATTTTTTAATAAAAAATATAAAAATATAGATCAAGATTATGAATATATCGATATATCGAATAAAAAATATGAGAAAAAAGCTTCAAAATACACAAATGTGCACAATTTAAAAGAGAAATGTTTTGGAAGAGACAGATGGACAAGTCTTGTCTTTTTTTCCAAACTTCTTTTATTTATTAAATTTTTCGAAACAAATAGCAATAGTCAGCTGATAAAGCTCAAGATAAAAATGTGGTCATGTTCATCCACTATGGGAAGGAAGGTAAAATAAAATAACCGGAAGCGAAATTAGCCCATCCCTGAAGACCATTACTACATGGAATCGTGAAAAACCCAATATTACATTGATACGCAAGGATCGTCGATCAAAAGTATGAACAAATGGGAAGAATGAGACAGATTTAAGAGAGGGGATACGTGAAACGCTTATATAAGGGAGGTACGATATAAGAACATATGATCTGACATCGATCGCTCTCCGGGATCGAATTTGTCAATCTTTGCATGACGCGTGCGTATCATTGTGCGTGCGTTCTATATCGTACCGTTTCGTGTCATCTAAAAATATCTTCTATTTTATTTCACCTATATTTTATTTTCCTTAAATCAACACCTTTTTTTACTTTACGTATCTCATAATAATCCAAATATTAATACATATTATAATTAATTGTTATTAGTTCAAAATTTTAAGAAAAAATGTGTATAGAGAAATATTTATCCGACTTTTGATTGATATTTTTATTATTTTTGCAGAAAACAAAATACAAGTTTGTTTAATTATCAGTAATTTGACTGTTATATTTCATGCAATCTTTTTCTAGAATAGATCTCCTTTATTAAACTTCCTTTTTTCCAACTTTTTCATAACTTAATTAAGAAGAAAAAAGGAGAAAATTTCTAGGATACAGATTCCTTGGGGAAATTATATGCATCAAGTGTTTATTATTATTTATCATCACAATTTTGACCTATCGAAACTCATCGTGGAAACAACTTCTAATTAATCCATCTAGTATTTGTTTTATCTCATCGAAATTTCAAAAAGATATTACGTTATAAAGTTATAAAAATCACAAACTGTGAAATATAAATAATACAATAAGAAAGATCACAAATGCTGCCGATAATAACTTACCAAAGTAACGATTAATGCATCGAGCATACCAATAGTAGAGGCAACTACCATTAAATGAACAAATTGGACGCACGCCACGAACTCGTAGATCGGCGATTCGCAAAAAACAAAAGGTAATTCCATTTTTATAAGCAACTGCCGACAATCGTCATTGATCGGCTTGCGAAAATCGATGGTTGCGATACTGTAAAGTAAAACCGCCGTTGAGTAAACACCGATCACCAGTTTTGAATAACGATGTGAGAGGTTCGCTTTGTCGATCATTGTGTATATGCTGGAATATTCGTACCAGTCGTTGGACATCGTCCTCAGAATATCATTAAAAATTCTGCAATATAATTATAATAATGTCGTGAATAATAATGTATTTTATATTTACAAGCTGCCGCGTGTAAAATGCGCTGCCAATTTACTAAAAAGGAAGCGAAGCTCACGAAAAGGTCTCTAAAAAACTAATTATCAATATCATTTTTTCATCAAAAATAAAATTAGTGATTACCAAATATCTTTATGTTAAAAGTATATATCTATATAAATTATATATTTCTAACACATAAAAGAAATAACACAATAATTCAGACACATAAAGAATTTCAATCTCTAAAATATTAAAGATTAAATTGCAGAAAACCTTAAAATTTATTCGTATATTTCACATAATGTTATCATCTTTCCTAAATATATTTCACAAAAATATAGTGTTTTTTAAAGTGGACTACCTTTACCAGTGGAGAAATATAGAAAATACATACCGATTATTAATCCACAGGATAATTAGCTTGAAAAATAGAAGAGTGTACGGTAAAGTAGTGCTTAAACCGTCTATTAGATTCGGCAGCTCTTCAATGCTGAAGTGCGTCAAGAGATATCGATACTGGAAGATCAGCCCTGTTCCCATCACAATCGACCAAAGTAGTCTAAAGAAAATAGAAGAATTCGGCCAAATCCCAGTGAGACGCAGGCCGATTTCAACCGGTCGACTAACGGTGCTGGTCGGTATCATCGCGTCACTTCCGTTTCGCACAAGTTCCAACTACAAGTGCTCGAAGCTACGTACGATCGCTACGCGCTCGCCGAAGGATGAGCTTTTGGATATTAACATGAATCTCGGATATGGCCCCACTTTAACAGTCGCTGACCAATCGCGAACGCTAGACGTGTATTTTCGTCAAAGTGCTCAGAAATGCAGGAAAAAGTTGCTGCGATCGAACGATGATTGCAGACTTCGAGCGAGGAATCGGCGAGAGTAGTACTTGGTAACTTCCGGAACAGGAAAACCGCCTCTCCTTGTTATTGCAGGTGATTTACTTTAAAAATTCAAACGGAAATAGGAAAAAGCGCGGTATGTCAGTGCGAGAGCGTAAAAAGTCGGAGTGACCATCGTTAAGAGGAATTTCCGGAATAAAAGATAGTGGTGAATCTTCGCAGACAATCGGTACAAATGCATAAAGAAACGCAATACGCAAAAAAAATTAATTTTCAAAATACATGTAATATCGTTTTATACATACATACATGTATAGGATGTAAAGTGATCTTGGAATCAAGAATATATCTTATAATATATCAGAAGAGAGAAGTTCTTGACACATTTATCTGATGCTATCTATACCCTGAACGAGAGAGAGAATTTCGATAAACGTCTGAATTTGGCACGATGTGAGAGGTATAAAAACACCGTAGGATAAATGCTTTGCTATATATTTTTAAATTATGAGGACACAGCGTGTATATCTTTGCATTCCATTTTTGAAATTTATAAGAAAAATGTGAAATGTGTATGAAGGAAACGACAACTGAATAAAATATATAAAAATAAAAATACACTATATGAAATGTAACTTATATATAATGATAATAAAATTTACATATACATATATATATGTATATGTACATTGCAATAAATATTTTTCGCTAATCAAGACATTGCAAGCAATACCGATACATAAGATGCAGAAGCTTTTAAAATCTGGAATATAATATTAATTTTACAATTACCTTTTTATTAAATAAGAAGGAACATCTTATACAGCTAAAAAAGATATACTTTTTAAATGATCTTACGCTCATAAAAATTTCCAATGACAGATCATTAAATTTCCCGATTGTTAAAGTCAATCGTTTCTGTGATCTTAGCATCAAAATCAATAAAATTCGACTTTCGTTAGGTTTCGCATCGTACCAAAGTACCTCGTAAGCTGTATTTGCAATCGATTTGCTCTGCAAAAAAATTGTATCGTTACCAAAGATGAAATATTTAAGCAGCTATATATTTCACTAAAAAACTAGCTTTTTTAAGATAATATTATCATGTTGAAAGATTTGTCCAATAAAATAATTTTTCGTAAAATAAAAAATATTATTTCATATCACTAATATTTATACAACAAGGACTTATTTAAACCTTATTACTAAGATATTCCCCAGCAAAGCAAAAGATGAAAGCTTCCAAAGTGATAGCAATATAAAAAAAGAGGGACTTCAACAGCAAGGCGTATCCTTGATCGCTTTGAATACACTAAAATGTCAGAGAGATCGTTACTATCAGACCTATGCATATATATTGTTTCATTAATACAAAATATTCGTAAACGAGGCTCACTGTTACGATGGCGAATGCTATGCAACATATGACAATTGTATTCGTAAGAAACTGCAATAGCGCAATGTAAGAAAAGAGATTCTCGATATCAGTCGAGAACGCAATAATATCTTGATGCCTGCGAATAATTGCGCTTGTTGCATCCTTATACGACTTGTACTCATGTTTTCCTGAAAATAGCTCGAACAATCCTCGACACACAATATCTACCTGGCCACTTACGTGTAGTATCTAAAACCAAGATAATGTACTGCATCATAAAAGCAAATGGATCTTACGATTTAAAGAAACGACTTAGATCTTTACATTCAAAATATGATTGTTCATAATAATGTATATACATTATTACATCAATTAACTAATACAAATTCTTTCTTCTCAATTTTCAAATTTAGAAAGAGAGACAAGAATAATCGTTTATGCTGTTAAACGATGTTAATATAATATATTAAATTTAAAGGACTCAGCATTTGTCAAAATAAGAGAATGAAAAACTTACTAATGTTATGATCAGTGCATCCAGCATCCCAATTATTGAGGCGTGACTTAGCAACTGAATAAATTGAACGAACATAACGATTTCACGAAGAGGAGAGAATTCGTAAACAAAGGGAAATTGCATTTTAAGGAGAAGCTCTTTTTCAGCGGGTTCAACATCGGTATCGATATTGTTAAGTTCTATTATTACGGAACTGTATACTATAACGGCCATCGAATATACACCAATAATCAACATCGAGCAACGATGCGAGAGATATGCTTTGTTCATCATGATACGCATATTGCAAGCTATGAAATCACAGTTGCGCCAATCTCGCGATATCGATGTTAAAATATTGTTAAATAATCTGAAAAGATTATCCTTAATGTACATCACGCAAATCGATCAAATTAGATATCCATCTAATATATACTATAAAAAAGAAAATTGTAACTTTGTGCAGATATGGTATTCACCGTCGATGAATAACTAATTTCTGTAAAAAATCTCGTCGTCGATTTTTTTATTAACAAGGTAAGACAAAAAATTATAATATATGAGCAACTTAATAGAATATTTTTAATCTGTGTATCGAAAAATAGTTACATATAACAAAATATCTTACCTCTGATTGAGCCAAAGGATAATCAGTTTCAAGCAAAGCAAACTGTAAGGCAGCGTGGTGCTTATGCTGTCCACCAGATCTAGAAAATTATTAGTTTTAATGCAGGCAACGATGTATCTGAACTGAAACGTTTGCGCAAGACCTAAGGAGATCGTCCAACAGGTCCGATATAACATGCTGCGCGGGGAACCTGGCCAAATCCCGATGGCTCGCAGCCCGAATTCGACCGTGGGGCTCATAGTAGTCGTGAAACTCATTTTATATTAACTTCGATTAACGAGATAACTTCTTTTCGGCACGTCCGACAATAGCCTCCCTTAATGCCGTCCTTAATGGTAGATGTCCAAAAGTTACTACATTGTTACTAGTTCGATACGACATAGGAAATCTCACTGTTCGCCATGCAACGCCGAGTAATCCTCAAGGATTCCGGAGGGGTCGTCGTCCAACGAGTCTTCCACGGCGACCGATAATCATTTAGAAATTATTCATCGCATATATAAGTAGTATATTATAAGAGAAGGAACTACAACCGTATGATTTCAGACTTTTTGTCGACGAAAAAAAAGAGCTGTATCGAAATAACAAGTTTTGCGCTTTACATGTCGGATGTCGTTGAGAGCGCAATGTTATTTGCTTTAAAAATGCAGGCGGTAAGCTTGCACTTTTGTTACTGAGTTACGGAGTTACTCGATAATAAGATGGAAGACTCCACGAAGGAGAGAATCGAATATTCTCGACGAAATGCGAAGCATGAGAGTGTTCCATTGGCATGACCAGCGTCAAGAATGCAGATTTCTTTCCTAAAGCTGTTCTCTAAAACTAGTGTTGTATGTGCAGTGTTAAAAAATAATTCATTACTACATAATACACATTAATTACACGTAGATACGCATAAAATGAGTTTAACAAAAAGTGCCGATTGTTATGATTCACATAGTGAATGTGTGTGTTTTTCACATTAATGAACAAATAAATTTGTTACAAATCGAAATTTTGGTTCTCTTGTTTCTTGATTAATTGACTTACCTTTACGCTGAAAATGAATTAAAAGCAAAAAATGAATAAAGTCAAATATTTTTGCACACAATTTTTATAATTATTTGCAATTATTTCTATTGTTATTAATTAAAATAGATTAAAATTTCAATATACATAGCATATAATATCAACGTATCCGCAATGTAAAATATCGCTAAAAATGATTCAATAAATTATTGATGAATTCAAAATTATACTGACGGCTACGATTTACCAACAATCTAAAATATATTAAATCAAATATCTGACAATCAAAATACTGTTACAATACAAAATTAATTTAAAATAAAATTCAGCAAAATTCAGTAAAATTTATCAAAATAATAAATAGTGTCATATTGAGAATTACATAATCATCTGATAACTGCAAAATCAAATTAAAAAGATAATATATAAAAATATGTAAAATAAGTAAAATGCATTTTGAAAGTCAATTGCTCATTGTTATCGTCTATGTCTTTGAACAAGCGGATTATTATAATCTTCCGTCATTGTTGCAAAAATATTATCTGATCCTGAATTAAATGATATATAAACAAATTGTAAATTGTATAAATTAATATAAAATATATAAAATAAGTGAAATAAAATATTTTTCAACAAAATAAAATTATTCCTGAAAGAATCTCGAGATTTAATTTCTCGTTAGTGCAAAAAGCGCATCAATTTACATGATAATTTATTGCCAGATGTAAAATGTTATATTAAAATTTATAATCAATACAATTTTTTCTATTTCATATTTTATTGCTCGTCTAATTAAAAAATGTTTAATTTTATAGGTTGATCATTAAAAATTAAATCCAAAAAGTCTAAGAAATCCGGCAATGTTTGAACACTGATGTAAATAAAGAAGTATTAGAGCTGCAGTGACTAGTAGCAAATGGCCCAAAGGACGCGTTGCAGGAATTCGTATGAGGGATCCATCCAAACGCCGATCAGCCGCAAAGTGAATTCCATCGGACCACCGATGGTATTCGTAAGTATCGTTCTCTCTGTCAGAGCTTCTCGACAATTGATTAAACCCGACAATTGTTACAGCCAACTGCGTGTACGTAAAATCATCGTGAAACCGATGTATTACGCAGTTTTATCACGTTCGTTCGTATGAAGGAGATTCCTTTGGCCATTTCTGATTAAGTATGATTAATCGTAAGTCATGTGTATTAGATGTTAGATGAGCGTACGGTCAACTATAACATAAAAACCGTCTATAAAAGACTGATCCCAAATAGAAGCAACGAATAAAATGCTGCTTGCGCTCGAAACGACTCTCATCCAATTGCAATCGCCAGGTCGAAGACCACTGTACGAAGCGCATCTAAATGTGTAACGACCGTTTCATATACGATCCTCGGGAAAATGGAATTATCGGAGATAAAATGCGGACTGATCGTGCGCATTTTATCAAATTTTACATCGTTCACGATACGATCACGATATGTAAGCTTTCAAAATGCACGACTATAATTTAATAAATACTTTTTCTGTCCCTCAATTAAAAAATCAAAATATAATTATCTACAGATTATAAAATATAATAGCAGCAAATCGCTCAGTTTGACATCTCTATTATGTATTCACATTACATTTAATAAACATTTTCATAAATCGTTTTAAAATACAGTAATATTTTAGACATATTTATATAAATTTTAGAATACATCGGAAATCAATTAAATAAAACGAATGAATTTTAGGTTTTATGTTCATATATTTTTACGCGTAAAAAAATAATATATAGCTTGTGTAAAAGAAATATGTCCCTCTAGAGAAGAAATATAACTTTTCTGAAATCGTTCCTTCGGTTTCAATCTAAAATAGCTGTGACGAGTGAATAAATATTGTTGTGTTTGCATGAATTCACGTCTGCTAAAATTCTAGCACCTCCGGTCGGCTTTTATGTGACATAACGCGACAATTTTACAACTGCGCGTGCAAAACGAAGTCTCTCTCTTATCCCTCTGCTCCTGTAAAGTTACATCAGGTAATAAATTTTATCCGTATCAGCGGCAGAGTGGATGCGCTATTTCCTCTCGACAAGCGCAGATGTAAGATTCGCGTATTTCATATAAATGTATACATCACTGCCATTTCCAAGAGAAATGTATCGCGTGAAACAATTCCTTCGGAAGAGCGCGATGATAAACGTCATTTTCCTTTTTTCTCGTTTCTCTAACTTTCCGCTGTGAAAATAAGAGAACGAAAAACGCAACGCAGGCTGTAATGCACTGCGACAATTGTATGTTACGAGAATGTTCTCGGCGAAAACCGACTTGATTTCGAAAAATGATTGAGAAAAATCTCAAATAAATATCATATATGTCGACATATATTTATTCGTTGCGTTTCGCGCGAAATGCGTCATAATTGTTCCTATAAATCATCCTTGCAGTTAAATTATTGCAAACTGTTAGACGTTGTTCGGTCATCATCCGCGGTCTCACAGGAAATCATAATATTGGCAGAAAATGTTGCGAATACATATGAAATAATACTGTAAAAATTTACGCGCGCTTTGGGACGCGAATTCCAATAGAACAGCAAGAGATTGAAAAAAATATCGGGTCAACTTTGATACTTCTAGATAAAAATGCATTTTATCGATAATTCAATTTGAAAAAGACTCGATATAAATATAAATATATATTTATATGATATTTTTAAATCGTATATGGAAAATTTTAATTTTATTCCAAAGCGTGAAATGTTTTCTCAGAAATAGAGATTAGAAGATGTATAAAATATCAAGTTCAACTTTTTGTTAAATAAAAGTGATTAATATAGTCTTATAATTCTTCAATTAAAATTCAGAATAAGAATATTTTCGATAAAAAAAAATTTAAGATTGTTCTGCTTTCTAGACTTCCAAAAAATGTCAGATTTTCGAAAATGTATTTCTTTGGATTTTTATAAATATTCATAGTCGCGCTAGTCGAAGGAAAGCTTATGTGGACTTAAATTATTCACAAAGCGGACAAGAATACAGATGAAAATTACATCCCATGAAACAATGAATTGGAAGTGTAAATATATATTTTTTTCTTGTATAAAAATATAATATACAAATTGGTTCATTTCTAAACAAATATCAAAAAATACTAACAATAGAGCATTGTTATACAAATTCTCTTTGCATTCGAGAACACTTTATTTTTCCTATTTTCAATGTAAAAATGTATTGCAAACAGATCTCGAAAGAGAACACATAGATTTCTTATCAAATTAGCATATCACATGATGTTTCCCAATCTGTTCAACGATTCAATGAATATTATCCCAACAAGATAAATCTTATAAACCGCCCGGCGATGGACGAAGAATTTTATATATACATTTACGAAATTGACGTGTGTATGTACACATGATAAAAAAATTAATTGCCCATCTCTTTATCGAATTAATCCCAAATTAATCCATAATCATATTAATGCGTTCGAATCAGAAATAATTACACTATTTGTGCAATATATTCAATAATTGTATCACTGTAACGCACGAAATCCAGAAAACTCGTTGCATATAATCATTAAAAATACCCAATTATATTTACAGGATTGAAAACATAATTACGATTGCCATGATGTATCTGTGCTTCGTCGAACAGAATATAAAGCCAATATTCGGCAATGAAATAATTATCGAACATTGCACATTTAAATGCGTTCAACGAATTAATCGACTAAATTTACATGCCGTTGTAAGCTGGCCCACCGCCACCCTCGGGCACAACCCAATTGATGTTCTGGCTCGGATCCTTGATGTCGCAAGTCTTACAATGAATACAATTCTGCGCATTGATCTGTAATCTTTCGCCGTCTCCGCTTTCCAACGGTACGAATTCGTAAACACCTGAAAGCAAATTACACACATGCGTTTTGGGCTTACAAAACTGACATGCGTGACTGGCATCTTCCAATCCGAACATCAGAGGATTGAGGTAGATACATGTATCCAGAAACCATTAAAAAATTATTCAACATATCAAAATTTACTGTCAAATGTAAAATAAAACTTAATTAATTAATTCATTACTGCTTCGTTACTGTTGTACAAAAATATTAAAAATCTCGCGATATGAAGAACGAATTTATTCAGTACGATTTATTCAACAGATACGTATATCCTCAATGCTGCGAAGTATAAGATTTACGCCGCGAAGGTCACATCATGCCCTCGGCCAGACAGTCGATAACCTGGTCCTCCCCATCTTCCAGACGGCGCAGCTATCCTGTAGAAAATCTCCCAGACGAGCTTCTCGCCAATGTCTTGGGTTCGTGAAGGGGAACAGGAAGACGTAACCCCGGAAACGGAAAGGAGACACCAGAGAAGGAAGAAGGAATACATGGTAAGAATCAAGGGTGGATATTCGAGAAACAATGGTGTGAGGATAGACGCATAAATTTATCTGATTCGAAAGCAACGCGATATACAGAATGTCCATAAGCTTTCAGGCATAAATGACAAAGAAATGAAAAAATGCTGATTATTGGAAACTTGTAACATCAATAGATTTTGATTCGTACGAAATTTCAATAAGTCGGAATTTCAAGAATTTAATCAGATAACAACCCTAGGAGTAGTCAAGAATTATAAAATTCTATTCAGAATTTCATATAAATTTTACTCCGATAAAGTTTTAATGAAGTTTTACTGAAATTCCAAAATATTTAAAGTTCAACGAAAGAAATTATGATCTATCATTTAAAAAATCAATATTTAAAATTCATCAAACAATATGATAAAATTATTAATATAATAAAATATTAAAAATCTAGCGAGCTGTTGTTGTGATATGAAAAAATATATTATAAAATATATTTTTTCATATATTTTTTCATATCACAATAACAGTTCGACAACTTTCTGTGATAATTATAATTGCACAAAATCATTTTAACATAAATTACAGTTGCTTTATGTACGTAATGCAGAAATGAAAATTTTGCTTTTTAAAAAAAATAAACTTTTTTCAACAAATATTTCTGCGTCACATACAAAACAACTTATATGTCATACGAGAAATTACATCCATGTTGATGTAATTTCTGATAATATAGCATTTATGATAATATAGCATAATTTTAAAAGATTAATGACATTCTATAAACAATTTGAAACATCTTTCATTATTAATGAATTTCATTTCCGGATCAATGATAGAAATTGTCATTTCAGGATCAATGATAGAAATTATTAAAGAACAGGGAGAGAAAGGATAAATCAGCGGCAAGGTTGTTGGCCGGAGCTACAGGGCGCTGTTCGATTTTGGGGGTTGAGCTTGGTCCGGGGTTGTCTAGCCATGCGGGGGTTGTCCGGGTGGCTCAGGTTCAAGGACACAACGGTCGATAAACCCCCGACAAGACTGGAAAAAGGGAGGGGAGGGAGTGGTTTGAGGGCGGAAGAGGAAGGAGCTGGATTGTCTGCAGACTGCGGAAATTTATCGCGAACAAAATTGATTGCTTCGTAATATTCTTGAAAGGTCGAATAATTTTACATAAAACAGATTTTCACGAAGAAGCGAATTTATAGTATGTTTATGTATGTTAAATATTTGATAAAATCATATATGTACGTAAAAAGTAAAAAAGTTGAAAGCTAAATAGATTCATTATAAATGTAATAAATTTTATAGCAAGTTATGTAATTTTACAGCAAAATAAGATCCTATAATGGATTTTGAGCCACCTTTTTTTAATGGACACATAGGATTTTAATGGATAACAAGCAATTTGTCAAAAAAATCCAAAAAGATTATTTTAGAACTTCTTTCTATTGTATATTAAAAAATAAAACAAAATAAAATTAATAGAGCGTAAAATTACGCGAAACAAACTTCTTTTTCGCAATGCATTTATTTTTTCATCGTCAATCTATTGAATTTTTCTATTTGTCAACATAAGCTTCTTAAATATTCTTGAATAAATTGATTTCAATATTAGTAAGCACTTTTAGCATTTACACGGAATAAATACTTGTATTATACTAAATACATCTGATTCAAATCACAGCCAAATAAGAAGAAATGAAATACATTTATATTTTGTAATTAATAAATTTGTTGATATGTGAGATTACTACCTGATTTTTTAGAAAATAAAAGTTCTCTTAAAAACTGTTTTTTCATTTTATATAATTTCTTTAAAAATGGTAATACTGCAAAGTTAACCTTAGAATTCAAAATATGTTTCTGAACAAACAAAGAACTTATTAAAAATGATTAAACAAATAATTAAAAGATAAAGAGAATAGTGAGATAAATATAAATATAATATTTTCCTGTATCTTATACTTTTTAAAAATAAATACTTTTTACAAAATAAACTCGTTAAATGTATCCGCATGAGAGAACATAATTTTTATTAAAATCTATTAAATCAATGAAATCATTTATTTTGTTATGATTCTAATAATAATTTTCTAAAGAAGCTTTTAAAGTAATTTTGTGAAGAAGCTTTCTTAGCTGGATTTGGCTTTTTTCGTTCAAATATGTAATAATTCATGTGCATCAATATATTATTATGTAGATGTATAATAAATAAATTTAAACATATATCTATATTTTTTATTAATTTCGCGAAAGATATTATCATTCATATTAAGGTAATTGTCAAAAGATAATGCATCTATTACATTCTGCGGTGCAGAATTCATAACCGATGTTAGCATAATAATATTATACTGATATATGTACTAAAATAATATAATCAAGAAATAAATTGACTTACCTGCAGGACAAAATCTCCCTTCCGGACCTGCAAATTCAGCTAGATTCCTTTTTACTGGAATGGTATCATCCATCAAAGTTAAATGGGCTGGTTGATCAGCTTCATGATTGGTACCAGTTAGAGCCACTGATGACAGAAGATCAAAGGATATTTCATTGTCTGGTTTAGGATATTCTATGGGCGTCGACTTAGCTGCAGATTTCAGCTTCTTATAATCAGGTCCTGAACATAATAAATAAAAAAACAAATTTTAAAAATATTTTTTATTTACGATATTTTTAAAAATATCTCTTCAAATATTTTATAGAAATTTCTGTTTACCTCCATGGGAAAAAGTCCACGGTTCCTTTCCACCTACTAACATGGAAAATCCTGAATAGATCAAACCACCATAAAGTCCAAGAGAAGAGTGGAAACTAGGCCTCATGTTTCTTACAGCTTTTAGTTCCTTATAAATCCAACTATTTTTTATTTTATCTGCATATGTTTTCGGTTCTAAGCCTTTTGTCGATGAGGTATTATTTTCTGCATCTATGATTGCTTCAACAACGCTTTCTGCAGCCAACATGCCACTTTTCATAGCGTTATGCGTTCCTTTAATTTTGGGCACATTTAGAAAACCTGCTGTACATCCAACAAGGCAACCACCAGGAAATTGAAGTTTGGGGATGGATTGGAATCCACCTTCTACTAATGCTCTAGCGCCATAAGCTATTCTGTAAAAAAAAAATGTAAGAAGAACACAAAATTATGCATGCAATAAAAATAAATTTCTTATTATAAATATTAACCTTTTTCCTCCTTCAAATGTTGGTCTAATGCTAGGATGTTGTTTAAATCTCTGAAATTCTTTAAATGGAGACAGATAGGGATTGGTATAATCCAATCCTACAACAAAGCCTACAGCAACTAGAGGTATTTCTTCATTCAAATGATATAAAAATGATCCACCATATGTATTTCTATTAAGCGGCCAGCCAACTGTATGTTCAACTGCTCCAGGTCTATGTTTGCTTGGTTCTATCTCCCAAACCTACCAAAGATATGTTCTATTTTACTATATATATTTTTTACATTTACAATCTTTTAAATTTTAAGAAATAACTGACAATATAATTACCTCTTTTAATCCAATGCCATATGTTTGTGGCTCACAATCTTTCCTAAGATTCAATTTTTTTGACAATTGTTTTGTTAAATGGCCATGACAGCCTTCTGCAAATATGGTACACTTTGCATGAAGTTCCATGCCCCGTTCGAATGTATCTTTAGGTGAACCATCTTTAGCAATACCAACATCATTTGTGGCCACTCCTTTGACAGATCCATCCTCATAATATAAAACTTCTGACGCAGCATAACCAGGATACATTTCGACACCAGTAGCTTCTGCTTGTTCGCCAAGCCATGCCACAACATGTCCTAATCTAACATAGATATACGAATTTGTACAATCAAAATTTATGACTTATTTTAATCACTTTTTTCTATTTATAATAAATTTCATTCACCTTACTATATAATTTCCATGATTATACATTGGCATTCCTTTAAAAATAGGTATAGATATTCTTTTATTTTCCGTAAGAAAAGCAAATTTGTCTTCCGTAACAGGAGTATTTAGTGGTGCACCTAATTCTTTCCAATTTGGAAAGAGTTCGTTCAATGCAATTGGATCCAAACAGGCACCACTAAGAATATGTCCACCGATTGTAGATGCTTTTTCAACAAGAGTAACTCTGAGTTCCTTGCCATGCTTCTCTGCCAATCTACGAGCTTGAATAGCTGCTGATAATCCAGCTGGACCACCACCAACAATTAGAATGTCGGTTTCATCCACATATCTCTCCATATTTACATCTAGAAGATAAAGAACATATTTTTTCTCTCTTTTACTTTTAATATTATTTTTAAAGATAAAAAAATCAAGAAAAAAATATACCTTTCCATCTTGAATCTGTCTCTCTGGGTATTACTGTGTAATGAGTTGTAATTTGTGGATATTTGGCATCTGAATAAGCTCTGTGGAAGAACCTTTGTAATTTCTGTACTGTCAAAAAAACAATAAAAAAATTAAACATACAGATTATTGAATTTAAATTGAAGTCTTGTGTATTAACAATAAATACATTTGTATACTTGTATATAGCAATCGTGAAATGATTCATAATATATATAAAAAAATATATATATATTTATATTTATATCGAAATACATAAATAAAGGAAGAAAATATAATATACTCGAAAATTTCAAAACTACATTTGTGAAATTTCAAAGTTTAAACTTACATTAACTCGTACATTTGCACAGACATTATCTATATATCAGTCATGAAGCTTTAGTTTAAATTTCACATCTTTAATAATTCTTAAATAAATTTTTATTGACTTGTTTTATTCGATAATAATAATTTGATACAATTTGATACCTGTATGTATATCACCTTTTGTTATTTCAAATATTTATTGGCAAAAAATTTAAAAACTAGATTTTGTTTCGACTGCATTTTCTTACACTCTTCTTTAATATTAAAAAAAAATAAAATATTCTCGTGTATATATTTATAATAAAAGAAAAGGAATCAAAGTATAGGAGTGTAGATGGCACAGCTGAAGAAATATGATGCGGGGGCAAAGTACACCCGTGTTTATATTGTCCATTATCATGTAATAAAAGATCAATCATATTCGCGATTAACGATTAATATATATAAAAAAAGAGTCTACCTCAAAAATGCAATCAAAGCCAATATTTACATTCTAAATAATGCATAAAATGCACGATTCAATAATCACAAAGTAAATAAAAGTATTTATATACAATTGTGCATTATATATTCTACGTAATTTCTTTAAACACCATATTATATAACATAATATTTGATTACATTATTACATGTTTCATGTGTATATTTATCGAAGTTGTGCGTGTTACTCGAATAAATATTCATTCTTTTACTTCATAACAAGTCAGAGCATACCCTAACCAACAAACAGCTGTTATCGAACACTGTAATATTTATATAAAGTTATGCATCGATGTACTTACTAGTCCCAGAGCTACTAAATACGAAAGCCATGATCGCGCACAAGTGCTGATCAGCGCTGATAGCCAGAATTATTAAAAAATATATATATATTCGCGACACTTGTCGCCGAATTCAATTGCAAGTAGCGCTTGTAAACGCATTTTAAGTGACATCTGTGCTATGCCAGCCGATAATAATCATGAGAGAAGACTGAGAGATGTCATAGCCTGCTTTTAGGTGATCCCTGAAAACGATACTCCCTCTATAGACATTGAAAATATCGATGAACTACAAAGCCAATGTCCATGAATGTTCTCAGAGTAATATATAGTTCTCTAGGGTAATATATAATGTACACAATTTCTAGTTTTTGTTCCGTGCTATGTGCATAAAATGCCGGTAAAATAATCGAATTGTACGTTGTTAAGTAAGTAATTAATATAACGAAAAACTCCGTATATTAATCTCATCGTTTAACTTATAAATTTCTATAATTTAATATTCCGCATGTGTGTGTTTGTATATATACATAGTTATAAAATACGTGTAAAATATTTCGGCAACACAAACGGGCAATAACACGGTGTTCGACTTTGGCATTGTTCGACATATGACGCGCTATTGTTTATGTTTCGATTTCGGTATCATTCACACGGCGACATTCGCGCAGTAAAGTCGTAATATACGAAACGCTTCGTATTATCGAATTCCTTTTCTAAACGTGATCGCGAATAGTATCGGAATATAATTCACAAAGATTATTATCATTATTATATTTTTGATAAACGACTGTATTATAAATGTATCATGATAATTCTTTATTAAAGCACAATCATCCATTGCAAAATTAAAACGACAGAGGTAAAAATTATAATTTTCACTACGATCCTTTAACTATTGACTCTTACAGATAATAGTTATTTATCTAATAATGCTTAGAGATATATATTAAATTCAATAACCTTAAATTTTCCTAAAATCGAGCATAAATTAATTATTAATAAAATGATTGTTAAAATGATAACATTTGTAACGAGTAACGCATAATTTTTTTAACCTCACGTAAACATTAAACGAATCGTACTTCTCTCGTATTTTCTCTTACAATCTAAAAAACTACACATCTTGTGTAATTGTTTCGCGATCGAGAGTGCTGTATAAAGTGTCTCGCAATCGCTGCTATGTGTCTAATTGTAATTAATCGTGTTTTCGGGAGTGAGTGTAAGTGCAAAAAAATAGCAGAGGATGAACAATAGAGAAAAAGAGGCCCGAGCATCGAGCAACCTACAAAGCAACAACATGAGGTAAATAATTTATAAATTATTTATCATATCATCATTCATATATTATTTTCAAACATATTGCTTGTTCTTTTTCCCATATTTTTGATAATGATTTCTAAATCATTATATAATATATAATACATGTATAAACATATTCTAAATGTCCAAAATTTTATTTTAAAATATTTAAAATATATCTATAGTAAAAAAAAAATGTCAAAATATTTTTTTAAATATTTTTAATATATTTTTAAAAATACTTTTATATAAATAATTTAATATTTTATCAAATGTTTCAAAATAATATAAATTTAGATGCTTTATATATGTAAGAATTAATTTTTTTGTACTTAGATACTTAATTTTATATATAAAATAGATTTATAAAAATATTAAAATTGAATGTATTTACATTTATAAGTGCAATAATTATTATTAATTATAATTTATGTTTAATCTTTGCATAACGATTCACGAATATTCACGTCAGATATTCGATAGCATCCTGACCTAAATAATCCGCGCGGACTGTTGAGTGAAATACTCCACGTGGACTCGATCGATAGCCAATGATCATAGTTCCTTGATCCTCAAATCCAATAGAAAACTCGGATTTCGTCACTCGCGAAATATCTCGCGTCTTATTCGTGTTCCAACTTTTTTCTCGCATCCTTGTCATATCCTCGATCTATCCTTTTCTCTCTCGCCTTATCTCTAATTGCTTTAAAAGGCAAGCTCGAGTGAGCATCGCTCGGCTTTATCTACTGTAACTCGATACGCAAATAAAAACTACACTAAAATAATGTGCCAATTTACGTGTCCACTTGTCATCACTTTCTTATCGCGTACAAGATTTATGTCTCAATTTAGTTACTCACACAAATTTATCTTATATATATTTCATTTACTTACACACTCGTTTATAACGTGTAATTTTTAGCATTTTCTCTTTAAACTCGATTTATTGAAGGCGTACTTTATATATTATTCATATATTACAATTAAAGCAATCAATATCATTTGTATAAATATTTACATATACATATATATTTTAATTTTCAGCTATAAAATATTGTAATTAACTTAAGTACATTATTATTAATTTATTGATTTTATTTGATTAATATTAATTGATTAATTCATTCATAATTTTGATTCACATTTAAAAAAATATATATTTAAAACATTTTAATTATATCTACATTTTAATTATATCTTCTAAAAAATTATTTGCAGATTTTAAAAACACATTTATTCTATATAAATAATTCGCAAAGAATCTTTTAAAAAGACACAATGCTTACTTAAATAATACGTTATATTTTTAATCAATAAAATTTTTATTGATTTAGTTTAAGAATGTTTGTGAAGTTTGAAGTATGTTTTATATATATATATATATATATATATATATATATATATATAATTTGACTGCTTTCTTTCGGTCGACTTTTCGCATGTAGAAATGGAAATAAATAATAAGAAAAAGAGTTAAGCAATTGTATTAATATGAACGCTGTTACAAATCTAAGAATAGCAGCAATTGTGGTAATAATTATTATATATAATATACGATATAATATACAACATAATTATTATATAATTTTCTCATTGTTATTTATTATTATAACATCGACTTACATTCCTATTTTCCTTTATTAAAGAAAATGATTGTCGTGTAATCTTTTATTTAATACTAATATATAAAAGTAAACATTATAATAAAAAAATTGTTATTTTAACTAAATGCACTTATTGCGTACATGACATAAAAATCGATAGCGCTATAATAATTTAGATTACATTATTGAATGATATAATAAATTCCATACACAAATTATATAAAATTATGTATAAATTTCTTTCCGTTTCATAAATTATATTATATTATATTATAATCATTTTTTGAAATATTAATTATTTTAAATACCGTTATAATTTTTCTTCTATTTGTTATGTTATAGATCAACAAGACAATCCTAATGGCCTGAAAAGAAAAGATCTAGGAGAGGCATCGACGGAGCAAGCTGATGGTGAGTATTATTATTTATATTATTATTTATAAATCGCGTACATATATTAATTTGATTCATTTTATTAGTTTTCATTAGTTTTATCAGAAACAGACAAAATAATCCTCTTCGCATATTTTATACCACTGTTTTATCGCAATGCAATGAAAGCATAATTGATGCACAATTATATTAAATATGTATGTGTATACATATTATTATTCTATGACACAATGCAAGATCAAAAAAAATATAAAATCTATAATTATACAAGATAATATAAAAGATAATATAAAATCTATAATTAATCATATTTATGTTATTTCTCTTGCATTCTCATTATTGAAAATAATAATTTTGTCGTCTTGTGTGATGATTTCATTTATTTTAATAAACAATAGAACAATATAAATATTTGTGCCTTTGTACATAAACTATTACTCGAATAATAATTGAAATATAATTACAATAATTATTATTATATATTAGAAAAATTATATTAAATTCTCTCGTATATTCCTTTTATTGTATAACTCAATTTAAGTCAGTACATGTTTATTATACAATATTATCAATCATCGGCTATTTGTTCTCTTTAGCTGTCCCTTGATTTCGAACTATGTAATAGTAGATGACTTAATAATCACATACTGTTAGCCGGTATTTTAGCCGATGTTGATAAATTCTCATTTGTCGTTTATATTTTTATCATTTGTCATTAACTCTTATAGAAAATAATATCTCCTAGTTAAATATTAATAAGTAAATATAATTAAATATATTAATTAATCAAAATTAAATTATATATATATTTATAATTGATTTTTAAATTATTTTTTAAATAGTTTTATTGTTTTTTAAAAGCTTTGAATAATTTAATAAAAAATTTGATTAATTCATGTATTATTTCCTTAAACTATATAAAATATTAAAATATAAAGTATAAAATATTTATATAAAAATATAGTATGATAGAGAGTGATGATGAAATAAGATTGCCTGAGGGTACTTACATCTTAAGATATTCTTGATCGCTTCTAAAAATAATATAATAATACGTGGCACTTTCGCACAATTTTCATTCAAGTGGAAGCTTTTACCGCTTCATTGATGAGACTTTCTATCGATTTTTAGAAAGGTTAAGTATTTAAACTAGATAGAGAGTCTGCATCGCCTTCGTCATGAAAAGAGTGACGACAAAAATATCGAGCTCCATGTTCGAAATTCATCTATGAAATATCTTTATTGTGTGATAAAACTTCAATTAAATGATGATGGAATATTTGCGATACATTGCTAAATAATAATGCTCGGCTTTTAATTAACTACAATATCAACTCATCAATTTTCGATTATTTCTATAATTAATATAGATGATATGCGACATAATTATAATAATTAATTAAAATTATTTTTAGTGTCGCTGACAGATTCATTATAAACAATAACGTTCTAAAATAATATTCTAAAAATATTATAACGAAAAATAAATATGTAAATGAAAAAAGTTAGAAAAATAAAAATAATATTGTATTCATTCTTCAATTTTATACATTTAAAAATAATATTGTATTCATTCTTCAATTTTATACATTTCTAGATCAATTTGCATCCAATAGCCACGTGTGTCACGTGTAGCATTTTGTCTTGTTTCTGCACGTGCTTCACCATGTCGTAATTACATATGACAATGTAAAGCAATTTACAATACAATAATGAGATATTACGTTCTATCATTATGGATATGCTGTATTGCCCATGTAGCCCATGCAACCATGTGAGATACGCTCTAAATGCGACGATGAAATGGAGCCAAAATGCAATTACGATTCCTCCCACAAATTGCTCTCTGTTAATAATTTT